TGAATTGACTTTTCGTAACCCCCCCCCCCCCCCCCCCCGCTCTAATTCATGCACCACAACGCCTCCCCCCCATATCCTCGAAACAGTCGCTCCTGCACACCCCCGACCACAGCTGCCGCCGTGAAACAATGTCTGCCCACCTCTGCGCCCACCTGGACTACTGTACCTATTGTATCGTACCGAGCGTGAGGTGACGGGTCTGGAAATGTATTCGTGTGGATATCGGGTATTCTGTATTTCAAGTGTTGATTGCATGGGTGGTGTGTTTTGTACGGGTACGGTACTTGGTCTACTGGACTTTACTCTGCTCTACACTCCCTACTTTACTACCCTGTCTACACACCTACCCACCCCACATACACGCAACAAAATACAACACAGCCATCCCACCCACTCACCCCCAACCCAACCCAAGAAGAATTCCAAATCCCCACTCTTTTCTCATCCCACAGCACAACTCATGCACTCGGGTAGTGTGAGTATCATGTGATTTGCCACTGCTACATCCTGGCTATTTTGATGGCACAAGACAAGTAACGTGATCCTCAAACTAGCCGAGATAACTAGTACTACTACAACCCTACAACCTGCCTTGCCCACCCTGCCCTTTCCTTCCTACCAAAACCCAGGATGCATTACACGTGCTCCTGCCCCCACCACTCCCTCTCTTTTCTCTACTCTTCTCTTTCCCGTCTCCCTGCTTATTTTCGTCTTCGTTGCCAAGGCAAGGGGAAAGACGAGCCTGTCTTGCGGACTGGTTTTGCGGAGTCTGCATCTCTCATGTCATCCCACCTCATCCCACCTCACCACAGCCACCGTCCATTCCCCCATCTCCCCTCACCCCATCCCACCTACCTATCTAACCCCCACCCATCAAACCCAGCCCCACGAAACCCCTTCATCCAAACATCCCCATCCCCATTCCACTTCAACCTCATCATCTCGCCACTCGTTTCATCGCAAGCTTGTTTGCCACAGGCGAATGGAGTTGTAGCGGGGGAGGTTGTTGGATTTATATTTTTACATGTCTGGGTATGGGTGGTGTTATAGTGTGTATTGGGAATTGTGTGGGTGGGTGCGGGGATAGTGGATTTTGTTGTGCTGTGGATATACAAACTATGTGACATGTCGTGATTGTTGAAAATTCCAATCCTAATCCCAGCCCAACAATAATCATCACCACCACGGCACAAGAGACCAGCCACCACAACCACAACACCCAGCCATCCACATCACTAAAGAACACAGCAAGTTTGACAATCACAAATCACATAAACGACATCATTACTATTCGCATCATGAACAGATACATCTATACACGACACCACGCCCAATAACCATGAACCCAAACGGCCAAGAACAGCAAACAGATTGAAAAAGGAGAAAAAAAACCCGGGTATAGTTGCGCCGTCGCCAGTTCTTTTTTTCGTACAACATACAACATCAGAGGGAAAGGAAAGATTGAGTGATTTGGAGAAAAGGTTGTGGGAAAGAAGTGGCTATGGAGAGAGAGAGAGAGAGAGAGAGAGATGTGTGTGCGGCGTGATTGACTGCCACGCTGGTGTCGAGACAAAAGAATAAAAACAAATAGGGGGAAGAAAAGAAAAGAAGAAAATGAGGACGAGGATGAGGACGAGGAGAGAAAATGGTCTCATATACCACCCATATCCACCTCGTGCAAAAAATCAGCCTCTTCGAAATCACTCCCGCTTCCCACCGTCACCCTCCTCTCCACATGGACTGCACTCTCCCCCTCCATGTCCATGTCCTCATCACCCGACAACACCGTCCTCCGGCCCTGCCGGCGAGATTTCGGCTGCGCAAACTGTCGGACCTGCGGCAGCATGTTTTGCGGTGTCTCGCTGAGCGGGCTGACGGGCACCTCGTCCACCTCGACGGCCAGGTTTCCCTTTGGCATCGCGAAGAAGAGGTTTGAATTCAGCGGGCGCACTTCATCGTCGTCGTGCCAGGAGCGCTTCGAGGGATTGAGCGGATTGGGCAGTCGTTGCGAGGCGGTTGAGTAGCCCGAGTCGGTGGAGCCTTGGGAGGAAAAGGGTTGGGTGAAGGCTTCGGCAGAGAGGGGGAAGAGGTTGGTAGATTCTTGGGTGGCAGAGTCGTGGCCGCCGCCGTATAGGTGTCGGTTGGTCGTGGGTTGCTCGGCGTAGCCTGCGATCTTGTTCAGGCCACAGAACGGTAGCAGTTCTCTCTGGTGCGTGAGGCGATCTTCGACGGTATCTCGTGACGGCTTAACCTCGTAATCGGCGAGCGCAGTGGTGGGACTATGGACTAGCGTCGTGGTAATGGTTGGCAGGCCGGACATGAGCTTTTGTGTTTTATAGCCTCCTGGCACTGCTTTCCGCACGCGCATGCCGACGTTGAGCAAGTCTGCTTGCACCTGGCCGGGCAAGGTGGGCGCGAGACTCTGTCGCTGTCGCTGCGATGTTGAGCCCCTGCTATGGTGGTGGTGCAGGTGGGCGTGATGACGGGGGCGGGTAGTCGGATCTAGACCCCGCAGATCTTCTTGGTCGTTGTCAAGGTCGTCGGCAAAGGTAAAATAAGTCGTTATGCTCGGCTGGAAGGTTCTCTTGCTGCGATGCTCTTCCGTCTGCGAGGCGTGACTGCTGTACATGGCAGCGTGCGTAGGAGGCAGCTCAGGTTGCGGCGTAGGGCAAAGGTGGGCCAGGCCCAGTGATGAATTACTTATGAACTGCAGTGGTCCAGTGGATACCTAGCTCCGAGAGGGCGACTTTGTGATGCACGCTCGAGCCGGTTGGGGGCTGATGAGGAGCAGCAGGGTTCCAGATTGACCAGGCGAATCATCAATCTCGTTGCTAAGTGGGCAGTTGGGCTCTGGGCGGGCAGACTACCCAATTCTGCGTCTGCACTTGCACTTGCCCTTCACTTGCTCTTTGGCGGAGGCGGAAGGCGGAGACAAGGAGGAGAAAAGAAAGAAGAGGGTGATGAAGGAGAAGCAAACGGTGGGCGAAATGGGGCTTCCACGCTGACAGATGGCGGCACTAGAACAAGAAGCGGAGGCACGCCGATCATTCGCGGTCGTGACGCGAACATGTACGACGCATTCGGCAACTAGCAGCTTATTTCGACGCGCGCTGGACCGTCAGATACGACACAGACACACGCACACACTCCCACACTCCCACACTACATACCGCGCTCATGCATGACTGCTGCTGCTGCTGCTGCTGCTGTTGTTGCTGCTGCCATGCAACAACAGCTTGTCTTGAAGGCTGTTGTCAGACAGAGGAGAGCTCTCGTTGTGCAATGTCACACCGCACCGTGACAACTGCCACATCTGCTGTCTCACGTCTGCTGTCTCCGGCGAGCAAAGACAAGCACTGTTAGTTGTGTTGCGCTTGTTAAACTCAAACAATCTATCAATGGCCCGTACTCACCCAAGCTTGGTCATGGACACAAACCTACACTCTCAGACAAATGACAGACATTGACCACCAAACCATGTCCACGATGGAAGAGCTCTTGAATAATCGCATTGGTAACGATTGCGTCGTGTCACGGCCACCATTGCCTATGCACTTTGCGTCCAATAGGTATCATCGACTATGCATGCTTACACACCCGGCTTGGCCACTCGCTACGCTTGAACCTGGACATCATCCACAAACGGCAGATTCGCTTACTCTAATGTTATGAGAACCAATAACTGTGATTGTCCATGTTCGTAGCCATCTAGAGTACATACCTAGACACCTAGCTTACACCCATGCGAACAAAGACCACCAACCAAACCAGCCATCATTGACACCATCGGCCAAACCAACTACCATGGAATTTTTGGCCATCCATGCTGCAGTCGCACAGTCGATCCATACCAAGACTGACCATGGATCAAGCACTTGGTATTGGCTCGATCAGTGTGACCTTGCACCATGCCTGCGTCTGCTCATTCACCTGCAGAAGATAATGGCTAGCCGCAACATAACTTGGTTGTCTGTTTGCCTTTAACATCATGTGAGCTATAATATAGCTGCTGGAGAGGACACCACATCACAGAGCAAAGACCTTCATCTAATTAGCATGTAGGAGCAACGATCGACACTGACCATCCTCAGACTACATTCAAATCACTTGGTGCATGGCCATGACATTCAAGAGAATGGTCCAATTTGACACGTCATAAACTTTTGTCATTTCTTCATTCTATCGTCACCATGATGGTTGCCTGGTTAGACCTATGATTGTCTGCCCAGGCCCCGGGTATATTGCATCCCACCACATCATACGCGCAACCTAGTAGAAGAAACCGAGAATCTTGCCAGCGACGTGCTTCCTGCGGGCCTCCTCGTGGTCCATGATACCAGCCGAGGTGGTGAGGACAATGTAGCCGAATTGACGCGAAGGCAGCAGCTTGACAACCCACTTCTCCATGTCGCGGAGCTGGACGTTGTAGCGGGGGGAGATGACACCGGTCTTGTTGATGCGGCCGTTGAGCTGGATGACAATCTTGCCGTTGCGGTGGTCATCGACCTCCTCGAACTCGCCGATGTAGCCTGCGCAAAAAGAGTCAGCGTGTTGCAGAGAAATAAACATCAGACGTCATAAACATGATCCGAAGACGTGTAAGTTCTCCGCAGAGTTTAATGTACCGGACACTTAAAGGGCAAAGATCGTGGAGAATGCGAGATCATTGCCTAGTTATCAGCCCGGAGGGGGAGGGAAAGAGAAAGAAGTGCATATGTGTACATGTGCGAGGGACGATAGCAAAGAAAGTGAAATGCAAACATACCGTGACGCTGCATGACCGTGAGGAACTTGACGATGACCTTGGAGGACGGGCGGATCAGGACCTGGCGCTTGCCGGCCTTCTCGGCGTTGTTGATAGCATTCAAGCAGTCGTTGAGAACGGAAGTCTTGACCATTTTGGCGGTAGTAGATTCTCAATGGCGGTTGGGCGACTGAGGTATCTGTGGGAAGGGTTGGTGGTTAGCCTCCAGATGCCAGAGCGTGGAGAGTGCCCTCAGTGCTGCAGCTTGAGGGTTCTACAGCTCGTGTCGCAGAAGGGGAAGCAGTGTCGCCTTCGCCTTGCCTTCATCCCTGCGGACGATTGCGATTGCTTCCCCTGGCTCTCTGAAGGGCACTCGAGCGCGGAATAGACATACCTAGAAAGGGGGTGGAATGTGGTGAGCGATAGATTGACAGAGGTCCGAAAAGTTCGCTCGCGAAAGTTGGAATTTGGTGTGTTGGTCCGTGGGCTCGCTAGATGTGGCCTTGGCATGGACCCCTGTTAGTCAGCTTCACAGCGCCAGCAACCACAGCAGCAGTACACGATGAACTCGAGCACCATCTCATGGCGCGACCAATGACTATTCACATGGCCCAACCCGCGTTGATTGATTCTGTGTTGCTCTTCTCCATCTCAGCTAACTAAAGCCAATTTGCCTCTTCAGCAATCGTCGCGTCTTCACGTGCCTTCGCGGCCGTGGGCACTCTTAGTCATGACGTAGCATCTCCTTCTTCGCCTCCCAGTACCTATCACCTGCCTGCAGATCCAGAGTTTCTCTAGTACCTTGTTCCACTACCTCACACTTGCCAACATGTCTGAAGCCTGCTGTACCTGCGCTGCGCTGCTATCCTCTATTCCCCCAACTTATGATGAGAAGATCGAGAAGCCATCACAATTCGAGCGCCGTCTTGACTGCTGCGGTCGTGCTATATGCGCCCGATGTTTGACAGATAACCCCAGATTCAATGACTATTGTCCGTTCTGCCAGATTGCTACCGGTCCTTCCGCACTACCACCCCAAGGTCTCCGCGAACCTCCAACATATTCGCCACCAGACGAGCGGGACGGCGACGACGAACTGCCACCATACTCTGCACACGATGGCCTCAAGCCTCCTTCAGAGAAGTCGAAATCGAAAATGGACAACGGCCCGGATGTCCTTCATTTTGTGGATCAGAACAACGACTCGATCACCTCACTGTCGCTTCGATATGGTGTACCGGCTGACGCACTGCGTCGTACCAACAATCTCTATGCCGATCACCTATTAGCAGCGCGAAGGACAGTACTGATACCCGGCGAATTCTACAAGGGTGGTGTTAGTCTGAGCCCAAGGCCATTAGAAGGAGAAGAGGAAGAGATAAAGAAGACAAAGCTAAGAAAGTTCATGGTCAGATGCAAGGTTGCAGAGTAAGCGCTGCTCATGGATGAGAATTCGGTTGGCGACAGTGCTGATATAGCTTTGCAGATACGATGTCGCTTTGCTATATCTGGAGCAAACGGAGTACCAACTCGAGCACGCTGTAACCTCATACAAAGCCGATGAAGAGTGGGAGAAGGAACACTCCCTCGAAGCCGCAAAAAAGGGCAAGTCCAAAGCATCTCAAAGCACAGGAAGACGCAAGTGGGGTTTCGGCGGCCTTACAGGGCAGGTGTCATAGAGCGGCGTCAAATTGGCGCGTGGTGTTGAAACTCCCTGGATGGAACGGTGGCACATATAGTACATTGGTTACTCCCACTCGAATCCTCCAGGAGGCGCTCATCATTGTATGTTGTGTGCTCGGGGGGCCTTCCAGCGTTTCTGACCTCCTTAGATCTCATTCGACAACTTGTTAATCCACCATCGTTCGAACATGACTCATGCATGATCAAGATGGGCCGGGGCGTAACTCGGTCTAAAAATGTTTGCATCTCATAGTTTGCCAGATCTGAGATGTCCGCTACCATCGATGGAATCCATGGCAAGCACTTGACGAAGTCAAGACTGCCATATTTAGTGTACTATCATCAACAGCATTACCTTTTCGTTGCGGCACAACAGCAGTAGTTCATTGGGAGCGAGGCGTTTACGATATATACTACAGGAGCGTGCTTGTGCTCGAAGAGGATTCAAATATGGTATGATCATTAGTTGTTGTAGACATGAATGCTTTCAAAAAAAATCTGCTGTGTCGTTGACTAGAGACACCAGATTCTGAATCACTCGATGTGGGATCAGATACCAAGACGAGATTCAACCTGAAAAAGCAAGTTCCACCATCTCGACCCACAGAGAGAGGCTGTTAACCGCAGATGCGATGCCTTCAGTTACATTGTGCAGGATCTAGATTCGCCTAGCCAATCACAACACAACGTTCCCACAGCCCAGACCAGCACTTCTGTAAGCGCTGAAGCCTCGCCAAATCGGTAGAGTATCTGCACGACGATGTTCCAAGCGCCCACCCTGCATTGAGTGTTTCGAATGCTCATCGCTTCTGCATCTGGCCCCTCGGACAATCCATTGGCCAGCCAGCAAGAACACTATTTCACATAGTCGCTATTGCACGGCAGCCACAGCATTACAGACAAGCCCCAGTGCTTAACTGCACCTCCAGGCCTCATCTAACTGGCCTGTTCCCAAGCCACAAGGAACGCTCAAGTGCTGCTAATGACCCCTATGCAGTAAGCTTTCCAGCCAACATATATGCCAAATTCACTATTTACAGCTTAGCTTGCATCTTACGCGCTGCAAATAACAACACCACTGCCAAAAACAGACTACACCAATGCTTTCTCCACCCCCCGCCGCCCAGATACACAGTCTGGCACACTGCAGCAGCAGCGCAAATAACCGTTCTGTGTGTGTTTTCTTTTTGTGCTGGTGCCGCTCGTCTATTTCGAGACATGGGGGAGGGAACTAAGGAGGATGAGTTTGGAGGGGTGGGCGAGTGTCGCTGGGCGTGAAACGCATAATGCGACCAAGAAGTTTTAAAGGCATGGGTTCCCCTAAAGATGTTTCTTACTTGATCTCAGCCTAAGGTTCATATTGTAGTTCAACTTCCCATCTTTTCTCCTTCTATTGTTTCTTTCTTCAGTTCTCTTGTCCTTCATTTGCAAGAAAGAAGAATTGGCAAGGTGCTCCTGGTTGGGACCTGTCGAAATCTACTCTGCCCATACCTATACATCACACACCTTCTCTTCTGGACTCGGACTCTCCGCAGACGACGCAACAGTAATTCATTCCAATATACAATACCCCTTTCAACGCAAACGAAAGACGAAGAAAAGGAAAAACACAGTCAACATGATGAAGGTCAACCCCGCACCCTTCCACTTAGCCCAGGCCATCATAACCGGCCTCGTCGTAGCCCTCAGCATCGCCATCCTAGGAACCTCCGCACACACCCTCGATGTCTACAACAAACAGCAAACCTCCAACCCATGGTGGATGCCCCTCTGGCCCCAACACTACGACACCCACGGCACAAAAGCACTCATCGCCTCCTCCGTCGTCACCCTCGTTCTCTGCGGTGCCTTTTTAATCGCTTCATTCATTCCCCAAGTAAGTCTCCCAAATACCAAAACCCACACCAATACCCACACAGAAAAACTAACTCCCCACCCCCTCCAGCTCTCCCTCCCACAAAAACCAACCCTCCGCGCCCTCCTCTCCCTCGCAACTCTCCTCCCCTCCACCCTCCTCACCCTCACCACCACAATCTACGCCCACATCCTCAACAACAACACCCCCGAACTCGACACCATCCAGACCTGGACCTGCAAATACAGCGTCTCGAGCCCCTTGCCCCAGGACAGGGCGATGCCTGCTGGTTTCGGCAATGGCAATTTCGGGAGCTTATGCAGGGAGAGCAGGTTTGCGCTTTGGGGTACGCTGACGGTGTTTTTGCTGTTGTGTGGTGGGCTTGCGGTTACGATTGTGGCGTGGTTGGCGGATAAGGTGGCGGCAAGGCAGAGGCGTAAGGAGGGGGTGGAGATGGGGGATGTGTCGCAGTAGATAGATTGTCGGGCGCGGTTGGCGTTTGGGGGATGAGGTGAGGTGTTTGCTGTTGTTCAGAGAAGGTTTTGGTGGTTGGGCGCAAAATCAGGAATGGACCAAGTCCGTCCTGGGGCGTTCACCTTTGCAAATTTGCACTCTTACGGGATACGATGTTGAAATTATTCAAATGTTCATTCATCTATTTACAAGTAATTGAACCCAATTATGCTATTAGGAACGTTCATGCCCTCGCAAACATTCATCATGCGTGACTCGTCATTTCATGCGATGCCTCTAGCATCGAAAGATCCCAAATCAAACGCCAAAACGCCTGGTTGATGCTTTGCAATCCACTTCGTATAACTGCTCAAAATGTCCCAACTCAGCAATCATCACGTGTCATTTAGTCGTAAAGGTCCATTCCACCTTCATCATCATCCAAATCAGCTACAGCATCGGATTCATCGTACATCTCCGAATCGTCTTCGCTGTCAGTGTGGTTCGGCAAGACGACAATGTGTCCGTCGTCAAGCACAACTCGTGCCGTCTCGCCATCCTTGATGGCGCCACGAAGGATGAGCACAGCCATGCGGTTGAGCACTTCCTTCTCGATCAGTCGCGCAAGAGGACGAGCTCCATATGCTGGCGAGTACCCTGCCGAGCCAAGGTAATCGCGGACCTCGTTCGTCATTTCGATGCGTACATTACGACCATTGGCGTTGAGACGTTTCTGAATCTCGGCGAGGCGCACGTCAACGATCTTCCGAATCTCGCGCTTGGTGAGACGGTTGAAGATGACGATGGAGGAGATACGATTGAGGAACTCAGGCAGGAACCAGTTGCGTAGTGCGTTCATGACCATCTCTTTCGTCGTGGGATCGATCTTGCCATCGGGTCCCTGAGGACGAGAAAGATGTTCAGCACCCAAGTTAGAGGTCATGACGACAATGCAATTCTTTGCATCGACAACTCTGCCTTGACCATCGGTGATGCGGCCATCATCCATGAGTTGCAGGAGCACGGTGAGGACTTCTTTGGCGGCCTTCTCCACTTCATCGAAGAGCAGAATGGAGAAGGGCTTGCGACGCAGGGCCTCTGTGAGTTGACCTCCTGAGTCGTGACCGACATAGCCGGGTGGTGCACCAATCATCCTGCTGAGAGAGTGTCGCTCCTGATACTCAGACATGTCGAAGCGGATCATGGCCTTTGGATCGTCGAAGAGGAACTCAGCTAGAGCCTTGGTGAGAAGTGTCTTACCCGTACCAGACGGACCACAGAAGAGGAAACTGGGTGGCTGGTTGGGGTTTGCGAGACCAGACCGCTGAAGTCGGATAGCATTGGAGACGGAGGTGACAGCTTCCCGCTGGCCAACCACAACATGGCTAAGGTGACGTTCCATATTAAGCAGTTTGTCCTTCTCGCTTGTCTTGAGGCGAGTGACGGGAATACCAGTCCAGCGGGCAACAATCTCGTTGATCTGGTCTGGTCCAACAGAGTCGCTCATGAGTGCTTCGCCTCCTCCACTCGCTTGGTGTGCCCACATTTCTTGATCTGCACGTGCTTTGTCTCGCTCAAGCTCGGTAATCCGCTGTTCGACGTCCGGAATGGCGTAGTACTTGAGATCTGAAGCTGTTTGAATATCGCGCATACGTTCAGCCTCTGCCAATTTGGTCTTGAGGCCTTCAAGCTTCAGCTTCTGCTCTTGAATCTCCTTGCTACGTCCCTTTTCACGCTCGTACATCTCACGCAGGGGCTTGAGCTCTTCCTCAATGTTAGCAGCTTCTGCACGCGCTTCCTTGAGCCGGACTTGTGATGGTTCGTCCTTCTCCCGAGAGAGAGCGTGGATCTCGATTTGTAGTTGTCTGTGCCTTCGCTCGAGGTTATCGAGTGCTTCGGGCTGTGACTCTCGAGTGACACGAACTGCTGCTGCGGCCTCATCGATCAGATCGACCGCAGAATCGGGCAAGCGACGCTGGGTAAGGTAGCGCGCCGCAAGTGTGGCAGCAGAGACGATAGCACCGTCCATGATGGTGACACCATGATGTGTCTCGTACCGCTCCTTGAGACCACGAAGAATGGATATGGTCTCGGGGATTGAAGGCTCCTTGACCAGAACTTGTTGGAAACGACGCTCGAACGCTGCGTCCTTTTCGATGTACTTTCTGTATTCTCCAAGGGTAGTAGCGCCGATGCAGTGAAGCTGTCCACGGGCCAGCATGGGCTTCAACAGGTTAGCCGCGTCCATGCCACCCTCTCCTGAAGAACCAGCGCCCATGAGCAGATGGATTTCATCCACAAACAATACTATCATCTCCTTGGAATCCTCAATCTCTTTTAGGACACCCTTCATTCGGTCTTCAAACTCTCCACGATATTTGCTGCCAGCAACCAAGGCACCAACATCCAATGAGAGCAGCTTGCAAGCTGCAAGATTGGCAGGGACATCAGCATCGACAATGCGGCGGGCAAGACCTTCCACAACCGTAGTCTTACCAACACCTGGCTCTCCGATGAGAACCGGGTTGTTCTTCGTTCGTCGGGTCAAGATGCGTATAACTCGGCGCGTCTCTTCCTCACGACCAATAACAGGGTCGATCTTGCCTTCTCGTGCCATGGCCGTCATGTCGATTGTGAACTTCTTGAGGTTCTCATTCTCCTCCTCGGCATCTGCCGTCTTGGAGTCGACCCTCTTGGTGCCTCGCAATGCCTGAATCGCATTGTCGATCTGCTTTGTGTTTGGTACGTTGGATTCGGAGAGGGCGCGTTGTATTGATGCGTCCTGGCATAAAGATGAAATGAGATGGTCGACCGCAATGTAGCTGTCCTTCTGGGTCTTGCTCAACTCTTCGGCTGAGCGCAGCACCTTCGCCATGGCAGGTGAGGGTGATGTCCGCTCTGGAGGTGGATCTTGGCTTGGTAATCGTACCAACGCCTTCTTGAGGTTGCGCTCAAAGAGTTGTGCGTCGCCATTGGCACGTTCGAGGACTTGTTTGAACAGCGGTGGAGGCGGTACGTCGACTTGGTTTGCGAGGTCTTTTGGTGGATCTATGAGTGACACGGCAAGGTGAATGGGTGTGAGTTGTGAGTGCGAATAGCTCTTAGCTAGATCGAAGCTGTCTGCAAGCGCTTTCGCTGCTCGATCCGTGTAGGCGTCGAAGGAAGTCATTGTGTGATATGATTAGAGCCTTGTATAAGGCGTCGAGTCGGTAGAGTACAGTATTATTGTTGCTCTTTCCACTTGGTAGGTTGGAAAATAGGGCAGGTGTGTGTACAAAGAAGTTGTACGGGGTATCTTGTTTGCAATTGATTGCCAAAGTGAGGGGCTTTGAGGAACTAATATATACTCAAGTGTTTGTTCAGCGAAAGATCAGGAGCATACTAGGACGATCGTGTGATTTCTTGTCGACTCTCGAAGGCAGAGTGGTGGGAGCCTCTCCCCATGGAAGCCTCCAGTCACTTCTAGTTTGCGGGCAGGAAAGGGTCCCGCCCAATGACATCACATCATGTGTGGGCCAAAAGCGGTTAGCGCAAGCGAGTAACATGGCGGCCCATCCAACCACCTGAGCAATATAGTAAACTATACGCAATCGTCTCAAGCAACCACAGACGTGGCCCAAGTACGTTTGATGGCCGAAGAATGCCTGATTTCATGTTCAGGTGTGACTCCTACCGGTAATCTAGCTATCATAGAGTTGGGCCCTGGCTGAGCCTTGGGTGAAAGCTCGAAATCTGGCAGCCCAACCCATCTTTGCAATGGCATCATCTTGTCCTCGTCTCCAATACCATTCCGATCCCAATCGTGCACGAATTTATTCTTCATACTGTAGTTCTCAGAGAGACTGTCTATTTCCAGACCCTTGGAGACGGCCTCTCTCGTCAGTCCAACCTCTATTATTTGCTAACGCAATTCAAGGGCCGCATGAAGCCATTGCACACGTCAGACCTTCGTGCCTCGACCCCACTCAACCTCTCCATGTCTTTCTTTACTTCACGATTCCATCTGTCTCACCAGCAGTCGAATGGAAGGCTCGATTCTATAACTTTCTGTGCTTGCCTTCTTGCCGATCAATTCTTCCGCTCCGTAGATCTAATGCAGAACACTTGGAGTATGTCAAATAGTAATTTCCCCTACACCTGCTAAGACAAATTCAGCTATGAACTTTTAGGCATAAAGCATCATATCTTGTAGCTAATAAGTCTTTCTACTGCTTTACAAGGGCTCTCAACCTACTTTGCGCCTTTCCAAGACGTATTCTAATAGCATTGCAACCCCCAAAGAAAAATATTAGTGAATTATGACTACGTAAACCATGCTTACAACAACACAGTCAAACTATACTTATACTAGAACAGTAATAAAGTAAGTCGTCGCCTTGCCCCCCTAATATATTCTAGGCTAACGATTAGCTTAGAGTTTCTCAAGCATGAGATACAAATAGGGTACATACTAAAAGAAACAGTCATCACATCTATTACCTGCCTTCTTTATTACTGTTAGCCTCTTTAACTGCACTACATGCAGCAAGGCCTACCCCACCTCTGCCCCTACGATCCTAATCGTAGGCAAACCTTGGCATATATAAAGAAGTTAATAGCCTGGATCTAGTAACTAACAATAGAGTATAAAAAGACAAAAAGTTCTAGGCACAGCCCGAAAGCCGTGATACAGGCCCCCTACGCCTTGTACGATGATTACCATTCGCGTCCGATTGTAACCTCTCCCTTCTTGAATATTTTGTCCTTTACAGGAATTGACCTGGGACCCTTCTAACACGGGCTCGGAGGAGCCCGGTTCTTGACCGGTGGGCTAAGTGAAGGTCGTGTGACTTACTAAAAGGGAGCTCAAGTTTTGGTGTTATATATGTGAGTTATCTGCTAGCTGGAAGGAAGTGCGGGTGCGGTGGTTTGGGTTGCTGTTGTTGCTGTTGCTGTTGTTGTGGTGGGTGGTGGTGAGTGCGTTTGCCGTTTGTCGTTTGTCGTTTGCAGTGGTGATGTACCCAACATACTTGAGCTCGCATCAGTCTGTCCACTGAAAATCATATGTTGCCGTTTTCTTGCATACCAGTCCCGGTAATGCACGGAGGCAGGGTTGCAAGTACAAGTATCTTAATGATTATGTTGTGGACGTTTTGAGCCAGACTGGCAAGCACCTTGGGGAAGGACCGTGGCTGCAAAATCTTGGCGAGATGCTCAAGGGTAAAGACGCTGGTGAGAATCTCGATTATATTCGACTTAATAGGCCGTGCTATAAGCTAGGTCTGGTTGTTGATGTCCGCACACAGCGGCGAAAAGGCTCGTCTGCTCGATAGTTGGAAGCAATCTCAACAGCTAGGACTTGGATGGTGTACACCGGATGGAGGCAAGACTCTTGGTCTAAGATCTGAATGCCGAATTCAAGCACTCTTCTCAATCGTTATTGCATAATATTCGATTCAGAGATCTGCTGTTTGACCATGATATCCCTCACTCTCCAAGACGCCATAGCATGAAGCCCCAACCACAACCTCAATCCATATCCAACCCCTCCCTCAACACCCCCTAGCATCAATAACCTCAGTCTCCCACGCCCGCAGCTCCACCAACTCCCTTATCTCCCTCACCAAATCGCTCCACTCCCCCCTCTCCACCGTATGCCCCCGATCCTCGGTCTCCTGCAACACCCTCCTCGCCTCCCCAACACTGCGCCAAAACACACGAATCGCCTTGTCCTCCGGATACGGCTTCTTGGGCTTCAAAGCCTCCTGTTGGAGAACTTCAAGGGAATCTTCCAGCCATACAAGCAGCTCGAGATGCGTCGCCGTCCAGGGCTGCGTGAACAGTGCTAAACCGTCAGAGGAGGGAGAGGTGATGGATCCATTGTACCACTTTGCAGGCTGCCAAATGGCTTTTTCCCTATTACCCTCTTGCTCCAACACATCCTCAAATACGCGGCCGACCAGATTTCCCCCATCCTTCTCCCGTCCCACCCGCACAATAACCTCCGACAACACCGCCAGTGCCGCCGCACAAACTCTCACCCACACAACCCCCATCCCCATCGCCCCATCTCCCTTCCACCCACCCTCACCCCCTCAAACGCCTCCGCCTCCCTCACTGGCGGTAAATACCTCTGCACCTCGATCCCAGGATTCAGCAGCACCGCGCCGGGCGTCTCAAAGTACAAGATCGAGTCCGAGCGGGCGGCCGCGTCGGGGGCGAGCAGCAACTGCGATGTGATGAGGTGTTGCAGGAGGTAGATTTTTTTGAGGGCACCGCGGAGGATGGGTGTGCGGAGGGTGTGGGTGTGGTGTGGGAAGGTGGTGTCATGGGTGGTGTGTAGGGCGAGGGTGGCGGTGAAGAGGGGGTTGGTGGGTGAGTGGAGGATTGTGGCTTTTTTGATGCGGAGGGAGGATTGGGGGAGGGGGGTGTTGGGGTGGAGTAGTTAGATAGGGGGGGGGAAGATGGGGTGGGTGATGTAGAGGGTGAGAGTTAGAGTTGTGAGGAGGAGGGTAGTGAGCAGGAGGATAGTAAGGAGGGTTCTGGGGGTCGTGAGTCCGGCAAGGCCGGGGTAGCGCATAGTTAATATCATTATTTTCATTTTTGCAGAAGCTTTAGGTTTGTATAGGATGTGTCACCGTAAGAGTATAGGATACAAGTCTTACCCCAGGTACAAGCGAACAATTACCCAAACATCACCAAGGAAAAAGTATACCCCATGTACCCTCATCCCAGCCCCAATACCCACAAGGGAAATTCAAACACCGCAACCAACCTCAAAAAAACAGCCACACCCTCACCAAAAATCCTCAACTTACCACTCACCAAACACTACCATCTCTCGCCGTCAGTAGAGGAAGAACGTCAGGAGTCGCTCTCACCCCAGCCACCGCAAACACAACCTCACCAACCCATCCATCCAGACAACAAAACTCAAGACACCATCAAAAACACAAAAACGCAAATTATTTCATTTACATTCCCTTATTTCCTATAAAGACTAGCGTACTCTATCTCCGAACCAGCCAGGAGAAGGCGTAAAAAACCGCCTCAAAATTTTCGTCCACTGTGTCTTCCCCCCCTCTCCTCTCTCACAAACACTCGCATACACTGGACGGGTCTTCGTTAATACGTATGTCGTACGCATGAACATGCTGGGTGAGTTTGATTGCTTCGGTTGCAGGAAGCAAGCAAGGGCTTTGATGAGTGATGTAGAGGGAAATGGTTTACTCGGCCATCATTTGACCTTCTTGGGCCATTTGCTCTTCGTTGCCTTGTTGATCTTGCTGCTTCTGCTGCTCCTCGGCTTGCTTTTGTTGCTCCTCGGCCTGCTTCTGTTCTTCCTGCTGTTGCTGCTGCTCGTGTTGCTGCATCTCCTGCTCCTGTTGTTGCTCTTCCTGCTTCTGTTGTTGCTCTTCCTGCTTCTGTTGTTGCTCTTCCTGCTTCTGCTGTTCCTCTTCCTGCTTTTGCTGTTCCTCAGCCTGCTTCTGCTCCTCCTGCTGTTGCTGCTCACCACCCTCCTGCTTACCCTCGCCCCTCTGCTCATCCATTCTTTGCATCTCCAGCGCGGCAATCTGCTCATTAAGTGCCATATCCTGCGCATCGTTGTCGGCCCTCTGCAAGTCCTCAAGAGCGCCTTGCCAGATGGAGCCCAGAGTCGCAGCGGGATCCTGAGCAACTTCCGTCCAAGTCGGCCTTTCGCCAAAGAGCTGGATGCCAGCGGTCTTGGTGGGCAGCGCGGCGTTGAGCTGGAGACCAGCAGTCGCGCCGGCAATGCCGCCTTCGCGGCCAATGTTGCGGAAGGCATCGCCGCCGAGGATATCCTGGGCAACGAGCTTGCGCTCGTCAAAGACCATGACGGTTTGGGTTTCGCGTGCGCCACGGTTAGCGACGACGGCGGATTGGGCGAAGATATCTTGTTGGAAGACATTGCCGCGGCCGTCGTCGATGGCGACTTGGATCTCCTGGACGACGAGCATGACGGTGCTGACGTCTTGGAATCGGTTCTGGAAGTTGGACTTGCGGAACAGGTTGTTCAGGTCGTTGTTGAAGCCGTTGTTGACTTGGTCGACCACGAGGACTTCTTGGACCTGCTGGACGACTGCCTGTTGGCGGCCGTTGTCGAAGATCTGGAGATTGTTCTGCTGGATCTGGATGACTTGTTGTTGCTGGTTGAAGTTGTTGAAGCCGTCAATGAAGTTGAAGCCGTCGCCACGGTTGCCGTTGATGACCGAGTTAAAGTCCAGGTCGCCAAACTGAGGCTCACGCTTGCTGAAGCCAGGAGCGGTCCTGGGGGCATTGATGGGCTTTGCGCCGGCGAGACCGGCGGCGACCGCAAGGGTTGCGAGAATGGTAAAAGACATCCTGATACGGTATGTGGGTGTAGGTCTGGTAGGGACTGGAAGGCGTATGACCGGATTAGACTAGCTAAATTAAACGTCACAGACGTATTAAAGATTCAAAGAATGTGCGGAGCAGACTATCAAAGTCGCTGTTAGAATCGAATGGTATTAAAGAAGGGACGGTGGAGAGAGTGGATGATGGGGATGATTGTGGTGCTACACACCATCAGTTTATATTCCAATCCAAACCTTCATGCTCCCATCGATGTCCAGTGTGGTAAGTCGGTAGTTACCCCTGTTCCCGCTCTCTCTTGTTAGGCGACTGTTTGATAGCGTGTCACTCTCGCCGGCGATGAGGCACCCGCAGACGCCAAGAAGATAGAAAGTGCCTTGTGTGGTCAGGCCAGTGCCAAGAGGTGCTTGATCGTGTGTACCTCGAGATCTGAGGCAACTTGCAGAGCCTGAGGACAGCGGATTGGTTCTATCCGTGACTCATGCTGAGCTGATGGTCGCGCCCGAGGACATTGGGTGCACATCATTGACCAGGTTGTGTGTTTGAGACGTTGCGGATCGCATATCAGAGTAGTAAATGTGGCTGATATATGCATTTGGATATTCGTAGCCTTGACTGGTGTATATACCAGTTGAGAGTATCTTGTGCCATTTTCGTCCATTTCTTTCCAGTTCATAATCAGCAAGACACTCATCAGAGACCTACCAGCCCCTCGCGGCGGCCAATCCGGCTCATGAGGGATAAGCATATTGTCCTGCCATCCTCACCCATTCCCACTCATCTAGCAGCAGTTATTTTCCGCCCGGCGTTCAAAAAATCCGTACCTGCCAAGTGCGAATATTTGCACCCAGATCGGTTGCCAAGAATGCTTGACACCTCCGCTTTGCAGTCTGAGGCCCAAATAGTATCCTCAGGTTGGACGGGTGTCGAGTATCCGAGCGAGAATGAACATGGAAATGGCGGCCTGGCGTGTTGATCATGCCTGACTGAACAGTAGTACATGGTCCCTCATGGAGCCTTCCGAAATTTGATGGACAGTTTGAGACGTTGTGGGTCGTGAGTGTGGCGCGCGAGTGGGCAGGGATAAACGGTGGTGCGATGTGTCTAGAGTAGAGCAGAAACGAGTAACTACTTACAGTGCTACATGTGGCGTAGCGTACTCTCAATTGTATCTTCTCTCCAAATGACCAACTCTTGCTTCCGAACCCGCTGAAGACCTGTCAGCGTATTCGAAAATGCTGCTGCTGTCCTCTCTCCCCGCCTTTGCGAATCCTCGCAGACCTGTAGCCACATCAGCATACTAACTATTTGAGCACGACTCACGATCCGATCCATCGCCCATAACCAGTTGGTTACACAGGAATTTGCAATACTGCCCACCATCCGTCAGTGGCATGCGTCCGTGTCTCGTGTCCAGATGTTCACGATGTGCGTTCTGAAGTTGAGCGGGTGAGACGTCAATGAAACCGTGCACGCGTGGGAACCGAACCATCTAGCGAGCACGACAGTCACAGACCATGCCGTATATGCGCTGGAGAGTATACGTCGTATATAGCACGCTGCACTTATGCACCAAGGGCATGACATTGTTCTCGGATCGTGTTTGTTCCTGAGGCACACGCATGAAGAGACGACAGTGTTTGCGCTTGACACGCTGCAGTGTTATACTGCGGCATGAGAAAACGAATGCGAGTTTGGATACAATTCACGAATCGGTTGAACAAGGCACAGAATATTGCTTCAGTTAAGTAGCTAAGAACGAGTTGATATGACGCCTTCGAACATCCTGTTTCCACACGCTGCGTGCGCCTGCCCAGACAAGATCTTACAATGGCACACTCGCCTCCACCGGAACGCCTGAAAATGCCATCATGTTGTTGACAGATGTCCACTGCCAAGGGGTCAAATGTACAAATACTCCGCTCGGAACTAGCATCACACACTCACCCAGGATGTGATATCCTCCTATTCCTCATCCGAGTCGGTATCGGTATCGGTCTCACTCTCCGAGTCGACGTCACCTTCCGTGTCACTTCCACTAGAGTCATCATTTATTTGTCTCCGCTTCTTGGAAGGTGCAGCACCAGTCTTTAGGGAGCGCATTTGCCCAGCAAGAGATTCTGGAAATAAGTTAGTCATTTAACGTCGTCAATAGTACTGGTTGATATCACATACCCTCGTCTGGCTCGCTAATCTCCTCCTCTTCATCGACCTCTTCCGCTTTGCTGGCGTCTTCAACAACCAAGGTAACTTCCATCTTTGTGTCCATACCAACATAACTGTCACAGATGACGTGCATGACGAATGTGTAGCTTCCGGCTTGAGGTGGAGCACCGAATTGCATCTTCAAAGTCTGTACATTGTATGTAGGGTTACCACTCTCATCAAAGATGGGCTTGTCGAATGTGGAAAATGTAAATGGTGGAACTGCGATACGGCCCTGCTTGCTGTCGGCGAGGAAAATGTGCCATCTAGGTGCATGATCCCTTGCGAAGTAGGGCGCGTGCGCTAGAGGCGGTTGGATAGGCTTTTCATCTGAGCGGTCGTTTTTGCGTCCTGTAATGGCTGCAACATCGCCTTCATCCGGATCAATGTCAAGTAAGTCCTTGGGGTTGACTTCGGGAACGTTGGTGGCCTCCGAAGGTATAAATCGGCCCTTGAGTACGAATTGCACCAAGCTGCTCGGTGTGACGAAGCGTTCACCAACAACCTTGAAGAATGCTTTCTCGACGTGGAGAATAGGGATACGAGAAGCTACAGACATTGCTGTTGCATATTGCTCTTGTGTGAGGAGACCGGGAGCGACTACACGCGCTTTGCGTTGCGCATCGGGAATGCGCATAAAATCCTGGATGGTCATGTGAAGTCTTGATCGCTCAGCTTCGGCGGCCTTGGCGACTGGCGCAGTGAAATATGGTAATTGCTCCAAAGGCGATGCGTCTGGCCTTAGAGCCTGAATCAGGTTCTGAGAGGTACGATAGGCAGAAAGGACACCACGGGTGCTACCGTATGCGAGCGCGATCGCCGTATAAGCTTCGTTGAGACGGAGAGCAACAGGCGCGACCTCGAACTTTTCGTCGTTCAGGGTATTATCTTCAAGCTCAATTCGACCGAGGTACGCCCATAATAATGTCATGACTTTGCGCCTTCGGCTGTCATCTAGATCGTCGAGTTTCTGGCGGTCCTTCTTTGAAAGTGTCTGCGAGACGACACTTGAGGCATCGGAGAGGACTTTTTGTTCCAGTTTCGAAAGGCCCTGATCGGCTTTGTTACCAGCGAGTACCTCGTGGAATTCTTCTCCGGTGCTCAATGCAGCGATAACGCCGGCTTCGCCCTGCTCATTGTCGTATTCACGGAAAATTTTGCCAGCGCTAGCCACAAGGACCTTCTCCTTGGTTAGCCGTTGGGTACCATACCACCACTTTCCAACTGTGTACGGCAAGATGACACCAAGGGCTAGTGCGTAGATGAGCAGAACGTATTTACCAGCGCCTTTGGTCACAATCCACTTCGGTAGCGCGATTCCAATGCTGAAGCTTTGTTTGCCGTCCGGGTGGCCGTACTGAAGGAAGTTGTTGCGGACCTCCTCGTCTGTAAGAGCTTTGAACGCCTTGGTGACGTCTACCCAGTGATCGTTGATGGATTGAATTGTAATGTTCTTCGAACTGTCCTCGCGGGCTTTGTCAGGATGCAGTGACAGGGAGAGTCTTCGGTAATGCCTCTTGATCTCCTTCTCATCTGCGGACTGCGGGTGCGGTTAGCAAACATTCTGACGACCCTAACTACAAGAGCGTACGTACCCTAGAAACTCCCAATACATCATATGGGTCCCAAATCTTCGTTACTGTGCGGGCAGTGACGATGATCAGGTACACCATCATGGCAATCATTGCCCATCCTAGGACCATAAGAATCCCCCGTTTGATCCGGCGTTCGGCCCGCTTCTGCTTCTTGCGTTGTCCTTGGATAAGGTCGGCATGTTCGGGCTTGAAATCTGAGTCTATACGCGTTCCCGTGTTCTCGAGCTCTATGTGGTGATTAGCTGACTTTGTCGGCTGGCGTGAATGGTGGGGCGCGCGCACCTTTACTCGGCCTTAGAAACGAGATGGTTGTCGGCACAGTCACCAGCGTTGTGATTGTGAGGATGAAGTAAGGGAAAAATTGTCCCTGTTCATCGTAGGTGTAGTCGGTTCCAGACATCTTGAATGTCTATCCCTATGACGAGGGGATGCGAAGTGTAGTGAATGACAATAAGAAAATTGGAGTACTCGCAGGCCCAAATGCAGTGGTGTGTGTAGGTGACTTGTTTTAGGTCTGGGACATCCTGTGAGAGAAGGGTGGGCGGGCGCTGGCTCTAAGAAAAGGCGTGGACAATAAACCGTTCCGACCACTGTGTTCTTTCGCGACCTGAGAGTGGCAGCCAGCAGATGAGTGGCTAGTGCTTGCTTGGCGGATCATCACGTGGCTGTGCGATAGACTTCAATGTTGAATGTTGGGTCCACGGAATTACCTTTTCGGAACACGTTCGCAATTCATAATATGTATTTGGAAGATACCTACTGTGTATACCGTGGCGCATGGTCTAGACATCACAACCCGTGAATCAACCTTGCCGAATGAACCCAAGCCGATAATCATACAAACAACCTCCCGCCCCCTCCCACGATAGTATATGATGAGATGAAATGTTCGTCCAGAAAAATAAAATATTGGATAGTGTTTGCCACCTTGAATGACGTGTATACTGGTAATTTAGGTACATGCGTCCCCTCGCTCACTATGCAAAGAACATGGAACCACGAGAAAAATGGCTCAATCAGTGCGCTGAGAAATCGCCATTTGCGCTCAAGATCTGTAGTATACAGGGACAGGGCAACGTCCCGCTCCCCACACCCTCCTCCTCAACGGGCGGTCGCGCGACCATGCGGAGCCCAAAGTTCGATTCAGGGTTGATAAAGTCCAGTGCCCCCTTTGACACATGGGACCTGCCCTTGATTCTTTCGATACTGCTACCTGCGTGGTGAAAGCGGAGTACTGGAACGGCTGCTGTTGCTGTGTCCGTCCTCGGCTGCCTAGAGGGGGGCGGGCGGTTGAGTGACAATTAGCTACGAAGATGACCGCACGCGCTACGCCGCTGGCACTGCTGTCTCTAAGCCGGGCGTACCAGCGGGTGCTGGACTCTGAACGGCGTCCAAGGGTGCAGCGTGCAGGGCGGGTTTCTCCGCTTTCTTCATCTGACCCCGTCTTTTCTTCTCAATAGCGCCCTTGACCCAATTTGCAACTTCCTCATCATAAACCACGTCAACTGGTACCGGTAGCCCCGTGTCGCCAGCTGCGACACCCGCAACTGCGTCCTGTGCAGCTTCGACCTCGTCTTCCTCCTCTTCTGTGATGGTTTCGGGCTTGGCCAGAGGTGCGAGCCATGCGTGTTGTAGGAGCATGGCGTACGTTGGCCGCAGGTTCGGGATCTTGTTCAAACAGCCACGGACGAAATTGCGTGCGGCTTCTGAGTACCCCTCGGCAGGCAGATCTGGAGGCTCGCCATCAACAATGGCCTAAAATTGTTAGTAATGGCTGATACAAGTTTGGTGCCACACTTACACTGAGCTGACTGAAGATGTTGTTGTAGGTGTCAGGTGGGTATGGATATCTACCCAGTGCACACTCGATGATGGTGAGACCCAAACTCCAAATATCGCTTTGTACACTGTATGTGCCACCTCCTGGGTTGGCACCTGCCTGAGCAATCCCGCCAGAAGATATTCTCTCTGGAGCCATGTAGCTCTGGCATCCAATATTCGTCTTGGCTATACTGGCCACTAGGTTTCCACTGACACCAAAATCGCATATCTTGATCTGCCCCTTGGTGTTCATCAGAATATTGGTGGGCTTCACGTCGCGATGAATAATGTTGTGTTCGTCTTTGAGCGACTTCAGTCCCTGTGTCGTGGCCAAGGTAATCTTGCGAAGTACGCCCTCTGGAACACCGTCGCCATAGAGCTTGTCTATAGAGCCTCCATCCATGAACTCCATGCAGATGTACACAGCACCTTCCTGGAAGAAGGCACCATAGAAATCGACGATGTATGGCGAAACACAACGGTGAAGAACGTCCAATTCCATGATGATAGCAGCAAACTTCGAATCGTCTAGCTCGAGTCGAACTTCCTTCATCGCCATGACGATACCCGTTCCGTCGACAGGCTTGGTGCTGATGGGGCTGGCCTCGTCGTCGAAGCCCTTCTGAGAAGGAGAGCCTGGCGCAGCCTTGTTGCCAGCTAAGCCTTGGCCTGGCCTCCGCATCCGAGGCCTGCTGTGCCTGACTTTGTATACTGTGCCATAGTTGCCCTTGCCCAGCTCGTCCAACGTGTCGACTTCGTCCAGTGATATGTTGAACGTGGTACCGCCTTCGAATTGGACGCCATCAGAGTTGAGTATAGCCTTGCCCTTGAATCTCAAAGTACCTGTTTCCTTGTCTATGATGTCGGAATATTTGTCCATCAAGCTTTCTTGTTTGCGTGGCGGGGCGGCTTGGTCATCAGCGCCTGCATTCATTTGAGAGAGTGTAAAATTTGGCTTCTTTCTAGGAGCAGGGCCATTGCCCGGTGCTCCTCCTGCAGTGGGCAATCCACCAGGCAGCTTCATAGCGGCGCGTCGTGCTGCTAAACCAGGAGGACCCGCGGGCGTGCGGCCAGGTACGGCGGGGGCCGACTGGAAGGACGGCATGGCTGGCTTGGGAGGCACACGAAAGTTGACGGGCACTCCGCCGGGGTTGCCTGCCATGGGACCACCGGGCGACATGGGCGAACGGGAGTCTGCAGAGGGACCTGGGCTTTGGGGCACAGGACCTCTCCCAGGCAGGCCCGTGGGTGGTGCGCCTTTGCGACCAATGTGGACTGCTTGTATTCTCGCGAGAATATCCTGAGATACATTGAGTCCACTGCCTCGGCTGGAAATGGTAGAGGTGTTGGGCGGGCGCCGTGCAGCGTTGATGTTGCCAAGCGGTGTCGAGGATGGCGTCATGCCTGTGGTCGGGCTCGTGGTGACGGCGGAGCGGGCTGGGGGGCGGTCGGCGGGCTTGGGGACGGAAGAGGCATTGGCGGCAGGGCTCGAGTGGTCGAGGGGAGAGGGAGAAGAGGGGCTACCAAAGGGAGAGTCGTCGTCGTAGTCGGCGTCTGGAGTGGAGAGAGGAGAGGTCATTGTGGTGGAAGAAGTGGTCGAGAATGGGCAGCCTGCGGTATGGCGGGGTCCTCCTGTACTCCTCCGGGGAGGGGGTGGGGCAGCGACGAGGAGGCAACCGTCTTTGGGTAGTAGTAATAGCAGCAGCAACAGGAGCAGCAGTAGGAGCAAAAGAGAGCGGACGGATTGGGATCGAGATCTGATGCTGCGACCACACGGCGGAAAGACTACTACTGGAGGGCTTCAGGCGACGATCTCAGCGGATCTGGCAAAGTGGGACAAGAGAGAGATAGAGAGGGAGAGAGAGAGAGAGAGAGAGAGAGAGAGAGTGTGTGTGTGTGTGTGTGAGGTCGAGGTGCAGCGTCGTTGTGGGCAGTGGCGCATGAGTTTCCAGTGACGTGAGTGCGCGTATGTGAGCAGCTCTGCCTAGTAGCTACTCCTCTCCTCTACTCTGTGGGCGAGACAAGCTCCAATCGTGATTTCACCACTTATCTCTAGGATGCGCCCGAGCGTGCAGTGGGCATGACAGTGAGTGGCCGTACCGGGAAAAAAAAAGAGGCAGGGCAGGGTTGACTAGTACCCAGAGTAGTACCGTAGCGATATCACGACACTGGAACTGGGACTGCAAATTGCAAGCCAACCAACCAATGTCGACGGCCGAGCGTGTATGTAAGGTGGTGCTACTGATGAGTATGTAGAGTACCTACAGTACTGGTACCAGTGAGTGTGCTTCTTGCTCGGCGCAGGCATGGGAACAAGCCTCCACCTGGGCAGGCTCTTCTTTGCTGGCTGGCCTCGTAGTGCACACAAGCACACAAGCACACAAGCACACACCCACACCCACACACATACAGTGGCAGGTCACTGCCAAGCAGAACCGGTCCCTTCAGCTTCAGGCCAACCTGAGCTCCCTCCGGTACAGCAGTGCAGTGAAGCGAGCAGTGAAGCGAGACATGGCGTCAAAGATCAGGATCAAGATCAGGATTTTGTGTGCCCCTGGTGGGAGACACCACTCTACACACTTGTCATTTCAGGTCAGCACGCCCAGCAAGCAACGCCAGCACACGCCCGCACGCACCCGCACGCGCAGCAACCCATTTCGCCACATGTTGGCTCCAGCGCGGCATTCCCGCCAGCGTTGCCAACCAAAAGGTTCGTCGCGACGCCCGGCCGAGGCTGCAGGGGAATTGTCGAGACGAAACAGGTGCCAACGACCGCGTCGTCGCCGCGAAGACCATGTCGTGTCCACGCTGTCTCCCAGGTCCAGGTGAAGGCTAGGTAGCTACTACTACTACTACTACTACTACTACTACTACTACTACTCTACTACTCCTACTCACCATAGTCGCACTCTACTACTCTAGGTCTAGGGCTTCCAAGGCTGACCAGGCAGCCCGTGATGCGCCGCCATTCACAATCTGTCCCTTGGCTGCGTGCTGTCTACATGCAGTGCTACTAGTGAACTTCGTACCTAGTTGGTTGAAATGAAATTCTGTCCATGGCCTGCGTGCGCTGTTGCTCAGTAGACGCCCGCCATACAATTACTACTCCGCAGATACAATCAATAGCTTTCTCAAAAAGAAATCCCACTCCGCCCGCAATGGCCGCCTGCACTGCCACCACCACTGCCTCCCATGCCCACGCGGCGCTGCTCTAACTTTCTTTCCCATCTCACCATCTTCCCAACCCTGCCCTCCGTCGCGCTTGCCAGCTTGCCAGCTTGCAGCTTGCCGCAGCCGCCTCGCAGTGACGTCGCCATACTACTACTCCTACAACCCCTTCTGAAACAACACGCCCGACGCTTCACAGCAACCCTGTTGTGTTTCTTCATCCGTCGCGCTTTTTCTTACCCTCCGCCGCCGCCGCCGTTCAAGCATGCCCTTCTTCACCGCGCCGCAGGCTCTGCGCCTGCGCAACCTCCAGCCCACTGCCTCCGATTTTGTCACCATGGCATCGCGATCCTACAACCACGCTGACAATGGAGGCTTTGTGCACGTCTTCAAAAACAAGCACACCTCGCATCCTGACTTTGCCAATCTTACCCTGCTGGTATTCGAGGCTGTCATGGAAGTCGTCTGCGTCAGTCTGCCTGGCTACGTGGTGGCAAGAATGGGCCAGTTCGATGCAGAGAACCAAAAGTTTCTGGCCAATTTGAACACACAGCTCTTTACCCCATGTCTTAGTGAGTTCCCCAAGAAAACGGCGCACGGGGAGCCATGGCTGACCTGGTCCCTAGTCTTCACAAAGCTGGCCTCGCAATTGACGGCAGAAAAGCTGGCTGACCTAGCTGTCATTCCCGTCATCTTCATCGTGCAGACGCTCATCTCCTACTGCGCAGCGCTGATTGTATCCCGTCTTTTTGGCTTCAAGAAGCGCGCATCCAACTTCGTGGTCGCCATGGCGGTACGACATACGAGTCGCACACGGCATTGCGACAACAGCTGACTTTGTGTAGGTATTCGGAAACTCAAATTCACTTCCCATCTCTCTCGTCATCTCGCTCTCAAAAACACTCTCCGGTCTGCACTGGGATAAAGTCCCCGGTGACAATGACAGCGAAGTCGGCGCACGCGGTATTCTCTACCTCTTGATCTTCCAACAACTCGGCCAGTTGGTCAGGTGGACCTGGGGCTTCAATGTGCTTTTGGCGCCTGCAGACACGTATAGGGAAGAGGATGGCGGCAAGAACAGGGCACTGGAGAGCGGCGAATACAACGAGGAAGAGGTCCAGCACCTGCTACTGGATGATTCACATTCCGACTACGAATCAGGCAATGTCACAAGCTACGCTACCTCTGCAGACTCGAGTGAATCTAGTTCGCTTTTTGATCGCGAGGACGCTCAGGCCACGACCGATTTTATTACACCAACCAATGGCAATGCTCTCATACGAAGAACAGGCGACATGAACCCAGAGACCAATGGCAGCCTTGCGAATGGAGCTCTGAAGGGTGCCCTGGAAGCACACCAGAATAAACAGATACCCAAGGGTATCAAAGGATGGCCAGTACGAACCAAGCTGGCGCTCGGAAATGCCACCAAGACCGTCTCGCGTAGCTGTTCTCGTGCTGGTAATCGCGTTTTCCAGGCATTACCTACGTGGATGCAAAAGGTCCTGGCTCGGATCGGTGCAGCCATGTTCCGATTCTTCAAAGGCGTCTGGGCCTTTATGAACCCCCCGCTATGGGCCATGCTGATGGCTATCATTGTGGCGTCGGTTCCTGCGCTGCAACATTTGTTCTTCGATCCAGGCACTTTTGTGAGTAACTCGGTCACCCGTGCTGTGGCGCAAAGCGGGCAGGTCGCCGTCCCGCTCATTTTGGTAGTCCTGGGAGCCAATCTTGCCCGCAATACTCTGCCAAAGGAAGATCAGCATTCCATGGAGGATCCCAAAGTGGAGAAGAAGCTTGTCATTGCTTCGCTCATCAGCCGCATGCTTATCCCCACCCTTCTGATGGCCCCTTTGCTGGCCTTGACTGCCAAGTATGTTCCAGTCAGTATTCTGGACGATCCCATCTTCATCATCGTTTGCTTCCTCCTCAGTGGCGCTCCAACGGCGCTCCAGCTGGCTCAGATTTGCCAGATCAACAATGTGTACATGGGTGCCATGTCCAAGATCTTGTTCCAGAGTTACGTTGTATGGATCCTGCCGTCAACATTGCTGTTGGTCATGCTTGCATTGGAGACTGTGGAATGGGCACAATGAAGGTTGGGTCTCATTTGAACGGAGATTATGGGTGGGGCTCGGGTAGACGCATCACTTTGGGCAAATGGAACTGAGTAAAGGCCATTCGGGTATGCTTCAGGTCTTAGTATCACAGCGAGGTGTTGGGGCGTTTTGTTGAGACTGCGTTTGTACTTGTTCTTCTCCCTGTAGCCAACAAATGGTTGGTAACGTGACTACAAAGTATAAGTACCTACTGTAACACCAGGACCAGGCACTAGTATTGCACGTGTAACAAATGCCCAGCTCGGTGCTTTTACAGGTTTTCTTTGCTTGCCGCCGTCACACCTGGGCAGGCTCTGACGTACGCTGCCAAGGGCAGATGTGAGCGACACAACAAACCCGACCACAATCGAGCACCCCGCTTGCCCAACAAGTGTCCATGGCACCAAGACTGTAGAAAGGCCGGCCTTCTGCCCCTCCTTCACCACGACGAAGAAAAAAACAATTTCACTTCACCTCGACTCGAGCAGACAGAATCCAGTGGTTGACTTGCCCCTCCAATCGTCTTGGCACGTGTCCCCCTCTACTCTAGCTTCTGCCCACCTTTTAGTGTACCCTGATCAACAGCCTGCCGCCCACACGAAACATTGCTACCTTATCCTTGAACGCGGCTATTCCCAGTCTCAGGTTTCAAACTGTTCGTCGAAACCCCAAGGGCCTGGACTACTTGCTACCTTACCGCAGCGAGAGCTTGCTTACTCTGCGCAACACCATTCTCTCGGTGTTTGGTCAGGGATCATGGCTTCAACCAATTGGCACGCAGAGAAGCCCGATGGCCTGAACCAAAGCTCCTCCTCCACGCGCGAACATGCTGCAGGTGAGAGCACGTCACCGCAGTCATCTGTCAAAGGTTCGTCTATCTTCTCTAGTCTGTCTTCCACATTGGTGGCCTGGCCACTACATCCCAAATTTGTCCCCAAAGTGGCCATTATGCTTCGGAGTAGGTGGCAGTCAGACAGAGCTCAGCTTCCAGATGCCCTTGAGCAAGCCACTTACTTCAACCGAGGTATGGTATGGTTGGTTTCGAGGTCACCCTGGAGTTGAGTGGCAGGTCTATGAGGCAGTCAGTTGTCGGACCATGTTTGCTGGGCACGTGTAGACAAGCACTAAAAACCTGACCACTTCATGATCTTGGCATACTACACTGCTTATACCTACTCTCCAGTCGTTTCTTTTCCCGATGAAAGCATCTCACCCTTGATGATAGCCAAGAACAAAGATCTGGAGCAAAAAGACTACTTGGACCTCGACAAGACTACCAGACAGTACAGTGCAAGTGTGAGCCGGAAGCGGCTATCTGGGAGACCATCTGTTGAACGTTTGGGCTCTTTCAAGCCACAAAACTCTGATGGAAACCCGTCCCTCAATTCTCTGTTGTCCAACAGCTCGACGGAGAATCTCTCTGATAGCCATCATGTACATGACAACCTCCTGAAGCAAGTTGGCACATGGCTCAAACAGGAGCGCCAGAGGCGACATGCTAGGAGAGCGAAGAGAAAGGCACAAAAAGAAGTCTCACGTGAAATGGAGTCGGCAGTTGGCACTGAAGCTCAGCGAGGACGGACTAGTTCCGAGTCCTCCCAAGAAGGTTCAGTAGCACTGGATCAGTTGGCGCAGATTTTGGAGAAGACTCTATCTATCAAGCCTGCCGAAGCCAGGAAGCGCTCTCAGCATATTCGCAGGCTGTCCACGGGTCTGAAGCGGCACTCTGCCATCTCAAATGAGTCGGATTACTTCGACTCGGTCGACCAACTCGTGCCTGGCTGTGATGCTATCCTGGACAATTCGAAGACCATGGCCTACAATGTAGACGAACCATCAGCCGAGCCTCAAACGGCAGCCTCTGAGAAGCAGGCGCGTAAAGAGAGGAAGGCATGGACCGACTTTCGATACGAGATTCTTCGTCTCATACATACTCTGAAGCTGAAAGGATGGCGCAAGGTTGCCATGGAGCAGAGCAACGAGATCCATGTGCAGAGACTGAGTGGTGCACTGACTAATGCCGTGTACGTTGTCTCGCCGCCTAAAAACCTTCGATATCAGGAGGAGCGCAACGATGGCACTCCGAAGCCAAGAAACCCACCTCCGTAAGTTACGAGTCCCTATCCGAAGACCGTCTCTAATATGTCGCAGTAAGCTGTTGCTGCGTGTTTACGGTTTGCAGGCGGACCATTTGATTGACCGCGAATCTGAACTGCAAATCCTGACACGACTTGCACGCAAGCGTATTGGCCCGCGTCTACTTGGCACATTCAAGAATGGACGTTTTGAAGAATTCTTAAATGCGAAGCCACTCACCGCCAAGGAGCTGCGCAATATGGAGACCTCAGTACAAATCGCCAAGCGTATGCGAGAACTTCACGAAGGCATTGACCTTCTGAAGGATGAGCGCGAAGCTGGACCATTCGTCTGGCAGAACTGGGACAAGTGGGTCGAACGCTGTGAGCAGGTGGTCACTTGGCTGGATCAACAAGTTCGCGAGAGCAGACAGAATGCAGATCAGTCGTCTGTAGACAAGTGGAAACAGCGAGGCTTTGTTTGCGGTATGGAGTGGCCAGTGTTCCGACAGACTGTAGAGAAATATAGAAGATGGTTGGAAGAACAGTACGGAGGACTTGATAAGATCAACGAACGCATGGTCTTCTCCCATAACGACGTAAGATTACAACTACACGAACGTGTGCGTGGCCCAGCAGCTGACAGGATCATGCTATAGACGCAATACGGAAACATTCTCCGAATGATGCCAGAAGGCGAATCACCCCTTTTACTTCCAGCAAACCAGCACAAGCAGCTTGTGGTAATCGACTTTGAATACGCAAACGCCAATCTTCCCGGGCTGGAGTTTGCAAACCATTTCGTAAGCTACCATCTCCTGCAATAGGCTAAATCGCTTTGGCCAGGATTAAAATTCGAGTGTTTGTTCGACACCGCTAACAGGTGCAGTCCGAATGGACATACAATTACCACGATGCGGAGGCTCCTTGGAGATGCAACGAAAAGTACTACCCGACCATAGAAGAGCAGTACCGCTTCATTCGCGCGTACCTCACTCACACACCTTCGCACAAGGCAGCCGGCGGATATGCGTCCAATCCAGCGACCCCTCGTCTTGGACCTCTGCCATCCTCTGGCAGTACAACGGCGTTAGCTGCTACGGCCACCCCTACCTCCATCTCAGCATTCATGCTTGACTCCCGCGCCCCACCTGGCGAAAAGTATACGGAGCAGGAAGCCATCGCCGAACGACAGACCGAGGAAGAAGTACGCCGTCTACTGGCCGAGACGAAACTGTGGCGCCTCGCCAACTCGGCCATGTGGGTAGCCTGGGGCATCGTACAAGCACATATCCCCGGCATGCCCGATTTTGAGGCCCAGGAAAAGGAGGCAGCACGGAACATGGACGCCAATGCCGCGATGCTTGACGGCGCAACAGCAGAGATGAAAGCGGTGGCAGAGGTGGAAGAGAACGAACAGGCCGGCATCGTGAGTTCAGAAAAGGCGGAAGCAGATGTCGATGCATGTGAACAAGCGGACCAGGATGCTAATCTATTCAAGAAACAGGATGAAGAAGAATTCGACTATCTATCATACGCTAACGACAGGGCTCTCTTTGTTTGGGGCGATGCCATTCGCATGGGTATCGTCAAGGCGGACGAGTTACCCGAGGAACTGCGGCAGAGAGTGAAGATTGTCGAGTATTAGATGTGGGCGAACATATTGGGTTGGGGTGTTGGCGAGAGTGAGGAAACCGATTGGGCAACGTGCAAAACGGACATGCGTATAACCACGAAGCCTCTGTCCTAAGATTATTCGTCTGCGAGGGGAGGTCTGAGGGGCCTGCACCTTTGCACCATGTACATGGGCTATCCAGATACAAGACGCAGACTCTCGACACACTCAGTCTAGAGCCCAGTAGCTTATCCTATAGAAATCAGAGATTCTAGCTCCTAGGAGTATCAAATGGCCACCACCGTACACCCAACCCTCACACATCATCTCGGCACGTAGATGTACCGCAACTTGCACTGGTCAAGCCTATCCCATCCGCAACCTTGCACCGCTTGTACACCTACTTTGCCTCTTTTCCCGAACTACCCACGTACCACTGGCTGCACACGGCCCGTATGCTACACCTCGTGCGCGCCGTTGATTGGGCCGGTTTGGGGATCTGGGGGTTTAAGCGAGAAAAGGAAAGGAACGGGGCTAATTAGCAGACTTTGTTTTTTGGGTTTTTGGCATGCTGGGGTTTGGGGGGCGGTTAGGAAGGTGGCTAGATGGGTGGATGAGTGGCTTGGTGGCTAGGTGGGCTATATTAAGGGTCATTGTGGGGGGGGGGTTGTGGGTCGCAAATGGGGTGGGTACACGGGTACATGGTGGGTGGGTATGTTACTATACTCTACTCCACCTCATGTATACTATACAGCACATACATGTGGTGCTTGGAGTATAGGCGACGCGATGTATATCCGACCTGCTACATGTGTGTTAGCCGTCTCCCCCCCCCCCCCCTTCCCGCCGCGGGTACGGAAATCAGGTTCTGGAATGCCGTTGTACCTTGTTTTTTTTTCCTAGGGGCCAGCTGCAGTGGAGTTGTTTGTTTTCTTGTTTTGGCAGACGGGGGCTGGGTTTGATGGGGGTGAGGGAGGGAGGTGGTTGGTGGAGATGGGGTGGGCGGCTCTGCGGGATGGGTGGGAATTGGAAGGGGAGGGGAAGTGTTGTGTGAGGGGTCTTGGGGGACTGGTGTGTCGTGTGCCGTGTGCCGTTGTTTTCTGGGGGGGTTGGTGGGTGGATGGCTATGGTCGAGTTATAGAGAATGGAGAGTACGGTATGCTGTGAGGGGCATGGACGGTTGACAGATGATGATGGGAGCAAGAGGTGGATGGGAAGAGGGTGGATTGCTCATCCTATATGCTGATCAGCTGTGAATCATCTACAGAAATGATCATCATGCTGAGCCTCGCAAATCTGCATCTTGCATCAGCATCTCCCATCATCTCCCAGCATCTCCCATCATCTCCCATCATCATCATGAACCCAGTATCTACTACCCCTTCCCCCCCCCCCCCCCCTAGTCCATGAACTCCCTCCCTCAAAAATAAACAATCCAGAACCTCGACCCATCTCCCGCACACGAACCCCCCATCCACCCAAAGCGCCAAAACACCCCCGGAATCTCCAAGCGTTACATACTCCCCCTCCCCCTGCCGGCGGCTCGGCAGATTGGCGAACCACAGCACCCAGACCAGCATTGCACTCTCGACCGCCAATCAAGCCCCCGCCGGCTATATTTGGGGTCATTTCCAGCTCCCGTTGGAGACTGGCGCGAGATGCGAGTGGAGCTGTCGGTTGGACGCAAAAGTCTATTGTCGGTGGGACAGGCGGCAACGGGTTGACAGGGTGAGGTGCGGGTACACGATGGCGGTGGGTGGTCCAGGGTGCAGGATTGCTACGCGCCTGGTCTACCGTCGGGTTGTGGGTTGGTAGATTGGTAGGCTGCTAAGGTTGGTAGGTTGGTTGGTAGACAAGTAGGTCGTGACTTGTATATAGCATGGGCGAGGCCGATGGAGACATTCATTCAGTACATCTCCTTCTCCTCCGCCCTCCCCTACGCCTCGACCTCTCGCAAAAGTTCTCTCTAGTCCTGCCCTTCATCTCCTCTCCTCTGTTCTTTGCGATTCTTGGGTTACTGGCTTTTCCTGAAAGTAATATTACGCCTGGGTTTTTTTGGTTCTCTCTCGTCAGGGTTGTTCATTTTTGGAGTGTCTCTCTCTACCTGCCGCTCTTTTGCATGGTTATAGTACGCCTCTGAAATCATTCCGCCCGTTTCTATTACCAGGAAAATCTCACGGCATCTCACGGCTTGCATTTGGAGACGAGGCTGGCCTTGCTTTCTATTTTGAGAATACAAAGAGTGTCCAATTATTGTAGAGGCTTCATATAACAAGACATCCATCACCGTCTTGTCGGAACAGGATCGCCATCACACAACATATACGAACCTGGCCTGCTCTTTATTCCCCCACCCTATCAAAATACACGGCGATATACAAACCTGCAACACCATGCTCTTCACTACCTCGACCCTCAGCCTCGTCTTGGCTTTGGCCCCGACCACGCTCTTCGCAGCTCCCACCCGCACAACCGAGCTCATCGACTCAATAGCCAACATCTTCCCCCGCCAAAACATACCCGCTGGAATCCTCTCCCAACTCGCACAAACAAACTCCCTCTGTGATCTCTCCAACATCGTTCTCCCAATCGGTACGTTCCCACTTTCACTCCCCCCCCCCCAACAAAAAGAACCACAACAAACTAATCCCCCCACAGCCCCCACCCCCCTCGCCCCCATCACCCCCGGCCTCACACTCCGCCACATCGCCATCGGCCGGGGCACACAAAACTACACCTGCACCTCCTCCTCCGCCCTCGACACCCCCAAACCCACCGGCGCAATCGCCACCCTCTTCAACGCCACCTGCGACGCCGCCCGCCTCCCCACCAACGTCCTCGCCGACATCACCAAACTCGCACTCAACTACGCCATCCCCTCCGCCACCGGCGCCCAGCAACGCGTGAGCGGCCACCACGAATTCACCGCCGCTGGCGTCCCGCTGTTCAACCTCGTCACGCCCAACGCGGATCTCGGGTACGTGCTTGCGAAGCCGGATGCGGTCAAGAGTAGTGCGCCTGTGGGTGCGGCGGCGGGTGCCAATGGTCTTGGTAGTGTGGCGTGGTTGAAGTTGAGTGCCGTTGAGGGGGATTACAAGGAAGTCTACCGAGTGCATACGGCCGGGGGTGTGGCGCCCAAGAATTGCGATGGTGTGGATGGTGGGTTTACGGTTGAGTATAGTGCGCAGTATTGGTTTTATGCCTAGGTTGGAGAGGGTTTTGTGTGTCGTGTTGAGCGTTTGAGCATTTACAGGCGTTTCTTCTTCTTCTTTTTATCTTTCTGTTTTATCGGCCACTTGAGGGCATGCGAGGAGTCGGTTCAGCGTTCCGGCACTGATACATATCATGCCTATCCGAGAGTCTGTGGCTATTGGCTGTTCCATCCATAGTCAGCACTTGTTCTGCATTTTACATTCTCGCTGTCTGCCAACGTCGACTCACATTATACAATGAGTTAGTTGGCGGGGGGTGACATTGTAGCATAATTACTCGTCCAAAAAACTCAATAATAACAACATATCTTGAAAAAGTTGCCTCTTTTATTGGATTTCGAGTATGGGGTTTAGGGTTTGGATTGGTCTTTGTGGATTGGGAGAAGATGCTTCATCGACACCACACCATCCTACACCTGTACCTTGTCAGCAGGCCAGTAAGTGAACACTGTGGTCCTGAATTCTTACATGTTCTAGAAGCGAGACTGGGACTGAGGGTGAAATGGATTGAGTAAGGTAATGTTGATGCATGATTAGCATCTAGAAAAGCGGGAGAAGAAGAAACAAAGATCAGAGCACCACATCCACAACCAACACCAATAAACCCACATCTTTCCCCCCCCAAAAAATCCCAGCCCAATCCAATCCAACAAGAAACAAACCCCTACTCCACCGTAGCCCCATCCACACTCCTCACGACCGCCCCCACATCCTCAACCCCCGGCACCGGTCCCCCAGCCTGGCTCGCGGCCATGGCCGCCGCGGCCCCAGCCCCCACACCCGCCGTCTCATACGCAAACAAGCTGTAAAACACGAGGACGTGAATGCCCAGCAGGTAGACTGCAAATGCATTGCGCGTCGTCCGACTCTGCAGCACAAATTTGGTGATGCGCAGGACGATGCGCTCAAAGAGGTGCATGCGCTTGATGGCGCGGGCGGATTCGCGGCCGCGAAAGGCGGCAAACGGACTCAGCGAGGTTTCGTACGCGGCGCGGTACTTGTGGTCTGCGGCTGCGGCTGCGCGAGCGTCTGCAGGCCTGGTAGCACCAATGTTCACGGTGGAGGGATTGGGGTTTGCGGTGTAAGCGTTTGCGCTCGAGGCCGTGGTGCGATTGACTGAGTTGTACGAGCTCACATATCTGGTTTTCTCGTAGAGGTCGAGGTTATCTTTTTGTAGAGCGTTGATTTCGCTCCGGAGCGAGGAGATGGTTTGGTAAGATTTTTGCACCTCGGCTTCCAGTTCTGCGTTGCGCTTTTTGAAGCGGTCACGTTGGGCAGTGATCATGGGGAGGATGCCGGAGCCGGCGCCCATGGGTTCGCTGCTGCCGCCTGCGCGGAGGGAGGCGAGGGTTGGGGCTTGGGAGGAAGAGTCGAAGCCCGAGATGATAGAGGAGGTGGGGGATGAGCGGCCGCGGCGGCCACCACCGTACGAGGACTGTGGGAAGCGTGATACGTAGGTTCCCGCTACGGACATGGCAGGATCAAACGCATTCGTGGCCTCTTGTTGGACCTTTTCGAGATCGGCTTCTAGCGTCTCGTTGAGTGCTCTAGATTTCTCCAAGTCCATGTTTGCTTGGGAAAGCTCCTCTTGCAATGCTTCGAGTCTGCTTTGGAGATCTTGGTGCGAGACGCGTAGGACCGTCAGCTCGTTGCTGAGCTTCTTGTTGCGCGCGAGGAGGAGTTGTTCGAGTGTCTCTCCTTTGCCTTTGCTGGCCGTTCCGTTCTGGGAAAGGGCAATTTCGGTGGCTTCGTCGTCGTCGTCACCAGTTGCGAATTCAATCGACTGTGCATGGTCAGAAACTGGGGGAGTAGCGCTGCGAGAATATGTACCTTGAGAACCTCCAGCTCCTGCTTCACATTCTCGTAGTCACCCCACCTTTGAACCTTTTCTCGTAGCGCCTCCTTCTCACTCTTGAGTGACTTGATTTCCCGTTCCAGACTTCGAGTCTCTGTTTCTAGGCGGGTCCGCTCCGAGTCCTTTTCGAAGCGTGCATTTTCAAGCTTGCGTAACAGTGACGAGTTCTCGGACCGCAACCGTAGGTAGGCAGGATCGTCTTCGATGGCGATCTGCTGGGCTGGTGCCGAAGCAGACTGGGCGAGCTCGAGGCGCAATTGTTCATTGCGAGCCTCGACTTCTGCCAAGCGATGGCTGGCTCTCTCCAACTCTGAGCTCACAATCTCGAGTTCTGCAGCCGTAGCCCCTCGTCCACCGTCACCCTCGGCCTCCTCTCCTCGACCCAGTCGCTGTGAAACCTCGTAGCTGGCTTTGAGCTCCTTGAGTAGTCGATCTTGGTTCTCGACCTTTTCTTCCAAACTCTTCTCCTTGGACACCCAGTTGTCGCGCTTCTCATCCAATACTGCTTCCCATGAGGCTTCCACCTCCTTGATCTTGGCGTCCCTGCTTTCCTCTACAGCCTTGCGCGCAGCCCGTTCCTCCTCGAGCGACTTCTCCGTCTCATCCAGTTGCGTGGTCAGCTTCGCTACCGTGTTCTGCAGTCGTTCGTTCTCGGCCGTGAGTTTGGGCACAACCTCTTCTGCAGTCACCAGGGAATCGACCGAGGCATCGAGAAGAGGGTATGGGTCGGGTGCCTCGGACAGCGGAGAGTAGACTTGGAAGAAAGCGGCTTGTACGGTCTTGGACTGGTTGGATATGAGGTCGATGAAGTTTTGGTAGGCTATGAGGGAGCACGTTAGCTATGCGCTGTCGGGGTTGCGCATGCCTTGCTTACACTTGAGTAGTCCCTTGAAGTCGTTGAGTTTGCTTGCATCGTCGAGTTTCCTGAAGTCCTTTGTTTTCTGCGCGAGGTCCTTTCGTTGTGTGAGCGTGTCTCGCTGGTGTGCGACAATATCTGAGGCGACGGTGTCGAGTTGAGGGATCAGGGTGGTGAGGTCAATGTCTGTCGTCCTGTGAGTACTGGAGCTGCGACGATGGTGGAATGGTGAAGATGGTCATGCATACTCCTCCACGCTCCAATAGCCTTCTGGAACTTGTTTTCCTCCTCGTGGGGTCCATCGATGTCTACCGTGTTGTTTCCGCTCGCCGTCGGCCGCTCTTGCACGTCCACTCCACCCTCCATGCCTAGTCCGCAGCCAGGCCGGAGAAGTTAGGGTTACGTATGGTAGGAGTGCGTAAGCAGATGATGATGGATGGCGCGTCTAGTGGTAGACTTTGGTGGTGGTGGTCGATATGAAGACTGTATCAAGACAGCCAGTTCTGGCGCATCAACGCTGGGCTGACGCTGACATGGACATGAATGAACAAGGACAGGGACAGATGGGACTAGGTAAAGGTCACCTTGGGGCGGACTGCGGTACTTGCTTGCATTGTAGTTGCGCCCAATCGGTGGGAGAGGAGCAGGCCAAACGGCCATGGCAAGGTACCGGTGGTAGCACCCAATTGCCTAGAGTACCGGTAGGCACAAGAGCTCTCCAGGCCCTCAGCCAACACTGAACATTCCTCCTCCTCCTCTTCTCCTGCTCACACGCGCGCGCCATGCACCCTTTCCACGCATCGCCACCGTAGCCAGCCATGGCGCATGCAGTGAATCTGATAGAATGGCCGACGACGCTCCTTTTCCCCCAGAGCAATGGACTGCCCGCCCCTACCTTGGCCCTTACCTACTGCGCAAGCTCGTGTCTGACCTGCCACTGTCCGCCGACGCCGACGCCAGCCAGGTGCACATAAGCTGTGTGGAAGTCTGGAGTATGTAGGCAGAAACCACCTCCTTTGTGAATACAATACAAAGAAGTCGTTCTCTTCAACAAAGACTCGGTGCATGTGTTAATGTGGCCCCAGATGGCAACCTCTATGTCGGCACCTCCGCCGCCGAGATCCTCCACTTCGTGCTCCTGCCCCCGCCAGACTCCGGCCATGATGTGTCCGAGGAGCCCACTGCCATCATCGCCTCCCGCCTAGAACCTCCACACAACGACGCCACTGGTCCCGGTGTACAGCAGATCCTCATCCTTCCCAGAGTCAACAAGGCATGCGTGCTATGCAACAACACCCTCTCGATATACTCTCTACCTGAACTGAGCCCCGACTCCACCTTCAAGCCGATATCATGTCTCTGGGTGGGGGGCGTGGACCTCAACGAAGACGTCGAGGAGGGAGGCGACGGCGTTGTTGTAGTCATTGGACTGAAGAAGAGACTGCGACTGGTCCAGATCTCGGAACATCACCCCCCCAAGGCCATCAAGGCAATCGAATACGGCGGCTGCTTGCTCTCTGTCCGACGAGACGCTTTCTCCTGTGCCGCCGATGCTCACTCATACGCTCTACTCGATGTCGAGAACCAACAAAAAATTGGCCTCTTTCCAATATCCTCGCTAGACCCAGATGTGGGCGACGTGGGTGGAGCGGCCGAAAACATAGCCACCGTGCCCCAGCTTCCATCGAGAAGTGTGTCTTCTGCCAGTACAGCACCAGCGGCTCACGCAGATGCTCGTGGCCATGTTCGAAGCACAAGCTTGAACGTGCTGGGATTGGGACGGCCGTCGTCTCGAACAGCCAGCCCACAGCCACCGGGACGCAGATATGGCTTCGATGTACCAGAGTCACTCTCTCGAGACATGTCGCCGGTTCCTGCCAAGGCTTCTGCCCTTGCTACAGATGAGCCTTCCGAAAGAGCATCAAGCCGAGTAAGAAGCGAAACTGTCTCTCGAGACAAACCTCTGCCCGCGCCACCGGAAGAGCATCCGCCACAGATGGAAGAACCATCAGCACCGGACCCGCCACCATTCATTCCTCTAAAGCCTCTGATAGCATCTCCAAATCCAAATGAGTTTTTGCTCACTGTCGGCACTACACCATCTGAGCAAGCTGTAGGTATGTTTGTCAACCTGGATGGAGACATGTGCAGAGGCAGCATACAGTTCAGCAGTTATCCAGATGCTATTGTCACAGATGGCTCAGGTATCGATCTGTCAGCTTCCATGCGTCCAGACATGAACGCTGAGGAGGGTTATGTGTTAGCCGTTGTCCACGAAGAAGGACCCGATGGTGTCGTGACATACCGAGTGGAAGTCCAACGCTGGGACGTTGATCCTGGCGCTGGCGATGTTGAAAAAGAATGGCTTGACTTCAGCGCGTTAGGTCCTATTGCACAGGCTGATGCGACTCGAAGTTCCCTCCCTTTGGGTATGCGCACAGTAGTACAACCTTATGATCTCGTCCTGCCGGAGATCGGGGCAAAATTGTCAGTACAACGACTGAATCTCGGGCCAACATCTGATGATGAGGTCAAGGCTGAGACAGCTCAAGCTAAAGCAGACCGTGACTTCACCGATCGACTGTCGAAGCTGCAAGCTCAAACCGTTATTTGGGCTGGAGACCAGATTTGGTGGACAGTGCGCAATCCATTGATGACTCGCCTTGATTCTCGGATCGAAGAGGCACAATACACTGCGACTGGAGACGGTCAGCGTATTCAGCCCAATCGAAGCCTCCTCGAACAAGTGTTGGGTGACATTCGCGGGCAAGAACCTCGCAATGAATCAGAGTACCTCAGTCTCATTTATATCCGTCAAAAGGCATCTCTGATGCTCTTCATGGATGTCGTATTACGCACCAAGACCAACATCATCATCTTTGAAAGCGAAAAGCGCATCACAGAGCAGGCGCTCATTGAGGGCGAGATTGATCCACGAGTTGTGTTGAGTCTGCTACCAACACTGAATACCGAGGTGGTCCAAGGCCCGGAGGGTATCCAAATCTCTGGTGGCATTACGACGCTCGTCGAACAATTCCTACAGCAAAACGACCTGTCCTCCATGTCGACCGATGTCAATGGCCCTTTTGGCGATAATCTGCTTCAATTTGTCAAAAGATACCTTCATTTCTGGAAGAGACGGAAAGGCATGGCCAGTGTCACAAACGATCCCTACGTCTTTAGAACTGTAGACGCCGCATTACTGCATATTCTCCTTCTTCTAGATCAGCGCAGTCCAGCGGGTACATCTAGCCCCGGCAGCCACAGGGCCGAGCTCAATGAGCTGGTAGACCGAGAAGTAGAGTGCTTCGATCGGGCTGTGGAGCTCCTGGAGCAGTTTAAGCGACTGTTCCTGCTCAGTCGTCTTTATCAGAGCAACTGCAAAGCATCGCTCAAAGCAGCAAAAGTGCTGGCAACATGGAAACGCATCATTGAGGGCGAGGAGGACACAGGGGGGGAGCTCGTCGATGGCGAACAGAGAGTCCGAGAATACCTAGCCAGAATTCGCGACCAGTCACTCGTCGAAGAATATGGTACATGGCTTGCAAACCGCAACCCGAAGCTCGGTGTCCAGATCTTTGCCGACGACTCCAGTCGAGTGAAGTTTGAGCCCACGCGCGCCGTCGCACTGCTGCGAGAAAAAGCACCTAGTGCTGTCAAAGAATACCTCGAGTATCTCGTCTTTGGCAAAAAGGTACAGCCTCCCCCAAGACGTCTAGAACATGCACTGACATATTGATGACACAGCACACCCAATACATCAACGAACTCTTGACCTTCTACCTCACCACCATCCTCACCGAACTCTCCACCACACCATCTTCCCGCACCACGCTGCGCGACACATACTCGACCTACCGCATCCTCGAGCCCCCCAAGCCAACCTACCATTCCTTCATCACCGACAATGCCTCCCCCGACGAATGGTGGCAAGCCCGTCTCCGCCTCCTTCAGCTCCTCTCCCAAACCTCCGACTACGACGTACACGCCATCCTCGAAAAACTCCAACCCTACGAAGCCGACCTCGTCCCCGAAATGATCATCCTCAACGGACGCCAAGGTCGAGACCAAGAAGCGCTGAGACTGCTGACACATGGTCTGGGCGACTACGACACCGCGCTCTCCTATTGTCTATATGGCTACTCTTCCATCTTCCAACCCCGAACTCCCTCCCCCACAAATACAAGCACAAACACAACCCCCTCCCGCACCCACCAATCCCACCTCTTCACCCACCTCCTCGCCGAATTCCTCGCCATCTCCGATCTCAGCCAGCGCGTCCACCGCACCTCGGAACTCCTCGAGCGCTTTGGCGGCTGGCTCGATGTCGCTGACGTCTTGGCTGCCTTGCCGGACGACTGGAGTGTCCTTGTCTTTCGCAATTACCTCGTTGCTAGTCTGAGGCGCCTTGTTAGGGAGAGGGCGGAGAGCCAGGTTGGGCGCGCGCTGTGCGATGTGCAGAATTTTGGGGCTGGTTGGGAGTTGGTGTGCGCGAGGGAGGGGGGAGGGAGAGTGGAGAGGGAGAGTGGGGTTGAGGGGGGATGGGGGGGATGAGGGAGGGTGTTTGGTGGGGAGGTGGGAGGAGGGCAGGTGTTGGTGGTATTGTGGGGTCTCGGATAGTCGATGGTCTTGTTGGATTGTCCTTGTATCTCAATATCATTTCATTTCATTTCATTCCATTTCACCATCTACCACCACAAGAAAACTTGACATCTAACTCGTATCCATCGCCTCCCCACCCTGCTCCTCTTCTCCCTCTCCCTCCGCCCTCATCCCCACATCCCCACCAGCACTCTCCCCATCCCCGCTCCTTCCAACCAACCCCCCAACCAAACCCTCCAACCCCCTCACCTCCTCGCCCCCAACCCGTCTCGCATCCCAAACGCCCTCAACCCCATCCCTAGTATCCACACCCCTCTGCTCCAATATACGCTTACTCTGACTCTCAATGTATATCTTGCGGGCGTGCGAGGTGTCTGTTTCCGAGGGTGCGGGTTGGGTGTGTGTGTTGGTGGTGTTGGAAGTAGAGGAGGTAGATTTGGATGAGGAGAGATGAGGACGTAGGGAGGAGAGGAGGGCACGGAGGGCGGGGAGCTGGGAGGTTGTAAAGGTGGTGTGGGTTGTCAATGGTGTTCTTGATTCTTTGGCCGAGGTTGTGGAGGAGGAGGAGGAGGAGGGGTGGTGGGGGAGCGGCAGGGTTGGGATACCGAGGTTTTGGGCGGCGGGGGTGTGGGTTAGGAAGGCAAAGGGGGGTTGTGTTTGAGTTTGTGTGGTTGGGTTGTTGGCGGTGTTGATATTGGTGGTGGGAGGGGAGGTGGATATTCTGGACTCGGGCTTTGCGGGTGCAGCGGTGGAAGTGGAAGAGGATGAGGAAGAGGGGGGTTGGAGGAGAGCTCGTAAGCTTGCTATTTGTGCCTCGTTGCGCCTCTTTTCTGCAACGAGTGCGGCGTTTAGTTTTTGCGTCTCGATGAGTTTGCGGCGGAGGGTGTAGAGGGCTTCTGGAGTGAGACCTGGGTCTTTGGGTGGGTGTACGAGGTTCTGTTGTTGTCCTTGTGTTAGCATGTACAAGCTTTCCATTTTGTAGCCCGTATATATATATATATATATATATATATATCGCGGCCATTCCATCCATCGTCCCGCCAAACCCTCCCCTCGATAGCAACAACAAAAAAGAAAAAAAAACATACCTCATACCCCCCCAACCTCACCCACGACGCCAACTCCTCCTCCCCCCTCGGCAAACACAACACATTCCTCAACGTCCAAATCTCCAACTTGTCAAAATTCTTATCCACCGCATTCTCCATCAACGTCTCGAGCTTCAACACGCCCTCCTCAATCTCCAGCCTGGCCTCGGGATACAGGGCCCCGCCGTCGCCATCCCGGGCCGGTGCACGCTGCTCGGCTGCGTAGCGGTCTGCGAAGCCGAGGAGGGCGGGGTCGGCGCTGAGGAGCCCGGTTTCAAAGGAGTCGGTGCAGCGGTAGAGGACTTCGTTTACGGCGTTGATGATGTCGTCGATTAGCGTCTGTGGGTTGGGAGAGGGGGTTGTTAGGGTGTGTTTCTTCTTTTTGTTTGGGGGGGGGAGGGGTGTATGTTGCAATGATAGAGTAGATATGATTCCATCCAAGCCAGCCAGCCAGCCAGCCAAACAACTCAACTCAACACCCAAAACGCAGGACAAACTCACAATAGGCGGCCAAGTAAAATGCTCCGTAAGCAGCATATGCTCCTGCTGCTTCGCACTCGCCATCTCCAGCCCTATTCCCTGTATATTCCAACGCGAACCACGTTGTTGGGCGAATAATTCCCACTCTGTTACTTTGGCGTCTTGTATGTATGTTTTGCGACGCGCCCGCGCCGGGGAGGGGACGTGTTTACCTTTACCCCCTCGGCTGCGATGTCATCGAAGTTAGCGTGACGGTCGGTTTGTCGGCTAGAGTTTCCCTTTTTTTTTTCTTTTTTTTTTGCATGCGTCGCTGATTGGTGGAGTCATGGGCGGGAAGCGAGAGAATGCGTGGGGGAATGAGGCAAGTGTTGTGCCTATGGCGAATGTGAGTACTAGGCATTAGATGAAGGATGTGTGAGAATATACACATGCACGCAAACATGGCATATGGCGAACACCGTATCAAAGACAAAAAACACGGCTTTTGGATTAGGCGCAGCCGCCATCGGGCCATGATGCCCATCTCACGTCGCGCCCGCCATGAATCTAGCTTCTTGACAACACCATCGCTTGTTACCATGACTTTGTACAGTCATTGAATTTCCCTATGCTGTAAAAGAAGAAGGAGAAGAAATCAGAAGCCACAAGAGATCTCGATTGCTGAAAGCCTATGAAAAGGCCCCATTCATCTGCTCAAACCGCTCCACTTCTCCTTCCTCATAACCAGGCGCACCTACATGGTATAACAATCATCCTTCCTCTTTCTCGCCCTGCAACTGCGACACACGCTATCAATCGATACCATCTTTCAGGATAAGAGCAAGCTTTGTAGCAGGGCTTTCATCCACAATCGCTAAAATAGAAAATAAAAGAGTGGAGGGGAGGGAGGCAAGGAGAACGAGATAGCTGGAATCCAAAAACCACTAAAAACTCAGTGCGCCTACCAGCCCCAGTCCTCCTTAAGACCCAAAGTTTCTCCATGCGGTCATGTCGCTGTCGTAAATGCAATAGATTGTAAAACAAAAGGCCACCACCAATGACTATCCGGGAGAGCCTTGCGCGATAACGATTATAAGGGTAATGTTATACAAGACATTCAGAAGTGTCTTCTTCCAGATCAGTCCAGCTCAGTAGGCTCGGTTCTGCTCCCGGAATCGACGATCTTCTTCTACCCGTCTGGCCTTCTTCTCCCTCTCTAGCCGGATCTTGTGGGCCTCGGTGCCATCGTCCATGAGCGACTCCTTGAACCAGGGATGCTGCAAGGCTTCTTTGGCTGTGATACGCTTCTTGGGATCGTATACGAATATCCGGCGCAGTAGATCCAGGAACTGTCGGTTGAAGTCGGTGTGCGTTGGTATTATTTCCTGCCATCGTTAGCCAGTGCTCTAGCAGAAGACATGCGGATACATACAGGAAGCTTCTTCATCGCCTTCACATATTTCTTGCTGGCCTTGTTGGTTTCTGCATTGGGATAGTCCAGTTTGTAATTCTTGAAGTATCTCGCAGCACTGTCAAGGTCAGTCATTGGGTGAGCAGGGAAGTGGCAGCAAAACCTACGAATTGGACGAATTGCGTGATGAACTCCGATCTTGCTTATAAACTTGTCGCACAATCTCGCGGTCAATCTTGCCACTGCACACAGCCTCCATCATGGCCAAGTGCTCGAGGTTGTCGTGTGTTTGGAACAGAGCATCGCCAGTGAAGAACTCGACAAGGATGCAGCCTATGCTCCAGATGTCGCAGGGAAAACTCCATCCCAGGTTGAGGATGATCTCGGGAGCTCGGTAGTGTCGTGTGGATACGACAGACGAATGGTATTCATCGTTGAAGGTAGCAGAGCCGAAATCAATGAGGCGAATCTCTGGATCAAGTAGGACCTTGCGGTGTCGGGCGGTGCGATTGACTGTTGTTGACGACGAAGGCACGGTCCGGTTATAGGTAAAGGTTTGATAGTTGTTGTTGACCAGTAGAATGTTCTCCGGCTTCAAGTCGGTATGGATGAGGTTGAGATCGTGCAGAAAGGCAACGCTGGTGAAGAGTTGCTTGGCAAACTTCTGGATGTGCGAGCTCGGGAAAGGCACAAAGCCATTGGACTTGAGAAAGTCAAACACGCTTTGGCCGTAGAGATCGGTGACGATGCAAATGTGATTTCGGAAGTCGAAGCAGTCTCGAAGATGTATGCATCGGTTGACGTTGTGCTTGTCGTTTGATGCTAGTGTGGAGAGGACTCTCAACTCGATGCGGCTAGCATCACGGTATTTGGGGACTGATCGAATGACTTTGATCGCGCATTTGGTGCCCTTTCGCCTGTCATAGGCTTCGACAACCTTGCCAAACGTGCCCTGGCCAAGCAGCTTCGTGATCTGGTCTGCATAGAGTCGTCAGCATAAGATCTGGATCATTTTCGAATGAGTGGCTACCTACATCGTTCAGTAATATCGGCGTCTGGCACGACAATGTAGTGACCATCTTCATCGTCGACTTTTGCATCCTTATTATACGACTTCTGTTGCGCGTTAGTAGGTGAGGTTGGTTGTATCATGAGGTGTTTACTGTAGCCTTACATCTGGTATCACTTGTACGTAGACATCCTTGGCCTTGATGATCGGATTCGGCGGGGGTTGGTAGAGGCTAAAGGGATTGTCGTCATGATCGAGTTCGCGTCGTTTGGCCTGCTTCACCTCATCCTGGACAACGGCTCGTGTGCGCTTTCGTTTCTGGCCTACGGATGAGTTGTCGAGTGGAGAGATGTGGTGGCCATTGCTGACCTGTGAGCCCAATGAGGTTGGCGCAGTCGTGTGGAGGGCAGACGTTGTCCTGTCGGTGGATATCGAGTGGTTGGGTGAGTAGTCGTAGGGCGTCTGGGTGGTCGAGTACGAGGTCTGCTGCTGGTTGTAGACCGGGTCGTAGGCCGTCGAGGCCGTCGTTTTCCGCTTCTTGTCCGTGTGTCGCACAGAGCCGTTGGTCGCCGTGCGTGTGAGGCCAGATTGGCGCGCAGAGGCCGGTGGAGGAGGTGCAGGGTCCTCGTCGTCGTCGATGACAATGACTTCCTTGGGGATACCGTTCTTGTAAAAGTCGGCCCAGTCGGGATTGCGCCGACGATGGGCAGCCTGGGCAGCCGTCTCGCCGTCCATGTCGATGGCAGGGCCGGGGTGGATGGGCGGGAGCTGGGGCGGCTGTCTGGTGTGGGCAGTCGCGGTTCGGCGGAGGTCTGAACTGGAGGCGGCGCTAGCGTAGCCGCTGTTGTACATGGAGTTGGTTATGCGAGCAGAGCCGTTGGCGATTTGCGCATTGGAAATGTTGGGCTGGTAGGTCTGGTGGTGAGAATAGTACTGATGATGGGGCGGGAGCGTGGCCGTGGCAGTCGACGGCGTCGACATGGCGGGTGGGCGAGCGAGTGGGCGAGTGAGGGCTGTCGTCGTCGTCGTCGTCGTCGTCGTCGTTGTCGTCGAGGCGCGGCTGCTCTGCGCGGGCGAGCAGGACAGGCCCGTCGGTGAAGCGAGCCCACAAGGTAGATGTCGACGCGGAGCTGGATGAGTCTGGTCGGTAGGAATGTACAGGCCAACGTTGTGGTGGGGAGGGGGGGGGCGGGGGCGGCAGACGAAAGACTCGCGGTAGACAGGCCCGTTATCGCAGGCCCAGCAGCCGGTCGCCGTCGAGGGCGATGTGGAGAAAGCGTGTGCAGAGGCGGCGGCGGCGGCGGGCTGGGGGCGAGGACGGGGGGAGGCTCACGAGGGCGAGGCTGGGGAGGGAGGGCAAGACAGACGGCGGGGATGGGGGATGGAATCGTCGTGGTTGCGGAAGAATGACAGAGAGGTCAAACATGCCACGGGCGAGGAGAAATTCAGCGTGACGGTCCAAGGGCAGGCGAGGTTGAGATCAGTTTGCAAGAGAGTCCAAGTGTGGTCAGAGAGGGCCCAAGCGCGGGCAACCCCAATCCACCTGGCTCTTGTCACTCCGTCACTTCGCGTTTCTCGCGCCGAAAAGTGCTCCTCCTGTTGTGCAGCAATGGCAGCCATGGCAGCAATGGCAGCAGCAGAGCAGTGTGCAGCAACAAGGCCGTCGTCATCGGGCCAGCCAGTGTGGCCGGTGATTGCAGATGGTTGCGCCATCTAGTTGGCCCGATGTGGTTTCTCATACTCATACTCAGTGGGCGACCAGAGCCTTGACCAGACTGCTGCCTCGCAAGCCATTCCCTCCCTCCTCCTCTCCTTCCTTCTCCCCCATATCGTCATCTAGCAGGTACACACATACTCTTACCATACCACCACCAGCCAAGTGCTTTCTTGGGGGGTGGCCGCAATCTGGCTAGCCTGCTGTGTGCCCAGAGATTCAGCAAAGGACTGGAGCCGCCCGAAGCCCGCAAGCCCGTCCGTTGGCATCGAAAAGGGTACTCTACCCGTACGGTAGACTACCATGCCTGCCTGGGCACAGTGCGAAAGGGATTGAAACTCGTCGCTGCACAAGAAGATGCCTCTCACTCTCACTCTCACTCTCACTCTCACTTCACTGTACGGTTAGATGGAATAGGGCCAAACAACCAGGCTCCTTCGGGCTTCCCTGTCCGCCCTGTCCTGGCTCTGGCCTTGCCTTCACACCGTAGCCATGACTACCGTTCACGTTGCAGACTGCGACACACAATGTCCCCCCCTCTCCTTCTCACCCTCCTCCAACTCATCCATCTGTAATCAACCTTGCCCATCCCCCTCCACCGTGCACTCCAGTCCCACCACCGTGCACTCAGATCCAGTGCCAAACAACCCACGCAAATCGTTCTGTTCTGGACTGCATCACACCCCCTCCCGGCACAACTACCCTTTCGCTGCTCTTCCAGTCTTGGACAAACCTCTCGCCCGGGATGGGAGGCCAAGGACGACGCGTCCGTCCGCGTCACGTGGCCTTTTCATTTTCCACCTAGGCCACCCCCGGCGTTTCAAGTCAAAGTTTGGCTTGCTTGCATGCGCTTGTGCTCACTCCCCAAGTGCACAGTGCTCAAGTGAGGAAAGACAGGAGTGAGCGAGGGAAGTGAGTGGGATTAAATAAACAATACCAGGAAATGAGCGATTCTTCAACACCCTGCCCTGCATCCCAAAAGACCCTCCTCTTTCCCCCCCCCCCCCCCCTCTTTTTCTTTCTCTCTCTCTTTTTCCTCCAAGCTGAATAATAAAACACCGAGCACCACCATCGACCCCCCTACCGAAATCGGAACACCCCCCTCTGCCCTCCAAAAAAAATTCCCCAACCTTTTATCCCCATGGACTCCCATTCCCATGCGGTAAGTAGGTACCTACCTACCTACCTACCTACTCGTACCCTAAGCTGGCTTCCTGCAGTCCAGCAATCCACGACAGCCATTCATTCCCTTGGCCCCATGACTGCACGCTGCCGAGCATCAAGGGACCCGCCTACAACGTCCCTGAATCCCGGGTTTCTGCACTGCGGGGGAAAATGGGCCCATCGGGCTGTACTCTACACAGTACAAGCACTTGTACAGTACTGCTGTAGGTGGGTAGATGCACGTGTACCTGGTAGAGTAGCTCTCGCAGCTCCTTCGAGGTCGTGCTTACAGTCCCATTTCCACATTAGCCTATATCCCCCGCTAATCATACTTTTCAACGGCTCTGGGAGGGGAGGCATGTACAGTCGTTATCACCGGCTTGACAAGGCCCGGGTTGGTTTGAGTTTGTATATTTTACTCCACCTTGCTCTCCCACGTGTTTTTCTGGTGCTCGTGTGTGAGACCGGAGTGGTCAGTTCCTGGATGGGCGTGTGATTGTGTGATGGTGGTATGGGTGTGCGAGAGCGACATGGGCATGATTGGGTTTGGATTATAGATACCGACCGCCATCATGCTATTGTATACGTCGTTGAAGCAACGTGCACATCAATTAGCGCCAGCACACCTACCCTTCACACTCTTTTCCCATACATACATACACATATACATATATACATACATATATACATATATACATACATACATACATACATACATACATACATACATAGCCCTCCCATTCCCATCATCATTGTCTCACACCACTCCACGCGCCCCAAATCCGTAGGGACGCTACAGCCCCCTGGCTTTGCGCCAAAGGACTGTACAATACCCATCCGAGCCCCTTACTTACTGCAAGTCGTGCTCGAGATACCTGACGAGAGACATGGAGTACCGCTTTGTGCTCCGAGGCATCATCGCTGCGGCCACGCCATGTAATGGAAGAATTTGTAAACTGCGTATGCGGCGCGCACGCCTGCACGGTCAACGTCAGTCTTTGGTCAACACTACTGTACTGGAGCTATTGAGTGGATAGACGCTGGGAATGATGGATCGAGCGGTCATGGCCGTTGTGGGTTCAGGTTGCTGCAACCCCCCCCCCCCATGAAGAGTGGACTGGACAAAGGGAGAGTGACTCTGCAAAGCGTGGAAAACATGGAAATGCAGTGCTTTGGTCTACAAAAAGGCCCATCTCGCCCTCGAGAGATGAGGGACAAAAGTACAAAGGTGATCAAACAGCCGTCCCAATGCTTGCAGAATCAGACAGCCGTCCCAAAGAATACATGAGTCATGGAATTCAGACGGCCTTTCCCTCAAAGTAGTGTACTGTTTCAACACCTCTCTTTGTGCCAAATGGTATAAGAGAAGAAGGTTCGCAGATTGCAGATCAAAATGAGACGTCCGTGCAGTAGTTAGAAGTCACAAGCAACTTCTTGTAAAGTTGGAAACACTTCTTTTCGCGGCTTCGTGTGTCGTCAACGCTTCCCGTGGTAGCGCCATGCGTCATGGCCAACTGAAATCGGGTTTACAAGACGGACTTTGTGGAGCGATGGTAATCGTTGAAATAGTCCTCGACGAGGCGGCCAAGACGTTCAACGAGCAGGTCAATCTCGTCGTCTGTGATGTTAAACGCTGGGGCGATGATAAGATGGTCGCCACTCTTGCCATCCATTGTACCAGAGCCTGGGTAAATATATATTCCATGCTCGCGGGTCAAGCCTACCCAATTGTGAGTAAAGCAACACTTTCAATGGGCCATATTGCTTACCCCTTTCGTGAATGGCCATAGCAACCCCTTTTTCGGAAGGCAAGGGAGCCTTGGTTGCCTTGTTGGAGACGAGTTCAATCTACATTGTTTTTTCAGCACACATATCATCGTCAGCACCGGGCCATTGGATACCTACACCCCAGAAATGCCCCTTGCCACGAATATCTCCCACGTTGGAATGATATGAAAGCCGCTCGCCTAGCTTTCGGTGCAGTACTTCACCGTTTTTACGTACTTTTTCCACCAGATCTTCCTCCTCGATGATTCTTTGTACCGTTAGTGCTGCCGCACAACCAACAGGGGGATTCTGGAATGTGTGGCCATGGTTGAAGCCTGTCCTTCCTTCCCCGAATGCGGCGTGGATATCTGGGCTGCAAAGAATGGCAGAAAGCTCAGCATAGCCGCCAGCAAGACCTTTTCCAATGATCTGGATATCCGGAACAACCATCTCTTCCTGCCATGCGTGAAGGTGGCCGGCCCTTCCCATACCGCACATTACTTCATCGAATATCAACAGCACGCCATATCTCTTGCAAACAGCTTTCATGGCCGCGAGATAATTTGGCAAGGCAGCAACACATCCAAGAGCCTATCATCACAGTCAGTTGAACTTCTAAGGAGCACTCTTGTTTAGCTGTATAGGGCTTCGTTGCTGCGTTTCCTTTAAAGAATAGGAGTGCATCCTCATCGGCACGGCTAGAGTGATCTTACTTACAGCTCCGACTACAGGTTCCATGACAAAGGCTGCTACGTTCTTGGGTCCAAGACGCTGTATTTCGGTCTCCAACTCTTCGGCAAGACGGCCTACGTATTGATCTTCTGTCTCGTTCTCCATGAGCTCTCTGTAGGGATAACATGGTGATATGAAGCTTGTTTTTCCTGAGAAGTTCGGACGGAACGGCTGCTTCCTGGCATCATGCCCGCTTATTTCAAGTGAGGCAAGTGTAGCTCCGTGGTAAGAGCGATGTCGCGCAATGAAGAATTGACGACTGGGCTCTGGATCTGGTTTCGCCGCTGTCTGATACTGTATTGCCATCTTTAATGCGGCCTCGGTCGCATCAGAACCTATCTTATATCAGCGAGACCAGCCAGAAAGAATGGCCTATACTTCTATACCTGAACCATAGAATACCACACCTCCCATGAGATGACCTGTGGATTTGATGACCCATTCTGCCAAATCATACGCTGGATCGGTATAAAAATCTGCTGCAGGTGCATAGCTGACGCCAGTACTCATCTGCTCGTTCATAGCATCGAAAACTCTTTGGTCATGGTAGCCAATACATGACACAGCAGCTCCACCAGATCCGTCGAAAACCCTCCATGTTCCACTATCATCCGTTGCAGTCCACCACCTTCCTTTACCCGCTGTCAAGAGTCGGGGTTGGCTCCAGATTTTGCTGTGGAGTAAGTATTTTTTCCGTGGCAGACGATTGCCCGTTGATGAAAGTCTTGAAATATCGGTAGTAATTGAATATAAGTCTGAATCGATATCCGAAATGGGAGTTGATATGTCAGACTCATTGCAAATCATACCAGGTGCCATCACTGTTCTTTGGATCTTGATTTGATTGGACGTCAGCCGAAGGTGATCTGAGGTGAGTATAGAGGATCGACAAGATAGGCTTGACGTAAAGTGAATCAAGAAGGATATTGAAGAGAGATAGAGGACTTTATATCAGCCTGATCTTATCCTAAAGCTAGTCATGAGAGCAATCACGACGTGACCGGTGAGGCGTACTTCAAGGTTATGGACTGGTCCGTTTGCGGGAAAATCCTATGGGCTGGGCCTGATCAACGTCACTAAGACAACAACTTAGTTCCTGGGCGATACCATTTGTCACATTTCGACCTCGGGCCGCCCGTAGGAGCCAACAATCCGTGCATGGTTCTGTATCCCGAACTAGAGCTCCCTGGCTGAAGCGTACCTCCTCGAATTCAATCATAGAATGCGGTGAAGAAATGAGGCTGATTCGGCTACATGAACCCTCAACGGTCAGTCGCTTACCTTAGTAATACATGCATTGGCCAATGGTATCAGGCGGTGCAGCTTCTCCCGCACTTTCCGTTGTTGTGGTAGACTGTAAGCCGTGCGTATGGAATAACATGTATATGAGCCGGAGACACAGGTTGCAATGCCAGGGCAAGCGAAGTAACGACAACACATTCAGAGATGCCTCAGACCACCACTGCACTATGTGCTAGACTGTTTGTGGAAGATAACATGGTGCAACGGTGGAATTGTACATGCCTTGGCGCTCTCTTGATGTGAATCTCCTTGTCAAATGGGCGTTTGTACTGCATCTCCTTTTAGCAATTATCGGACGCCCTGAATAGGTGGCTTCAAACGACGGTACTAGCTCCAAGTTCACCTTCAAGTATTGGATAAAATCAATGCAACCGCCACCAGGTTTGCGAAACCGTTTTTCCTTGTACGTCAGACGTGAATCCCTGATCGCCTGCGCATGTGCACGTGGTGCAAGGTGCGCAAAAGTACATGTCGAACGATTGATGACGGACGGAGCGCTGTCCATTTGCTTCCATGGGCCAACATCGTGGTCGTGGAAATTCACCCAAGTCGCACCCGAGCTGATTGGATTCCAAAGTCGATCAGATGTACATGGCCCTTTTCCTTGACAAGGTTCGAACGAGCTAGCAATGCTAAGGTAGCGGAAGGGCACCTGCATCTAGAAGAACACGGCTTGTCTTTGTCTGGTAGGCCGTTGACGAGCGACAATGACTCAAGAAGCGTGAAGTTGGCGGAGGAACGGCTCTTCAGACCATATTTGACTGGGCAAGATGTTGGAACCTCGAATTGAGGCTTGAAGATGATAAGGAAAGGGAGTGGAGCCCTTGCCACGCGACTCGGACTGCAGATCTGCGCCACCAAGGCGTGAGATGTATGCGCCGGTAGCAGACCATGGTAGAGCGATATGTACAATACGACATGGGACAGTCCCAGCAGGACGTACTTATGTACGTGCCAGCCTAATTGGCTCTGCATAGAAACCTCAGGTCAGGACCGTGAGGGAGAGGGGCAGGAAGAGGGACGGGACAGGGATACGGGCGAGGCGCATGCAGGTGACAAAGTGGCTTCCATTGGAGCGTGCATGCGACGGCAGACCCTTGGGGGCCCTTGGGGGCGGACGGTGCAAGTTGCGGTGTAGGCGTATGAGGGCCAGGACTAGTGTGAAGGGTGGACGGTCGCTGGAGCACTTTTGAGGTGGTGGGCGACTGGCGGTCGAACTCAAGTTTGTCGAGCCGAGTGGAAGGCTGGAGGGTTACCGTAGTGCAGTGAAACTCGGTCTTCGGCCCGGTCACGCAGAAACATGGAGCCGGGCCGAGGGACAGCTGAGTAGGTACTACATACTAGATACGGTATGTAGTGCAGAAGGTAGAGTAGAGTACAATTACCCATGTACGGTACTCTACAATACTGTTACTAGAGTAGCCCCCCCCTTTGGAGACGTCGACGTTCCAATCAGGCCCAGGTCCGATCTCGTTTGTTCGTTCCTTGCCAGTAGGGGTTCCCTTCCGCCAAGCGCCACCTTTCCCCACATTGCCGCACGAAACCTCCAACTCTCCAAGCTGAGGGGGACAAAAGTTGGAACAGCCAGACAACACTGGGAAGACTGGACCACAGAACCGAAACACCACAACCACCACTACCAACACTACTACCACTACCAACACTACTACCAGTACTACCAGTACTACCAGTACTACCACTACCACCACTACTACCACACTACCACCACCACCGTCGCCTCACAAGCACCTCCGACGCCACGATGAACCCACGCGTCGAAGAGGTCAGCGATTCGGACAGCGAGCCATCCGAGATGGACATCGACGACGTGCCCCAGCTGATGCGGGCCATGAACGCCTCCCATGCGCCCAGCACGGGCAATACCAGGACGTCGATGATGCCCTCACAGTTGCTGCAGCCACAATCTCCCACCATCAAGACCTCATCAGACCGCGAAAAGTCGAAGCATTATCAATGCCTGTACCCCATCTATTTCGACAAGGCTCGGTCACGGGCAGAGGGACGGCGTGTTGGCCACAAGCTGGCCGTCGACAGCCCCCTTGCACGCGAGATGGCAGATGCAGCCGCGAACCTGGGCCTGCGCACTGTCTTCGAGCCTGACAAGACCCATCCGAAAGACTGGGCGAATCCAGGCCGGGTGCGTGTCTTGCTCAAACATGAGGGCAAGATGATGGATGCCGATGTCAAGAACAAACATCACCTCTACATCCTCATATCACAATATCTCAAGGCGAACCCCACCCAGAAGGACACGCCCTTCAGACTCCCCATCGCAGGCTTGCCCATGCCCAAAGAGATGCCCGAGCCTGCCATACCAAAGGGCTGGAAGATGAACAAGATCCTGCCGCTGCACTCACCAGCCCTGACTGGCGGCGGTGTATCAGACAATTTTCTCAAGGACATGATGGCTGAGATGGACGGCCTCGATGGCGCTAGTGGGGCTAGCAGTGGCACAGAATCCAAGAAGAAGATCAAAGACAAGAAGAAAAAATGAAATATCAGCGCGGAGCTCGGCTGCAAAACCTATTATCTGACTCGAATACAGAAAGCCTCAAAGAGTCTAGAATGGTCTCATGCATATGCTCTGCTTGCATGCGTTCCATCTGTTGATCGTTCGACAGGGGGAAACGCCCCCGCATGTTTAAGGCTCTGCCGATCATAGGGGCGATTTACGCCTTACATAGCGGAGAACGACTCGCAATGTCGACGATCACTCAACAAATATCACCCGATACCTTCTGTCATATCTGCTGAATAGCATGCTCACCATGTGCCCTTGTGTAGTCAGACAGCCTCTAGCCTCTCTTCCATGTTTCGACCTTGCATTGACGCCTGGACGATCATCTTGCCACTCGACGAGGCTCTCATGGCACCATGTTATCTCTTCAAAGGGGTTGTTTGGATCCCCCTTTACTGACTATTCCGTTGTGTACAGATGTTCTCATCCGAATGGATGATTCAACATACAATGATCCGATAGAGAATTCGAATTTCAGATCACGTTGGTTCTCACCGTTCGCTTCATCTTGTTCCGTGAGGCTGAGTGGCGAGGAGACATTGACGAGATCTATATATAGGGATTTCAGAGTGGAATGCAGATTTACGTACAACGAGCGTCTTTCACTCCACTTCTATCCAACAGCTGTCATTATGGAGATCTACTATTTGTATGGCATACTCTAGATTCTGTCACTAACATGCAGTCACGGATATGACTTTAATCGCTTGCATGGACACGGCATCACGTGCTCTGTAGCAACTGTCTCGTATCCCCGCATTCTCGGATGTATCGACCCGACTGCTGGTAACGTAGTACCCGAGGAGCAAGCCTAGCAAGCCTAAAGACTACTATGTACAGGATGCTACTATTCGTCGAGCTCCATTGGTGCTTCGCCCATTTGGGTTCTTCAACATCAGGCGCGCCCTCCGCGGGGCCAACATCAGGCGTTCTTCGCGGGGCCTGTACTGCACACAGCTCGTGGTACGACCAAGTGGATCGTGCAGCTGAGACTTGGGTTCATGGGGCCCAGGGTATTCTGTCGGTGGTATGCGTAAGCACGATCTGTACTTTTGGCCACACTACACTTATCACTCCCTTCAAGTCCAGCACACTGTAAGAACAACTTGTACCATCTCAGTATCCGATCGGTTACTCAGACATAAAATGCAGCTGGTCCATGCGGCATGCTCTTGGCTTTCTTCGCATTCGCCGTATTCGCATTATTGTCATTCAGCCAGCCATGCAAATCTCACCGAATATACTTCTTGCACTGTATCATCTTCGATATCAGATGGTCTGCTGTAGCGTCGAACATTTACAACCCGTACATGCATGCACGTCGTACATGCTCAAGCATGGACGAGTACTCTGGTGTGCAACGCCAAGAGGTCAGCCGTTGATATGCCGTCCCACCAGCAGAATGAAGCTGAGCGATGGTTGGGTGTGGCGAGTCTGTCCTGTGAGCATCGAACTAACTTTGGCAGTAGAGTATGCGAACGGTCGTCCCGCATGAACCAGAGTGTTTCAAATGTCACACAACATACGGAGTGAACTCCAGATACAACGCTGATTTATTATATGTTCGAATAGGGGGTATGTTGGTGCTGATGGCTCGGGATGGCAGCGGGAAGCTGTCGTCGCCTGCGTAGCCGTCGGCTTGCCGTAGCGTACCCGGGCATACAACTGTATGTAAGCTGAAATGCTCGGGCCTAACTCGGCCCCCACCTACAACATGCACAGCTGGGCCTACACAGCACTGAGAAGGTCGGGAAATATTTCCATAGTTCCATCGTATAACTCTCCTGCAATTGCACTTGCATCATTCACGATGCTTATACGCTGGCCGATTGAGCCAGGCCAATTCTTGGGGGGGAGTCGGGAGCCGCCTCGTGGACAACGTATTTGCTCTTGAGGAAAATGTCACCAAAGATGCTCATGCCGAGGCCATCGTTGGTCTGAATGCCACCAAAACAGGTTGTGCCGCTGGAATCGACTGGAGAATAGTTGATATGCTTGCCTGGAACAACCTGGGCAACGCCACCAACAGTGATGGAGAAATTGGGCAGAGTCGCGGAGCAAGGGAAGACATATCCGCCTTGGATATTGTCGAGCTTCGCTCCTGAGACCTTGGCGTAGTAGGCTTTGACAATGGCGGTGTCAGTGTAGACGAGGGTTGTGCCGGTATCGAGGACTTATGTGCGTGTCAGCTATTCCTTCCGGGAGCGCAGAGTCTTAGGAAGGAAACTTACTTCCAGAGATGGCGCGCTGGGTGGTGGTGCCTCCAACCCCATAGGCAGTGGCACTGATACCCCAGAAACCCTGGCTGTCGTCGACGTTGACATAGGTGATGGGACCAGTATACTTGCTCTTGTCAATATAACCAAAGTCGTAGGTTCCTGCTGCATGGTACTTCAAGTTGACAGCGAACAGGGGTTCAGCAAGCTGAGGCTTGACGGTGTCGAAGAAAGTCTTCTGTGGTTCGGGCGAGACAGTGTTGATGGAGCTGAACGCAAGACCAAGAAGACCGTCGGTGTTGCTGTCTCGACTAAACTGCGCAGATACTGAAGTCGCAGCCTCGACAGCCTGTGAGGTCGCAGTGACTCCACCGACGACGACCTTATCCGCGTACACCTTGCCTGAGGCACCGGAGCCGTCACCATAGGAAATCTTCCAGCTGTAACCAGACTTCAATTTGGAGGCATCCGCCTGATAGTACTGGTGGCCAGACAACTGCGAGCTAGCTTGAAGAGACGAGAAGACCCAGCTACAGTCATGTTAGCAAGGCCATACCGCATGCTGAGCGGATAACTCACAGATCAGCGGAACCGGTGTCAAAGTCCAGTTCGACGGTGGTACTACCAACAGTAACTGGGCTGAGATATGACGAGTCATACTGGTCACTGGGCACAGCAGGGTCACTACCATCACCAACAGCGGAAGCAGTAAAAGTCTCGCCAACGGCGTCACGGCTCTCCGCCGCATCCAAGAGGCTCTGTGGCACTGGCTTTCCATATTTGCGTAATGTCTTGACCTTCTGTGCCGGACCGTTCTTGAGGTATGTCGTATGCGGGACCTGTTCGACAGAGAAAGCAGAGCGCTTCTCTACCGGCGAGGCAATAACAGCACCCACAAATGTGAGTGCCGCCGTAAGAGAGACAATAGAAGGCATACTAGCAATATCGATGTCTGAGCCCGAAGAAGCAAGGAAGGAGAAAACGGATATGCAAGCGAAAGACGGTGGCCTACTCTGGAACACTGCAAGAGAAGCTTACCAGCAGTGACAAGAGTGTGACAAGACGACTTGGCTTTATATTAAGCCTTTTGCCACGACTTACCGGTATGGCCCATCCTGATGCGATGCTTGCCTTGCAAATCATCCTAGGCTTTACACGCATTCAATCTATTTCGGTTCCCTGATTGGCACCGTAGCTGTAATGGCATGTTGTTTGCGCACATAAGCATCGATCGCCCATTGGCAATCAAATCTGACGAACCACTCAGGCCGCGATTCCCATCTTGGCAGGTAGCTACTTGTCGTGCTTGTCGTGGTGGAGTGGAGTCGCCGTTTTGACACACAAGAACCTGCCGTTTCGAGGATGGCTCCCAGAGGCGCTTTTCTTTTTGGATGAAAAAAAAGAACCTTCGGCGTGGAACCCAAGAGATGAACTATTAAGCAGGGTTTTGTGGGAGGAAAACTTTGTAAGATTACGGACAACACTGCAGTTACATGCTTCGTGTCTGCGCGACAAGGCTGGGAAATGAATCTTGTGGAAATATGTCCCAACCACGCTATTGGGGGTTATTCCCAAGCATGTGTTTGCGCATCCTTCCCGCTTGAGCAGTGGCTGTGAAATCCAGTACGTGGGAATCATCATTGCCCAGCAAGACATCTATCGGTACTCCGTATCGCACATACGCAATTACACTCATCGGTCTACTCTATCTAACCATACCTCCCTCATCTCCCCACACAGCTCCCTTCATACAATAGCCACAGTCTAGACACCCAGCGTGATTGGATGGGTACCGCAGATGACACTCGCCTTAGCCCTGTATACCTTCCAATTCCCCGCTAAAAAAAACCCCCGGTTTGGTGCAAAGTAGGCGCTTGTGTAGATTGTCGGGCATGTGGTGTCTTTGTGTGTTGCATATGCCGTGTATCAACAGGTGTATGTGTATAATCCGCCGCTGTCCGGGTACGAGACTGATAAGCTAAAAGATGATCATCCATGGTAGCCAGTGGGAAGACAAGCTCTCGTTGCAGGTGTCTAAGCCTCGGGTGCTACTCGCTTGGCGGGAATCAAGCTTCGTGGATGGTTGGGGTCGGGGGCCCGGGGGGGTGGGGGGCTATTTGGAGGAAAGACATGGGCAACGGGGATTCGTTGGTTTTTGAAATGGCGTATGTTAACAGCAACTTGGATAGCATACACTAAGGCTTTCTGCCTGACTATACAAGCCGTGATATGTGGCAGTCCACTAATTTACCATGGCCGGCGTGCGATGTGCAAAATGGCAAGGAGAGAAGTTATCCTCATCGCCACAGGCTGGAACACTGGTCTGGATAGTTTTGTCCTTTTTGAGTCCCGGTTCGATCTTCCTGGATCTCCATGGACAGCATCGTCGTCTTCAGGACTCTCTTCTCATCCCAGGATGTTGCGAGAGAAACCAACCCAACAGAACCAAACAATCCGCGGCGTCGATGTACCAATTCCAACAAACAAAACCGCACTGCGCACCGGACTCCTGCCGTGGCCTGGCTTATATCCGTAACAGGTAGGTGGATAAAAACAACATCACATCACGTACAGGGTGCGGAGATATCAGGGGTTCGGGGGCGCAAATGTAGCATAGGATGTGCTATTTTGTCCGCGCCGAGGGCTACCGGTAAACGCACTGACCCAACCTAGTGCAGGCCTGGAGTGGTAAGGTGTATAACAACGAGGAGAGCCAATGAGAGATGTAGAGTGTAACTTAAACAGACGACAGACGCGATTTCGCCACTGTGACGACTAGAAGGGGTGGTTGAGGGACCTGCCTAGATAGGGAGGGTGGGTGACAAGCCTAGTGTGCATGGCTTGGTCGAGACTTAGCATTGCGAGCGAGAGCTTGTACACCCCCGTCTCTTGATACAATGGCGACTTTGAAGTCGTATTGGAGGATGAATGGTCTTGCAGCACCATACCAGCCAGCTATCCGGCAGCAATAATCTCTAGGCCAATTGGCTTTGATACAAACGTGGATGCCGAACCGATCACGAGTCGGCATATCCACATACACACACATGCAACATGGATATACACACTTACCGCCGAATTATTCGGCCCCAGCACCGGTCACAGCACTCTCCAGCTGCTTGAGCGCCTTGCGGTAAGCCTTCTTTCTCCCGCCTGCCGTAACGGTGCTTTCCTTCAATTCCATACGCTTCACCTTCTTGTTCCCACGCTTGATACTATCCCCCTTTGCGACCTGCTTGAGGAACCACGCAGCTTCTGTCTTGGTAAATAGTGTCCACGCCTCTCCCACCTTCCCAGCTCGTGCTGTGCGCCCGACACGATGCACGTAGCTCGTGATACTAGTGGGGAGGTCATAGTTGATGACATGAGTTATTGAGGGAATATCTAGGCCACGGGAGGCGGCATCAGATGCAATGAGAATTTTTATGGCTCCTGTGCCGAAAGAGCGGAGGAGCTTGCGTGAGGCCTCGGCAGTGAGGGCGCGTGTCATTGTTTTGAGGTACTTTCTGAAGTTGGGGGCGAGGACAGAGAGGAGGTGGGATAGGCGGGAAGCGCTCTCCGTGCTTTTTGTGAATACGAGGACGCGGCTTTGTTGTTTGGAAAGCGAGCCTTCCTTCTCTTCATCGTGTTCAGAGTCCTCAGCTGATGAGGAATCAGAGGACGAATCTGAAGATTCTTGTTTCATACCAGACTCTGCTCCTGGGAACACGGCATTAAGTAGTATGTATAGTAGATGAAGAGGTTTGTTCGAACCGTCGCCAACGTGTACAGCAACTTCGTCGAGGGTCGAAGGTAATTCGAACACGTTGTCTTCGTGGTCGAGCGGCTGTATCTCGGTAGCCTCGTCCTGAACGACCACCAGCTTCGGTCTCTTTAGCTTTAGTGTCCCCAGCTTGGTAAGATCCTTCTCCATTGTCGCGCTCAGCACAACCTTTGTAAGCTGCCTGCGCGCTGGCAAAGCAACAGACCATTTCGAGTTGGCATCTCGCTCACGCATACGGATCCGTTCCTGGGCATTCATGAAGTCTGGAGGCGTTTCGCCATGGAGCGCCTCCATGAGCACGCCTGCCCAACCCTGGAAGTTCTGGTTCAGCAGTTGGTCTGCTTCATCGATAACTAGCCATTGCACGGCGTTCAACAGGAAGCCCGTAGTGTTTTCGATGTGCTCAACGAGCCTCCCCGGTGTGCATATCAGAATGTCTACACCCGAGTCGTACTGTGGAACGTGGTCCAAAGGCATACTCTTGAGATCATCGAAGATGCCACCCTTCTCTGCGAAGCCAATCTGAAACTGTCGGGAGGCCCGCTCATGTAGCTCTCTAGTTCTATGGGGGTCGTATTGAGCTCTCAGCTTCACAAGCTGTTTCTGTTCCGTCGGGAATGCGACATTTCCCAATGCAGTCCCAACCTTGATCTTTGTACCAGCACATAACTCTTCAGCGACCTGCAATGCCTGGTTGACAAGCTGTCTGCTTGGAACTACAATTACAGCGGACAGGACGGGTACAACACGATCCTTGAGCGCTTCGATTATAGGCAGTAGATAGGCGAGTGTCTTGCCAGATCCCGTCTTCGCAGAGACACATATATCGCCCAAGTGCTGTTCAAAGCCGGGATGGAGCATGGGTAGCAGGGCTGTCTGAACAGCTAGAGCATCATTAAAGCCCTGTTTTTGTAGCTTCTTGACGAAAAATGGCTCGATGCCAAGCTCCGAAAATGGGACGTTCTTGGTCGCCTCGACGGTCACTGGCTTCGCAAGCCATGGTGGTAGAGTGGAAAAGGTAGGCTCGAATGCAGGCTCGGGTACGGGTGCGGGCTGGGGCATTGGCTGCAAATCGTGAAGTTCTCCTTGCTCTTCTGAGCCATGCGTGGATCCATCTTGCTTCTGGTCGCCTCGTGACTCTGCCAACTTCTGCACCTTTTCAAATTTGGACAGAATGGCCTTGTGTTTCTTGGGTGTCTCTTCTTGTTCCTGCGCATCTGGGTCGCGCTTCCTCTTCTTGGGCTTCTTGATCGACTTGGGAGCTTCTACTGGCGCGTCCTCTGTAATGGGCGAAGCATGTGAGGCAGATACTTCAACGGCAGAGACAACGGGACTTAAGGCCTTTGCGACCTTTGCACGTACAGGCGCAGCTGGTGCAGCTGGCTTGACGATGGTGACGGGCGGCGCCCAGCGCTTGAACAGAGGTGCTGGCATGGTGTTATGGCGCGCCAGAGGCAGACGAGTGGTCGATCAAGTGACGAGAAAGATTCAGATCTCACAATCTCAACATGGGAGTGAAGTGGGTGAGGTTCGCAATATGGTGGTACTTCTTCGGCGCATGGTAGACCGTAGGCCATCAAGAGTTCTCGGCCCGCCAAAAATTTGGTCGGGACCCTGAAGATTGAAAACGCCGACAATGTGCCCTGCAATGTCCAATGTCCAATGACGCGCCTGTGCCTGTTTCGCGGCTTGTCCATCATTCCATATTCGCGACCACAGTGAACAAGTAGCGCTGTATGCGTCCATGTATGCGCCATTGAGCTGCCATGTTTCCATACTGTAATCGCAATCGAGGAGTCTACCCTCACAGCCTATCATCATGCCCTACAACATTGCGTACGTCCACCAAGCCCCTCCTCGACTTTGTTCTCTAGTTAATCATGTTGCACATCAGTATGGTCAGCGACAACTTCTATCCTCAACCCGGTATGAAGCGAGATTCGATGTACAACTACAGTCTCTCATGAAAACGCAGGGGGAGTGGAGAGCCACATGTACCAGTTGTCCAGTGTATGAACTTTCTGCCATCCCTTCGTTCTCGACTAATATGATTCAGAAACTCATCGATCGCGGTCACAAAGTCATCGTCATTACACACGCCTACGCTGGCCGGACAGGTGTTCGATACCTGACGAATGGACTCAAGGTCTACTACGTTCCTTTCTTCGTCATCTATCGAGAAACGACCTTTCCGACCGTCTTCTCCTTCTTCCCCGTCTTCCGGAACATTGTCATTCGCGAACGCATCGAGATTGTGCATGGACACGCCAGTCTGAGCAGTCTGTGCCATGAGGCCATATTGCATGCCCGCACTATGGGTCTGAGGACTGTCTTCACAGACCACAGTCTGTTTGGTTTTGCAGATGCTGGGAGCATTCTCACCAACAAGCTACTGAAGTTTACGCTCAGCGACGTTGACCATATCATCTGCGTTAGCCATACCTGGTCAGTTTACTCGCCGGGCTATTATGAATGATCTAACAGGATACAGCAAAGAGAATACTGTTCTCAGAGCGTCACTGGATCCGCTTATGGTCTCCGTAATCCCAAATGCAGTGGTCGCCGAGAACTTCCGTCCCCTTTCGCACGACTCGAACGACCCCGACCGTCCCATGGCTCCAGGGCCTCCACAGCCCATGGGCCCAGATGAGATCATAACAGTCATTGTCATCCAGCGACTATACTATAACAAGGGCACCGATTTGCTCGTCGCAGCTATACCGCACATTCTTGCCGCACACCCCAATGTTCGCTTCATAATTGCCGGCAATGGCCCCAAAGCTATCGACCTCGAACAGATGATAGAACGAAACGTCCTTCAAGATAAAGTCCTCATGATAGGTCCTGTCCGCCATGAGGAGGTACGAGACGTCATGGTACAAGGCCATATTTACCTTTGTCCCTCGCTCACAGAGGCATTCGGCACCGTCATTGTAGAAGCCGCTTCGTGCGGTCTGTACGTCGTAGCAACTCGCGTTGGTGGTATTCCGGAAGTCCTCCCTACGCACATGACAGAATTTGCTGCGCCCGAAGAAGACGACATTGTCGAAGCTACTGGACGTGCCATTGCCAAGCTACGACAAGGCAAAGTCAGGACAGAACTCTTTCACAACCAAGTCAAGCAAATGTACTCGTGGACCGATGTTGCACAGCGGACTGAGAGGGTGTACGATGGTATCAGTGGTGTCATTAGCCATACCGAGTTCTACCAGGGCGCAGGAGCAGCGGGTGGTTGGAGTGCTACGCGCGGCCGTGCTGGTGTGCAGAGTTTTGCACTCATCGAGCGCTTGAAAAGGTACTATGGCTGTGGTATCTGGGCAGGCAAGCTTTTCTGCTTGTGTGTTGTTGTTGATTATTTACTCTATTTGGTATTGGAGTTTTTTGCGCCAAGGTCTAGGATCGATATCTGTAAAGACTGGCCGAAGAAGATGGTCAAGGACCCTCCGAAGGCGAAGGGAAAAACCGTAGATGTAGGAGAGGATAGTAAGGGTCCGCTCAGGCAGCGGAGCTTCCGACATCGCAGAGAGAGATTCGAGGAACGCGATGATAGCTTATGAATTGATCATGAAGATGAGCATCCGTGGGTTGGATCTGACTGCTTGGCTGAGGAGCATAATGCAAGCCATAACAGAGACATCAGAGATTAGCTTCGAACTACCTTGTCCCCTCTCTACATCAATCTCACACATCGCGTTTTCTTAGCATCAGCGCTACATGTGCAGCCACTTACCTTGCAGCCATGGGAATCAGAGACATGTAAGCTCGCCGACCTTCTCAGCCCTTCTTTGTCCAACAAGGGACTATCACCTGTAAGCATATTCAGCCACATGACAACTGACTGGATCCTTTGGCTCTGACTCCCCGTACACGGTAAGCGGGCCGCTCCTGTAGGATCCGAGAAGGGGGCGCCTTAGAAAAGAGGAGAGCATGATGGCCGTGTGATGGGAAGATGTTGTCTGGGCCAGGAGGGGGGTATATAAGACTTGAACCTCCATTACAGAACTCTCCCCTACCACGCGAGATCTCCGAGTCCAGGAACTGCCAAGTAGGCATTCGTATTCTCTTTACCATCAAGCCTTACTTGATCTACCCCAAGAGATTCCCAGCCATGAGACCGATGCCCACACTTTTCATTCTCATGTTCGCGTTCCTCGCGTCGTCCAAGCCGCTTTCAGCTCCATCGCTACTCACGCACAATGGACTTGAGAAACGGCAGCAGTGTTTCGATTGCTCGACTAGACTAGCTAGTTGCAGGAGGGTACGTTTGCATGGCTTCTTTGGAGTTGCGGGGGTGAGAGTTGAGAGAGTGGACGTGAGCTAATGGGAGACGTAGGGCTGTGATGGGGCGACGGCGTGCCTGGATGCTTGTGCGTGTCAGGTTGCAGCAATTACTTTTTGTCGGGAGGCTTGTGCGGTTAAGTGTGTGTGAGTGGTTGAAGAAGGTGGTGGAGGAGAGGGAAAGCTGTTGATGTCTATTTATGTTAAATGATAAGTGTGTTGCATGTAGTTTCTGCTCATCTTCCTCCCAATACCGTACCTACCGGTACCGGTTAACGTTAGTCGCGCATTGCATTACTGGTACCTACCTACATATCCGACCAGCAACACATCACTCATTGCATCATGGGGTGGAAGAGACCATTGGGAACATACTGATATACAGCGTATTATACAGATTCATGACAAGCCCCACTCTTTATCTAGCAGCGTGTGAGGATTGGTCGTGTCTTGTATGAGGCCTGGTAACACTGAGCCCTCTTAGCAATTTCCTCGTCAATGTCTTGGCGTGCTTACTATGAGAATACCACCCCCACGAACGCGACCAACCAACCAGCATCAAGACAACGCAAACCAAGTCCAACATCACCTTGACAATCCAGACATTATTGGAACTTGCTTAGAATCCCACAACACATCCTACACACAAGATGCAGCGTCGAATGGTTCGTGGCATCAAATTTGCGCGGTGTTCTTGGCCAGGCGCTGACAGCTGCAGCTCACCAAGGAGGAGGAGGCAGGCGGGAACGAGGATATGGAAGTGCGAAGAGAAGATCAAGAGAAGATCAACCGATTCAGTTCGCTACATCAAAAGGAAGAAATCATTGAAGAGGAGCTGAGGGCGAAGATTGTACGTCTTTGTTATGATCATCTACATTCACAAGCTGATTTCAACGCAGAAAGAAAAGGAGGACCTTGCAGAAATCTCAGACGAGTTGGAACTTGTGGATGAGGAGGAGAAAGTACCGTATGTTCCAAGTCTAGCATATTATATGGCACGCATGCTGTTGTCCACGATACATTACTAATCTTGTGCGACAGATACAAAGTGGGAGACTGTTTCATCTCGTTACCGCAGCCGCAAGTTTTGGAACTTCTGGCATCGTCAACAGAGACCATCGACAAGGAGGTCGAAGAGCTCAAGGCCAAACTCGAGGGCATTCAAGAAGAAATGGGGGAGCTGAAGAAGGCGTTGTATGGCCGCTTTGGTCGCAGTATCAACCTAGAGACCTAGGTGGCTGCCTCACTGTCACATCAACATGGATCACGACCAGATATCCCAGATGAACTGACGGTGAACCTTCAAAGCATCGTACTCAGCATATCTTACCACCATGTCAGGCCATTACAAGCTGTGCATGATTAGCCAATCAACAGTACGAGAACTTCAACAATATGCAACGGTTCAGTCTAGGTGCTGCATGATAATTCTCGGATTGTCCGTGTTTCCCGGCTTTCTTCCCGATCCGAAAGTACGTAGCAGCCGGTGTGGGCCTCCCTCCGCTTCCACAGCACCTATCAAAGCCATGATCGCCAAACAATAACTGCCACGCAATCATGGTTCGACTTCCCCGCCCTAGCGAGAAACGGCGCCTGTACTGCAGTTGCTTCGTGCGTCAAACTTATAAACTGAAAGGGCGCACCGCACCTTAGCAAACCTCGGATGCCTATGCCATTAAGAAAGGGCGGGGTCCGTCCAAGCCTTGGTAAACAACCAAGCATCGTTTATGCACATTTTCTGTTTCCACTCACGTGCTTCGTCCTCTATGTTTTATAGCTGTTGAGCGTTTAATTGTGACACAATAGAGCGTCATTGTCCGGAGACAATGGCGTCTGAAGACCTAGAAAGGACTTATTCCCGGGAGCAACAACGACTGGGACCAGGGCACGAAATTGTAGCAACTCCAGTTGCACTTGTGCGCAGCGTGACTACGAAGAGTCAGAGGAGCCTTCATAGTCAGGGGAGTTCGAAAAGTTGTAGTTAGGAAGCCTAAGCGTATACGAGTAGAGTCGTGGTTTACTGATACGTTGGTGTAGGAAGAGATGCTCGTGCTGTACGGATCAAGAATCTCGAAAAAGAAGAGAGTTGCTCTGCAGCCTTGAATAAAGAAGACGGGATTGAGGAGGCTGTGCAGAGGTCGCCGTCGATGCTGAGTTCGACCAGTTCACTCTCCCAGCATTCTGGTGGAGGCGAAGACGGAGTACGTGGGCGGCGTATCATTCGGTTCGAGGACGGTGATCCAGAGAATCCGGATAATTGGGGACGGGTATGTTTGATTGCCTCGACTCGTTGTCTGGAGAAGTAGCTAACTTTTTTGTAGTGGAAGAAATGCTACGCAATCTTCGTGGCCATCATGAGCGGTCAGTCCAACGTTCCCTGATGTTGAGTTTGTTAGAACTTACAAGTAGACAGTTATGAACAGTACGATGAACTCCTCGTTAGTACTTAATCCATGACTATACCATACATCTTCTAACCGGGAGTATCTAGACTCGCATCAGGAGTAGTGGAACCATTATCGAAAAACTTTAACGAATACAACGAACAAATGCTGATTTTACCAACCTCGATCTTTCTCGTCGGCTACACATGCGGTCCAATGATATGGGGTCCACTCTCAGAGTCCTATGGCCGTAAAGGCGTAATGATGTACTCTTTCGCCCTGCTCACCATCTTCTCCATCGCCTCAGCAGTAGCGCCAAACTTTGCAGCACTCGTCATATTTCGGCTCTTCGTTGGCATTGGGGGCAGTGCGGCTATCAGTGTCGTGGGAGGGATCTGCGCCGACATCTACCACAACCCACAGTCCCGCGGACGAAGCATGGCAATCTTCATGGCGGCAACCACTTTCGGACCTCTTCTTGGCCCGATCGTCTCTGGCTTCATCGGCGTCATCTCATGGAGTTGGCCGTTCTGGATCGGAGCCATATTCGCGGGGGCGTCCTGGCCCATGTTCTTCTTTTTTCCAGAGACGTACGGGCCAGTGATTTTGAAACGCCGTGCGGTGCGGCTACGTAAAGAGACTGGCAAAGACGATATTGTCGCACCGCTTGAGCTGGAAAAGACGGGCCTCAATCACATTGTTACTGTGGTTTTGACGAGGCCTCTGCGCATGATTTGCTTTGAACCGCTTGTGTTGTTTACCTGCTTGTATTTGAGCTACGCTTGTCAGTCTGAAGCACCATCGATGATAATCGTGTATACTTGTAAGGCAAAACTAACTTGCCTACAGATGCGATCTTCTACATCTACCTACAGTCCTACCCGGTCATCTTCACTGGAATATACCACTTCAACCCCGGTGAAGTCGGTCTCACATTCCTACCCATTGGCGTCGGCGCATTCATATCCGCAATACTCTACCTGTCCTGGGACGCCATTCTCATGCGAGCACAACGTACAAACAAGCCCTGGGCAGATAATGAAGAGATGCGCCGTCTACCACTAGCCTGCATCGCCGGGCCATTCTTTGTCATTTCCGCATTCTGGCTGGCCTGGACGGCCAAGGAAAGTATACACTGGATTGTCCCAGTTCTTGCCGGGATCCTCTTCGGCATGGGATATCTCTGTCTCTTCATGGCACTGCTCAACTATCTCGTCGATGCATACGAAGTCTTTGCCGCATCTGCAATGGCAGCAGCTTCGCTTTCTCGATCCACGTTTGGAGCCGTTTTACCGTTTGCGGCAAAGCCCATGTATCGAGCTATCGGTGTAGCTTGGGCGACTAGCTTGTTGGGCTTCTTCAGTCTCGCGCTGTGTGTCGTGCCTTTTGTGTTTGTGAGGTGGGGAGGCAAGATGAGGGAGAAGAGCAAGTTTTGTCAGTATCTGAGGGCGAAGAAGAAGGAAGAGGAGGATGCGAGGGAGACTGAACGGCAGGGTGCAAGGAAGGTGAATGGGAAGGAAGACGTGTAACAGGAGATGGAGTAGTAAAAGTATGTTATCAAGAGTGTTGTGTAATCATCCAGCTCAGAAATACTCAAGAGATAGAGTTGATGGACTATAAAATTATGACTAGTGAGATAGAGCTTGTTTATGTAGAGCCTATGCCTACGTGGCTAGAGGATAACGATTAGTATGCCTATGATATTCCTACTCTGTATCTGCTAGGATCAAGCCGTGTATAGGCCGAGCTTTACCGTCGTTCACGGTAGACCAGATGTCGAGAGGTCTCTGGATTTTTAGTTTCTTGATATATCGCGATACCAAGGTGTGTATCAAGGTAGGTATTGAAGTACGTATCATGATGTAAAACATTTTGTGACAGGCTTGCGCCATGATGTGGTTTGGCATCACACAGTAGTAGTGTCAGCATTGTTGCTGTTGCTGTATAAAATTAAGATAGATGAGTATGACTTCTCCTGTCCCCAAAGTTCTATGCATAGTCGTGAAGAGCTTTAGTATTCTCGTGAAAACGACCAAGTTACTTTCAAGTTTCAGTATACCCGCAAAGACCCTAACTTCCCTCTGATGAAGGTGCGATTCCGCTTATATGAATGATAAGGCGAGGCTGTCATGTAATAATAATCAATATCTAAATCAGCGCTTTAACCAGGATGTTTGATTTATGAGACAAGTGCTTCTGTGCAATACATGAGGTTGAATTAAAGTTTGCAGAAGTCGTAAGAAATTTTGCATATGCAGTGGGCCAGGTATGACAATAGCAGAAACTTTTTGTCCAAGATTAGTTACAGTCTTGGAAGGAAAGCTCTGAAAGGAGTAGAATGACGCGGTTCTTGAATCAGAGCTCAGAAATAATCAGTATTTTCAAAGTACAGAAATTCAAGCTAGAGATGCATGAAGAGGTTCTGTATCAGAGGATGTATGTTATATCAGCCGTGAAACAGACACGAACTAGTGAAAAGAGAGGACAGGACTCCAGTCGAGTGCGAGCTTCTTAAGCGGATGCTACTTGACACCTTGACATAATTCGCAATCCATCTATGTGAGAACATCGCATTAGTTAGCACAAACAGAACGCCTCCTCGTGACCTCGACCCAGTAACAGACATAGATAAGAGATAGGAACTCTGAGGATATAGTACACATAGGACTCTTCAGGCCTAAGGCACAGCACAATATGTGTACGTAAACAAAACCAAGAAGTTGAGTTAATTCAACAATATTAAAGACTTAGTTTGTTAAGTAGTTAGACGACAATAATAGAGACTAGAGTCGCTTTTACACGAGGATCTCAATAACGAAAAGCGCATAGAACTTAACAACAGCACCATCCCTCCATTGCAACGCTCCAAGAGATAACTTCATCTAACCCCTTATTGTTCTCTAGGGATTCAATAGATACCTTAATTCATCTACTGCCAGATCCATTTGCTGCTCTTCTAGTATTAGCATTTTCGAGCGTCTTCATCCAACACCTATTGTGGCGGGGGAGTCGTATTAGTTAGTAGAGTAGTTACAGTGCATCCTTCGCTGTATCTTGTGGCGCTAGAATCGTCTGTATTACGTCGCTTTTGCTGAATCTCTGAACGCTTTGAACACCTGCTAGTACGTTTGGCCGGGAGTCTGTAATCCACGAGTTCCTCTATTGAACTATCAGATTGCTCAAAGTCCTCCCGTGTATCTAAAACACCGTTCAGCGACGTCTGAGGCTCTTGGCTCTTGTTGTATGCTTCCGTCTCCGACACGGCAGTCACGAAGCTTAAAGCCGGGCTGGTGCGCACATTGTTAGCTGGTGCTGCAACTTCCATAGAATTTGCTCTCTCATTCGCCAGCCTGATTGCCTCGTCTCTCTGCTTCTCGGCCCAATCTCGTCCATTTCTGTATGTTTGTAGTCCGGCTGCACAGGTGTTTCGGTTGCCGGTTATAGCAAAGGAGTCCACCTGAGTCATGTGGTACTGCGGCCGACCGCCAGGACTGCGCGGCGAAACAACGTGGCTGGTATACATCTTGAGGGTGCCGCCGTGGTAGATCGATGTCATGGTATAGGCATTGTTGTCGTAAACTGGCTCGTCTTGTTTGTATGACCGTAAAGTGTGTATGGCCCTCGCTCCCAATGCACCATCATAACACGCCTGTCTTCCGGCAACCGCTAACGATCCATCTGGGCCCTTTAGCTACCAGGAGGAAGTTCGGCGCCATAGGAAGATCGTGCTGCGTTGAAGGAATAATTTGGCCGCCAAGCTCATCGCGGACCTTCCGATTAAGCTGTTCCGGGCGGGCGCCATAGTAGATATCTGGGTTGCCGGGTTTGAGCGTGCCGTCCGTCAGTGGGTCGAGATTGGTAAAGGGAATTCCTCCTGAGCGGCATTTTGCATCCCTGATCTTGCCTTCGATGATAGGAATCACCAATTCTGACACCTGTTTTTCTTCACGGGCGTCAGCATCTGCCTGTACAAAATTTTCAAACTCTTCCTCATTGAATATGGACGGTGAGAGTGAAGGTCGACGCCGTGCGAATATTTGATTGAACTGCGCACGGTTATCTGGCCTTATAGGCACACTGCCATTCGGATGCCTGTAGCCATGAGGATAAACATCATGGTCAACAAGGTACTGTTCAAAATTACGGTCGTGAGCCCCAGTGCTCTCTGTTTTCGTCGTATTCGTGGTGGGATCGGTGCTGGGGGGATTTACTGAGCTTTGCTGTCGGCTCCTAGAACTCGACTGGCTCGAGCTCATTGCGTGATCGGGAGGACGGATAGGTTCGCGGAACTAGAGAGCGTCGTTAGCTTTGGCGCAAGCCGGCAAGTATATTATTATGCATACGTTTCTTAGATCGGACAGATGTGGGCCTCCGTGTCTGGCAAATAGCTTTATGTTCTTCAATATCCTCGGCTCGTAGCGAAGATAGTCGGCGATGTATTGAGTTGTTTGGCCATTTCTCTTCAATTCACCCAGGAAGTTTCGAGTCACCGGCCGGCGGGCTCGTTGATGCGATGAACGAGGCGGGCTTGGAGCAGCTTGAGCGTTCCTTCGGTCTAGCTCTCTCAAAGCTCGCTTGGTCAACCAGATTTTCGATAAGTTGTCCCAGAAAGCTGGTGGTGGTTGAGATTCGCTGGGAGGGCTGAGCCTCTGCTTTTTCAATACGGGTCGCGATGTTTCATTCAGTTGGGGTGTCTCTGAGTGTCGACGTTTACGTGAACCAGTGAGTGGTGGCTCAGACATGGGGCGATTTTCGATCGTAGGGAGCTCGGACGCTGCAAGATGGGGAAGTAGATGGATTGGAAGTGAGCGGGGAGCGGGGAGCGGCGCCTATGTCGTGCGGAGTTCCCCATAGCGTGCGATGTGGAGAGGTTGGAGTTTGCGTGGATTCGGAGTGACTTGGACAGTAAAGTGATAGCCATTACGCGAACACGGCCATGGCGCGCGCAGCCTCGGTACCACCGTCGGCGAGTTTTAGCGCTATCCCTATGGTACTTCAGACGTCCGATCATAAGCCATTTAAGTTGAACAATACCGAATAAACCCCCAAGATGACGCGACGTGGCCGCCGCCCATAGTCGTCTAAAACGCGCTGCAGACAGCCGTTAATAACCATCGCAAACGGTGTGAATGACATGTAGCGACGACACCAAGGCATCTTAACACACAAAACGATCACTTCGCCTATCACGTTCTTCAAAGAAGGAAGCAGGTCTCCTGTTGCTTAACACACACACACGCTCCGTTCATCTCGCCTGTACCCTACCGTCTAAAGCCACTCTATCTTCACGCTTCACAGCCCTAAGGTCACAGATCCTGGAACGACGACGAGAACGCTCCCTTGATCAAAAATCTTACCTACTCCGCGTCACATGAGAGCCACACCCGAGAAGCATGAGACCATGGCCCCCAGCCCGACAAAGGGACATATCCAAGACCAATCACCCTTGTCTATAGACTATAAAAGTCTAAAATTCTTTGCGGCTGGCAGATTAGGATTAATACATGCTATAGATAAGGAAAGAATTCTAAAGGAGTTCTATAACAAGGGAATTAATATGAAATATTAAGCACTTAAACACTTAGGACTACATGTGAATATTGTTTAATATCTAGGTGCAATATATAATAGCCTTATTTTTAAACGTAGTAGACCTATTTAGATAGTAATTTAAGAAAGCTGCGCAGATTAGATTCCATAGTATACAAGAATTTGTTAGTGTTATAGACTAGCCTTAAGGGAGAATACAATAAGCGTTAATAATAGTATTTAGTATCTTGAAGGAGAGGTAAGCCCTCTACGCCTTTTTATAGGTGTGTAGCGTGTACAACCAAAAAGGTGCGTATAATCCATGAATGGATTATTCACGAATAGAATAGTATATATGGGCGCAGGGCACGCCATACCCCATAGTCCTACCATGCGCGCGCACGCTGCTATAGCCTGACACTGCCCATCTTTCGTTAGACCCAGGCTTAGGTATAAGCCTAAGCCCTTTACAACTACTCCTATTTAAGGATGAAATAATCGGCGTTAAGAAGCAATATACTAAGAATTAATTTCCAGAGGTCAAGAACATACTGTTAGGTAAACTAATACAGGATTGCTAGAACAGTGCGTTCAATTCTATGCATGAAGTCCTTCAAGAGCTTCACGCTAGCTTGCTAGCTACTGGGGAGGGAACAATAACCACTGGGACGTGAGAACGGTGTTCCTTAACGCCTCGAGGTCATAGATGACCAGCAACTATAGAACAACGTGAAACAAGTCTCTTCCAATCCCGCTCATTTTCTTCTTGCAAGACCTTTACAAATATCTTGTCGTACCCGCCTCCACAACCTAAGGTTGTGTACGTAATTCTAGGTGAGGAGTGGGAAAACTTGTCTATTTGGATACATGCTGTTCTTTCAGCGAAACTGTCCCGTTTATTTGTACTCTCTAATATGATAAAGACGACGTCGTACACCGGTGCATGGGTCCAAGTGATGATACTAGTAAGATCCGAAAGATACCAAGTTAATGATAGGATAGACTTGTAGTCTATAACCAAAGAAAACAAACACAATTACAAAAGCACTGCCATCACAAACTCTAGCAGATCTTTACTCGTCCTTTGAAAAGAAGCCAACGTCCCCACTACTCTTCCCCAACGCCACAAGTCTCTCCCTCATCTTCTTCGCCCTATCCGCCATGTCCGAATCAAACCCTTCAAAGTCATACTCGTTTGCCCACTCTCCTACACCATGCTGCAAAACATTTCTCGCTCGCTCCCCACCTGCTGCGGCCGTCCCGATACTACCATGCAGCGTCATTCGCTCCTTACTACTATCATACACCCCACGATGCAGGATGTTATTATTGTAAAATGCCACTTCCCCAGCCTTCAACCTGACAGTGATTTGGTTTGGCAGATGGGACTCGTAGGGATCTGCATTGCGCTCCGTCTGCGTGCGCGCACGCCTATGCGAACCAGGTACGAGGACGAGACTTTCGTCATCGTAGAGTGCGAGGTTCCATTGTGCGTGATAGCTCGGTTTTGACAGCCGCTCAAGTTCTTCTTCTGGTATAGCGGTGGCCGAGATGTCATCGCGGTGCCAGCGGAGACTAAAGTCCTTGTCTGGTCTGACCAACATATTGTATAGTTCCATGGTCAGATCATCTTGGGAGCAGCCGATGAGTGCCGCGACATAGGTGAGGAGTTCGTCATCGAAGTAGGATTTTGCAAAGACTAGGTGGTCTGGATTGGAGGGGTGGAGTAGGTGTTGGACACCCCAGATGCCGTTTGAGGGGTCTTGTGGCCAGGGGGGGAATTGCTTGGGTAGAGTGCGGACGTAGGGCCAGGTTCCTGAGCGTGCTGCGTTGGTCATGCGAGAGGCTGCTGCGCGGAGGGCTTCAAGATCAAAGCTTGGGAAGAGAGAAGCGGATAGGATAACGAAGCCGTCACGATCGAGGGACTTCTTCGCAGCTTCATAGGGTCCATCATGGGATGCGATGATGTTCTTGGAAGCTGCGTAGCCATCCGATGGTTGATATTCAGGCTGAGCAGTCATGTTGTTTCCCCAGACCGTCGTTCATCTACTCCGTATTAACCAAATTTCCTGCCAGCCGACCAACTCTCGATTCAGTAAAAAGCTTCGCGATACCTCAGGTGAGCAGTTACAAAGGTAAACAGTAGCCCGCACTCTTTCTTTCTTCCGACCCTTGTCAGGCTGGTCCACATTATTCAAGCGTGTTCAAGTACATGACCCGGGCGGTCTTTAAAATCAAAGAGGATTGGATATGGCAGCATGTGGAGATTGTCTCTGTAGTAGACTGTAGATTTGACTGAAGGTGGAAGGTCGCACAAGCTACCCACAACTTACCCCGCCACGTCGACCCCACCAGACATCCCACTTGCCGTGTAATGTGTAGTGGACAGATGGCAGTTAAATTGATTGATTTTCATTACTAACACAACGCATACTCTGTACGCACAATAGTCAGTTAGAACTCGCTAGCTGTTGATGATATCTCAACAAGTCTGACAGTTTTACCGAGGGATCATAATCCTCTCAACTTTCCCAATCCGGCAATTTACGCCAGGCGTGGAAATCGGCCAACGGTCTAATTAGTCGTATTTCTTGGCACTGATACGATGGCAGTGCGCTATAGGGCCGCATTACAGTTGGGGGGTATAGTGGAAGTAGCTGTTGAGGATACGAGGAAGACCACTTGTGTATTAATCACTGGAGCATTGTCCGCATCACTGATCATACGGGGTTGTGACCCTATCTTGGTGGAAGAATCCTCGGTCATATGATACCAGGCAAGGATTGACTATGTATGATCTAGGAAATTTGTGTCTGTTCTGCCGGTCGCCTGGCTTTCGATCGTATAAGAATTGCAGTCGAATCATTTAGACTACCTTATTCCTGTGGCGACTGCCCATGGCCATGCACGGTGGGCCAATGTCGGATAGTCCAAGGTCAGGTACTGGCCAGGTTCGAGATGCGGGAAACGACAACATTTTGCGACACCGCCCTTTGAAGATGGATCTTAAAGGTCAACCGAACACCAAACAGATTTAATGGTCAGCAGGTACTGAATGATCTTACTTTCGAAACGCTAGTTTTGCCTTTGCAAGGCTGGCAAGGGTAAATCTACGACAATGGCACTTCTTGAGAATCAGTCTTAGCTTCCGCAGCTGGTACACACTCCTGCAGTAGCGGATAACTTTAGATCGCTGGTGAATATCTTCGAGCTGGAAGAGAGTGGCTTCCATCTTCGAGGTGCGGAATTTCAGGGGCGAGACTGTTGCAGCTAGCATAAAGCAAGGCTTAACATTGACGCCAGGAACAACGCACATCAATTTTGAATGTGATCCACCTGGAAAGAGCGCGTTGATCAGCCTGAAAATTGACCATGAGATCAGCAATCAAAGTTGTGGAAACATAGCCAATCCATGGAGTGCGACTGGCTAGTCAAGTTAGCCAGATGAACATGTCCCAAGTTGATGAGACGTTTTAGGGTATGTTCGAAGAAGGGTTACATAGGACAACCCTGGCAGGCACTTGGCTGACTCTGCGGGACTGTTATTGTACATTGTGACTGTAGAACCGCTTGTAGAGTAAGGGTGGTACGTGTGGCGGACCACTTCAGATTGCCCGCACCAAAAGATCGATCGAGCATGTGAAGAGACGGACACCACACCCGGCAGAGTACATGCATGCGAATTATGTCCCGAGCCTAGAATTCCAGATCCGCGGATGTGTTTGTTCCAAGATCTTCCAGGACGCGGCTAGACGGGATCACCGATCATCCGAAGCAACAAGATCTCGCCTCAAAATGGGTGATTGGCTGCAATTTCAAGGGTGCAGGCGGACGCAGCCTCTTTTTGCAAAATGCGGTTTGCGTGACGTTGGGCAGGCAGCCACAAAGCTTCGTTATGCGGGCCTCCACGATTCTAGACACCAATGGGACTTGAGAAGTATGCGGGGTATGGCTTGTTGACGATGAGAGACACCTCAACAGTCCGATTGGCGGACAGTCTGGAATCAGCAGCCATTGCTGTTGAACTCGATCTTGACGGCTACCCAAACTAGGCATGAGAAGGAGTACTATAGTCGAACGTTGTGGAAGGGAGGAAGACAGAAGGAGGAATTTGTCAACAGGGGCCGTCGACTAAGAGCAAGGAAAAGATTCCCGGGCTGTATAGGTGTGATTCAGGAATTAATAGCATGTATGGCTGCGCTGGTCAATCATTGATCTGAACTGTTGTAGCTCTATTTCGGGTAGTACTCTCAGTAGGAGTGGAGAGGAGTGGGGACACCAAAGGACCCGCTTCTATACTGGGCTTGCGGTAAGTGTGGTAGGGGCCGTGGAGAGTGCTGTGAAGTGCCGACTGTAGGGACTGGCGTATTGTTGTGGCATTGAAGTAGCGCCATAAATGTCGTCATATTAGTAATAGACAAGGTACGGTCGCCAGTCTACACAACCGTTTCATCAGGTGGCCATGGGGCAGTCAACAAATACTGCGATGTGCACCGCTGGAGTATCATTGTCGAGATCGAGATGCCATCATGGCAACAACGAACCAAAACAGGCCACCACAACATGACTGCCTCTCTGGATTTGTTCTGCCAACGCGCCACTACTTGTCATCTTTGGGTCGGTGGCTGGACCGAGATTTTGATTGAGCAAGGCGGTAGAGTAGACGGGACCCTGAGAAGACGTCCAGTGGACATGGGAATAACGCAGTAAGTAGAGTACTGGGTAGAGTAGACTGGGTAGATACAAGTACAGTATAGTACATACCACACCGTGTGTAGAGCATGGTGGAGTAGACTCTTGTACTCTACGCTGTCGTCCCGGGCCACAACAGGCAGTCTCTGCCAGAGTCTGGGACGCTGGGGCTGCGCACTGGGCGGTGAATGATAATACGCCGAGATGGGAAGAAGATCTTCGCTCCGGCCGCTCCACAAAGACCAATGATTGGTGGCCACTGCCCAAAATAGCTGACATGCCTTCCTGCCCTCGCGTCATCCCGGCGGATTTTGGGTGAAAAAGCGGGGGCGTGGGAGAGCAATGGTGCAACACCGACAACAAACCGTCCCTCGAATTTCTTTATGCGGATACGAGGCAGCGGGCAGCGCGGGCATCGAGCCAACACCTGTGCATGGACATCAGGCATTGGCTACTGTTGTATAGTACGAGAGTACCAGAGGACGGGCCTCGCAAGCTGGTTGAGCCGACTCTCCCAGTTTCTGGGCCTCGCAACACTCCAGGGCTGGCCGCCCCCTGCCCCCTTGGCCAACTCCTACCTACCGTAACTCGTATAACTCGGGACAGCAATGGGAGAGGGGGGGACGCTCTTTGTGCAGGCAAATGAAAAGAAATGACCATCAAACAAGTCTCATCTCTCGGTGCCTAGCAACCTAGCACCTTCCCCACGCCTTGGCAGACATGGGCGGTCCTGCGCATTTCATCGTCGAGTTTGCAGCTCATAGATCTGGGAAGCGTGCCCCGGAATGGGACCGCGCTACCCTGTTCGCGCAGATGGTGAAGAACAAGGGATTGTGAGCCGCCACTGAGGTTGTCTCATCTCCAAGGACGGGATGGGGTACGCAGCGAGGCGGGGTACAAACATGTCGGTGAGCTTCGACATCACAAGCACGACCAACAAGCCGTCCTTATCGCATACAGGATGCACACCACCGACCCCATCCCTGTCGACATTCTTCGGCACCCTGGCTCTTTTCCCACGGCCGTCCACCAACTGCTGCAAACGCTCAGCCGCAGATGTGGGTGGTTCGTCGTGGGCGCGCTGTGCACATTGGCTGCTCTGCCTTGGAAAACGCGTCGAGCAGAGAGCAACGATGTGCGGCAGCCGAGGGGCAACGGCGAGTCGGGATCATGACAGGCCCCTACTATGGTAGCTAACCCACCACCGATATGGATGGGAGGAGAAGCTTCGCTCGCTGAGAGCAAATTGCAGGCCTGTCGTCATGTTGAAACAACGCTCATGTTTCCGTGGACCCTGGAATGCGGACGAGCATGCGTTTGCGTTGCCTCAAGAGCCTCTAGGGCCGTCGGAAGCAGTCCTGGCCCGGAATGAGCGAGCAGTGGAAGGCAGGCGGTGACGACGAGCGCGAACTTCTGTTGTGTCCCGTTGCCATGCATACTCTACGCTGTACAGGTGATTGCAACGCGTCAGGAAGGCCAGCGAGGGATTGTGGGGAGAGGGGGGAGGGGGGGGGGAAGAGAGCAAAACGCAGGACAACAGAGGTGGATCGTGGCTGTTTATGGGATCAGATATCAAGCTGCAGGGCGACTGACTTGCTGATGCACCTAGATTTGCGGCCATGGTACCTACAAGACACGGGATTTGTGCTGTGTACATCTAATGTCCATGTTCTGTACATATCCATGTGCCCGCCCGCATATGTATATAGTACATAGCAACCCAGATTATGGACCGGGGCAGCCGACTGGGGTTTGTTCAGTGAAGCTGGGCTGGCAATTACCGCCACCCTTGTCCACCGCACAACACAGTATGTACCTTAGGTACTCTGTTATTTGTGTGCAGTGTGTACGTAGAGCTACTGGTACTCTTCCCAAGGTACTGTGTGCACCACGAACCGCAGTCCAAGGCACTGCAATGGTTTTGGCGGTTCAATGGCAGGCCAACTGGCATGACACGACGCTTGTTCCTCGCGTCAACCAAGAGCGCGAGGATGAGCTGGCCCTGCACATGTTATGGCACTGGACGGGAGAGGGGGAGGGGGGAAGGAGAAAGGCACTGGGACTGCAGCGCAGCCGCACCACGCCTCCTATCATCCTATGTACAGTACATAGTTACTACAGTGGTGTTTCCCCCTCCCCCCCCCCATGAAGTCGTCTTGCAGGGAAGCTCGGAGGGCGAGCCCAGCGTGCATGATGCTCCCGTGATGTGTTGCAGCCAAAGGTGCAAAGCAAGCGCAACGTGCTCGGCCTGGCGTGAGTAACTTATTGGGCGTCTCCTCTCGGCGGGCGCACGGATGCCGCTAACAGCTGCAGTGTCCCCCTTTGCTAGAACATCCTACGACCACCCTCTTCACCGCGAGAGAGACGCCTTCACCCTCACTCTATTATTTCCCTTCTGCTTGCCTGTTGATCCCGCCCCGTCGCTCGCAGCACCACAAGGCCGCCTATCCGTCCGCCGTTCAATGCAGGCCTGAACAACTGCTCGGGAGGCTTGGTACACGCTGCCATCTCCGTCCACCACGACAGCCTTCCCTGCGCTCGACGACGCCTTTTTTTCTTTGCCTTCTCTTCTCTGTTTTAATACTTTCTTCGTTGTTTTCTTCCTTAGCAGCCTAACAGGTACCTATCCCCCTCTCCCCCGCCGCTCGCTGCCCTTCCATTGTACCACCTGTGCAGAGGGGCCGACTGCCGACGCTGCCTCCCTTTACACATCGCCGCCTCGACCCAGCCCGCTTCTCGAGCCTCTCCATCACAAGCTTCCATCTCCGCCGCCCACGCCTGCATCTCGCACGTACAAGGCCATTCACGCTAACACTACGTCCCGCTGCAGAATTGCAGTCGCAGCTTCATCAGTGTCTCCTTATCTCGACTTCCCTTCGTCGACCTCGACCGAGCACTCGACAAATCGATCTGCAAAGATCCCAATGGCTACAGTACTCTCGCCAATCGTTCAACCGTCCAGTCCCATTACGATGCCCTATTCTTCCTCCGATGCCTACCAAAACCAGCCCACGCAGCCCAAGAATCAGCAGCCGCGATCCACGCAGATGCCACGAAACCAGTACAATGGCACGACGGGTACAAGTGGCGCCACGGGGTACAGAGGTACCTCAACGCCGATAGCACCCTATGCCTTTAGTAGTACGCCCCAGCTGCGACAGGAAAACAAGTCGGCCCCGGCTGCCAACGGCCCAACGGCGCAGCAACAGCAACAGCAGGCCCGACTCGGTCATCCGTCTCATCCTTCCTCATCATCCGACTCTACAGTCTCGACCTCTGGGTCCTCCAGTCGTTCATCAGCAGGGCCGCCTCTTGTCTCCAAAGACGATGGCGACTTGCGCAAGCCGGTCGACAACTTCACTCCCTCCATCTCCCTGTCGATACCTGACCTTTCACTCACTCTGGGTGGCGATGCCCCGGTCAAGCCATCGCCTGGGCGGTATAGGCGCGCTCCTGGACGAACTGATTCGTCCACCAGCGTCCCAACAGGTGCTACGACACCGACACAGCGTTCTCCTTCAATCGGCTTCTCCACTGCACAGCCAGCCCAAAGTGCAGTCGTGGTCAACTCTGATAATGAGCCATCAGCCAAAAGCGGACACAACCGAGCCAATAGTGCTGATGAAACGCAAATCACTCGACAAGGTGGCGTAGACCCCGCAAAGAGATACAGACGACGAAGCAGTAGTGGAGTGGAAGCTAGCAATCTTACCACAAACATGGCCACACTTCAAGTGGCTACGAATGGGTTACAGGCAGCGAGCCCAAACACTGGGCAACCCAAGTCTAGTTCTGGACGACCAGCGTCAAGTCGAGGCCACGAGAGACAGGGCAGCGTAGGTAGCACAACCTCCAAGACGTCTTCGCAGCAACAGGTAGGGTGAAAATCCATCTCGTATGTCCACAGATGCTGACCAGCACAACAGCCACGTCCCGAAGTCACCACACAACGCAGCTATGCCTCTGTTGCTGGAGGTGGTGGATCAAAAGCTGCTGCGGGCAAAGATGCCAAAGCATCGGAATCTGTCAAGCGCCATGCGCCCTCTCCTCTATCTAACCCTTTATCGCCTTCTGGACCCCCGAGTCCCACCACTCCACAGAGTACTGCTGCTCAACAACTTGCTGCTTTGAACGACAAGGAAAAAGGAATGAAGTCACGTCTCCGCAGAGCCTTCTCGTTTGGAAGCGCCGCCGAGCTACGGCGGGCTTCTGCGGAGAACACTCTCTCGGCAGAACGAGCAAAGCTGCGCAAGGAGAGGTACCATAACGATGAGGATGCAGAGCAAGCGGCGATTATCGCCAAACAAGAGGCGGCGGGAATTGGAGCTGGCATCTACTCTGGCCAAGGTGGCATTGGCTCTACCGATAATCTTTCCATACAGTCGGCTGCTTCATCCGCCTCGATTATGCTCCGAAAGATGGGTCATGGAATGAAGAAAGGTACCAAGTCCATCAAGGGCCTCTTCAGACCAAAGTCCGTCATTGGAGTGCCGGCCGCAGATGGACCAATTGCGAGCCCCAGTGTGGGTCAAGTCTCGCTGGTTACTGTTGAGGCGGAGCGACAGAAGGTCAATGTCAACGCGAATCCTCACGAGCAAGCTGGAGGTGGCACAGGATATCCGAGGTTGGAACGCAACTCTGTTGACGCTGGGCACGCTTCAGATGTTGCCAATCCCTCCGCTATGGTCAATGATTCATTTTCGAGGAGAAGCATCGTAGGAGGCGATCGCGAGCGAGCAGAAGTGCTATCGTCGATGAAACGCGGTATTCTAAAACGTAAGTATTCATGATTCTTGTACAAGCCCGTGCTCACAATTGCTTTAGGCACTGGCACCAACTCAGACTCTGGCTCTCCCGTACTCAAACCGGTGGATGCTGTTCCCAATGCCGGCAATTCGAGGTCGAACTCTCCGTCGACTCCTAGGACGGATGGAAGCCAACCACGTAGTGATGACTACTTCGCAAAGCCGCCACGCATACACAATGGCAGCACAAGAAGTCTTCCAATCACACCCCATGGTGGTTTGAAGAACATCTCCTTCAGCCCACGTATACAGTTCCACGATGCCTGGTCTCCCCAAGACTACGATAGGAGAGGTGACATTGCGACGTGTAATAGGCTTACACCAATGCTAGCACAGCAAATCAAAGAAGAGCTCAACTCTTTCAAGATGGTATGTTCTACATTTTCCCAGGCCTTTGCCGAAGTGGCCGCTAATCACATGTATAGGAGATGGAGGTCCACGAGGCTTCAAAACCACACACACACTTCTTCTAACGATTATGCATCCATCAATTGGACAAGGCGTCTTGGCGAAAACCTTTCAATGTTGCACTTGGGATTTGGAACTCCAGCATTTACGAGTTGCCTGTCAAGCCAGCTCTTTATTCTGGTTACCATGGACTTGTTTCTTCTATATTAGCGAGCATTTGCAATCGGGTAGAGAAGCATGCGTTTGCTTGTGGGGGCTGAGCAAATTGTTTGCATTGAAAAAGTAACACGTGGAGAAGAACTCTCACCCAAGTTCAATTTTTCTTTGCCTTTGTTGTCTCTACCTGGGGGTCGTTTTCTAGTTGATGTCCATCTTACAGGTCTTCTCACACTCTACTATGTCACACAGTCAGGCAAATTTCATTACTTCACTCATTGTCTTGGATGAAGCACTTCCTTGCTTCTTTGCTCTTGTTGTCCTGAAAGATGTAATCAAGGATGCACTCTGCTGGCGCAAAAGGTCCTTGAGGGGTATTGGCACATGTCGACTAGCTGTGTAATTGGAGAAATGAAGTTCGGTGCCTCAACACAATTCACCTCTGCGGGGTCACAGCATTCCTTGTGAGTATTCGAATTTGGCATTGCGCCCGCCTCATTATTCTCCGATGCTTGATCCGCCACAAGATAATGGACGGTCTTCTGGCAACGACGAATGGCGTGCCGTACCTGCCCACTCCTCTTCGATACAGCCGCCTTCAGCTTTGCCATAGCATGCCTACACACTTGGCGCATTGATGGCTAACAGTCCGCGCGTTCACAGTACGGCCATTGCTAACTTTGTCTGACGCCCAATATTCCCCTGCGCCTTGCTCTAACCCCAACGGCTACTGCACCGACCATATGATCCTCGAACCCATGCAATCTTAACGTTCGCCAATATGATGATCCCAGACAGATGGTCAAGATATAGCGAACCACATTTTCCCATTAAGCACGTCACGATCGCAAGAGCGGACAGCCACGCATGTTGGTGGATCGCGTGCGAAATCTTTGGTTTATCGAATTTGTGCTTTTCGAGAATGACCTCCGATGTCTATGCGACCGCATGACCCTTTTCTATAGCTTTTCCTGGAACGGAAAGGTCCGAAAGAAGTCGTCTGTACAATGATGGACAGAGGATAGATATCATAGATTCCCTGTTGATAGGGAGAGGGTAGCGCGGCTAGTATTAATTATCATGTCGCTGGTCAGTCCATGACCCGAGCCCACGGATGACAGCGAATCACGTGCGCGATACTACAACATATCTCTAGAGACATCATTGTCTAATCCGAGCGCTTCATACGATTCAAATAACAGCGAATTTTGCCTTTTGTGGTTTTTCATCGCGAAATGAGGGGTGAAATCTAAGGTCACGTGCTGACACTCGCTTGTCAAAGAGGTTAGCGTCCTTGGCAACACCGACTCCGCACGGCACTCGAATTTACCTTGATCACACGTCGACGACCACTCTGTCAGCAAACACACCACATCCGACAAAATGGTATGTCCCACCCGATGGGTATGAGAAGGGAGACACGAGCCGTGTATTGACTATCTTCACAGGCACCTGCAGCAACTGGAGGCAAGAAGCAAAAGAAGAAGTGGTCCAAGGGCAAGGGTACGTGACATCGCAGCGCGCCTCAAGCACCATCACAGCACTCGAATCTACGTCCGGCATGGATCGCGATACAGCTCCCTCATTTTCCAATTCCGAGGACTTTTCCATGTGCTTTGCAACACTCCTTCGCAAGAGTCGCCACTAACCGCCACGCAGTCAAGGACAAGGCCAACCACGCCGTTGTCCTCGACAAGCAGACCAACGACAAACTCCAGAAGGATGTCGGTTCCTACCGCCTCATCACCGTCGCCACACTCGTCGATCGCTTGAAAATCAATGGCTCGCTTGCACGGAAAGCGCTTGCCGATCTTGAGGAGGCCGGTCAGATCAAGAAGGTCGTTGGACACTCGAAGTTGAGCATCTACAGTATGTTGCACTACAGGCCCTCTGGTCTTTTGCGACCCATGGACTGCAAAATGCGATCATGGCCAAAGAAATTCTATATGGAGAGCATGACTGACACTTTGTAGCACGCGCTGTTGCCGCTGACGCATAAGCGGTTTCCCACGGACAAGCAAACGAATAGTGGACGCGAGACCCGAGATAATTCTTTCAGATTTTCAACGGCATACCTCTTCCCATTACCATCGGCGTCTTCACAAAATGAATGGTTCACATATACTGGGTGGTTCATGGCGATCATGAGTTGAGAGGAACGGGCCTGGGTACAGCACCCAGAGCCTCGAGATTTGTCGGTTATGTACTGAATGAAAACGATTCCCAAAACACTCTGAACTATTTGGTTCTTCGCAACGACTCATACACGCCCGCAATGAGACATTCTGCGGTATTGGCTATGACTTGATGTTTTCCTTCACCTACGCGTCTGATTATTACAGACTTGCCACTTGTAGGCAGTGACTGTGCCCCCTGATTGATTCTATTCACAGCATATTTCGTGTGATGCGCAATTATTTAGATTTCGAGATTATGCCCTTCGTTACTTTGTTGACTGTAGATCAAAGCTGAACTGGAAAGGGACCTTCATGTATTCCGGACTTGATCCTGACCTGTGTCGTAAATTCTTTGTTGCTATGGGAGAATGGCGGACTACTACGAAAGGAATATAGTGCGTTAAGTACTGTATGGCCAAGGACTTTTCTTCTGTCTACTACACATGCCGTCTCTGAACGAAACGTGTGTGACAGATGGTCTTGCTTCATCTCTAGGCCTCTGATGCGCATGGTTTAAGTGGGTGACAAGGGGAGGATGTCAGTCAAGTGAAGTTTGCCCATTTTCAAATCATCATGGGTATAAAACACATGTGTACGGTAAATCGAAGAAATATCTACTTGCAAAGCTCAACCCCCCAAAGATAAATCCATCTCCCTGCGAAATGCTCTCACCCCAACTCCGAAACCTACTCATACTTCCTAACCGGCCTCGCCTTCCTCGCCTGCTCACACAACTCCCTCTTCGGCAACTTTTCCAACCAGCCCTCCTCCCTCCTCACCTCACCGACCTTGAAATACGGCTTCCCCTTGTCCCCCCTAAACAGCGCATGCCAACCCTCCAACGTATCCCGCACCTGCTTGCGCGCACTCCGCAACTCCTGCGCATGCCGATTCTTGCGCTCCGCACTCGACAACTTGGATCTCTTCTTCGCACGCTCCTTGTCCTCTGCCGTTGCTCCTTCCTTCTCCTCTGGATCCAGGGGCACAAATGTGTACTCTGCACCGCGCAAATCCGGCACCGAGTCCTCTGCAAAGCAGCCTGTGATGAAGGCGCGGGCGGCGTCTTTGCCGGCGAACACGTGGTAGGAGCCGCCGGGGCCGTAGGTCTGGGGCGAGGAGGAGACGTCGTAGATTGTGCCGTTGAGGGCGAGGTAGATTGGTTTGTTGGGGTCGGCGCCGTTGTAGAGGGCGAGTTCGGCGTCGGTGAGGGTGATTTGGGGTTTCTTTGGAGGGGTTAGTCGGGTGTGAGGGCGTTGGGTTTTCAAATCCCGGTAGGGTGTGTGCGGGTAGGTCATGGGAAATATATATACATACCATGAGTTTCTTCCACTCTCGTGCACGCGTCCACCACGCATTGTAGCCCCACGTCATGCTCTCTCCACTCGTGCTCAGATAGCTCAGTCCACTGCTGAGGAGCAGAATTCCCCCCAGTATCCGCAGGATATCGAGAACCGAGAAGCCATTGGATGTCTTGACGGCTTGTTCCTCGACCGCCTTCTTCAGCTCGGCCTCGTCCTTTGCCGCGGGCGAGGTCGGGGGTACAGACGACGTTTTGGGATCGGTGTCTGTATCTGGCGATTGCCCTGGGCGGCGGTACCGAGCGGCCGTTGTCATTGCGTATATGTTTATTGGGGAAGAAGAAGAAGAAGAAGAAGTACGGCGGATGTTCGGGGGTTGTGTGGTGGTAGGTTGGGGTAGGGGGGTTAGGTCCGTCGGATGTATGCTAAGTATGTAGTAGGTAAGCAATCCCGTGTTCAGCGCATCTTGTCAAGAAAACTCAATTGACTCCGGTACAGTACGTACCTTTTCCGTGACCCTTGATTCAAAAGCTCCACAAGACAAGCCTACACCACCTTATCACCTTTACTTTCCGGCGCAGAGTCGTTCAAGAGTGCAAATCACACATGATTGAAATACATGCTACTTATGTTACATCACACATCACACTCAAACTCTAACATGCGCACATCCCCAGCCTCGGTAACTATTTTGCTCAAACTGTCCTCTTCTGGAGTCTTGTCCTGTCTCCCCGCCCCAAAGTGTGACAGCGTGGCGTGCACTATGCAATGGGCGAAGCGGAAATTTGGTTAGATTAATCATTACCCCAACTTTTACTAGGCGTTGGGTACGGTTCGGTTCGGGAGTAACACGCTTCGGGTTTCCGATGATTGGACCGGGGGGTTTTACTCTAAAAGGAGCGACTCTTGTCATTGGTTGCGAGGGTCGGCTATGGGAATGGATGGGCATGGGCAGCAACAGCATCTGGAAATGGAGGCGGGTGTTAAACACACTTTTCAACCATCTACACTTGGAGTTTGTTTCTTGGTAGATGTGTATCTATACTTGTATGAACAGGCTTGTATTTCTAAGGTCCTTTGTATTAATACTATTCATTCAGTGACCCTGTCATGCAGGGGTTGTACAGGCTAACGCTTTCCGTGTGACAATCAATATACGATTAAACAGTGTCAGTCTCAAGGACTCATTAAACTCATTGCGACGCCCTAATCATCATTTGCAGCACGAATCTCAATCTGTGCTTCTCGGTCGCTCTTTGGGAACACTTGCTTTAGGCCCGCTTGGAAGACGCCCACATTGTAATCGATAATGGCCTTTTTCTCGGCTGGGTTGTCCTGACCCATGATACACACTAACGCGAGGTATCTGATTATATCGTCAGCTACTACCCCTATTGGTGGTGAATCATGACCTACTTGTTGATCTCACGCAGGTACAGATATCTGCTGTTCTTCTTCTCCATGGTGATTAGACTCTCTGCATCATTGTTGCCAGTCTCGCTCTCATCAGGTTCTTCGTCCAGCCGGTCCCATCCATAGATCTCGCTAACATCGATGACTACATCGATATAGTCGGAGCAAATCTCGTAGCTGCCAATGTCCGTCGGGCTCGTATCCGTGGCAATGTAGATTTTGCTCATAATGTCAAACAAATAGGCCTTTTCGATGTTACACGCGCCACAGAGATTGTTGAGTAGTGCTTCCAAAGTGGGCAGCTGTGGAATCAGCTTTTGGATCACTTTGCTAAAAGCCTCGAAAATGGAATGATCGTAAATGCTCGTTTGGTAGAAGGATATGGGTGCTTGTTCGTAGCCGTTGTCACTGAGTTCATCTTGCACACGTTGGATTATGTCCCGGAAGGTGTCGCCTCGGAAGTCATCCGATAAACCATCCACTTTGTGGACGAAGACTTCAACGTTGATGTTGGGATACGACTGTTGAAGGTTCAGTATCGTCATGTTCAACCGGGCAATGGCATCGAGGTACTCGTCCTGTGCGTCAATGACCCAGATCAGGGCGCCTATTTCCTCAAAAATATTGTCTGTGTCAAAGGCAGGGTCGAAGTAGTCCAAATGACCTGGCAAATCCCAGACTTGGAAATCCATGAATGAGCTGCAAATGTAGTCAGCTCAGTGGTACGTCATTCCTCTAGATGGCATACTGCATTGATTCCTTCTTGATCCGATAGGTAGTCTCAAGGTATAACGTTTCGCTGGGTGGTAGCTTGTGGAAGACTACACTCGATATAGACGACTTGCCACTCCTGAACCGCATGTTAGCTTGAGCATCCTCGGTCCTCGGAAATATTCACCTTCTTTGTCCCATGAGTAAGAGCCGTGGTTTGCCATCTCCAGCCTTACTATTCGGCACACGACCAGTGTGATACTGTGGGGGGTAGTCGGAGGACGGTGGTAGCTCCGCGTTTGGTAGGTCCTGTAGGAAACGATCCATGGTCAATTGAGCACTTGGTCTCAGGAGAGACGAGCAAGCGGAGGTCTGCACCTGATCCGCCTGCTCATCACTCGTGCTTCGAGAGATATTACGGGAAGCATCTACTGCGGCCGCATGTCTTTCGCTGACGAGACGACTCTCCATGGTGAACACGTAGGGTAGTGGTACAGGGTATATTGCTCAAAAAAGAAAAGACAACAAAAAGCGCACAAATCAATGGACGAAAAGAGGAAAATGGGGTATCGTGAGTGCTGGGAAGGAACGCCGGGCCGACTGAGAAGAGAAGGCCTCGAAAAAATCTTCGTATGCTTCGTCGCTTCTTCACCTGGCCGACATTTGCGCAGTGAATCGTAGTGAATTCGATGGAAAGGAATCTGGCAATCGTTGGAATGACGTGTTTGGCAGACCCGAGAAGCAGAAAAAGCTACGGTATACGACGACCCTGTCGATTCGGCGTAAGGACAGCCGAGTGGAAAGAAAAGGCGACAGATCGAGTCAAACGACGGGCGCCCAGTCCTCTGCAGCAACAGGATGCGCAAGGGCAAATCGTCACCCGGCGAGGCGCGGTCAGGCACGTGTGGGAAGAGAAGGCAATGCTCAAGCCATGGTGAGAGCCAACGACAGGGCTGAAGAAGTTGCGACCGCCGCCACTGTGGCTGATTGCAGAGGAAAGATGCATACAAGAGCCGTGGAAATGGAAAAGCAACGAGAGAGAGAGAGAGAGAGAGCGGGCAGGCAGGCAAGCAAGCAAGCAGGCAAGCAAGCAAGCAGGCAAGCAAGCAAGCAAGCAAGCAAAAGAACAGCTGGGCTTACCTCCATTGTATTGCAGTGGTAGTATTGGGCGGTCTTTGCGTTACGTGCACGGGAGTGATAGCTAATGCTTAGGCCCGAAAGTTGGCACTGATGATACCGCACCCCCCGGACAGGCCCAATCCGACGTCTCTATTCCCCAAGACGTGCAACGAGGGAAGGCTTGAATGTCGTCTTGGTATATTGCAGTGTTGCAACCGCGACTTTAGCCTATCAATTGGCCCCCAAATCTATTATCTCAGCGTTGGGTGCGAGCAGAAAATGGCCACGGATCGCCAGGCTTGGGGGGAAGCAGGAGTTGGCAAGAAGAGCGAGCGCTAGGTGAGGGCGAGCCCAGAGCCCAGTGGCTGACGATTGGGCTCCGTAGGGTCACTGCAGCACGAGTCGCGAGGGGGGCAAGCAGAAGTCAGTGCTGCTGCTGAAAGAGAGTGGCACGACTGGAAGCCTCTCTGGGATGCGGAAGCGATGGAAGAGCCGAGTGTAGAGTGGAATGGTTCGAAGGTCGCGTGCAGGCGGATGCATCTTCGCTTAGCTCACGGCAACGGATGAGAGAGATCTTCAGGCACCGTTTTCGTCTTCTCCAATCCACAACGGGCTTCCCGCCATGTCCAGACCACGCCGGCAAGGCCACTTGACAAGCCAACTCATGGATCACACAACAATCCGCAACTCGATGGCAGTCTTCGTCACAGCCACACGCACTCTTTGTCAGCTACAGCTACAATGACTCGGTCTGACATGGAAGACATGGTTTCACCGTCACGGAATAGCGACCCGATGCCGCTGCAACGTCATCGTACAGTATTGGTTCCAGGCACCTCCGCAGGTTATACAAAGTATCACAAGAAAGACTTTACATGGCGCTCGTTTCGTGGAACAGACATCATGTAGCTCGACTCTGCACGTAACTTGCCTTGGTGTAGACCTCCAACACCCCGGGACATCAGCCTTTGCATCCAGATCAAAGAAACAGCCCGCATCATATTCTATCCCTCCTGCACGCGGTCTGCACGTTTTCTCAACTCCACACGGGAACCCGTGTAAGAAGGCCATTGCATTTCCGCTGCAAACCCGTGCGCCCGCGCCGCCCGGTCTCGTTTCAGTCTCGTGTCATCGTGTAATTGAACAGCCCTCTACATTCATGGGCCAGTCACCTCCGCCCCAAGCACAGCTGACGCCAATTGTCCCACACCGCCCATCATGGCAAAGAAGAGTGCCAACGCAGTCGACTCTCCTGCATGAACAACATCTCCATCAACCATGGCACCATCGGCCTCCGTCTCTGCCACTGCTTGTCTAGTCTCTTCGGACGGCTGATAGGTCAAATCACCATCCGAGTCGTGATCAGTGCCACGTGCAAGTGGCTCTGTGTCATAGTCTCCACTGCCAGCCTTTCTCCGCGAGCTTCGTCTGAGCGAGCCAGATACAGCTAATGCCGCAGAAGAGACGCCGTTCACAGCCGCAACAGCGCTCTTGGATGGACGGCCACGTTTCTTTGGAGTCGTAGTCTCAACTGGGGCTGCAGGTTCGGTTTCCATAAGCCTCGTGAGGTCATCCTTGAAATTCACACGTTTCTCGTGACTCGACGCCAGGAAGGAGAAAACACTGCTTTCTAGAAGGTAGTCCACGTCCAAGTCCCGAGTGAAGGTCCATGTCAACAGAGCGATGGTGGTGAAGAGCACATCGAGACTGGTAACACTGATGGCTGGATGCTTACTGATGACCTTCAGTCGCTGACCTGCGATGCTAATGCCAGCGAGGACCCTATTTGGTGTGTTCCTCCCGTGTGAGTTGTGGAAAAGATCCCAGACGTGGGTATGCTTTGATGGTGTGGACATGAAGATGGTGGTGATGAAGATGCGCCAGTATAACAATAACGAGGCCAGCGAGAGCACGTAGAAGACCTTTGCGTACGAGCGATGAGCAGCCACCTTGGATGTATGCTGCTCTCCGAGGCTTACGGGCACAATCTAGCGAGGGTCAGTCCAGTCCCGGTGAAAGGCAGTTCGGACACTTACTTGGGGCGCGAATGCGAAGAACAACGGCATAGCCAAATAACTCAGTCGTAGCATGCTCTTGTCGCCATACTCGGAAATCAGCTCGGGGAACGAATTCAGTGTCACCAGGGATACGACGATTCCCAAATCGTAGACCATGGGGGATGGTGTGAAGAAGGCATCGTGCTTTGGTGAGTCATCTCTGCGCACTGTCGTGGGCGTATAGAGGATGGTGACGAAGAACAAACTCAAGGAGAATCCCAGGCTTCCAAGCGAACAGAGAAGGACAAAGGATGCGATGGTGGAGGTGGAGAGATTGCGCCTGCGGCCTTCTGCGCCCATGAAAATGGCAGCTGCAAGCAGTCCAACAAAGTACTGACTCGTGTACAAGAATCCTTCGGGCTTCATAATACCAACGCTGTCAAACTCGCGCACGAGATCAATGTCCGAGATCCAATCGCCCAGGTGCCAGCGCGCTTCCGTGCCGGTGGCGGACCAGCCATTCAGAATGCTGTTCGGGGTGTCGTAGTGTTTGTTCTCAGCCCAGCGCACATAGGAAATGGCGCGCCAGATGAAGGCGAAGCTGCCTACAGAAGCGAGCGATACGGCAGCTAGCAGTGAGAAGACGATAGCATTGCGACGGCGTATCGAGTTTTGCAGGCGCGTTCGTGTGGAAGGTGAGAGGGATTTGGCGGCGCGTCGGGCCTGAAGGAGGACGTTTGCGGTGAGTACTGTAACGAGAACAATCTGGCCGCCGAAAATGGCAATAGGCAGCGAGTTGCTCTTCGCATTCTCGACGGGTGCCATCTTGGATGTGGTCGATGGTGGTGATGGTGAATTTCCTGATATTGGAATGTTTCAGCGATGGATTAATGATAAATGCGCATCCTGCAAGAGCAAGGAGACGTAAGATCTGAGCAAAGTAACAACAGGCTTGCTGTATGTGGTAAATATGCGTGCTTTGGTCTTGTTTTGAATTCAGACGCGCCCGCCCTGCCCTGCCTTTGCACACATGACACCCCACCGTAACACACGTCACTGCGACGCATCTGGAGCCATCTGATCCCTGCCAACGCTAATACTCTTTTCGCTTAGCGGTCGATCCGCCTAGCGTGTCATGCGCGGTGGATGGGTGTTCCCGCGAACCACGAAGCTGCCAAAACGTTGAATCCACGTCTTCGACACAGCCACAGCCACAGACACATGCCATGGCAATCAGAGATTTCGAGGAAGACATTGACAACGCAGACGACAAGTATCACGAGTCTTCCGACGAGGACTTCAATCCCGAATCAGCGCCTCCCGAGGACGTCTCGAGCTCTGAAGATGAGGACGAGCAAGTCGCAACGAAAGTGGTGCAGCGCAAGGGCAAGCGGAAAGCGCCTGATGATGAGGAGCTAGACTCTGGGGACGAAGTGACGATACAGGCGGCGCGCAAGAAGCGGTCAAAGAAGAACAAGAAGAAGGGAGCAAAAGCCGACGACGATGAGCTGATACTATCCGAAGACGAAGGCGGCGAGGGTGGGCTGATCAAGACGAGAGCACAACGCAGAGGGGAACACAGGGAACGAAGGCCCCTGGCAAGAACTCAAGGCGCAACAGTTGACGTTGATGCATTATGGGCCCAAATGACCGCCGCGCCTCTGCAACCTCTCCAACCAACCCTCGCACAAGAAACAGATGCACCAAAAGACGAATCCACAACCAACACAATCCCCCCACCCATCGCCGAGGAAGAAGAGCAAATCCCCATTCGCAAAGTCTACACCTTCGCCGGCCAAGACACCACAGAAGAGAAATCCATCCCCCGCTCCCACCTCCCCAAATACCTCACCCTAGGCTGGAAACCTGTCGATTCCACCGCCACCACCACCTCCCCCGATCACCCCACCTCCCCATCCACCACAACCGCAAACGCAACCGTGCCGCCAGTATCTCAAATCCGTCGGCCCCTCCGCCGCCCCACACGCTTCGACCCAAACCCCACAGGCTACGTCCGCGCCCTCGCCCCAGAACACCAACTCTTCTGGCCGCGCCAGCCTCCCAAAACAACCCACACACCCACCGCCCTATCACGAGAGCAAGAAAGCACAATGCCCCCTCCACCACCAGACACACAGGCCCCCGGCAAACCGCCCAAAGCCACCAAACTCAACGTCGTGGACAAGTCGCGCATGGACTGGACGGGCTTCGTGGACAAGGAAGGTATTGCCGAGGAATTGGATACCCATGGCAAGACCAAGGAGGCCTACTTGGGACGCATGGAGTTTTTGGCTGGCGTCGAGGCGAGGAGGGAGGAGGAGCGGTTGAATGCTAAGATGAAGGCTGCTGCGGCCGTGTAGTGGCTGTGCTTGGAATTAATGTATGTATTCAAGTTGTCCTTTGAGGAAGCGGATGTGCGCGTATGTGTGTGTGTGTGTGTCAATGGAGGGATTCAGATGTGTTCAACGATACCCAATATATATATGTAATTATATATACATAATAGCCCTCTTCTGCTGATATAAACGATAGTAGAGGGCATATTCTCCTTCTTCCTTGATCCTGGTGCTGGTATAAACGATAGTGGGGGGTTATTTTGTTGGAAAATCGCGAGATTGTATGAAAACCGACTGACTGATCAAGAAAAAGAGACAAACGTCGTTGAATCGAGCGTTTCTCACCAGTCCATCCTTCAGGTTCTTCTTCTTCCATCTATGTACTCTCCTTGTTCGTCTCTCTTCTCTCTCTCTCTATGTGCAATGACAGATATACTCTTTATACTGATTGATCTGAATGGCTCAGTGAGGATCTCGAACTGGTCCGAGAACGCTGGCGTTGGCGATGTAGAAGCGTTTCAATCCGCCCAAGAAATTCGAAATTTGTGTGGGATGACCAAGATGACAGAAATCTGACATGTATAGCGGCCTCTCGGTATCCAAACGGTAGAAGCAAATGGTGAGCTGAGGCTACTTTGAAATGTTCGGTAGCTGTGTGAGAGTGGTTGTTGGGGATAACAGTACAAGCGCTGACGAGAATGCGTCTTCGTTGGATGAAGCAACATGAGCGATTATGCCATGGCCTTCTCAAGCGCGCTTTCCAAATCTTCATTACTTTCGTCTTCATCGTCACCATCATCCTCTGCAAGCTTGGGGGCCTTGTGCGGTTTGGGCTGCGTACGGCATTAGTATGTACTCTCGGACCAGTATGATAAAGAGCCTTCTTACCTTCATATCTGCGAAGATAGCAGGCACAATGTGGTACGTATCTGGATTCCCAGCTGCTTTCAGTCTTGCGAGCTCTTTACCCGCCATGTGCCACACCAAAGTGGTCTTCTTTGGATACCAGGTGTAAATAGCAGAAGCTCGAATTGTCTCCCAAAGTACGGGGTGGCCAGGTCCAAAGTAAGATTTTACTAGCGGCGCAACTTCCCGGTCAGAGCTACTTGACGGTGACGGCATGAGCGCACGAAACGCAGCATAGCAGCTCTGCAGTAATTTGCTGTACCTCTCGCGGGAAATCTCTTTCTTGTCGCCCAGGCTACGATTCCACTCTTGCCTGATGCGTTCGAAGTTTTCACGAAGATGTTCAAACTCTGCTTTGAGTACACCCTCATCGCGTAGTTGAGTGAAAGGTAGCTGCAGCATTTTATCGTCCTCCTGATCCTTGGGTAATTTGGCGCTGAGTTGGTCGCGGGTCTCGGTATTGTGCTTCAGTATGATGTTGAAGTATAGATGGTCCAGGATATTCTTTGGGTTACCGTTATATTCCTTCATGCCTTTCTTACCTTCGCCTATCTCTCTGCTCTTCGCATTGTCATCCATGGCCTGCTTATATGCAGGTATCTTTGGATTTCCACATTTGAGTTTCTTGAGGATGAGATCTTTAAAATCATCATCGGTGAATTTGAATGCCTGCTTCGGCGCATCGACTAGTAGGTCATGAACATCGCAGAGTGCCTTGATTTTAATTGAGAAGATCTTGTTCTCCTTATACGCCTGCTTTTCAAGAAAATTGGTCACCTTGCCCAACAACGACGGCGCAATCCGGAACTCGAACGCCTTTTTCAGGAAAAGATCGAAGCTGCCATTCGAGGGGTCACGGGGATTCATGACTTCATTGATCTTTTCGGGATCCTTTTTGATTCCATATTCTTCGGGTCCGGGAGGGGCCAGGGGCGCTGGAGCATTTTTGAAAGACTCCACGAGATCGTTTTCCCAACAGGTCCAGAAGATGTCGCCATCATAGTCACCGCCCTGGAGCTTTCCTGCGAGTGGGTACTGACCTCGCGTTGGGAAGACAATGACGTCTCTCAGGTGGGCGAGCTTTGAATATGTCACCACACGCACCTTCTGAATGTCTGATCGACGGCATGCTGCAACGCGTTAGCAGTAGTTTTTTTTTGTAGTTAGCCTAGACCTACCCGGTTGACGGGCTATTAAGACTTCAAGTCCATCGAGATGACGATATGTCTGGCGACTAAACTCATCGACAAATGGCAAGGAGAAGCTGATATGCACTTGACCAGGCTCAAGGACACCTTCAGGATCAGCCAACCCAAGTAGAAACGTCGCACTTCCCAAAGGTGCTCGTAGTTTTTGCTCCATAACACTTTGACGCTGCCGGATCAAGTTGATGAGAACTTTCGCGAGAAAAGGACTGTCCTGGGGCGTAAAGCCAGCCCTAAGAAGGAGTTTGACCTTCTCAGATTGAGAGACTGGTAGCGCGGCCTCCCAGGGAATGACGCCGCTAGTAGCAGAACTTTGCTTTGTGACCCAATTATGCAACTTGACAGGCTCAGAAAGCATGTCCAACAGTTGCGCTCGCTCAACATTGAGGTGCTTGATTATGAAGTCTGCTATAACATCTCTCTTCACACCCCTGTCTACCAGTATTGGTATAAAGGAGATATGTAGATCCGTAGATCCGTTGACATGACTATGCTTTACATAGTTGAATGTCAGCCTGTGAGAGTTAAAAGTAGCGTCGTTTTTGTCGGCTTCGTGTGGCTCGTATTTAGATTGGCTGTCGGAGATTTCGATCCAAATATCGTTATGCTCTTCATCACGGGTATGGGCCTCGGCACTAACCATCCACATACCTTTCGCTCCTCGGATTCGCCCCTGAAAGGCACTTGGCAGTGGTTCGTCTGACCCGGTTGCTCTGCAATACATCTCCCATATTATACGTGCTGCCCCAACAGATATCCGAGCACAGCCATCGTTCATCACTTGTGGCTGGCTACACTTTTCATCCCAATCAAGACCTTCATCGTTGAACTCATTTGCCTCCGGAGTACCGTCCGATCGTATATCTTTTACGAGGCGAATCTGTGACGGCTTGAACACAAGTGTTGGTATCGTTCGTGACAATCCAAGAGCAATTCGCGAGTATGCTTTGTAGAGATTCTGCCACTGATTGATATCAAAGTCAAGAAACTCATTCAGCATTTCGTTGACCGACATTGGCTTTGTGATATCCAAACCTTCTGTTGCGAACAACACGACGCGTTTGTCGGCATCATCAGCTTTACGCCCAGTGTTTCGTTTTTGAATGGGCTCCACGTAAACTTAGGGGACGTCAAAGTCAGTACTCCTCACACTATTGTTGATGAGACAACGAACTTACATGCTCGCCACTTGCGTCGAAGGAAGGAGTGTTCTTGCATAAGCCACGACTGCCATTTATTCTCTATTTGGCGCATTTGGCTCCGAGTAAATCTCTTTGGTATGTTTTCGCTGAAAGAAGGGAAGGTGAGGTATAGAAAGCGATCAGAACCAAACATGCGCTGGAACTGACATGATCTCTCTGCTTCTATCTGGCTGAGCTCAAGCTTGAAAACGGGTTGCGTAAACCTTGTATTAAAGCTGACTTTGGCTTTGAAAGTAAAGCCCTCAAAGGAGCTTCGTGAGGCTGTCCAGACTGCAGCCGACTCTCTGGGACCAATTTGGATTTTGTCATCAATCGCTTTCCAGAACGACTTTGCATCTTTGTTTATGGAATCGTCCTTTACCAGTTGCAACAGTGTCCCTGGGGTGACAGAGTTTAGGGCTGCCAAGCGGTAACATATAATGAGGACAAAGTAGGGTATCTCTAAAAACCCACGAGGAAGATTATCAGTATCCATAAATATGTTCTGGTACGGCAGGTTCTTTATGTACCACGACAGCTTCTCCGGAGACTTTGCAGGAGTGATCGCCTGCAGAGGTGGGTCATGGACAGGCTCTTCTGAGGCGTTTCGCTGTCGAATATCTGCTAGTTCGAGAGTCGGATAATGAACGGATGGATCCACTGGGTGTAAGGGTTCTATCGTTGACAGATGTTCCAGATATTCTGTTGCAGAACCGTTCGAAGATCTGCTTGTTATTTGCGTTGTTCCAGCGTGAACGGAGGTACATGTGGCCGATTTCCCATTGGGTACAGCTGGCTCAAGTTTTTGTTCCTTTTGATGAGCAATTTCTATTTTCAGTAACTCATTTTCGTCGATTGAATCGTAACTAGAGTTACTTTCACGGCTCTGATTCTGCGACAAGATGCGATCAACCTCTCTCTGTTTCTCTACAACGAAAGCCGCTGTTTCTGCTTCACAAAAACGTGCTCTGTCTGGGTCAACATCGCCGTCGTGAGACGTGAAAGATGTGTTGATCGATGTGGCGTTGGTCTCCTGCGATGATACTGCCGTGTTATTGAACGAGGTGTTGACAGATGAGAAGCTCGTCGTGCCAGCTTGAAAAGAACGTGCCATATGGAGAGCAGGCTTCTTGAAAAGCGGGGGTGTGGCTATCGGTGCGACTGATGAGCCTGCTGACTGTTTTCCTTTGAGAAATTTTGTCAATCTTGGTGATATTCCACTGTCCTCTGAGCTATCTGAAGGGCGTTTCCGATCACCGGATCGTAAGGAAACGAAAGGACTTGCCTTTTGTCGTCGATTGGCAGATCTGCATGATGGCGACGGGGATTGTGAACGAGGAGTAACGAATTCATCGTCCGTGTCTACGTCTGTTGATGAGCCAGAATCGACAGGAGTTGCGCATAGTTTGACTTCGTTGTATCTTGACTCTCGTTCCTGAAACCGGCCACCGGAGTGAGGAATCTGCTCTGTAGCTGCAGGGGAATTAGCTTGTGACATTAAAGTGTCTAACATGGTGGCCAATTTAACGCCTGGCGTTGCTTGCATGTTTAGAAGATGATTGTGTGTAAAATTATAGCAAAGAATGATCATGGGGTTGAGGTCTCCGATATTCCCGTGTATGGGCTTTGGTGAGGAAGCCTGGATGGATCCAGCTACGCGAGCCACCTTAAGATTCATGGAGAGGTACAATTTTGACCACAAGAGAGATTAGGCAGGAGATTATAGATTGCACTTACATGACAGGCTCTTTGGTGGATGATTTGCTGTGCCAATGAACGTGTCCGTTCGCGACTGCGATGAGTTCACAGCCCGCTTGCTCTTGAGCAGTCCATCTAGCAGATCGAGATGCTGGCTATGCGCAAATCCAGCTGCAATACTTTCAAAGGTTGCCAGCACCTCATCAAGAGTCGGTTTTGAAACGAAGAAGAGGTGCTGAATTCTAGCCTTGATTATGTCTGCGGCCGTACGGTCTTGAGCGGGAGATCGATGCTCATCCACTCTCAGGCCTAATTGCCATTTCGCGTCTAGGGACTGGATGAGCTGCTTGAGTGCAGCGCCATTCGGCTTTTGGTGATGTGGGGTCCGAGGCGCGGGAGCGACCGAGCCAGTCAGATCCGGACTTTGGTGGCTTTGAGTGTGGTTGCCTTGCGCAAGGCGGGTAGACTTGCGCATACCGGGTGTGTCATACACAGTAGCTACAGATTACATCAGAGACGGTGGTGCAATCGAGGAAATTTGCAAATCGCAAGCCAACTACAAAGAAGTGCGACTCTGAAACCGAGAGGATGAGGGGGAGTCCTGCCTTAGGCTGCAGTTGCGAGGTCAACGCACGAGCTTGGCGACGCGTCCTGCCTATCGCGCTATCACGAGATCATCAAATTCACCGAGCCCGGCGCTTACACTGGCAGGGGTTAAACCGAGGGCGCAGTTTATATAACCATAGAATTAGCGCTGCGTGAACTTGTATTTAGTATAGGGTTAGGCCATGCTAAGCTCTACTAGCTAGCTAAGTAAGGTTAACTAAATATTATACTATAAGATTTTGTAACATGTTCTAAACCTATTCTAAATATATTCTATACTAGTAACACTATAAGCTACTACTACTATACCTATTACTAATATATCCCTCTTATCCTATATAAGCAGATTAAAATATATTTAGAACGTGTTCTTAATAGGTTATAGAAGCACTATTAATAGTACCTTGCTCTTAGCTACGTCCTAGATAATATTAGGGCATAGCCTATAGTTAGCCCTAATAGGGTAGTTAAGATAGAGAGTAGAGAGCGCTACTACTATACTAAGATTAATAATAAGGGCACCTTATATAGAGTAAGAATAGGTTCTAAACGTGTTCTAAACAGGTTCTAATATTCTTAGGCTATTCTAGGTACTAGGGGCACTCTATATACCTATGCTAAAAAAGATTATAGGCTTAATATAGCCTACTATAAGGTTAGTAGGGTTAAGAAGACTAGCTAGCCCTCTATAATAGAGGTCTACAAGGTAAAGAGTAAATATATTATTAACCTATTCTTAACTTATTATACTAATATATATAGACTTCTATATAAAGGTTATATATAATTACTAGAATACTTCTTACTATAAGTTATTTAGAATATATTTAAAACTTATTACTAATATATTTTATAGAAGTTCTCTAAGCCTAGCTAGTAGCTACTATAGGCCCCCCTATAAATACTAATACCCTCCTAAATATAATTTAGAAGAAGACTTATAGTAGCTATAATAGTAATAAGGTATAGCCTATAAGAACCTATTAAAAATATATTACTAACTTATTATAGCTTAACTTTATTACTATATCTACCCTACTAAGGATTTAAGGTTATTAGGTTCCTTATGCTATCTACGCTTATAATTATCCTAGCTATAGTAAGTTATTTATAATATATTATTAACCTATTCCTAATATATTTTAAGACTATTACTTTAATACTAGTATAGACCTTACTAATTCCTTACTAGAATACTACCTAGTTCCACTTGTAGTATACTTTTGTAGAGCCTAGGGAGGATAGGGAGGATAGAGAAGATACTAGAGAGGGGGAGGGAGATAATAATAGTAACAAGTAGGAATATATTAAGAATATATTAAGAATAGGTTCTAATAAATAATATATAATAGTATATAACCTAAAGGGGTAGTAGTAATTACTAAAATAAACTCTCTACTCTTCTCTTTTTTTTTCTATCTACTAAAAGTAAAGTACTATTTACTTTTATAGGGTCCTTTAATAGTATATAACTTTTTCTTTTAACTTTTATAGGTATTATAAAGCTCTAGTAGTCCCTTAGATTAAAGAAGAATCTAGTATTTATAGGTGTCTAGCTATAACGTATTATTAATATATTCTAAATATATTTTAAGAGACTAGACTTATATCTCCTTTTTGCTACTTTTACTAAATATTATTTATAGTATAAAGGGGAGTAACTATTTACTCCTCTTCTTTACTCTCTACTTCCTCTTTAGCCTCTACTCTAGCTACTACTTCTTATTATAGACTAGCTATCTTAGAGGGTTCTTAAACCTTAGAGGAGGCACTTAGTGTAGTCTACTCTACTAGCAGAGAATATATTATTAACATGTTTAGAATATATTCTTAAGTATTTACTATTAAGCTCCTATAGAAGATCCTTACTTCTGCAATACCTTATATTATAGTTCTGCTATAGTTTACTAGGGCTATTTAAACCTTAGGATAATACCTCTTAAGGTAGTAAATAAGATTACCTCTATTAGAGAAGCAATACTAAAATAGTTATTAATATATTATAAATATGTTCTAACTTGCATGCATATATACTTTATAAAGTTCCTATACCCCTAATCTAGCCTAAATAGCCTAGTAGAAAAGCTTACTAGGAAATACTATACACCTATTATTTAGGTAGGATATTATAGGAGAGAATACCCTAGTATTAGATAGAAGTAACTTAAGCTTAATATATTGCTAGTATAAATCCTACTTAGTATTAGAACAAGTTTATAACATATTCCTAACGTGTTCTATTATATACTAACTTTAAAAGATCTTTATAGACTATATTAACTAGTTATATCTAATAATATTAAGAAAGATAAATAGTAAAATAGTATTAAACTCTTAAATATAAAAAGTTCTTATAGAGTGTAAGAAGAAAGAAGAAGAAAGAGAAGAAGAAAGAATATACTATTCTATCTACTTATATATACTTATATAATAGACTAGAATATATTAAGAACTAGTTAGGAACTAGTTACTATATTTATAGACTAACCCTACCTTATATAAAAAGTAGCTATCTCTTTCTTAAGTTTAAACTGTGCCTTTTGTAATTTAAATAGTGCCTTTTTCTATACAAGTTCTTCCTTATCTACCTCTAGCTTTTCTTTTCTCTCCTTTAGAGCCTAATTACTAAGAAGAGCCTTTTATTATAAAGTTTATAGTTATAGACTAATAATAAGTTAGGAATATATTATAAACGTGTTTTATAAAGCATACCTTTAGGTTACTATTAGTAGAGGAGAAGAGCCTAGTAGTAGAGAAGATAGAAAAGGGGCTAGTAAACTTCTTTCTAATACTGCTCTACTACTTGCCCTCTAGCTTTAGGCTTTTAAGCGTGCTCTTTTATTTCTTATTAGGACTAAGATATATCTAGTTAAGTTAGATATAGCAAGACTTGCTTTATTATTATCTAGAGTATTATTATTATTATAGGACACGTTCTAAACACGTTCTAAATATGTTTTAATTAGTAAATGTGTATAATACTAGTATAAGACTTACTTTCTCCCCTCTAAAGCTTTTTAAGGTACCTTTGCTTAAGCCTATTAGGAGTTCTATAGTTATAGCGTATTCTAAACTTGCTCTAGGCTTTAAACTCTTTTATATCCTACAGATCTATCTAGTGTGCACTACATAATATTACTTATATAATTCTAATAGGTTAAGAATAGGTTATAAACTTACTTCTAAGTAGCCTTAAGAATACTTACATGCTTACTAGTTTTATATCCTTTCTAGCCTGCTTGCTTAGCTATATTTAAATAAGATTCTAGTTTTTCCTATACCTCTTTTAATATTTTACTATAGTATTATATAATCCTAGTAGTAATTACTAGGTTTTTCTTATAGATTGCCTAGTTTTAGGTATCTTTAGAGGGTTTGTGTTCTAATTATATAAGAATAAGTTAGGAACACGTTTAGAATAGGTTTAGAATATGTTTACTTACGTAAGAGGAGGTTAGCAAGCTAAAAGTATTCCTCTACTATTAATACCTGTAGTAATTCACTTAAATATAAAGAGGTAGTATTATCTAGCTCTCTTTTATATACTTTATAAATACTTCTTTTGTAGATATACTTAATAAAATCTTATATAAGATTAAAGTTGCTAGTACTAGTTACGCTTATAGGGATTAATTAACTAGAGATAGCGCCTAAGTCCTAGAAACAAGTTAGAAACACGTTACAAATATGTTATAGTGCGCTATAAAACTTACCTATTATCTACTTGTTATATATATTAATAGTAGTCCTATAGAATCCCTATAAGTAAATATACCTCTATAATACTTATCTTTTTATAAGTGCTTTACACTTCTAAAAGAAGTTAGTAATAGTAACTTAATATATCTTAGTTATATCCTTATCTATAATAATTTAGCTAAGTATAATAACTATAATATATTAGAAATATGTTATAAACCTATTCTTAATACGTATGCTTCTTTTCCTATAGGTAGAAGATTACTATTAGAATCTCTACCTATGCCCTATATAACCTCTTATATAACATATCTATCTAGAATATATCTTAATCTAATAGAATTAATGCCTACTCTTTAAAAAGGTAAATAATTAAGTTACCTAAGCTTAATATAAAGATTTGCTATATATATACCTATAGTAATGTGTTAGCAATATATTCTAAACCTGTTCTCTTACACCATATATAGTTTTAGGATCCTAATGCTTTATCCTCTACTTATAGTATACTCCTCTAAGGCTACTCTTAAATAGGAACTATAGAAGCTTTTCACGCTTTATAATACGTAAGATTTTATCTTTATTTATAAAGCTAATATATATTTCTTTAATAGAATAGAAACCTTTAAGTTAGAGATAGGTTTAGAGCTAGGTTAAGTTTAGGAACTAGGCTATAATAAGTTAGGAATATATTTATAATAGGTTATAAATAACTTATATTATATAAGCTATAGAGTAAGCATAGGCTGCAACACCTTTACTACTTCCTTAATATTACTATTAGATAGTGTTAAGGGAGGAGGAGGTATATATATATATATACTAAAAGAAATAATAGTAAAAAAAGGTATTACTACTATATCTATTAGTATAATTACTTAGAAGGTAACTTTACACAGGATTTTAAATAGAGATCCTTACCCTTATAGATAATTAACGCCTAGAATATATTAGGAATGTATTAGGAATAGGTTGCAATATGCCTACTACACTTCTTTATCTAGCTTAACTATAGCTTAACTATAGAATATAAAGCAGGACTACTAGAAAGATTTAATATCTCCCTAGTTAGAAGACCTTATAGATATATAGAGTCTACCTCTAGTAGTACCTAACTAAAATAATATTTTTTCCTAGTAGTAGATATTAGGCTATAGTTCTAATAGCTAATATATAGTTAAGCCTATTCTACAATTTACTAACTTGTTATTAACACGTTTTAAATATATTTAAGTTTTACTCCCTACCTAATTTACTATAGTCCTTATTATAGGATAATAAGATACCTAGTAGTCCTTATAAATCCTTAAAGAGAAGCGCTTAATAAGGCTATAATAATAGCTTCTTATTTATAGTTCTCTTTATAGAATTTTCTTAGGTACTATACTTTTTAAGGTTTAGATCTAATTATATAATACGTTATTAACAACGTAATAAGAATATATTTATAACATGTTCTTAAGATACTTACACGCTTTTACCCTAGAGTATTAGTATTTATACTAGCTTGCTAGCTAGCTATTAAAGAATAGTAAAGTTATAGGCCTATTAAGATAGATAGACTAGTAGGAGTATTATACCTACTAGAATTAGAATAATTTAAGAACGTGTTCTTAACATATTACCTATATAGCCTGTATAAGCACCTCTTCTCTTATTAGGTAAAAGCTATCTTTATATTACTAAACTAGTATTATATACCTATACCCTTAGCTATATAATTAAGGGTATGCTAGGAGAATAGCTATATACTTAATAATTGCTAGTGTAAGTAGTAGTCCTTAACTATTACTATAGGTAAGGTATATATTATACCCCTATAACGTGTTACTAACCTATTCTAAACTTGTTCTATTTACTTTTACTTACTTCCTTAATACTACTACTACTATCCTCCTTTAGCACTTTATACAGTTGCCTAAATTTATCTCTAATATTACTATCTAGTTTAGATATATTATCTAGTACTACTATACTAAACTCTAGTATAGTATTTAGGAACGCCTGTATATTATTAAGAATAGGTTTAGAATATATTTAAAAAAGATAGTAATAAAAACTGCGTTTACTTGCTTAAATTACCCTAATTTATACTTAACTATAGGCTAGTTTATATAACTATAAAAATTTGCCGCTATAACGTGGACTTGAACCTACAGGGATATTCTAACCACTCAGAGTAAAGCCCAAGTCGCCCGACGCTAAACCCATGGTCATATGACATGCCACCACGGTCAAACCACCTCATCGGCAGACAAAAATCTGTAGATTCTGGATGGTGTTCAAATACTATGTTCGTGCACATGTCGCTAGCATATGTATTGGGCGTGGCTCACACACACAAGTATCAAGAGGTCTGAGAGTGCGCTTAGGCAAGCAGTAGATGGTGGTGAGCCACATGTGGCCCTTGGAAGGTCGTCTAGATTCGTTTCGCGCTTTTTGCACGGCGGCGGTATCTGAGCATGCATAGGTATTCGTAAATTCAGAACTCGTTCAACCACAAGCCATCCCTGTTGACAAAACAAGGCCAATTTAAACCTTCATCTCCTTGAGACCGTGCTTCCAGACGGTAACATAGGGAGTAGTGCCATCCTCACGGTAGTTGAGGAGGACAATCATGCCATCGGGGTCCATGGATTCGCCAGTGTAAAACTCGTAGTCCTTGAAGTTGGCAATAATCTTCTTTGCGTAGGCGCCGGCCTTTGTCTCGAAATCCTTGATAGCGGCTGCATCGGCGCCGTCCTTCTCAAGAGCTGCCTTGACTGCCTTCATGTAGCCTATTTGCCCGTCAGAATTCCGCTTGATGGATCGCGCAGTGCATATGGTATCCTACCCTTGAGGTATGTGAGGTAGCCCTTCTTGTCGAAGCCAGTCTCGTTGAGGCGGAAAGAGTAGACTACATCGATCTTCTGCTCGACGGTGTCCTCGACACCTTCCTCCTGCTCCTCAGCAGAGGCATTGCCTCCAGTGTCTGTTGCATGTTAGTGGATGTACCTTGCGATTCTCTAGACAAAGCACGAACCGAAGCTCTCGCCTCCAACGGTGATCTTCTTGCAATCGGCCTCGTAGACGACGCCATCAACCTCCTTGAGGTCATACGAGTCGGAGATGATCTCGTCGCCGGTCAGGATATCCTAGAAGCACGGTATTAGCACTGCTGAGGATGCTCGGTCGGGATGAAGAAGTGGCTGGACAGGACTCGACTTGACTGCAGTTCAGGAGGGCGATATAGTCCCTGAACAGGAAGGCGGGGTACTGGTTGCGCATGGCCCGAGGACCACGACGGTGCGTGCACACACACATACCTTGTAGATGAGCATGGTGTCTGATGGGTGACTTTATATATGTGTGATAGAGAGGAGAGAGAGAGAGAGAGACAAGGAGTGGAAATCGGCCGGAGTGAAGGTCGATGTTTCTTGTACGCTGGACGGGAGAAAGCGCTGGCGACTGGGAGGAGCAAAAGAATTTGGTGGGGTCGAAAATTGGGAGCAGAATAGCGCTAGGCTCTAACCGCAAATAGCGCAGTTCTCGAACCAAGGCTGACACGGAGCGCTCAGGCCTCCTTCAAATGTTGGCTTGGTCTGCTCTGCCTTTCTATCCTCGCCCGGCAGAGGGGAGAGGGGGGGGGGGGAAGCGGGGGGCAAAATGAAGAAAACCGGAACCTTGGAAGGCTGCTTGCTGCTTGCTCGGCTTGGCTTTAGGCGGCGGTGCTCACTGCCTGGCTGGCCCAATCGTGCTGGTTACGCTGGTCACTGGTCCGTTTGCACAGTGGCGGCCAAATGTCATGATGCGCCGGTTGCCCGTCCACTAGGCCTTTCCTGTCGCATGTGCGCGCAAGCACCACTCTCACCCGACTGACATAGAGTACCTAGGTACTAGCTACTGTTATCTGTATCGTCACATCCCACCTCTCTCTCTCCTTCTCTCTCTCTGCTCTGCTCACCTCAGCCTCTCCTTTTTGAGCCCACCTGCCGCACTGACGCCACCCCCCCCCCTCTTCTTCCCCCCAAACTGCCAATTCTACGTCCTAACATCTGCTCCTATTCACCACCTCGTTCCTACGCACCTTCGCCTTAATCCCCTGCTCCGCGGCATCCGGCCCTGCTCCACCTTGGAACCTTCCGCCAGCTGCTTACTTGCGTCCTGCTCCAATCCGACGTCGTCTAGGTGCCAGCTTCGTCCCTGGTTTTGCGCTCTCGAACCCTTCGAACCTACGTATTACATAATATTCCGAGGCGCTCTATCCTCATACGCGCCTCAACATGGCGAGCGCAAACATAACCTCCTACGATCTCCCTCCACTACCAGAGTACACCCTTAAGCCGCTGACCCCTCTCTCCTCGTGGGCCTCGGATGCATTTATACAAGCCGCTCTGCCTGTTGCTGGATACTGGGTCGTGTCGCTCGTATACCACGCCATCGACGTATACGACCTTTTTCCACAATATCGCCTGCACACGCCCGCAGAAGTTCTGAAGCGCAATCACGTCTCCCGCTACGAAGTGCTGCGTGATGTTGTGTTACAGCAGATCATTCAGATCATCGCCTCTTTCAGCTTGTCCTTGTTTGATGAGGCTCCAACAACCGGCAAGGCTGATTACGATGTGGCTTGGTACGCACAGAAGATCCGCCTTGCCCAGCGCGCGGTACCGTACATGCTGTCTGTGGTCGGCATAAACCCCCTCGCGTTGGCCACGAAGCTCTCTGGCTCATACCCCACACTCTCGTCAGTACTCATAGGCGGGAAGTACCCTGGGCTGCTGCAGTCAGTTACCTCGGTCGCAGGAGAGCAGAACTGGGTCCCCGCCTTCGCGTCATGGGAGCTGGCCTTTGCGAGCTTCTTATACTGGTACGCGATTCCTGCGATACAATTCAGCGCAGCAATTGTCATCATAGACGCATGGGAGTACATGCTGCACCGCGCCATGCATCTGAACAAGTGGTTATACGGTAAGTATTCAATGTACCACTATTCATCTTCTCTGGCTCACTTTGACAGTCACTTTCCACTCTCGCCACCACCGCCTCTACGTTCCATATGCCTATGGTGCATTGTACAACCACCCGCTAGAGGGCTTTGTTTTGGATACATTGGGCGCCGGCCTCGCTTACCTTCTTACGGGAATGACCCTGCGACAGTCGATGTGGTTTTTCACTGGCTCGACGATTAAGACGGTCATGGACCATGGCGGCTACGAATTTCCTTATGATCCCGTTAGCTGGATCTTCCCAAATACCGCAGCTTACCACGACATCCACCATCAGAGCTGGGGTATCAAGACCAACTTCTCACAGCCATTCTTTGTGTACTTGGACCGCATCGGTGGAACCATGTACAAGGGGGAAGTAGCTGAGAAGTACGAACGAGCTCGTCGTGCCGCTCAACAGAAGCTGGATCAGGAGAAGGAGAATGAACAGCTGACGGTACCTGCTAGCTCCGTCGCATCCTCTGCACTACCACCATCAGAGGAGAATCTGTTACCACAAGGTGTATCCACACCTCGCATATCTCGGAAGAAGGCTGGCAGTATCTCATCTTCTGCGGGCAACTTCAAGGACCTGACGAACAAGGTCAATCAGAACCTTCACGGAAGAAGAGCAAACTTTTTAGGCGTTGAGAGTTCACATTGACAGCGTACTTTTCGTAATATCTTCAAAACCCCAAATCGAAATATGCGATAGGTAATGTATAGTTTCTCCAGGGTAGACCTCTTGGTGTATTCTGGTACGTTCGCTTCACTGTATTATTCATTGACATGGTTTGCTTCTGTTTGGTTTCTCGCAGTCCTTCGGGGTAGGATTTCTTGGGGAACTTGAGGCCGCTCGCTCGCTCGCTAGTTCATGTTTTGTATGATTTGGCGATCGGCGTTACCTGAAATATTGGATGAGCTATTATCATTGGGATCCCACGCGGATCATCCAAAACTTGTTTCCGTTACTTTGATGCATAATGGTGTCTTGCATGTCTCCACTACTGGTGTGAGACAGCAGTCTTGACTGAAGTTTGTGCTAAACTTCATAATTGCAGTACACGTACAAAGTTCCATCTTCAGTACCTCTTACATTCCCCACATAACCATAGTAGGCCCACAATCTTTGCATCCCCACAACAAGATCCTTTCACTATGTAGGTGTATAATCCATTTCATCCTATATTTATGCAATTTCAATATTCTACCCAACGAGAAACATACATTACACGACGTTTTCCTTTCACACAGGACACTTCTCAGCAAGACACCCCTTACCATTTTATAACAAAGAAACAAACTAACATGGGTCCATTATCAAAGACCATGGAAACGCGTCGGCTACACAACGCCGATATGAAGCAGTTAGTACGCATATTACGCGGCGTACCAGACGAACCCTCAAAGCGCAAACAGGCAAGATATCACGCACAGCTAAAGGAAGATATTCACAATCTTCCGCGGCGCCTCCGCGCCTCACATTTCTCCCTCCACGCTACTAATCTCTGTAGCATGCACAAGGGCCTCGACGCCCATCTCATCAACGACATCTGGTCATGGCTCAAACACGAATTCGAGGGCGCAGTCGGTCGCTTCCTCTATCCCATCATCATGTCCGGCCGTCTAAATGCCACTGAAGAAACTCAGGTCCGTCAACTCGAACCTGTTTCCCGCCTGTGGCGCCGCGACTGGAATCTCCAAGAGACGGCGCCGATGGGCCACGAGCCCATCCAGTGCGGAGAGAAATGGGCGTACCAGCATGACCAGTGTCCGGCTTGTATGCTCAGCCGCATTGGTTCGGATGGCGGAGTTTTGTTTGCCCTGTTCGCGGGCATGGTAGGTCGGTTTAACACTCGGTCACTGACTCATGCTGAAGCGGGTGGTAGTGCTGATGCATGGGAGAAGACGAGGTCGAAGCGGATTCGCTTTGTCAAGTACTGGCTTCGTGCGAATCGGGATGGTGATGCCGCGGTGTTTACTGCGGGTATGCTGGGCATGAAGATGAAGCGGATGAGACGGGAGTGGGGAGAAGAGCAAAGTCGTGTTCGGCGGCAGCTTCCTCCTGTGCAACCGAGTCTTGGGGGGAATAGCAGTCAGAGTAGGGATGGGCTACATTTGCATGATGTAAAGGTTGGTCCTGTTCCTCGCCCAGCGGATTTTAAGCGGTACTCGCCTGCATCAGCATTGGGTTTTGACATTCCCCCTTCTCCTTTACCCAGCAGTCCGCGACCAGCTCGAGTTAACACCGAAGTACGGTTTCCGGTCCGGTATAGCCCACCGACACTGGAGACATCTGCCCCTGCCATACGCCAGAGCAGCACAGAGCATCTCCGTCCCGCCCCTCTCCGCCCCCGTCGTCCCAAACCGCCACCTGCACATCAAGATCCACTTGTCCCCTCGATCCGAGTACCCTCACAAGATGCCCCGATCTGGGACCTTTCTGATCGCTCAGATCCCCCAGAGTTGCAATACCCAGCATCGGTAGGTACACTCACCGACAAAAACCATCGCAATGACTCAGTCCTCTCCTCTCTTCCCCCGTCCAATCGTCAACCATCGTCTTCTATCCCAGCCCGTCCCTCATCCCCAGTCTCTACACGCACAATCGCATCGTATAATGGACGTGCATCATCCCGACCCCTCGATTCTAGCCACTTCGCTGACCCTTTCGACAGCGCCATCTATGCCACGTTCTTCAGCGATGCTGTAGATGCGCACGATGCGTCTACACTGCCGAAACCGAAGCACGGGAGCATGTATGAAGCGTTTGGGGACGGGAACTGGGATGCAGGACGGTTCGAGCGCGTGGATGAGGATAGGGGTGAGGATGAAGATGAGGTGGAGGTGGAGGATGGACTGGATAGGGCGGCACGGTTGTTGAGGCCGAAGGTTGGGAGGGGAGAAACGGGGGAGACGGGTTGGGAGGTTTTGTACTAGATGGAGTGGATTGGGATACTTGTTGCTTTCGCACTGGTAGATCTGCTTTGTTCGGGGTCTTTGCGAAGTTGAATGATAATATTATGATTTTGATAATTAATTATTAATGGCATTCAATAATAATATGTTGATGGATTTATTAAAAAAGTGTTGATGACTTCAATGATAGTACAAATATACTGTTTTCCTAAAGGATATTTACAATTTGCGCCATGAGAACAGTGTGGGATGATCTCCGACAAGGGGCACTGTGTAGGGAGAAGCGATGAAGATGCTCGTTCATACGCCTGCCAGGGTACTCTCCTCCTTATCCGGGCCAAAAAGGATCGCCCTTCGTGTCACGACGCCTTGGGGCGCGTCCTGTTCATCCTGAGTTCGAGCAAGGTGCTCGTTCATAGGCATACCGGTATGTTGCTAGTGTATCCTCCCTTCCCTCCACAGGAAATGTCAAAGGATCGCCTTTCGTGTCACAGCTGTGGGTTTCCTCTTGTAAACCCCGCGAAGTATATTGGCAAACATGATATTGGTTCTGATGGCGCTATCATGTGGCTGGATAACGAAAATATCGATTGGCCATGACTACTGTAGCGATGCGTGCCATTCCAATTGATGTATGTGAATTAGGGGCATCGGTGGGGCCATTCCCAGCCATACGAGCTTGCGAGCGGTGATGTACCTCCAAGTCTAGGCTAAGCCAAATATAGCCTTAGCTGGCTGTGGCGGCAACTCTGGATGTAACTCCACCTCAACCTCACTTTGCTTCTCACGTTTCACACACTTTGCTTCTGCTGCAACTCCGATGCACGGCCCTTTCATACTGCCCATTCCGCTGCTAGGCAGTGACTGGCTCGGATCAGATTGGTTAGGGATCATGAAGCAAATGTGACAAGGTGAGCGTTGTGTTGATACCCATACATTAGGAGGCCTACATTGAAGAAGCTAGATTACATGAAGAGCTGCATACTGATAGAATGCCTAGGCAAAAACAGTACTTTCCACAGCTATAGAACAACAACTCCAGCACCAGACCAAAAACTTTTTGTACAACAACAAGGGGCTCCCAAACAAACAACCTACCGTGAAATCTTTCTTACATTCGGTGAGCGCGAATCTTCTCGATAGCATCCTCTGGGATGTAACGGAAACTACGATCCGGGTTCCATGTGTGAACATGGTCCATGAACTCCTCATTATCGTCTTCGTCGTCTTCTGCGACATAGTCTTTCCCAACTTCTTTCTTCCAATCTTTGAGCAGTTTATCAATGTGCTTGGGGTCTGTCAACACTGATATGACCTGCCTAAGCGAAAACTTCTTGTTGCGACCATCTTTCTTTCCAGGCCGATGTACATGGGTAAAGCCATGAGCCCAGCAGTTGTCGTTGCGATTGAAGTTCTTATCGCAGAGCAGACATGGAAATTCTTTGCTAGGGCTGTGGGTCTTTCTGTGGCGCTGACGGTGTTCCGTACGTTGGAACATCTTGCCACATATGTCTGGATGGTTCGATGGTATGCTTGCATCATCATCGTCAAAAGGATATTTACACTGGAACTTTGGGCGCGGCTCCTCGTCGGCGTATCGAAACTTGCCGCTGTCCGGATCTTGAGTGTACTTGCGGTCAAACTTGATCTCACCATCCCACAGCTTTGTGATGAATGGCTTGTCTTTGCCCTTTGGCTTCGTCACCTTGCCATGGCGCTTTTCCCGTTTGATCGATTTTCCACCTGTCCTTGTCTCACGGATCGACCTCTTCATCCTCGAACAGTCATCGGAAAATTCACCCTCAGATTTGATGCAGCTTGGGCTCGACTCATGCTTGAAGACAACTTGCTGCGGAGAAGGAGGAAGTGGTCCGTCCATATCATCGTAAGGCTCCATGCTGATATCCGGTGTGTCGACACGAACAATCTCTCCCTCTAACATAGCCTCCTGTGGTACAATTGTGTTCGAGGCAGATACTGCTTGCATCTGTTGAAGCTGCATGTTCCACATAGAATGCATGGTCGTATTATGGTCGACGTCCAGTCCATCCATGCTCATATGACCCTCATATGTGGGGTAGGATGTGCTGGATGTAGGCGTACACCATGGAATAGCAGATGTAGCCTCTAGGCCAACGTATGTTGGTCCTGGTGAATGCAAGTAATTCCCATGCGAGGCGAATGTCTCAAAATTGCGCATCGGCATGTTTTGGCCCATGTTGCATGAAGCATCGAACGAGGACCAAGAATCGTCAAAACCGGATTGCTTCTGCTGGAAGTCCAAGGGAAGTCTGTTGAGCGACTGGTGATGGCTCAAGTCGAAGGCATTGGCATCGAAACTCTCTGTTGTAAGAGGGCTACGAGCGCAGATTGGCGTTGGCGGGACCGAAAAGTCAGAAGAATAAGAGCTGAAAGACGACGAGAGCGAGAGCGCCGACACGTCAGAGTTTCTCCTGACATCCATCTTGTAAGGTGAATGAGGCGTCAAACGTCTCTCTGCAGCATGTATAGCGGGCGATAGCTGATAAGCCTCGTTGGAGCCTCCACGAGCATACATGTTCGAACCCGATGGCATCATCTTGCCACAATGAGATGATCGAAACTACAATCAGCGTGTCAGCTATTCATATTCTTCTATGATAGAAGAGTGACAGAGACAGTACATACGTTGGGTGAGCACAGGTACTGATCAGGTGTTGTTGGCTGATGACAATCCAGCTTGGTAGTGATGATGTATAAAGAAGGGAGGAGGCTCAAGCTTTAAATCAGGGTTCACAATGGACGGTGACGAATCTCGGCAGTGGCGAAGAGATGGGGTGGCCTCACACTAAGAATCTGTGATACAATGATACAATAGGCAATTCGAGACGCGGTCGCGAACGCGATGAGGCAGGGCGCAGGAATGGCGTGTGGGTTTCCTCGACCGTAACAGTGGATTCAAACGAAGCGAAGGAACAACGATCAAAACTGTCAAGTCTCTGCAAGGGCAACTCCAACCGCGAATCTGGGGTGTCTCTACAGCTAGCGTAGTAAGAAGTTTGGTAATGGACACAACAGGTTGCAAGAGTTTGAAGATTGCGGATCCACGACGGCCCGGCGTACCTGAATACTAAGTACATGCAGCAACAGCCTTGCAGGTAGCCAAGTAACGGTCGTGGGAGGGTGTCTGAGTTGACGCCCACTGGTCATATGCGCATTGTAACCTCAGAGACGAAGCAACGCCTCTTTACTGGGATGTCACATCACGCACTGCATGGCGGGAATCAGCCGCGCCAGCAGTCGAGTCTGTAGGCTGATCTCACACAATGCTAACCTTCCTGCGTTGGGCAATTGCTGGTTCATTGACAACTGTGCAGACATGCATGCACTTCTCCACACATGTCTTCATCAAGGGTTACGCAGAACGTCGTTCGACTGCTCTCCGACTCTTTCAGGAATGTCCGTCACAATGTGTGCCAGCTCAAGGAGGACTAGACGACTGGGGAACCGGTTGCCAAGCATCGTTGTACAAACCCGTCCTGCCCCTTTGAGGTCGGCTCACTTTTTATTCGGCCTCTACCAGCCTTCTCCACTCCGCAGTATCTAGACCAAACCAGGAAGTGCTCTCGTGGTGCAACACAGGCCGAAGGTTACGCTCGATAGAGGGCTGGCCATGATCTGATCTTTGATAGAAAGATACACTGCGATTTTTCCTTGAGGATCACCGTTGAGGTTGCTCCTCCAAGATTGGGAGGGATCTCCTGACGGATTTCCGTTCGGTCTTTAGTGGAGCATGTACGTTGACGGTTGCACAGCGGCGAACCTGCATGTATCAACAAAAGTTTTTCCGCCAAATTCTCCGGTCCGATACGCCGCCTTCTGCGGCAATGATTGGCTTGTCTCAAGTGTGTTGTTTGTTACAGGGAATGTATACACGCAACAGGTAAACGCTGATATACCAGCATCCTCGGAGGTTCTTCATGTTGCGACATCGCTGCCTCCAGTATTTTCACCTCCACGACATGGCTGAGCATTTTGAAACTAAGCCACTCCTCGATCCGAGGCGAAGTCTTTGGCTGAAGTCAGCTGCACTACAAGGCGAATATGCAGGACAGTTGTTTGATCTAGGTTGAGAGTACCGTCGCTGAGATCGAGACGTATAGCTGCCTCTGCCGATCGATTCGGATATGACTGGCCATTGTCTGGGCCTGATTGTTTCTACCAAAAAGCAACGATTAGCCCAACTGTATCAACGCTGGTGCCAAATGTTTACTGATTAACCAGCAGAACGGATGTTCAATAGTCTCTTTTGTGTCACAACCAGAGCGGGCCACGGGTGCTAACAAGTTAAGCTGGCCCCACAGTCAAGATGACGCGCATCAAGGCCATGCAAAACACGGAATAGCCTTGGCTACCTACAGTACTGCCAGTTCCCGCAGGCCATGACCCGTCAAATCTACCACTGATAGCTTGTATCACCCGACGACTGGCCAGAACAGGGGCATGTGCGGCGATCAGGCACTTCTGCTAGACACGTCTTGCCGAATTCAAGTAGAAGCAGGAAAGTGACCCTGGTATTGCAAAGATGTCGCTCTTGGTCCTCGGGTGATGATTCTGCGGGCGTAGACAGATCGATATGGACTGTTACGCTCGTGACCAGCATCGACAACAAAAGTGACTCTCCCAAGCTGATGCTGAACGTGGTCGGTAGGTCGCATTCTTCGCCTCGAACAGCGTGGCAGACGATTCACACTTCCTATACCAGGAGGAAGTAATCGAAATAATGGCCTTTCTAGGTCCGAATGGTAGCTTCCCCGGTCAACTACCCGTCACACCCTGGCCCTTTCTCGGATAAGAAATCGTCTAACAGGGTTCCTACAGATCTGATCCACGCGTTAACTTCGCGTATCAAGGCGGACCTACTCAGGACAAGCGGCTATTGAACTGCATGTACCTTGGCTTGCCACGACGGTCTCGCTTAGCAGTCTTCATTCCAGTCTCGCATGTGGGGCGTGGGCGAGGTGACAGGTCCCACACCACTTCAAAGTGTGGAGGTTCATGATAAACGCATGATCACGAGCAACCAGGGGATTTTTTCTTTCATGTTGACTCTTGCGTGAACCTCGATGGCTACAGTTCAAAGTTCAGCGCGCACAATACCCCGTTACTCACGTTCAAAACAACAGCCCGATTGGGATTGCATGACTCTCTCACGATCCATCCCGTCAACATCCCGCGGGGCATTTGACCCGCTTTGTGTTCAAAAGCGCAAATCATTGGCTCTTCATCTTATCGGTGGACGAGACGCAGACGTGGTGTGCATGCTCTCGATCTCAGCAAGGACAATAAGGTGCACCGTGACTTCTCCATCGATGACTACAGCCAAGGCACCATGTACCTCCATCTTCCACAGCATTGCTGTTTGTACTCTCCGCAAAAGAGCCGACAGCAACTCCGGTGGAGCTCGGCCAAACCTGGCTTTTGAACAGCTTCTCATCCTACAGATCAGACGAGTCGGACTGTTGGCCGCTAAGCTGACTGGCGTCCGCAATGTGCGAGGGGAGGCAGGTACCGATACACGACATCTACGGCCCCAACCTGCAATGGGTGTCAGGGCAGTGTGTTGTCGTTGCGTCGCGGGCCGTTGGGAGCTTTGATGTTGCGCATATACCCACATGTTCTGTTCAGTGAAACTGAAGACAGGACTTTGAAATCCCATGGGTGCTCAAAGCAGCACAATTGAGTTGTGGGGAACTTCGCCATGGAAACTCCTCTGGGGCCAAACGACACTTTTGTGGAAGCATTCCTTGCTATGCCCGAGGATAGCCTTCGCCCCGACTCTTCGTCGCCGCCATGATTCCGACCAGCTCAACAAGTATAGGTAGCAACTTGTCGCACAACAATCTGCCCGTTCGGCCAGCGGCATCAGGAGAGAAGTCTGTGTGGGTCGACACCTTGAAGCGCAAATCTTGCAGGCGCCCATCTTCAGCACCATGAGTTTCACCGGGACGTATTTTCCCTGTTGGGGCCGTCATAGCCGCTCTCGAGCTGACTGCTTGCAAGACAGGTTTCAGTGCACACTCAGGTACCTTGGGGCATGACCCCAAGTCACCTCGCAGAGCAGGTGGACGTTTGACCGGAGGATCACATGTGAGTGCGGGAAGAGCATGGTGAACCTTCATGCAGGACCGGAATACTGCTTTGAGGTTGCCAAACAGATTGATTGAGATTTATGCGTTATTTGCCGTGGGTTTAGTGCTGTCACCCAACTTCTTTGGCAGATGCAATCAGGGTCGTGCGGACTGAGCGGAGTACGCCCCATTCGATCCTCCACGATGTTCGACCTCACAGCAGTCCACCACCACGGGATGTTGTGTCTGTTCATGGTAGCTTCTATGTACTCGCCAATGCATACATGCGACTTCCATTAATTGGGCATGGTGGCTTGATGAGCACTTGGAAATGTCTATTATTCGCGCGATTCGCATTCTGCGGGTAGGGCGTACAACTTACTGAACGGTGAATGAACAGCTGACGGGCAAAGGTAGCCGAGTGCGTTGCTGGTTGCGTTACTGCTGCTCTGGCGATTCAGTATACGAATTTCGCGTAGCTGGTGGGCTTCTCCGTCTCGACTCTCTTACCTTTCGCTATTCTCCGCATCCTGTTGACATGCTAGGATGCTGTAGCGTTTCACGATGAACGCACGCTGTCAGTGCTTTTTCTGCTTAGATGTGGGTATCAGCCAACATATCCTGGCAATCCTCTAAAGTTTGTGAACCGCTCTTGTACTTCATCTAGAGCCGCCACCATCTGTGTGTTTGATGCGAGTTGATACTGAAATGGGCACCAGCAGTAGTTCGAAAGTTGCTGCCCTTTTCGGGCCGATTCATGGCTTTGCAGCGGCTTCCCCAGATTGGAATTACTCAATCTTCACTCGGATAACATGACTCCCGTTGACGGTGCCGGCAGTGCCCAGCTGCCTGATCTCCAGAAGGTTTCGTTGCCGAAACTTTGTAAATGCTTTCTCCAACATCATCGTACAGGATATTGGACTGATCAACCCATGTCCCATTCCTTCCGCAGTCATCGGAGGGACGCGCTATGGTTGTACATCATACGATGTGATTGCTAGTAGTGTTGAGGTTGCCTGCAATCGAGCGAGAAACATTCCGCGGTCGGGGGTGGTGGAGCTTCATAGACTGTGGAGTCTGGAACTCTGCCATAGTAGACGGGTGAAGGTGGCGTGCAACATCGTCGATTGATCGCCGGCGCGAAGATGATGTTAGTCTATGGTAGGTTTGGCCTAGGTATAGGTATGCACTCTTGTTGATCACTCCGCATCATCTAATTACACGAACTGTCTGGCTTCGATAAGCTGCGCTGGATAGCTATCTGGCCTCACGTAAGTTGCCTACGTGAAGCTTGGGCAATAAATAGGCGAGGTGGGTTTTACTGATACGTCTGTACGAGCTTGACAGGCAATTTCATGTCCTGCCATCGCAAATCAGCGCATTCAAGCGTCGCAGGACCCTGGTCAACATGATTACCGTATGTTCTAAGATTTGGTAACGGATTACTCATTAACAGCATAAAGGCCATGGCTTGTTCCCCATTTCTCGGATGTAGTCTTGCACCAGACCCGAGAGCACGATGTATTGATAAGATTTTTCGCCGTACTCTGTGTGCTACACCGGATGACATATACCAAGACATGCCGTGTCCAAGCACAGCTCCTGGAAAAGATCCGTGGAAAAGAATTCGAGATGCCGTTACAGTACCCCGGATTTTACCCATGTCGTCTTACATCATTCATACAATCACCTCACCCCATGGAAACCCCCCTCCAAGATCCATCCCAATCCATAGCAAATTTTCCGTCCCCAGAGGATTCCAGCACATCCCATCTTCAACTCCTCCAAGTTCCAACCCACCCCTGCCCACCACAAACACAAACAACCCCCCCGCACCTTGCAACCCTCTGCAAGTAGCAAACATTCTCCACCCTTCCAACACAAGACCACATCTACAAGTAGAGTAGCAAACACTCCCCATGCTAGAGTACCACCACTACCCAAACCCCCGCAAAAAAACCCCAACCAGCACGCCATCCACCCCCTCCCACCCATCCCGCACCCGCTTCCACACCAACCCCATCTCCATCCCCCCCAAGCCCCAGCCAAGCCCCCAAGCCCCCGCCCCCGCCGTCCGCCGAGCTCAAGAGAAGCGCAAACACCGTCTTGGCGCGCTGAAAAGCCGATGCGCGCCGAGAGGGTAGGTGGATTTGCGGAAGATCTTTTGGTGTGTTGGGGTTTGGATGGGGGTGGGTGTTGTGCAGTAAGATGGGTGAGGGGTGAGGGGTGTGGAAGGGGTAAGCCGGGCTGGGTGTTTTGGGGGGTGGCGGATGGCGTGATGGTGTTGTTGTAGTAGTGATGGAGGATTTCTGGGCTAGTATCTTGGGCGAGTATAGTGGATAGGTAGGTAGGTAGGTAGGTAGGTAGGTAGGTAGATGGATGACTACCAAGGCCGTGTCGTGTACTCCACCCCACCGCCCGCAACCCAGCATAGATGAAACTTGACTACAAGTCCAAGATTACACAGATGGCTATATATCCAGAAACCGCGAGATCAGCACAAGATATTTCCCCGGCTCATGACTCTGGAATAAAAAAAAAAGCAATGAGCAAGTAGCTGTGTTGGGAGATTATGGTACGTGAGGTACCTACTTCAGTCTTAAAGAGCGGGTGTTGTGGATGTGTTGGATAGCTGTGTGATGTGGTTTTGGGAATCGATTACTCTTTACACATTTCCACCCGATGGAAATGGGGATGGGGATGGGGATGCGAGGTATTTAGGATGGAGATAGAGGGAGTGCATATGCCATAGCAAAGCTCACCGTCTGTGATGTTTGGATGATATGGTAGATTACACCCAGATGTTTTATTAGAAGATTGGTTGCGTGCTGGGTTGCTGGGGGCTGGTTGGGTAGTGGTAGTTTGTTAGTTTGTGAGTTTGGAAAAGGAATGGGGATATAGGTATAGGTATAGGTATAGGTATAGATATGGGTATGGGTATTGCAAGTGCTATATGAATCTCAAATCCCCATCCAAAGCCATCCCACCCCATTCATCCCCATCCTATCCACCCTCTACCCTCTACCCCTACCTTTCACCATCCAATCCCCACCTCCCCTTCCCTCCCAAAACACAAAGCCACTCTACCACTCTACCACACATCCATACAACGAAGCAGCGAACCACGCACCGCTCACACAGTTCCGGCATGGACGTAGATTCCCACGGTAGTATGTACCGTATAGTATGTGTAATATGTACAGCGTGTATAGCGTGTACAATATGTACCGTAAACTCCAATCCTAATCATCCTAGATCATCCTAGATACCCCAGTGCCAGAGTGGTTTGCTTTGTTTCTTCAGGCCATGTGATGTAGGGTGTATGCATGAGCCTTCATCTCTACCTCCATCCCCATCTCCACCACTCCCAGCCCGGCCCTCACTCATCATTCACAACTCATCACTCATCCCACCAGCACCAAACCTCCCCCCTAAAAAGAACCACAGCATGGCATGTATAAATTCCTCAAATAATCAAGACATGAGCTATGCATTTCGATCCGCACCATACCGACTCTACAAACACCGCTGATTGCCGACTACAAACACATACATGCTCGCCATCCAGTCTAGAAGGAAACCCACAATAATGCGATGAAAAAAAGCACAAGGCTTAAAGTCTGCAAAAAATTCAGAGGGAACACCCAGTCCCTATCCCATACTTATCCCCCTCCAATCCCTCCAATGCCCAGAGATTCCGCAAAAGTAGCCAAGGGCAAGAAACAAAGAAAGCCCGGCATATAATTTGTATAAATCAAGCAACCTCGATGGGATGATGCAATGATACAAGGAAAAGGCCCCCGCCCAAAAAAAAAAGTCTGCGTCTAGGAATGAGGGACGGAGACGGGGATAATAAAAACCCAAACATGGAACCATCAAAGGGTTCTTACATGACATCAAACGCCGTGGAAAATGCAGTGCAGTCTTGCCGAATACCATCAAAAGCCCCAATGCTGGCCCACAAAAAATATAGACAGGGAAAAGTAGAAGAGAAAAGGGATCATGAGAAAAAGACCCAGGCGTGGCGAGAAGAATTAATCTGGTCGTGCAAGAATGGCGGCAATGGCGTCGCAGGGTGCACATGGCAGGGGTTTGCGGATTGGTTTTGCTTCTGCGGGCGGGCATTCGCACGTTTGCTCGACCGCGACGAACACCGAAGTTCGGCGGGCGGGCGTGAGGCCTGGGGCATCGACGGGGAAGAAGGCAGATTCACGACGTTCATATTGCGGGGTGCAGGCAACATCGTCCTCGGTCGCGAATACAGAGGGTCGTCGGGAAAAGTGGCCGACGCTCGGGGTGTCGTCGTTGGAGGGGTAGGCGGTGCCCCAGAAGGGCAGTTTTGGCGGTGTGCCCTGGCCGTCATAGGGCACGTAAATGGAGCCACCACGCGGTCTCAGGAACGGACTTGGGTCTGCAAAGTCGTCAAAGTCGTCAAAGGGCGTCGTTCCCGCACTGCGATCCGATTCCTCGGTAGTGGCTTCTAGATGTGATTTTTGCAGGGCTAGCTGGAGTTCTTCTGCCGTAAAGGGGACCGAGGCCGAGGGCTGGCGAGTGCGGTCGGAGCCTGTGCCTGGACGCGACAACTGTCTCACCGAACTAGAACGGCGGAGAGCTGCGGATTGCTTGCGGCGTGCATCGCGTGGGTCTTCTGTAGGGTTGCGTGAGAGGCCGACTACAGAGTATTAGACGTGTTGTGTCGGGGGGGAGGGGTTAGGAGGAGAAGGATGCGGTGAGACGTACCATTGAGGACATCGCCCTCGTCATCGCTGGCCTCTCTTATATTGGCCGGCCGGTCATCACCTGCGATGCTCGCACCAATACCACTGTCTACCCAATCCTCGTGGTCGTACTCGCTCGACACACTGGATCTCCGACTACGGAGCATGCTACGACTGCGGCTTCGTCTGCTGCGGAAACTACTCCTACGACTCGACAACCGCGTTCCCATGGGCGAGTACAGGCTGGCGTTGCTGTGCCTCCTCCAGGCGGTTGTGAAGCTAAAGGCCTCCAACCGTTTCTTGTGCTCCGGGTCGACGGGTCGACGATACTTGAGCGGCGGCATCTTCTCGCCTGGGAGATAAAAGTCGCTCTCTGGAAGCGCGTGCTTTGCGTTTTTCGACTTGAACTTGCCCAAGGGGCCACTGTGGCCCTCTTCGCCAGTCAGAACTCGCCGCAAGCGGCTTCGCAGTTGGCCAGGCATGGTGAGCGGTGACGTAGGCCGATGATGCCGATGTGTTAGCGTTGGGAAGCCAGTGTGCAGGCCCAATGGGGGGCTTGGGTGAGACGGGTGAGAGTGGTGGCAGAGGGGAGGAGGGGGGAAGAGGAGGGGGAAGAGGGAGGCGTCCAAGTGTTTGTGTGTATTTTGGGAGAATAATCGGGATGTTGGGAGACAGCAGAGGAGGGCTAGAGTGTCGGTTGAAGGTTGGCAAGGGCAAGTGCAGTGTGAGGCTGACTTGGAGATGGGTCGGAGAGGCGGAGGATGGTGGGCCCCCGTGGGTGGATAATGGGTGGTCCTAGCAGTGCCTGGGGTGCCGAAACCGATCCTGGCACGCAGCAGCCTTCAGGTTGGTTGGAAGTTGGGGGCGTGAGGGAAACAACGGGGTGGGAGAGGATGGGGTTATGGGCGCAACGCAAACTGCAAATACACGGTTAGGTGATGAGCGCGTGAAACTGGCTGGCGAACTAGACCAAAGGGCGGAGAAGACGACCCCAAGGTTGGGTGGCTCGCTCGCGCGCAACGGTCGAGGCAAACGTGACGGGGGAACTCGCGACAGTACAGTCCGACTGGCGGGCGGGATGGGGGATTGTCAGCAAAGCAGGGCAGAGCTGGGCAGAGCAAGGCAGGATAGGGCAGGACAGGGCCAGACAAGATTGGGCCAGCAAGGACTCAGGATTAGGTTTTCCCAGGTGGGCGTCGAAGTTTTCTAGAAGGCGTGGGGATCGATCGGCCGAGGCAGAGGAAGAGGTTGTTCTGGAGTGAGAGTAGTGAGGGTGGTAAGGGTTGGTGTGTGTGTGTGTGTGGGTTGGATGGGTTGGAATGGGTTTGTGTGTCGTGCAGCCGCTGTGAATGGAGGGCTGGCAGTCTACAGTGGCGCCGCGAACAGCAAACAGCGTGGGGGGTGAGGGTGAGGGTGAGGGTGAGGCCAACCAACACTTTTCCCATTCCCCCCCACTTGCATCCGCCGACTTTTTCTTCTCTTGCCGACCCTACCGTGCCAGTACAGCACTCTAGTCTCCTTCTCACGTAGGTAGCCACCGTGCAAAACTAGAGTGAGACCCAGCAAGAGTGCAAGAAGGAAGTACAGGCTAGAGTAGCATACTACTACTCTCCCGTCACCGGCGTGGGGCTTGCGAAGGCTTGCATTGGTCCGCCACACAGTTAATTCGCGCAAACCCCCATACAGTCAAGTCAGTCAGCCCAGCCAGTCGCCTTGCCACCCCTCCCTCCTTGTCCTCTGCTCCCTCCTTGTCCTCTGCTCCCTCCTTGTCCTCTGCTCCCTCCTTGTCCTCTGCTCCCTCCTTGTCCTCTGCTCCCATCCACCCATCCGCTTATCCTCGCCATGCCATCATCTGTATATCCTGGTCTGGCCTGGCCTGGTCGGATTCCCATGTTGCGAACACAGCCAAGAGATGCCGTTCCCTCCCACGCCGCAACCACGCACTTCTTCCCTCCGCACCCCGCTCGCCTGTGTTGGCCTGGCCTGCCTCGCTCTTGTCTTGGCCGAGTGTTTTTCTCTTGTAAGATAAAGAAAAAGCGTGGATTGTGCCCAGAGCGACGTGTGGCAGTGGCTTCATCGATTAGGGATAGAGAATACTAGCCATACACCGTATACTCTACCGTAGTCTCCAGTGGTGGGGCGGGTCACTCTGCTGTGTGCAGTTGCAGTTGCCCCAGAGATCCTTCGACCGTACAATACATGGCTAGCCAAGAGGGGCTAGTAGGGGCAGAATGGGTGGGCCAAGTGTGGGGTAATTCACCAACAGGGAAGGTGCGCTGAGGTCATGGCGGCTGACGGCGGCTTCCCCTATCTCCGCGACATCTTCGCATCCCGCGCCCGGTGGACAACACACGACTTGCACAGGGAACATGAAACACACTAGGATGGGGGAGGGTGCAAGACACGTCCTGTCTGTCTGTCTGTCTGCCTGTCTGTGTGTCTGTCTACTCTACTCCATTCCCTCTTACACAGCAGAATCTCTATAGACGCATTGGTAACAGCGCTGCGCAGTGCAATCCAGCAGTCCACCGTCCGACTGCCCTCCATCTACCATCTAGGCTTCCCTCCCCCGTGCTCTCCCTTCTCCCTTCTCCCTTCTCCCTCATTGTCTTCACCACCCAACGAAACCGCCTCGGCCCTTTGGCCGTCAACACCCTCGCACACACCAAAACATCTCATCCACCACAATGACGGCCACCTGCGTAATCTCGCCTTGTCCCCAACCTGTCTTCACACACGCCACCTTGGAACCAAAAACCCTCCTGTCCACCGAATTTGGTTTGTGGCCCGCTCTCTGTCGCTCAATTGGCTCTCTGCGCTTGTTTTCTCGTTGGCAGCTGCAGCGGTTAGCTTCCTTTGCAACTTACCCCAACACTATGAGGTCATCATCGTTGCGCAACCCAAAGGTAGGCAGAGTAGTACCGTGGTAGCTACACCAAATCATCATGTCTTTGATACACTTGCCATGTCCATGACCAACTTTTGCTAGTGCCACTGTCTTGTCTTGCCTACTCTCACCTCTGTGCCCCCCTCTTTCGAGCCGGCCAGAGTCTGATATCCAGCTATCAATCTATCGACACGGACTGCATCCTGAAAAACTTCCTGGCACAGCTCCACAATCCTTCTCTACTACTTCCTCGAGTCATTCCCAACCGGCATGGAGAAAATGAAGAACGTCCTGTGAGTATCCATCACTGACAAGACAAATCAACGCTGTTCTCTAATTCGTCGCCAGTCATGGACACAAGAAGACGGAAGAGACCACTTCTCACAATCCACACGCATCTCCCCCGGTTGCTGCTGGAGGGGCTGGAGAGACACACCCCATCTATGATCAGATGACGGAGAGAAAGGAGGGCAAGCATGCTCCTCTAGGTCAGCCGGTCTATGAGATAAAGACGACGAGCGGCGAGCCATATACGACGCTCGCACAACCTCGGCATGCTGTTGACGGCAAGCATGGACACGAGAGTACTTCTGCCACGACCACGCAAGAACATCGGCCAGATGCAAAGACCAGTGGTACAGAAATGAGTACTGCCAGCATCAAGAGTGGTGTGATTGGTTTCGGCCCCGGCGAGCAGGGACATGCCGCTTTACCCACCCAGAACTCAATCGAGCAGAACTTGTCTCCAGACCATGTTGTAGGAGGTGGAAATCTAGGAAACTCACAAGGGAACGGCCTAGATCAAAATACAACCATTGGGTCCACTTCTCGTAAGTAGATATCTTTGTCAATAAACGTATTCCCCTTGAATGAGGTCAAACCTGACGCAACACTGCAGAGTCTCCCGCAGTACCCGCTGCCGATCTGGGGGCCATCAAGGAACAACAACCGTATGGGAGTTATCGGCGACAGGAGAGCTACACTGTAGATACCAACCGCATATTTCCCCTCGCTGGGGGAGTGACCTCGCACCATGGCGATGGTCCTGTTGGATCTACGACATACAGCAAGGAGGATGCTTCTACCATTCCTTCTGTGACACAGACATCTGCTGCCCAGTACCCAGCTGAGCCAACGTCAACGCTACACGAAGAGAGCATCACTGGCCGAGAGCCAGACCATCACCAACAGGGCACTGACGTTAGTCATTCCCATGGCCGAGAGGCTTTGGCTGGAGCGGCTGCGGCTGCGGCTACCGTGGGAGCTACACAGAGCAGGGATCGTTCAGACAAGAGAGATGTCGACACTCATGGCCACACCTTCAATTCTGCCGCGACTATGAACAGTTCTAGTGAACCCGGAGAGGAACAAGGTCTGCTAGCAAAGGCTAAGAACCTCATCGGTTTGGGCACAACAAAGGAGCACGAGGTATCTCATCAGGAGCCAATGGATACCACTAGCACCCGCTCTGCACAAGGCCACCATCTTGAAGCTGTTGATGGAGCTACCAATCCTGTTGAGACGGGTGATTCAGTCACTGGTTCCTTTGCTAATGAACGTCCCCAAGCTTCGCGACTAGAATCCCATCACCGCCATATTCCTGGTGAGTTCATTAGTACACCAGGCGAGCATGGCAACACTTTCCTGGACTACACATCAGTTGTTCAGCCAGCTTCCACTTTGACTGCGCCAGCACTAGGTGTGGGGCCTACCCCTATATCCGCTGCTACTGCCACTCATCAGGAACCGACTTCCACCCTAGGATCATCTACCGGCACACACTCGACCGCGATTCCTCATTCCACCACGGATCAGCATGAACTCCGGCACACTGGAACGCTAGATGACCCCCTTTCAAGGTCTTCCGAGGATCATCACCATGATAGAGATGCTGTAATGGCTGGTGGCCTTGGTGCGGGCGCCGCTGGCTTAGCCGCACACTCAGCCCACCAAAGTCGGGCAACTACAGAGGTCGACGCTAGCAAGCCTCTGTATGAAGAGACGAGTCCATATAGCTCCAAGATGCTTGACCCACGTGTCTCCGGCGTACAGGATCCACTTGAGGAACACCGGTTTGATTCTCAAGCCAGTTCGACTGGAATTGCTCCCTCCCGAATTGTGCAGACATCTAGTACTGCTGGCAATCCTTCGGCATCGGGGTCGCAGCATCATCCAGGTAGGGATGCTGGAATCATGGGCGGTGCTGCTGTCGGTGGAGCTGCATTGCAGCATTCTCTCCAACGCAACAATGCCCCTGGATCTGGCTCAACAGTTCTTCCCCACGAGACTGCTCATAGTTCAATACCTGCTTCGTCTGCACCCCATCACTCAACGAATCTCACTGCTCCACCAGCGTCTTCTACCGTAGCAGCACCGCATGATGAGTTCTACGGCACTAGGGGGGCTCCAGCACCGATGGCGGATCATACCACACAACCCCAGCAATCGTCCATGGTATCAGCACCAACTTCAGCTCCAGACAAAGATGCTGGCCATGGCTATGGACGTAACGCAGCAATTGCAGGAGCAGGAGCACTTGGAGCTGCTGGTGTCTACACCGCAGCTCGCGGTGACGATACCAATAGAGGTCCCGCATCCAGCACGACATCGCCCTCAGAACATGGCTTGGCTTCTAGCACCGGTCTTACGTCTGCCACAGGAACAGAGACAGGGCCAGCTTCGAAGACGATTGGTCCGCACTCCAGCAACGTAGCAAACATTTTGGATCCAAGGATTCAACCGGACCCGGCCTTGCAAAAGAGCCACAACACCACCGGACCCCATCAATCTGACACATTTGACCGTCTAGATCCCCAAGTCGATGGCAAAGCTGCGCATTCGGATCATCACTACGGTCGGGACGCAGCCGTGGTAGGCGGTGCTGGCGCTGCAGGATACGGTGCTCATGAGGCCATCCAGGCCTATGGGAACCACAGGATGACACAGCCAAGTGCGTCTATGAATGAACAGAGGTACGACCCGACAACCCCAGGAGCAAACGCTCCCAGTCCGGTGGCACCAAAAAGTGAATACAACTACAATGATCCGACCATCCACAGCAACGTGAACCGCGCCGAGCTAGATGTGGACAGTAACACTGGACGTAACGCTGGTCTTGAGGGTCTCACAGGTCCTGGGCTTGTGGGTGCAGGAGCTTACGCTGGTTCGAGGCATGCTGAAAACAATCAGCAATTGCGTCTCCACCAAACGACGCAAGACTTTGCATTAGGTTCTGCAGGACAAGCTGACCCAATTCGTGGAGTAACTCACGATACCTTTCCAAGGAACAGCGCAAACCAGACCTCATACCCAACTCACGAAACATCATCATCATATCCCGCACAGGGTGCCATTGTGCCACAAAACACACAAGCATTAGGCTCGACTAGCCAGCGGCCGTATGATGCCACTCGAGATCCCGCTGACCAAGGCCACGACAAGCGAAATGCTGCACTTCTTGGTGCAGGTGGAGCTGCTGCTATTGGTGGCGGCGCATATGCATTCTCCCAACGGGATGATGGTGAACAAGCTAGATTAGCAGAACGAGAGCAGGAGCGTTTGAAGAAGGAAGCCCATGATCGAGAGAAGGAGCGGCACAGACTCGAAAAGGAGCAACACAAACATGAAAAGGAGGTGCACAAGCACGAAAAGGCTATAGCGGCCCACGAAACAGAGCAGCACAACCTGCACAACGAGCAAGAAAAGGAGCAAAAACTTCTCACCAAAGAACAACATGAGCGCGAAAAGCAGGCCGACAAGGCCGACAAGGAGAAAAAAGGTGGCCTCCTCGGCTTCCTGCACAGAGACAAGTCTAAAAAGGAAAAGTCGGCCATCAGCCCAGAGCCGTCGCCCCGCGCATCAAGAGAGCATAGCAGACGCGTCTCGAGAGATGTGCCCAGCCCCAGACACTCGAAGGAATATCCGGCTGGTACTGCTACTGCTACTGGCACTGCTATTGGTGCCGATGGTGCTACCGGCGCTGCAACCACCACAACGACGGCCCATGATGAAAACCACCCCGATCATCCTCGCTGGAAGGGTAAACATTTGCTACACAAGGATCCGCCAAAGGGTCATCCGGCACGCGAGGTGCTTGAGCAATGAGCTGGGGGTGGGGGATGAGCGGGCTGGAGGAGGAATGGTTGATGCTCAGGCTTTGGTATTGGGGACGGGCGGGTATACATTTATACATGTCCTATTTATCTTTTTTTTTTTGGGGGGGGGGGGGGGGCTGTTTTTGAAGGAAATAATGGATTGTTTTCCAAGGAGGCATGGTTGGGCTTGTGGTGGGATGGGATGGGATTGGAATTCGACATGGACGTGGTATGACAGAGTGGCAGACAGATGGGTATTCAACATGTAAATAGGGGATATACCGTATGGGATGACAGGACGGGATAACAGGTAGGAATCCAAAATCTAACCAAGGGGCAATGGTTGCGTGTGCGAGTCCCACCATGTACACCCCCTCCCCAAAGAAAAAAACCCCCCATCCCTGATTCCAAATCCAAATCCCAAGGTCCATTCCAATTCCAGCTGCAATTAAACCCTAAATCCCGTCAATCCCCATTCAATCCAACCCAATCCAATCCATCCCCCTCACGCAACCATAGTCTGACCCTGAAACTCCTGCCCCTTGCCCTCCGACGCGGCCAATCTCGAATTCGCATGAGCGGCTAGACTCGACTTGGCTGCCTCTTGGAGCTGGGATTCGACATTGCGGTCGCGGTCCCGGTCGCGGTCTCGATCACGTTCGGGTGGGGAGTTGCGGGGGGCTGGGGGCCAGGTGTCCGGTTGGTGGTCGTAATGTGGCGGTGGTGGTTGTGGTGGGGCATGTGTGTTGTGGTGGTCTGGTTGCTGGGGGTGGAGGGGTTGGGGTTGGGATTGGGATTGTGATTGTGTGTGTGACTGTGATTGTGATTGTGTGTGTGACTGTGATTGTGGTTGTGGCTGTGACTGTGGCGTGTGTGGTCCGTTGCCAGGGCTGGTGTACGAGGGCGTCATGGTGTGACGGGGTGGACTCAGCACCGCGGCGGGACTGGCGGTGCTAGCGCGGTCACCGCTCTCGTGGTCCGACGTCTCGCTTTGGCCGTTGCTGATTGTGCTGTGAGGGTAGATGAAGCCACCGCGTAGCTCGCCTTCGCGAACCTCTTTCCACGAGCATTTCGCGTGCTTCTTCGTACAGCCCATGCAGGCCGTGAGATTCTTCAGGCAGTCCATGTGGAGTCTCCGGCAGCGATCGCAAGGTGGTATGATGCGCTCGCCCTTGGCCAGGCTTTCCATTCGGTGGACCATTTCCGTCTTGAAAGGACCGCCATCGTCCTTCTCCGGTTGCTGACTAGCACGTTGGCTGGCAGCTGGGAGGAGATTAGAGGGAGTGTTTGGTATTGGGACGGGCGAGTTCATCATGGTCTGCAGCTCGGATTCGTTGAAGCCATGAGGTGGCCTCGTCATGTTGACTGGTGGACCTTGTGGGCCATCACCAGGCTTGGTGGGAGCAGCTCTTGTAGGCATGGCGCCTGGCGTGGGAGGGTGAGAGATGTGGCTGCTCATCGACAGCCGCCTCGCCTCGGTACCACCAGTGTTGGAGGGCTGCGAGGAAGGGCGTCGTTCGCTTGTTGTGTGGAATTTGGATAGCAGCTCGTGACGAGTGGTAGACGAAGTGCCTTGGCCATGACCATGACTGTGGCCGTTCGAATCCTGTTGCTGGCGAGCATTCACGGCAACGAATCCCCCAACGCCACTAGGCGATGTCTGTGGAGGCTGGGCAAGCCCAGTTGTAGTAGTCGGTGGAGCGGTGCTGCCGCCTTTCATGAGAGCGACATTCGAGGGACTGGCTGGTCGTGGGACGGCAGGGACAGCAGGGCTGGCGGTTGCCCGCCGATCGAGGATGGCTTGTTTGCGACCCTTGAGTCGGTGGTTGAGCTGCCGTGTGCGTGCAGCGACTACAATTTGTTGTCAGCCCATGATCACCATGGGTTTTGCGCCGTATAAGCCGAAAGAGGGCAGCGAGGGAGGGGGAAAGCTTGTATAGAGGCAAGAGCGTGCATGGCCTAGTGAGGGAAGAGAAAAAGGGCCGTGTCTTACCTTGGTCAGCAAGTTGGCAGATCTGCCCCAGGTTCTTCTCCAAAATCTCAATCGTGCCCAATTCCTTTTCTTCATCCTCGATGATGGGCTGGGGTGGAATCATCTTCTGAGGGATGCCCGAGGAGATGAGCACGAAATCCTCCTCGGAGATTTGCACGCGACACTGCTTGGTGTAGAACTGGCAGACGCGGACGCCTTCACTCATCTGGCCCAGCTGGAACTGTTCTGGCTTGTTGCGGGCGAATTCGACCACGTCCAGCCAGCTCACAGAGGTGCCGTCTTTGCCATGGCTCTTCAGGACGCGCGGGGGACCATCGAACAGTCTCTCGAATCGCTTGATCAGGATGGGGCCCAGCGGTCGGGCGCCGAGATTGCAGGCCATGCTCTCATGGCGGTCGAGGACGCCCTGGTAGTCGCCGAGCAGGGACAGGATGGCGGGGAGGGTGTCTTCATTGGTGATGAGTGGGAGGTCCTCGTCGAGGTGTCGAGCGAGATAGTTGATCTGCAGATGGTTATGCGTCTTGGCAGCCTTGGGCAGTGGCGCAGAGGGTGGGTGGACATCGTGCGACGAAGGACTGCGTTTGCGCTTGTGGTCCGCGGTGGCGGGTGGCGCATGGTGTTGCGATGTGTGGGAAGCCATGCGGATGCGCTCGCTCACCACGGCGGCGATGTCGACGTTGGACATTGGCGAAGAGCGTGGCCGGGCGGCCGAGGCAGTTTATGTGAGCGGACGGCGGGCGGCCGATGAGGAGGGTGGAGGCAGGCGGACGCTAGCACAGCCAACTCACAGGCCAGGCCACAGGCGCCAGGGCAAGGCAGGCAGGGCAGGCCAGGGCAGGGAACAAGACAGCGCAGGGGGAGGGAGAGGGGGGGGGGAGTTTCTACTACGCCGTCACCAGCACCACAGGTAGATGGCAAGACATGGCAAGCAAAAATAAAAGAAACGGTACAAGGGGGAGAGAGGGAGGAGATGGTGGTGGTGGTGGTGGTGGTGGTGGCAAGGATGGAGAAGAATCAGAAGACAGACAGAGAGAGTGAGTGTGTTGGTAAGAAGAGAAGGGCGGCCGGTCCATGGCAGGCAGGCAGGCAGGCAGGTGTCGGTGACAGTCGAGCACGGGTGCGCGGAGAAGCAGCCACAAGGCAAAGCACGTCTTGCTGCTGCGTTTGGCTGGGAGAGAGGGGAAGGGTGGACACCCCCTCTCTTCTCTCTCTCTCTCTCTCTCTCTTTCCATCTCTCCATCTCTCTGTCAGTTGTCTGCTTCCCCTCGTCTCGTCCACTCCCCCTTGGAAGACCAGACCAGAGCAGACGAGGGCCGAGAGAGGCACGGGAATAAAAAGAGGCGGCGTCTGTCCTGAGGGCGGACCCCGCAGCCAATCAGAGCCGCCGCCACTCTCGACGGCCTCCCGCACCCAACACCACACCACGCACATGGTGGGCACACACGGGCCTGGCCTAGCCTAGCCTACTACTATACTATATTGTATTGTATCCATCTTCAAGAGGAACTATGTAGCTACTACTCCTAGGGATCCATCCGTGGCAATGACATGGATCCTGCATCCCTGTGACTGAGAAAACAAAAGAAAGACTGCCTGGAGGATTTGCGCCGCTCTGAGCCTGCAGCCACCAAGGAAGGCAGAGCGTTGGCTGCATGTATTTGTCTGTGAACCATGGCTGTGAGGGGAGAGAGTGTGTGAGAGAGATGAAGAGGTGCCTGCAGGGGCTGCTACTGGAATCCCCCCCCCTCCCCCCTCACAGCACAGGACAGAGAGCACACAGGAGGACAACATAGCCAACACAGCCGTGCACAGCGACTCGGGTTCGGGAGTGCTGGCTGCATTACTGCTCTGTCGGTCACAGTAGCTATCTACTCCTCCTAGTACCAGTCGTCCCCGAGTGAAGGGTGAGGGGAGTGAATGGCCGGCCGGGCAGTGAGGAAAATGCCGCAGACCCACGCGCGTCGTCGTGTCGGAGGAACGGGCCCGAAGCAGATCAAGGGAAGGCAAACTGCAAAGGCGGAGAGTCTGGAGTCTGGAGGAGCCTGGACACGGGGGCCACCAATGTGTGTAGTACGGGACGGTAACTCGCAAGGTAAGTGTGTGTATGGCTGGGTGGCCTGGGTGGTCGCCAGCGGAATCCTGCCCTTTCCACCCTTGCCCTGACTAAGCTCCATTGGCTGCCTTAGAGTAGCCCCCTCTCTCTCGCGCCTAACCACATGCAGTCCCGAGTCGGTCCCAGCCGTCAACTGGCCGGCCTTCACCAGATCACGTGCCGAGCTGACCCAACCTAACCAAGCTTAACCAAGCTTAGCCAACAACAAAGGCACTGGTAGGAGTACTCTACTACTGGCTGTGCACAGACAGTCCTCGCGATTGGACCTGGCCGAGCTTTCGCGTTTGCCCTGCACCTCACTGCACCTTTCCCCATCGCCAAACCATACCAGCCCAAAAAAAGAAAAAACCACCACCCACCACCCTTCTCTTATCTAGACAGCCACAACCATGTCTGAGCGAGGCCAATTCCGTGGTGGCAGAGGCCGAGGCCGAGGCGGTGATCGTGGAGGCCGAGGTGGTGGTGCTCGCGGCGGGGCACAGGCTGGTGGTGGTGGTGGTGGTGGTGGTGGTGGTGGTGCAGGAGGACAGACCGACCGTCCAAAGAAAGAAAACATCCTGGACCTGAACAAGTACATGGACAAGCAAATCACCGTCAAGTTCAGCGGTGGACGTGAAGGTGAGCGCCTGCCAACAGTGCCAGGTTCGCGCTCAACTACAGCCTTGATACTAACCCACCATCCCAGTCATTGGCACACTCAAGGGCTACGACCAACTCATGAACCTCGTCTTGGATGAAGTCAAGGAAGCCTTGACCGGTATGCACATCCTCACATTCTCTACACATGGCCCTGGCTGACACGCCCTCTAGACGACGAAGGCAACATTCGCTATCGCAAACTAGGTCTCATCGTCGCCCGCGGAACCCTCCTCGTCGTCATTTCCCCCGTTGACGGCAGCGAAGAAATCGCAAACCCATTCATCCAACAAGAAGAAGACTGAAAACAGTCCCATTACCCCTCCACCCCACCAAAGTGGAAAGAAAAAAAATACCCCGCCCCCGAAAAATTCTGGTCGGAGAACAATGCACTTGAACAGGCTAGAGGTCGAGCACTTGATCCGCTCACTGCAAGAGAAAAAAACCAGAAGCTGTGCTTCAACACGATACCCACGACGTCAACGCGGCATGATGAGTACACGGGCGGATTGCAGCGGTACCATCTGGGGGGCACCATATGGCTTCCCCCCGTCACCAGACCTTGTCCACCTGTCTGTAGTATAGCAACCTAACAGGCACGTCCTCTCTTGTCCTGCCACCGAGAACAAAAAAACAAAAATCTGCGCAATCATTCTTGCTTTGCCCTCATCACGTGTGAGCCTTATAATCGTGCACTCGCACACCTGCCAACTTCCTCCTCATCCTAAATACACACATGTACGTGATTTTGTACCGGACGAAACGTATCGTCCTGGACTTTTTTGTGTATGCTGAGTCGTGCACGTACGATTTGTTGTATGCAGTGGCTCTTCTCTTCCTCCTCCTCTTCCTCCTCTTCTTCCTCCTCGGCTTAATCTCATGCCCACTCCCATCATCCCCGTATCTGGATAATGTGCCGTATCCCATCTTTGATTCTAGACCTGGTGTCGTGAGTATTTCCCTGATCCTTCACGACACCAATAATGACACACAGCATTTTACTTCTGCCCACGCCCCCTTTTCCCAACATCAGTGAAAACAACAGGTACCTCCCACTCACGCATCCGCCTCCACAACGTCCGCTTCGAAACCAGGATCCCCCTCTCCCTCAACCGTCTCTGCAGCTCCACATACGACACACGCAGCCGCACACACTCTTCCACAATCTCCCTCTGCTGCTCTACAATATCCACTCTACCTGCCCCCCACCCCAACAGCCGTTTCCGTAGCGTCCCCTGACCCACGTGGACATTTGTCAGTCTAAGAGATTCGGAGAGTTGCTTGGGCGTGACGCCGCGCTTGTACCCTTGCACCATGATTTCCCTATATGGCTCGAGATTTAGGGGCGGTCGGCCTTTGGGACGGGGACTGACTGATGGGGTGAGGTTTTTGGGTTTTTTTAGTGTGGATGTGGGGTCCTGAGTGGGTGCATTGTTGAGGACTGGTACATGTCCGGATGTTTTGGTAGACTGGTGCCTCCTGGCGATATTGATACACTGGTAGCTGCATGTGTGGTTGTAGTGGCGGCACGTGATGTTCTTGACTCGTTGTAATAGGGCGGCGAGCAGTTCCATCTCTTTTCTTATGGCGGCTTGGATCGAATTGTTGGATCAAGCATGTTAGTGTGCTGATGATACGAGATGGTTGTTGCGGTGTTGAAGTGCTACACAATAGTATACTTGGTCGTGTTTGGCGCTGAGGAATGGCCGCGCTTGTTTCAGCTTACCGCATCGGGAAGGATGCCAGGCACCAGTGTTAACCTCTCATCTCTTTCGTGATGGAGGAGTTGGTCATCTCCATATCACTCGCATATTCCATCTACTGTTTGCTATACGCCTGTTTCTTGAGCTTGTTTGCCTTCACATAATTCACTTACTGCGTCGTGGGACCGTGCATGCCTAGGTCGCAAGCGGCTGGTTGACTATCAGAAATAGTGCCACTGCAGCGTTAGACCGCAGGCAATCGTAATATAGTACCTACATTCAAGGCACCAGTCGCACGACTTTCTTTTTTTCGCCATCTGCGAGGTTGGGTGTGTCTTTTGCGTTGTCCAATCGAGCGATTGAGCAGTCATCATCATGGCAAGGACATCGCAGATTGTGGAACACATCAAAACCTTCGAGGACTTTATAAGAAAACCCGAACATGCACAAGATCCGTCTTGGTCGTCAATATCGAATCAAGCTTTCATGGACTGTGCAACTCTGATCACCCTGCTGGCCGCAGCCATCCCACTGGTCGCATATCTCGTATACAGAAGATACGAATATACACACCGTCAGCCATTCCGCTTCCTAGACCTTCCACAAGAATTGCGAGACATGGTCTATGCAAACCTCATTGAAGACCCCGTCTATCCACCCCCAAGGTCCCGGGAAAATTATCGCAAGGGCCTGTGGCTTCTATCCAGCCGCGCCACTTCGGCACCACTCTACCAAGGCCGACTTCACGACAAAAATTGCATCTTCCTCGTCAGCAAGCAACTCTACAGAGAGTACATGGACATGATCTGCAAAAAAACCACCTTCCACCTCACCGTCTCCCCCCAAAACTACCAACCCTCATCCACCCCCTCCACCTCCCCACCCAACGACCACATCTGGAACATCGGCAAAGACACCCTCCAAAACCTCAAAACCTGCTCCCTAAAACTGATCACCACCTCCGCCATGCTCGGCGTCACCGACCCCCGCAACATGACCTCCTCAGACTGGCCCCTCGCCCGCAAAATCCACGAACAACTAAAATCAACGAAAAGCATCACCAACCTCACCCTCGAAGCCAAAGCCCTGGGTGACCCGCTCTGGAACCCGCTCTGGATCTGGTACCACGCCTACCAATCTTTCATCCCAATCGGCACCCCGCTCTCCCATACCCGCCCCTTCGGCCCTACACTCTCCCGCATGACCTTTACCCTCGACACCTGGAGCCCCGGCGAAAATTATCTTCAGCGTGACGACCGCCGCCACGGGCGCTGGATGTGGTATTGTATGCTTGGACATGAGCTTGCTTGCGATCTTGGGCCCCAGATGACGGTGCGTGAATTTTGTGGGAGGTTGTATCAGGAGTGTGTGCGGTGTAGGACGAGTGGGGAGGACGAGTGGCAGGATTGATGGTTGGAGGGGTTGCTGGGTCGGTATGATATGTGGGCTGTTGTGGGCATGTGAGAAAACATGTTGGGGGTTTTTTCTTCAGGAGAAGTTGGATTGCTCTTTCGCAATGGATTTTCTTTTCATCACCCACAATCTAGCACTTTTCATTTTGCGATGAGCACTTTGAAGTTGGATTCATCATCGAGACGTACCATGTACCATTACCATACAACTTATTCTAAATACCACCCCATCCTTTCCCAGATTCAAATAAACCAGGCACCGCCCCAATCAACGCCATCATTTAGTTCCCGTTTTGCAAGCGCAGAGTGCTATACAATACCAGCCTGCACGATGTAGACATAGTACATCCCCAACATCCTCATCACGCAGACAAATCACCTAGCCATACGTAAACCGTAACCCCTCCCCCTCCACGCCATCAAACCCACAAGGCGGGCCTTTTGTAGGATGGACTGAGGGCGGTGCTTTTGCGGTACTTACTGCTAGGTTGTGTGGGTTACTGGTACACGAGGGAATGCTTAGTCTGGCTGGCTAATGGGAATTATGGCCATGGGGAGAGACACAGGGGGCATGTGGAATTTTGGAAGCGAGAAGTGGAGGGTTGAGGAGGATTGAGTATCTAGTACTGCTGTGTTTACGTGTTGGCATGCGTACCATAGATACCCGACGTCTATGATGCGGAAAGCTGGTTGGTGTGCGTGGGTCTTGGGGTGCGGTTTGCGTGATGTTTGTGGCTGTAGAAGGTGGGGTTGGAGATATGAAGGGGGTGGCTATTATTTTAGGGGTATATCGCGCGCAAGCGAATCTGGACTGTTCGGTTATGGTTTATATCCCTTTTCGTGTTTAAACTCAGCATTTACCTAACGTTAAACGCGTTCTCATAGAAGTGGCGCTTCCCGCGACTAGCTCCCGCTGCCTTGATAGGTGGATACATAGCGTACTACATCCAATATACCCCTCGGCAACTGGCTGCCTGCAACGACATGGAAACAAAACTTAGGCTGAACCAACCATAGTCAGGCCAAATCTTGACTCAACTGTTGCCTGATGAATTCCACCCATTCTACTAAACACCTTGCAATCCACCACTCACTTCTCACCATGGCGAAGAAGCACTTCGTAGTACTGGAGAACCACCCAGATGTCATGAACAGTCTAGCTCGAGATCTCGGGCTGGATACCAGTGTTTACTCCTTCCACGACGTCTACTCATTGACCGACCCGGAACTACTATCACTCATACCACGACCCGTCATCGCACTCCTCGTCATCATCCCCCTCACACCAACCTGGCATGCAGCACGCACATCAGAAGACCAAGACAAACCCGAGTATTCCGGCAAAGGCGACCAAGAACCCGTAATCTGGTTCAAGCAAACCATCGGAGACGCCTGTGGTAGCATAGGCCTCGTGCACTGCCTGCTCAACAGCCCTGCCTCCAGCCATATTGCCGCATCCTCGACCCTTGCCCAAATCCGCAACGAAGCCCTAGACAAGCCCATCTGGGAGCGAGCAAAAGTCCTCGAAGACTCTGGAGAATTCGAAGCCGCACATGCACGTGCTGCCAGGCTTGGCGATACGGCAACGCCTGCATGTCCCACTGGAGAGCATACGGGCCAGCATTTTGTCGCGTTTGTCAAGGCGCGGGACGGGCACTTGTGGGAGCTAGAGGGCTCGAGAATGGGGCCGTTGGATCGTGGTGTGTTGACCGATGAGGAAGATGTGTTGAGTGCTGCTGCGTTGGAGAAGGGGCTGGCGAGGTTGATGAGGATTGAGGCGCAGCAGGGCGGCGATCTGCGGTTCTCGGCGATTGCCCTGGCTCCGAAGCTATAGAGTGAGGTGTTGCGACTTGGCTACGCGTTGCTTGCACCTTGGATGGGGGGGGAGGAGGGGCCAGGGGTTGCAGTGAGGACGTGTTGGATGCTTGATGGGTCGGGACGAGGTGGCCAAGAGGGATGGCGTGACACGCAATGTTGCGGCCACGTCTTTACCAAGTCGACTGGTGCACACTAAGATCTAAGAAAAGAATTCTTCGTCATTCAAGCATGGATTGTCGGTAGGGATGGGTCTGAGGTGATGGTAGCCAATTCGCGGTTCTGCACACCAGTCTGAATTGCCGTAGCGCCGTATGCCGGTAGTCGTCAGGCACTCCCGTAGCAACTTACCCGGCTCTGGAGAACACGCTGTCACCTCCAGAATGTATTATCGTGATATCTTGTGAGGTGTCATGTATGCTGAAAGCCGGCAGAATGTATCATCATTATCATTATCACGGTAGCAAAACATCACAGGAATGCACAAATATCATCAAACAACGTATCCATTGCCACATAAGAAAACGCTCACTCTCGAGCCATGCACATGATGTCGCTTGCCCTGTTGCGTACCCATCAGAAAAAAAAATCACAATCGCAAAATGCTAGTCCAAGGGTATCTTCCACGTCTCCCAAACTCCAAGACAAACCAAACAAACGACCCGTCCAGCCTTGAAACCACCTCCCACCACCCCCTAATTGCCCCGACAAGGCAACTTCATCCTCATCCATTCATCGCCCACAATGGCGTGGCCGACACGCGACTCGTAGAACAAGCGCTGTTTGTGCTGGCGCTCGGTATAGGACATGTGGTGCTTGTGTATCCTGCCCTTGCTATCACGAGAGTACTCGAACTTTTCTTCGCCCTGGTAGGTATTAGTACATGTGAAGTGTGGAAACGTACGGCTGGAAGAGCAAAGACGACTTACGATGATGTTGTGGAGGATTTGCTCCTCCGGGTTCATCTTGGTGTAGTAGAGCGGCTTGGGGAGTGGCTTTTCGCCAGACAACCGCGAGGAGAGCGAGGTTATGCTTGTGCGTACGTGCAGCATGGTGATGGATGTTGTGTTGATGTGTGGAAGGGAGGTTTGCTTTGTGGATGCTTTTGCTTTCCGATATGTGTGTGTGTGAGGTGGGATGTAGAAGATGTGGAGGAAGCGGACAAGTGCGCTGGCTTTTATCAAGGTGCGGGTGGAAAGAACAGATTATTGGAGAGTATAGTTTGGTTGGGCTGGGAGAAGAAGAATATAAAAAAGATTGGCTGCAGGATCACACACCCTTTTCGTGTGGTTGAGGGGAGTGATTGTGGTGGTAGAGTCGACTTAGAGTGGTAGCGACATGGTTGAGTCTGCAACCATTGGATCCAACCGCAGTAATAGTCGTATAACGATCCAAGAAAACTCCAATGATGGTCGTTGACAATAGTCGAGCGCAATAAAAAAAATCTTCTCCTTCTAGATGGCTGAGGTGCAGACTGTTTGGAATGCGACCATGCTATATATTCGCAACCCCCCAATCCAACTTCCACAGCCGCAGCAACCAAAGTAAACGGGGCCTAGCAGGAAAAAAAGAGCACTCTCGGCCGCTACTCTAGGGTACTACCGCGCTCTTGGCAGCCCGCGCCAAAGCACAGGAAAAGAACACAACGCCTTACCCTTTTCCTGCGTCACCCAGCAGAAGATTGTTTCTCCCAAGCCTGCGCCCAGCCATGCAAGCGAGTCATCAGAAACTCGTCCATTTCCGAATACATAGCTAGGCCATGCATTACCCCACGGGGCAGGACCAATGACCATGTGTGCTTGCGAATCGAACAACGCAATCCCGTTTCGCAATTGTACCCGCTCATGGATGTACCATGTTGAAGTGAGCCTTTGCTGCCGCGTCGTCCCTGTCTCTTCTGCCTGGCTTGGCGGCGTCAAGACACGTACGCAAGACTTATGCGCCGCGCCGAGGGATGGGCGGAGGCTTGTCAGGAATGGAGAGAAAGATTGAGTGCTGCGGATGGGTAAGTTATGGGGAGGGGCCTGTTGCACTGTAGATCGGTAGGATCCAAGACCTTGGCATTTCTTGGTGTCAGGGAGGAAAAGGTCCGGGTTTGGTTGTTGTGTGGGAGGGAAGGGATCGACGGGAGGGGAGGTGAACGGAAGTGCAACTCTTCATGCTTCAAGACTTGTTTTGTGCCATGCATGGCTTTCACGACAAGGACAAGACTGTTTTTTCTTTGATTTGATATTCGCGTTTTAGTACTTGCCGTTACCTGAACGAATGCTTCCTGTTTGTGTGTTGTTCAGCCAAGATCGCTGCAATATAGGAGTAGTTTTGTGTAGCTTTGTCCAGAGTTTCGGGTTCCGCCCAGTCAGTCTTCAATCTCAATCATCGTTTCTGAGTCTGGGCGTGCGGTATCGGTGCAACTTGGTGCAATGTTGTATGAAGATTCATCCACTCCGCCCTCATCTTGTACATAACAGTACATGAATGGGGGCAGCATGGAAACCTAGTGATGATCTCACAAGGGGGTTTCGACTCTTGACGGAAATTTTCGGCCAAGCAACATTGTGATCGACGCGGTCACCACTCACGTGGCTGGGGGATCTGAGTTGAATCGAGTATCGCATCGAAGCTCGGCATTGGGATCTGGCAGGCGCTCTGTAGATTACGACTGAAACAGGCAGATGTCTCAAAGTGTAACGTTGTAGACGCTCTTGTGTCCGGCTGACCGCTATCCGACTCTCCGTCCAGGTGACGAGATGATATGCACTGGTCTTGGCTACAACACATACCTAAAGTATGGGTTCTGGGTACGTCGTAGTCAGCAAATCAGCCCCCCTTTTTGCACTTTGTGTACGCGTACCTCCTTGTCCGTCAAATCCATGAATGCCAGCCTGTCTCTTTCCTTCTGATTCACCACCAAGCCCTTTCTTTTCCGGTTTTCGCTCGCGAGAAGAACGTACAATGCCACTGCTGCGGCGATGGTGATGCAATAACTAGCCCAGTCAGCATAGCCCACATAGCCGCGTCACGAGTTGAGCCCGCAGGCTACCCACCAAATGATCAGCCCTGTCCACAGTTGAGGATAGTGATCTGCCTTCTGTTGACTCTTGATGAGCTGTGGTCCCACAATATTCCCCACGCAGTAGGCTACGAAAATAGCAGCAGCCATTGCACTCTTCTTCGTAGCTCCCGCAACATTGCTCATCCCGATGACAATGGTCTGGCTGACGACTGCTCCAAATGTGCCAATGATCGAGTATCCCGCCACAGGCGTGGCGGCATGATAGGTCCACTGGGACTTCCAGATCATCGCACAGCCGGCTATCACAGGGAGACAGTTTACGACAAGCAAAATGAGGCGAATGTTAGCGATTCGAGAAGAAAGATAGCCGCAAAGAAGAATGGTGATGAGACACAAGCCGCCCAGAGGAAACTGCCACAGGATTGACTCGAGGGTCGACCATCCAAAGGTGCTTACAATGAGTGGGCCAAAGCCCGAGACCGCGCCGTTGACGGTATACGCAGACGCCATCAGGATGAAGACTAGCCAAACCTTGAGATCAAGCAAGGCTTCTTTGAGCTGAGACATCTTGATTTGCTGGCACCGCACACCCGTCTGACCCCTTCGAAGTCGTTCGACCGCAACAATACGTTCAGCGGGCGTCAAGAACCAGGCCGAGACAGGCGAGTTTGGAATGAAGAAGCACCAGACGCCAAACAAGAAGGTCAGACATCCCGCAAGAAGGTAAATGTACTGCCACCTCTTCAGACTCCCGCCAGTAATCTGCGCAAAGCCATAGTTCAGCGCGCCACCGACAATGGTGAACAGGCCAGTGGACGAAAACCACCACGACTGCCGGAGCGCTTGCTCCTCTTGCGTATAGTACCCAGAGATGATGCACATGAAGCCCGTGGGAACAATGCTCTCCACAAAGCCCAGGAAGAAGCGCTGGGCGTACAAGCCATGGTAGGAAGTCACCGCCGCCGTCAACATGCAGACCAGCGCCCACACGACAACGACACCGCCTAGGATCCGCCCGAGATTGAATCTCTGCAGCGCAAACGTCATGGGATACAAGCCAGCCAGCATACCAAAGTAGAACATGGACGTCGCCCAGCTGAGCCTCGAGGTATTCGTCGTAGGCGGCGTAGTCGCCGTATTCACAACGCTGAGATGCAAGTCCCTCGTCATGCCGAAAAGGACGGCTGAGCCGAGAATCGCCTTGTCGTAGTATACCAGTCCATATCCTAGATTGAATATTGTTGGTATGCAAATAGCAAGGCTGTACAGACCCGCCCACATGTGCGTGGATAACTTGACATACCAACAATCATCGCCGGAATTAAAAACCAATCAATCTTCCTCAGCACGCGTGCTTCCACGTCTGGATCAATCTCCCGCGCACATTCACCCACCAGGCCAATCGCAACGTCTTTGCCCAGCGAGAGCGAACTCGCGCCTGCGTCTGCCTCGGGGTCATGGTGTTGACTCGACAGTGGAACAGGAGGACTGACGTCTGCACTCTTTTCGTTTTCATCGGCGACAGCCATGGTGTACCGGTAGGGTAGTGTTCAAGGAGGCCCGGTGTATTATTGCTGTTGTTGTTCCAAGTTGACTCGACGAAACCAAAGTGAAGAAAAGTCAACGGAGGAATTGCAACACCACGAAAAGTAGATTGGAGATTTTCCTCGACTAGGCAATGCCTGTCTGTTATGTAAAATCGTTTATACACAGCACGCGGCTTGGATACACACGGCTTGCCGTCCGCGGCTTAGCGTACTATTTTGGTAGATGGGTAGGTAGTTACATAGGTATGTAGGCATCGATGTCCCCTCAGCCCATCACTCCTATAATCCCCAGTATACAGCATACATAGATACATACCACCCCCTACAAAACTCCCAAATACCTATCCTACCTCCACCCACCCCCACCCCTCCCCACCGAAAAGAAACCCCCCACACACTCCCCCTCCCAATCCGCACCAATCCCCCTCCCCCATGCCGCGGCCACACCCCTCCCCAGCCACCCCGCCACCCCATCCCGAAACAGGAAAAGCGCGCCCGCCAAGCCCGCTGACATAATCGCGCCCCTTAGACTAACAAAACAGAGAAAAAAAAATTGCTGTTGACTTGCGAGAGCTTGGGCGAGAATGCACACGACTACGGCGTTTGGCGCTGGTGTGGGTTTGTATGGATGGGGTGGGTTTGGGGGCTCATGTTGATGTTGATGGGGTTGCTTGGATGGCAGTTGTTGGATGCTGGGTGATGTGGTGATGTGGTGTCTGAATGCACTCTCATCCCATCCCATCCCATCCCATCCCATCCCCCCTCTCCCATCTCATCCCCCCCCGTCTCCAACCTCGCTCAATCCGCGATCCCCCATCCGCGAATTTCGAGCTGGATACAACGGTCTGCAAAACCGCTCTCCCGCTTAAAATCGGGCTAGCGGTCTGCAGACCGTTGTTACGAGACAAGAGTAAAACTGTGTTGAAAAACCTTACCCGATGATATTTGAGTACGGAGCCGGCTTTAATGGAGTGTCGGGTTGCGTAATTTTTTGTCGGGACATTGTGGGATAGTGGTGCGGTGTGGTGTGGTGTAACTCGATGCAACGACCTGTATGCGAAATGAGTCGAATTGAATGGATTTAATTCAACTGCTCATCACACATCACCGATCTTCTTCTTCTGCAGTCTGGGGGGCGTATCTAGACATACCAGATAACATGCCGCAGCCGAACCAACCACGACATCAATCAACGCCAACCTCTCCACAACATCCCCAGGCACATAAGATTGCCGCGACCATCAACATACGACACAGTGAACCTTAGTTTTTTGTGCAAAGAACCAGCTACCTACACATACACATACACCTTCTCTCTCTTCCCTCTCTTCCTCACAACCAAAGCCCCCCGCTAGGGAAAACAATTCCAACCCCCACTCCGCCCAAAAAGCCAAAATGGAAAAAAACACAAACCCCATCGCTCGATTCACCTGTAAACGCCACATACTCGCCACAGCGCCAAAACAAAAAACAAACACACACAAGGGGAAGTAGGTAGGGAGAGCCCAAGTAGACATGAAATACCAGCGCAATGCACGCTTCCTACACCCAGACCTTGTCCGATTCCAACGCCATACAAGGGAAGGGGGGGGGGGATGAGGGAGAGGAGGAAAGATAGGTGTACAAACACCATACACACCACATGTCCAAATGCCCAGCCTTCCCCTTCCTCATTCCCCATCCCCATCTGCCAGATAAAGAAAGAAAACAATAGTGATGACGCATAATGCATCTTGCTTGCCACGAACCCAATGGGCAGCACACCCTGGAGATGATAAAAGACAAGGAAATGCTAGCGGGTTGGAGGGGGTATACTGAGAGCCGTTTGGCAAAACAAAAAACAAAACACCGTTGGAGAGGGGAGGCGGGAAGGATGAAAAATTTGCGATGCGAAGGGTTCATGTTTGATCAACGTGGACCGCGCGGTCGAGAGGTTTGCGTGGAGCTGCGGACGCGGATGGTGGGTGGAGTGGTGTTTGAGGCAGGTGCGGTCGCAGCGTCGTAGGTAGGAATAGGGGGGCTACTTGAGCCTCGTCGCTGTTGGTTGGGAACGAGGGGTGCGCTCTCGTCCCAGTAGCCTTGATCTTGGTGTCTGGCTGTGGTGGTGAGGTTGGGCGAGCCGACGGGGCTGCTGTACTCTGGTGGTAGTTCGCCTGGCTGGAGGAAGCCGAGACCTTGTGGGGCGGTGATGGAAGATGTGCCCGTGTTCTCGCTCGTGCCTTCGCCAATGTCCTCATTCGAGTCTACGACGCTCAGTGCGGCTAGTGAGATGTCGGTCGGGCTTCGTTGAGGTCCAGGACTCGTGGGTTGGTTTCGTCCAAGCCGCATCTGTTGGCTGCTGGTCCGAGCGTGTCCATAGCCTGCTGAGATGTAGCTTCCACCCATCCCTTCCCTAACACCATCGCGCCCAGAATCCAAAAGGATGGAGCCTTGTTCGCTACCATAGGGTGGTGGGGGAGCCAGGCTGCCGGTTTGCGGGGCCAGACCCCACTTCTTCACATTCGCCTCGATGAAGACAAAGCCCATCTGACCGAAATTGACATGGACCTGGCATGGCCCATTGGCGCCAACGGTAGGGAAGAAGTTCTGAGTCTTGAGGCCGTGTGCGACGTCGTCCAGTTTCTTTCCGTTTCGAGTGAAGAAGAGTGTGCCTGTTCGAGGTCGGTATCCGACACCAATGACGTCGCCTTGTACGTAAGAGGGTCCGTAGCCAGAAGGGGTGAAGGGCTGGTTGAATCGGCGGTTTCCGTTGGACATGTACGAAATGGAAGCTTTGTGGTAGCCTTTACATGGTTAGTATCATTCAGGTATAGCGAGGATACGGTTACACTTACCAGGTAATCGAAACAACGGATAAGGTTTTGTCGTGACGCCAACTGCAATGCTCGTATTCTCGGGCTTCTCATAGACCTTGGCCTCCCAGTAGTAGACTTCATTTTGCTTGGGTATAGGCAGGTTGCTCTGCACACTGCATTCGGCATCGAAGAACTCAATTTCTGTGCGAGCCTCGACAAAGCAATTCGCGATTTCCAGTTCGGGCTCAAACTCCCAGGCCGACACGCCCTTCTCCTGTATCGCCAGGAACTGTGACAAGGATATGTCTGTCTGCACGGATTCGGGAGGGTTGGCCTGGATGAAGGCTGTATGAAGTTAGCAAGCATTCCATGGCATCCTATGGCTAGATGAACCAGCGTGATGCGACATACCCTTGGCCCGCATGTACTCGGCTCTCTGCAGGTCATCCATTTGCTCGAGCGCCTCGGCCTCCTCCTTTGCAAACTGCTGCTCGTCATCGTACTCGCCCGGGCGGGATATTCGGTCGAGGAAGATGCGGCCCTGTGAAGTGTACCGGAAGTAGTAGACGATGGCTACGATGATAAGACACAGGCCCGCTGCGCCGAGGACAGAGAAGATGCCAATCATGATGCCCTTGGCCGTCGAGCTCAGACTGGCATTTGCAGCGGCTATCCGGACAGCCTCATGATGTGCAGCGTGGTGGCTTTGGAGAGTGGTGGGCTGAGCGGACGGCGCATGACCAGCAGCGAGAACCGAACGGAGGAGCGTCGTGGGCGGCGCATCCGGAAGCAGCGCGTCCTGCGGTGACATGGCAGGGCTGAAAGGAGAGGAGGGGAGGGTCTGTAGTGTGTGCTTGATGGTCCCTCGTGTTGTAGCAATGTGTTGCGACGGACGGGATGGTACCGTGGCCAGCAGGCGCAGCAGCGCTCGTGCTGTCGTAGTAGTGAAGTGGCCCGCGGATGGTGGTGCGTGTGTGGATCGAAAGCAGTGGGGGCCGGCTGGCTGTGATTGGTGACGCTCGGCAACGGGCGGGATGTGAGTGATGACAGAGGGCGAGAGGGGGTGAGATGGGATGGCGATGACGATGGCGATGACGATGGCGATGCGAAGGCTGATGCGAGCGTGCAGAGGTCGCAGTCGCTGTGAGGAGGATGAAGAGGACGAGTACTGTACTCTAAGCAGTGTTTGAAGAAGAGGCGAGGAGGCGTGCGTGGTGATGTCCGAGTCGCCCAACCAATACGTGAGACTCCAAATGCACGACTGACGCAAATGCTAGCCTTGGTAGCCGGATGCTTTGCCACCCTTTCCAAGCCTCTCTCTTCCTCTCTCTTCGCTTAGCACCCCACGAACCTGATCCCGATCACGTTTCTGCTCACGACACACACTTGCTCGCGCCGAATGGGTTGTTCGAAAGCAAGTACCACACGGTTGTGACAACTTGACGTTCGTGTGGAGATGACAAAGCAAGGTTTCTTCGCTGTACGGGTTCGCCGCTGAGTTCACCACCCACTTAGTTGGCGGCATTCTCCTCATCGCGTCCGTCCGGAAACAGGCAACCACAACTCCAGCCCCGTCCGCATCTGCGCAGTGGTCCAGACCACACCACCAACTCAAAAGTACACCTGCGTCTCAGCAACAGCGCCATTGCATCCAGCGACCCTTGCAGACAGTACTAGCAGCACTCTTCCCGTTTCCAGAGACTGATCGTTGAAAACATGTAAAAGAAGACATTTTCTAAGTACCGGTACATACTACCTACTGCACCTGTTCCTGGTAGACGCGCGGGAGAACCTTGCCGAAACCCCTGGATGCCTCTCCCTCCACCCTCGTTGCACTACTGTGAAACGTCAACACGACAGAGCCGCTGCCTCAGGCTTCAGCCTCCTGCGCTGCCTTGCTGATCCTGTCTTGTACCCCAGACCTTTGTTTGGTAGACTACTATAGTTCGCTACGCGCTGTGCCCCCTTGCTTGCAGATGTGTACTTACTTGCGGTCCCACACAGTATGTATGAATAGGTAGTGCAGCATAATAGTTGCCTCGGCTTCTTCAACACAAAGCACATGACGCCCTACTGCTTACACTGATTGAAATACATACCATGGCTGCAATAACTCAATTCCTACCGTTAGTATACCAGGATTAAATTTAGAGCAATAAGATACCCTGCGTTTTGTTCAACCCACACAGACTGCAAGTGTAGTAGCTGGTAGTACATACGCCCTACCTAGAATGTCGTATATAGGTAGATCTCGTGCTTGAAGCGCTGGATCTCAGCCCTATAATCGACGCAGCGAATCATGGCCCACCTACCCGTCTGCCATGTGCCATGTGCCATGTGGTGCTCTTGGGCCGGCTGTGCCTCGTGGAGTTTAGACAAATCATATTGGGTTTCTTATAGCTGCAATGTGTTGGTTGTCTGTGGACGCTTTACCTATCTGTGGAGGTACTGCAGTTGTCTCAGGAGATCACGTTCATGGCCTCACGGGTTCAGCAAATATATCTGTCAGAGGTTCACACGGTCATGGTTCCATGATTGATCAAATACATCGGCCAAGTAGATTATAGTCATGACCTCACTGTTTGAACCCATACATCAGTCCAAGTTTCATACGGTCATGAGTCCACATTGCTGTAGTCGTCTCTTGTAGTTGAACCCTCCCAACGTTCCTCGAATAAGTTGTGAGCCAAGGACTCAAAAGGGGCGTGGCAGTACCTGAACTTCCAAGCTAGACATGTCTCGTCCTCGATGATCAACTAGATGACAGATGCTGTCGTCTTAGATAATCTCATTGATAGCGTTGTGAATTCATTCCCTTCGGTGAAACGCAGGTCTGCTTGCCCATGTCAAGGATATGTATGCCGTAGTCATAGGTTTGCCGAAGCCATGATTTTGCCGTAAAGCAGGACGACAGCGTGCCGCCTCCGAATGTGATTGAGCCGATACTAGCGGTGCAGGTATCGGTCGGTGGCTTGGTGGATCTGATCTGACCTGGTTCGAGACAGGCACGTACAACATGAACGCATAAATTGGCCGACGGAGATGGCTCCCTCCCACGGGAACAGCCGTGGAGAGAAAATGGGAAGATGAAGATGCCCGTCGATGGACTAAACCTTATTATTACCAGACTCGGTGGTATGCAGCGCACATGGCAGGGAGATTGTTCGGTCCATGTACCTTGCGGTGCGCTTACTTGCTTCCCTGTTGACTTGTAGTGAGATGCCCTGGGTGAGCATCGGCTATCCGCTTCACAAGGCTGCCTCGCCGTTGGAGCCCTCAAACGGTCCGCCAGCAAGGAGGCCTCATGCTCGATATGAGAGGGTCGTCTTCAGGGTGAAGAAGCAAGAATGGAAACTGTGATGCATGGAATCTTCCTCTTGGCCCCAAAGTCTCGCACCCCTCGGTAGCAACGATGCAAGGGGATGGATAGTGGAACAGGCTTTGCGTCACGTGACATGCTTCTCTCTGGCTTCCTCGCTCCAGGCCTGTCTTGGCGATTCCTACAACACCCCACGCCCCTTTGGACCATTGTGAATAGGACAAGGTCCACTAAGCTGTCAATCCTATCCTGCCCAAAGGCGCCATGTCGCCGTAGGTATTCATAATGCAGGTTGTATCCATCTTCACTACATGTTTCGTCGTCTCCAGCGTACACCCAGAACCTACTCTGGGTAGTAGTAGGTAGTTAGGTAACAAGCGAAAGTGGTGACAGCGGGCCGCGTCCTCCCAAGCCCTCCCAACAGTGCACACTACAGACTTTAGAAATCTACGTACGCCCCCCCCCCCGCCTCCCCTCCACCGTTGTACCCGTTGCCCGCAGAAGCTCTTCTTTGTCACCTAGCCAAGCTGTGGCCGACTGCTGGTACTGTGGAAATCGTCTTTGGCGGTGTTGTACTGCAGCCCCATTGTCATCATCCCACTGTCTTGTTCTCTCGCCCAGAGCGGCCAACTAGTCAGCGGTCGCAGGTCCCGCTGCAAGTTTCCGCTCCCCGCCTTAACTGCTAGCAAACTTGCACGGGCAGCGCACGCAAAATTTTATACAGCAAAATATTTGTAATACCTGAGAAAATGCTATCAGTCTTGTAACACCGGCCAACTAGAGTACGCGAGCCCGCTGGTACGTAGAATACGGTAATGTAGGTACAGTAGATTGGCCATCCTCAATTCGCTCCACCGCTTTACCCACGCGCAAGGCAGAGCTAATCATGAATCGCTCCACCACCAGCAGCACAAGTTTGAGAGCCGCTACCTTCCTTGGACTGCCCGACGACATCGCCTCTCGCGCCCTGCAACGCGCACTCCTCCTCCCCCTACTGGCATTCCCAGCCGTCCTTTGAATACGCTGGTCGACCGTCAAGGCACCTCCGCGCTTTCCCCGCACCGCACCGCAGACCATACAAAACCATACTACCACACATCCACACATCCACACATCCACACCACCACTATGGCGTGGCAACCCCAGGACGAGCACTTGCGCCAGCTGGCGCACTGCCTCAAAGACACACTCAATGGCTCTGACCAGAGTGCGCGAGAGAATGCTGGCATTGTTGGTCGGCCCAAGATAATTTATCCCCCCCACTATCAGACCCCGTTGTGCTGACCGTGCCGGCTTCTGTAGATGCTCAAATCCGCGAGGGACTCGCCTGATATCGACAAATACCTGGCCTATGTTCTCTCCAACCGCCAGCCTCCGCCCGCCGTGAATATGGACGCCTCTCAGTACTTCCAGGCCCGCTCGGCCGCGGCCGTCATGCTCAAAAACGACATCAAGACTACATACAAGACCATGGCGGACAGCACAAAGGACTACATATGCTCAATCATACTCGTTGGACTCCAGGACCAGAGCTCGCAGATGCGGGGATATGCTGGCAATGTCATTACCGAGATTGTCCGACAAGGTGGCATCATGGGCTGGCCTCAGATTCTCTCCGAGTTGATCAACATGGCCAGCACCACAGATGGTAGCGTCTCAGCGCAGGCACAGGAGGGCGCCATGAACGCTCTCCTCAAAATCTGCGAGGACAACAGGAAGGCCCTCGACAAGCAGTACCAGGGACAGAAACCCCTGAACTTCCTCTTCCCGAAGCTACTCGAGTTAACGACCAGCCCTTCTGCTCGAGTCCGCGCCGATGCCCTCGCCAGCATCAACGTCTTCGTTCCAGAAAAGCCTCAGGCGGTCCTCTCCAACATCGAGACGCTCATGCAACAGCTCTTTTCGTTAGCCAGTGATCCCAGCGAAGACGTCCGGAAACACGTTTGCCGAGCTTTTGTTCATGTTGCAGACATTGCACCTCAGGCGATAATACCGCACATGGAAGGCTTGGTAGATTACATGGTCACACAACAACGAAATGTGAAGAATCAAGAATTGGCTCTGGATGCAGCCGAGTTCTGGTTATGTGTCGGTGAAGATGAGAACATGCGCGAGCATCTCGGGCCCTACTTGGCCAAGATTGTGCCCGTCCTTCTTTCCAGCATGGTATACAGCGAGGACGAGATTATGCGACTTGAAGGCGAGGAGGATGATTACGACGTCGAAGATCGAGAAGAAGACATCAGGCCAGCTTTTGCGTCGACCAAAGCCGGAAGACTGACGACGGGCCCCAATGGCGAAGTCGCTACGACCACCAATGGCGCATCCGATACCACGCTCGAGAACATTGATGACGATCTCAGCGAAGGAGAGATTGAAGATTTCGACGACGAAGACGACGAGTTTGGTGACCCGGAAGAACAGTGGAATCTGCGCAAGTGTTCTGCCGCGGCATTGGACGTGCTGGCTTCGGTATTCCATGAGGCAGTATTTGCGGCCACGCTGCCTTATCTGACAGACAACCTCAACCATGCCGACTGGCCTAACAGAGAATCAGCCGTCTTGGCTCTCGGTGCTATTGCCGATGGCTGCATGGAGGTTGTCGAGCCGCATCTTCCCATGCTGACACCCTATCTCATCACACTGCTGCAAGACCCCAAGCCCGTTGTACGTCAGATCACATGCTGGTCGCTCGGACGTTACTCTGGATGGGCGTCCCATCTGGACAAGGCTGGGAAGTCACAATTCTTCGAGCCAGTAATGGAGGGCATTCTGTTGAAGATGCTTGACAAGAATAAAAAGGTCCAAGAAGCCGCGGCATCCGCCTTCGCTAACCTCGAAGAGAAGGCCAACACTGAGCTCAAGGACTACTGCGAGGTCATCATTCGCCAGTTTGTTCAGTGTTTTGCCATGTACAAGGACCGCAACATGTTCATCCTATACGACTGCGTACAGACTTTAGCTGAGCATGTTGGTCCAGCCTTGGCTCGCGACGATCTCGTCAGCATGCTTATGCCCGCGCTCCTGCAGCGATGGAACAAGGTGTCTGACCAGTCAAGAGAAATGTTCCCTCTGCTCGAGTGTCTCTCCTACGTGGCGACAGCGCTCGGCAGAAAGTTTGCGCAATATGCTGTTGGCATCTTCACACGATGTGTAAAGATCATCCAGCGCAACCTTGAAGAGGGTGCCATGGCTGCCGAGATCAACGGTTTCGAAGCTCCGGACAAGGACTTCCTCGTCACAAGCCTTGACTTGATCAGCGCGATAATTCAGGCATTGGACATGCAAGATAGCGTACAACTGGTTGGGTCCACGTCGCAGTTCTTCCAATTATTAGCTGTCTGCATGAGCGATCCTAACAACGACGTGCGACAATCCGCTTATGCGCTCTTGGGAGACTGTGCAATATACGTGTTTGATCAGCTCCAACCAGGCTTGCCCACGATACTGGAGATTCTCATTGCACAACTCGAGGTTGCCAAGATTCACCTTGATGGCGAAGAAACTGGTTACTCAGTGATCAATAATGCCTGCTGGTCAGTTGGAGAGATTGCTATGAGGCAGAAGGAAGGTATGCAGCCTTATGTCGAGAGGCTACTGCACAAGTTGGGCACGATTTTGTTTGACGAAAACGTGCCGGATTCGCTCAACGAAAACGCTGCGATTGCATTGGGAAGGCTGGGCCTGGGATGCTCGCAATACCTCTCTGTCCATCTTGCTCAGATAGCGCCCAACTTCCTCCGCTCCGTCCAAAAGGTCAGCTGGACAGATGAAAAGTGCCACGCGCTCACCGGCTTCATGATGATCATGCTAGCCAACCCCGGAGCCATGGAACAATCCCTCCTCGAGTTTTTCAGCGAGATCTCCACGGCCGACTTGAACGTCGTCGGATCGAGTGTCGGCCAGGCATTCCGCTCCACCGCCAAACAGGTAAGCCGATAAGACATAATGGCCCCGTTCCGTCGGCCAGACTTTTTTCCCTTTTTTGCACACACTAACCTCATTTTCCCGGCTCAGGTCATCCAGACGTACAGAGGCATGATCCCCGACTTCGACGCCTTCCTCGGAGGCCTGCCTCCAGACCAACAGGCTTCGTTCCAGCAGTTGTACAGCACCGCCTAAAACATGATCCCCCGACACCCTTGCACATGAAAACAGAACTCTGGCATTTCTTTCCCTCTCTTTTACTTTCCGGCTGGAATGCGGGCGTTGGATCAATCGGAGGGAGTATGGGGTTAGGTAGTTTAGTTACTAGAGGAAGAGAGGGGAAAACAACACCACATTGAACTGGACTAGGCTGATGGTGGTGCTGGTGGTGGGAGCCAAAGGCAAATGAAAGCATTTACGCCACATGGAGGTATGGCATCTACCTATAGACGTGCGATTTTTTTTTCATACAAGCGAGCGACTACTACTTTTTTTTATATTCGAGATGGAATCTCTCTCTCTCTCTCCCTATATCCGTTACACTCGCACACTCACTCATATCACATTTCCCGGCGTTTGTTTTTTCTTACCCTTTTCCTTTTCCCTTTTCCTATTGTTTATAACTCGCAACACCAACCCTCCTCCTCCGTGCAACTAGCCCCTGGTTGGCCGGGCTAGTGGTGCAGCTGATTTTGACTAGGTGAGCTTCGTAGTATATGAATGGGATATGGATAAGATATGGATAGTTTGGCTAGTTCTCCTTTTCTACCTGTTTTTCCACTCTTGTGGTGCTGGGAAGAAAGGAGGGATGGATACAAGGGAGATGTTAGGTGGAGTGTTCGAGGTAGAGTTGATGTTGCTGGTGGTGGGTCATGTTGAACGGGGGCTGAGTGTGGTGGTGTGTGATGTAGCGCGTGGTATGTGGTATTCCTCCTGTCTCCGTACTCCGTGCTATCTACTGTACGTTTGCCCATGGAGATTCTTCCGCAGCTGTGACGATGCGGGGAGAAAGTTTCTAGTTTCTACTGTGGATGTCTGGATGGCGGGGATGTGTGGGATTGTAATGGGGTTGCGTGGGCGAAAGGGACGAGATGGGTTGGTGGGTGGGAGTGAAGATGCCATGTTGGAGTAGATTGAAATGAATTGAAATCAACTGTTGAATTGCACTGAACTGGACTGGACTAGCGTTTCATTCATCCTTTGTCTGCATTTCTGCATTTCTTTCCTTTCTTACTCCCTGTACACATACACATACACAAAACACACACAAACACGTACACAAACACACACAAACACAAACACAGTGATCATCACACAGTACACCATACACCGCACACCTTATCCATCCTCGGATCCACCATCCCGCCACTGCCCACACCGTCCCCCCAGCTCCAAAAAATCCCCGAATATCACGAGCACTGCCGACGATATATCGCAGCACATTTCCCCCCTGGGAGTGGGGGTCGGGGAATGGGAGATTGCTAAGCAGGTGGATTGATGAGCGGTATAGGATGGACGGTGTAGGATGTACGGTGGACGGTGTGCGGTGGACTATGGACTATAGTGTGTTATAGGCATGGAATATATTATAGGAGCTGGTGTGTGGTAGGTCGTAGGTCGGACTCATGGATGGTAGTTGGTGGGCTCGGAGATGGTAGTTAGAGCCCAGTGCTCTCTGTAGGCAAGGCAGTTGATGCTAGCCAGTGCCCAACTACTTACTACCTACAGAGTGATCTACCGACTCAACCCACACTTACCCACATGCACATAGCGATTCACATATCGGGCCAGCGAGGTATGATTCAGGACATCAGCACTAAGTTGGGCTGAGCTGGGCTGGCGGGTTTGTTGGGGGGATGAGCTGGCTGGGCTGGTTTGTTGAGAGGGGAGGGGATGGGGGTGTGGGAGGTAAGGGCTGAGGTGTGGTTTTGAGGGAGGAGGGTGGGTATGTTTGGGTGACTGGCGAAGTTGTGTTGGGTAATTTTATGTGCTGCTGCTGGTGTAGTGTAGTCACTGTGGTGTACTGCTGTAGGCTGGACTCTGAGACGCAGTTGTGCTTGCTTTGCTGACTGGCTGGCTGGCTGGTTGGCTGTCTTAGTGTATCTCATACTATATACTCATAGCTCAAATCACACATTTCACATTACACATCACACACTTCAATCCCATCCATCCATCCAATCCCACCCCTTTCGGCCACACCGACGCCCAAACCTCCGCACAGCCTCCCACCAACCCAGCACAACCACCAAAAAAACTCCATACAAACAATAATCCCATGTCACATATATCACGTATGTCTCAGTCTGCTCGGCACTGTATCGGCATCTCGGGGGGACTTTTTTTTTAGCCTCTGCTTGCACTACCCTACCTACTTTGGGGTACGGGCGGCGCGGGACTAGTTTTTTGTGGATGGGCATCGCTGGGTTGTGTGTGGTGTGTGCGAGGGCGTGGGGAGGGGGGTAAGCTGAGTCGATGGGACGGACGGACGGGCGGGGTGGGGGCGGTGGGTGGTGGATGGTTCCGGAGGGATGGATGGGGGTGGTGGTATAGGACATGGTATACCGTATGGGTATGTGTGGGTATTTTTGTGGTTGTGTTTTGTGTTTTGTGTGGGGAGGGCTTTGATCAACGTTTTTGTTTGAAGTTGACTTACCGGTACGTTAACCGTGCTGGGATTCGAGTTGTCTGTGTGAGAATCATTGTGCTTGTGAGGAAGGAAGGACAGGTGTATTCAAGGCAATTTCATGATTAGTGATCAACTTTCCCGTAATCACTGCAATCTAGACTATTGCTGTTATTATCTTCTTTTTGTTGGGGAAGGGGGGATGAGGATTGGGGATCGACAAAGTGGGTGGGTATACATAGTAGAGAGTATTAAAGATCTGCGGATGTCAGATTGCTGTGTTTGCCAAGAGCCAGTGTGCACCTGATGAATATTTATTTTATGTGAGAATTAAACAAAATAATTCATCGCAGTGTGATTGGTTCGGGGCTTTTTGCGATTTGCGAGTCCGATTTACAGAAAGTGTGTGTACGAGTCAAAAAAACAAACCAAACAGGGCCAAATGGAGGCTTTTGGGTGGGTGTACAGGTGAGTGGTTCGAGAAAACGTGCGTTTTGGGAGATTCGGTGCGCTAATTTTCGTGTCAGCATGGGAGTGCTTACGATTGGATCATTGGAGGATCTATTCCCAAGACATCATCATTAAAACACTTTGAATTTCACTTGGTATCTTACCCTTGGCTGTGTATCTTACTGGTTTGGTGCTTCTGGGTAGGTGAAGCGCGGTGCGGTGGGATCAATGGTTGAAACATCCGCCTTGGAAAAAAAGTAGTCTATGGGAAATAAGTCCATGGATATCGATGAATGCATTGCCATTATGCAGATCCAGTCTTGCTCACTGGGGCATAAGGGTCAAGAAATGATCGACACTGCGATGGGCTTGGTGGCTGGGCAGTCGTCGTCTGCTTGGAAAGGTCATGGCAGCGCGTCAATATGTGCGCATCCTGGAATTTTGGTTTCCTACCACCAAAAGTAACTCACCGTGTCGACTGCTGTCCGTCAGTACTGGGTGGATCAGGTGCAAATCGATGAAAGTATTCCCACGCCAAAAATGGCATGTTCCGGCCAGAGGCTGTGGATCGCCATGACAGACTATTGACCGAAGGATGAGGAAACCAACAATGGTTACAATCGACTCTATTTGCGCCGCGCTATGAATGTTTCAGACCAGCTGGGCAAAGGAAGTATAGACTGCACGATACCTTCCTTAAGCGAGTGTAGTAGTTTGCTGAGGCCAGGAGCCGACTCCACGCATTGGCCCGTGGTTTCGGAGGGGAGGTGTGTTGTGTGGCATGTCATGCCTACACCAAGCGGAAGGGACCCAATCTACTGGAAGAACCGGGTCGGACCTTAGAATAGCTTTTTTCCTTCTTTTCACAAAGACGGGTGGGGAGCAGAGTATGGAGAGATCGCCGGCGAGGGCGTATGGAGACAAAGAGGAAGGTAGCTACTGCAATGGAACTTGCGCATTGATGGACTCGTTCGCTTAATTAGCATGTTTCCTTAGCATGTTTCCCTATCGTGCGGAACGATGTCCTAGTCCATCCAGGTACTGTCACGCCAATGTCAAGAGCTTGTCCAGACGTCATGGTAGGGTATCTTGGTAGGCTACTGCCAAGTAACTTGTGGGTAGGGCACTGGTGCAATCGATGGGTAGATGCACACTGTAGGTACAGACAGTATAGTCCAGTCGAAGCCACCTAGAAGCGGACGTGCAGGGAGGTGTGAGGCAAATACTGGCAAGCATGCTGCCTATTGCGGCCCGTAGGTAGCAGGTAGATGTTCTTTTCCTGGAGCTGTCCTGTACAGAGTTGGGACGGCAGACGCCGAAGAGGGATTGTAGAGAGCTTTCCCAGCGAAGCGTCGTGGCTGGCCAAACCCCAGAACGGCATGGGCCAGCGTGGTGCCCCTGTCCGCGTCCGTGCACGGGTCGGCTGCATGCCTGCTAGCCCGACAGACTCTATCTCTAAGAATAGCCGCCTGGGATCCATACTAACCCAACCTCACCCCATCCCGGTCACGCTTCCCATGCGTGGCTCGCTCGAACTAGGGAGGCCTCAGATACATAGTTTTCCATCGCATCACCGTCGCGCACTCCGCCATGGCCATGAATGAATGACTGTACCTAGCCCCTCGGCTGAAGGGCATGCATTGTGTTGCCCATTGGCCGTCACCCTGCGGTTTCCTTTTCTTAGGACCTCGTAATTCGCGACAACATACACGTTTTGCTCCACTCGTAGCTTTTCCCACGCTTCCCGAGAACGAAGCATGCGTGCCCTGGCAGCGGCAGCGGACTCCGGACGCGCGCGCGGTGGCCATGATGACGATGAAGAGCTCGGTAACGGCCGCGAGGACAGCCGCGCTCAAAATTTCGAGGACGATCGTGGCACGCACCGCGGTAGGTACTGTGGCACTGTGGTATTTTGGTACCACGCCATGTGCGGTACTGTGTGGGGAGCAGGACTCTGTCTTGGTAGTGGTAGTGGTAGTGGTGGTCATGCTGGCCAGCGCAGCACAACAGAAGATGGTCAGTCTCGCGACTCTCGCCTAATAAGCACATCAGGCGGCCAGAAGCCAGGTCTGCTGCACGAGATATTGCCAGAGGACGTCTTGATCCTACTCCAGACAAAAACGCGGGGGACGTTGGCTTTACCCAGTATTGCCATTGCCCGCCCGCGTAGGGGCGCATGCCTTAGTTCCACCATATAGGCATGTAGGAGCCGAGGACGGCACCCCAGGTATGTACCAAAAGTAGACTACATCGAGCGTGCGCATCTCTCCCAACCTCTTCGGCGCAATGATGGCGGAGGTGCGGTGAGCAAAGAGCCACAGTAGCATCAGCAGCATCGACAATGGAGCCGAGCGGAGGCACTATTGTGTACAGTGGCTGGAAGCTAGCAGGTAGTAAGAGCCGTCCGGCAGCGCACGAGTAAAAGACCCTTTTTTGAACCATGACCGTGCGAGTGAAAAGGTAGCTGAAGGCGGATTGGACAAGGAGCTATTTTTACCTGCTGAGATATTGGAGGCCCCGGCTGCCGCACTGGGTATGTAGCCGTAGGTAGTAGGTGGTATTGTATGTGTAGGTCTGTCATCCTGTGGTTGGTAGGTAGGTAGGTAGGTAGTAGGTAGGTAGGTAGTAGGCAGGTAGTTTAGGAAGCAAGCCGTACCTAGTCATGGGTGGACTCGACTGGTGATGGTGTGGTAGTGGTGGGTAGGAAGGTAGGTAGCTGGATGGATGCAGTGGTTGCACTGTGTAACAGCAGCAGCAGCAACAATACTCGCTGTATGAATCGCATGGTACGCAATGCGACGACTTTTTAATCAGGATGAATTGCAGGACTGTAATCTCAGCAACAACAGCACCAATACCACCGCTTCTGCAAGCTTGTACATCTCTCTGCACCCTCAGGCTTCCCAGGCTTCCCAGGCACCCCCAGGCTCCTCTTCCCTCTCCCCCAGGCTTTGCCTCAGGCTGCGCAGGCCTCTTCTCCAGCGCGGCAAAACTCTTCAGCGCCCGCCGGAGCTGACCAGGCTGGTGCTCATCCGCGCACCCATCGGCCTACCCGATCCGGCATGGCCAAACGTGTTCGTCGCGTGCTACTGGTCGATCTCTCCACCGCACGGGCCGCGACAGGTTGGCCTTTCACACCTCGGCCGCCGCAACCTCCATGGCCGTTTTACGCCTCATTGCCGGCCTGCCACTGCCAGCCCAGCTGGAGCGGCGGCTCATGCACATCACCCTGCACGCCTAAACGTCTCCCATTTCCAGTCAGATGGACAAGGGGTCCGAGCCAGAGAGAGAGCCACTTCCTCCTTCATCCGCGCCCTTCAACCCTCCAACCCTTCAACGCCTCCCCAGTCATGGCCGGCCGGCTGGCTGCCAGATGGGTGCCCGCATGCCATGCTGGCCAGGGCGGCAGCAGGGGCACAAGGGCCACAGGGGGACAGGGGGACAAGGGGACAGGGGGACAGGGGGAAGGGCTGTGGCCATCCGTCTGCTATTCCGCTCTAAGTCTCACTCCTTCTCTCACTCTCGCACTCTCCTCACCCATGTCGTTCTCGTTTGATATCAGTCCAGGGCCCGGCATGGCCGCCTGCTGAGCCGGAAGCAAGGCGCTCAAATGAGGAGGCTTCGGGGCAAGAGGGCCCATGGCCCATGGCCCACGGCCTTGGATAGGCGTGTGGACGGCTGCTCAAATCCCCACAAGAGAGTGACACTGAGCGCTATGTCGCTATGTCATACGAGCATGAGCCAGCCAGTTCCATATGTGAATCACTCACCAACTACAACCTCGCTGTAGCTCCCGCAAGCTTCGCTGCCTTCCCTGCTAGCTCCGCCCGTCCAGTTGTCTGTCCGCTGCTACCCAAATCCCCCTCTCTCCCCCTCTGCCGCTGTGGCGTCACTGCTATTTGTGTGGCCGCTATTCCCTGCCTAGCTGTAGTTCGCTGTGTCCTTGACATCTGTACCGAAGTCCATGGTACCCGAGCACAAGTCACCCTGCGCATCCGCTCCCATACCACCCAAGTCTTTCTTCAGCCTGTCCATCCTTTAGTCCCATAGCCTTGTCCAAATCCTGCATGGTCATTCTGCAGGGGGCAGCGTGCAGACAGTCTTGACCACTTTCGTTGCTACGTCGTCCTGTCGTACCTTGCCTGCCTGTCCACCGGAGCTTCGTTGGTTCTGGCTCGATATCTTGTCTCCCAGCCCTAGGTCTATCTGAGCTCATCCCATCTGCAGCCTGCGGTATATATCATCAAACACCCATCGCTGGCCTCCAAAACTACACCCTACCCAACCTCGTCACCGGTTTCGACCCAATTACCCTCGCTTCACCAACCGTTCGCTAGACCTACCGCCCGCATATACTGAGAGACTCGCCTACCCATCTATCTCGCCTAGCATACTATCCCTCAAAAACAAATCTGACCACGACGACCGTTACGCACCATCACTGAGGCCACCAACCGCGCAGTTGGTTCCACCTGCTATCTTCGCTCAATCACCTCTCTACCCTACCAAATGGCTGGTCCCGGCGGAGGTCCCTCGAGACGCAGCCACACCAAGTCCCGGAAGGGATGCAAAACGTGCAAGAGAAGGCATATCCGGTGTGATGAAACATTCCCGCAATGGTAGGCGCTGAGCAGGACTGGACTGCTTTGCAAGCTCTGGCTAACCGTGAATCAGCCGAAACTGTACAAAACACCAAGTCCGTTGTGATTACATGGACAGTCCGACTGCCATGATGCCAGATTCTCCCTCGTCTCCCCAACAACCTAATTTGCTATGGACTCCAGAGATCGAAACCACCATCGAGCTGTGGAGCCAGACGGGCGAGTTCCCCTTTCCTGAACTTCGAGTGTACCCGCAGCCGCAATGGCGGGCCATTGGCAAAACCGACTTGCGTTTGATTCATCATATTTCCTCCATTTCAAACGAAATGTTCAGGAATAGAACGTCGAAATCGACACTGTGGACGGATATGATGCCCAAGTACGATCAGATCCCTCAAGTGATCCAAGCCCAACGCACGCACCACTAACACGCTTAGATTTCTGAGCATCTCAGCATCACATCCTTTTGTAATGCACTCTATCCTTGCCTTTTCTGCCTCACACCTGGCATGGATTTCCCAGTCGAGTGAAACGCGGAACCTTGCATTTCATCATGCAAGCATAGCTCTCAAGGGCCTGCATGATGGTATCGCAAACTTCACAAAACTGAACTCGGATGCGGTACTTGCTTCGTCTCTGCTCCTAGCGTGGCAAGCCACGGACTGGTAAGTCTTTAGGTCCTGCATTGGACAACACTCGGGGACTGACAGAGACACGTTTAGGCGAGGCTGGGCTTCACTGGTGACAGGCACAAAGACGGTAAGCTCATTCTCAAGCGATGGCCTCTTTCTAGCTGACCCAGAGTCAGGTTATTCAATCAATGCAGCCGTGGAGGCACGAGTCCCTGTTTGCTGATTACATCGCCGACAACACACCAATGCCCAATCGAAGTTTCATGAACCCCGTCAGCACACCCATATCGCAAGACGCACGAAGGGAACAGCTCAACACGCTGCTAGAGATTCATGCCTCCCTACAACGCATGCAGCCCTATCTGAACCGTAACGACCAAGAGACGAAGTGGGTCGACCAACTGAAGAGTTATCTCGATCGTTTGCGGGCCTCCAACCAACCACAATCCCCCGAGGAGCAATTCAATCAGCTCTATGCTCTACGGAAGTGGCTCTTCTGGGTTCCCATATCGCTTTTGGCTGCGAAATGCGGGGACGTCAATGTCCTTGTTGTTCTCGCACACTTTTACGCCACAGCGCTGGCGCTGGAGCCCATGTTCCCAGATGTGGCATCTGTTTTTGTAGCTGATCCCTCCCTTCGGCCGTTGGAAGAGATCAATCAGGTTGTACAAGGGTTCCAAGACACGAGATATGATTCACGCATACAGACCATGTCCTATCTAATACAGTTTCCCATGGATATGGTTTCGACCTACAAGACTCGTCGGGAATGGGCCCGACAACAGATGGCTACCATGTCTACGATGCAACAGCCAGCGTACGCAATGGAGTCTATCAACCTGGACTTTGAGAACCAGATTGCACAACATAGCTATGGTCAAGGCCAAAGCCTCAGTCCCGCCTTTGCGCCTTCTCCACTGACATTCTTGCCATCCAACATGTCTTCTACGCCCACATCGCCCTACCTGGAGGTTCCGAGAGCGGTCCCCGACGCCTATAGCTCCAACAACTATGCGTCGTCGAACAGTTATGCGTCTCCGCTGGGGTCACCTGCAGCATTGCTACCGCCTTACAGCACAGCACCACAAGATCATGCATACACGCAGTATGGAATGCATACGGGTTATCCCAGCGGGTTCGTGGCTACACCTATCTGGACATGAACGAAGCGCGCTGAACGAACCTTCCAGGAACATGACTACCAACCTACTTGCTTCTCCACCACACCCACACTCGAGTGCCAGTCCCCATTCTGGAAATGCAGCAGGCCAGCCGACGTCTAGTGCCTACATGGGAACGCAGTACAGCCAGGCGTAGGAGAGGGAGAGGGAGATGGGGCGGAAGAGGACGGACAGGGTTTCAGGCCGGTTCCCTGCCCCCCCCCCTTCTCCCGGCGAGGACGGCTGCCAGGTTTTTTTCTTGCTGGATCCCACCTCCGGGTTGAGAAGGAGGCGAAGATTGACGGATGGGATTGGGATCATCACCAACAGAGTTGGACCTATTACAGCGAGGCGAGCCGGCCAACCGCCGTTGGGAGGATAAGCGGCGAGCTTTGGCGTTCGGTGCAGCAGCCGAAGAGAAGCAAGGCATCGGCATCACATGTTGTTATGTAAGCGGAAGGCTGCATCGAGTTGGCGAGGTCCAGCCAGGAAAGCGGCGGCACGAGAGCGGGACAGGGCCGTGTCTGCACGCGCAACACAACAACGACTTGATGAAATGCGCACTGGTTCACGGCGCAGTCTTTTGTATTTCCCTCGACACTTGGCGACGTTTGCGTTTGTGGAGACATGGAAGGGAAACAGATGGTAGTATGGGAGGTATACCTACCGGTCTGCCTACCTGTCTGCCTGTCTGCCTACCAATCTACCAATCTACCTACCTACCTACCTATGGCACCTGTCTTGATCTACATACTATTTGAAGGCAGAAGCGAGCGATGCAGAGCGAGCGAGTCAGTTTAGAAATGGGAGAAGGCTACATGGGAGAGGGTATGGACTCGTCACTTGGGCCGAGCAAGATGGCCTTGGTTGCACAGTGGCGTTGGCAGCCGGCGGCCAGCATCAAAGAAATTCCAGGTTGTCCAATTGTCTAACCTCGGTTGAGTAGCCTGCACTGGATTGATTGGATTGATTGGGCATGCTACTGTGGTGTCTCTACCTAGTTGTCTACTGTGTGTGTGTGTGTGTGTGTATGTGTGTATGTGTGTGTGTATGTGTGTGTGTGTATGTGTGTGTGTATGTGTGTGTGTATGTGTGCATGTGTGTGTGTATGTGTGCATGTGTGTGTGTATGTGTGTGTGTGTGTGGCTAGGGCGGATGGGTGGGTGAGTGACTGTATGTGTGTGTGTGTGTGTGTGCACACGGCCTGCATTGGGCCAAGGCTAGCAGTCAATCCCTGTATCCCTGCTAGCGTGCATGGGGCGGCGAACGGTGACGGGCAGCCAAATATAGCCCGAGCTCTCTAGGCCAATCAGAGCCAAGTATTCCATCTCGCTTGAGCCAGCCCAGCCCAGCGGGTTACGTACAAGCCATGTCTAGAGTACCCAAGACCATCGACAGTCCCCAGAACAGAGTCAAGAGGGCCAGAGCAGACCAGAGACGGCCTTGTGCTAGGAATGGGAGATGAATGAATACCACACAGGACCGGCTTGCATTCCTTTCCTCTCTCTCCTCTTCACTTGTTTCTGCTTCTTTTTGTTTGCTTCTGAGACAACACCCCCCCCATCACCCACTCGTAACCTACCTGCTGTCCACGGCCGACCGGCAAAAAGGGACCGAGACCGAGGGGTGATGTCATACAGTCATTCCACACCGCTGGCTGCTGCTTGTCGCGCTGCTACTGTGTCTACTCAGTGACAAAGTCTGCAGAAAAGCGGCCAGCCAGCCAGCCAGCCAGACTCCTCCTCCTCCTCCTCCTCCACCACCACCATCTCCTCCCCCATCCCGGCAACCCGCTGCAACTCACTGCTCTTCCTTGGATCGTCGATCTGCAACACTTGCCTCTTTGGGTAACTTCTCGCGAGGCACCGGCTCTACGCTTGTCTAGCAGCCACACCCCGCGTGTTTGACATTGATGATGTGGGATGGGATAACCGGTGAACGCGTGGCTTGGAGGGGGGAGTTTGTTTGTTTTTTGAATGTGCCCTTGCTTGCAACCTCCAAAGAGCGTGGGTGAGTCAGCATGAGAAGGATGGGGCGTATCTACATCGGCTGAGCGACATACATGACACATGTATTGGGTGGTGGTGGGCACAGGTACAAAAGGATCGAGGTGTCAGATAGTAGATGGTAGATCTTGGTACGACGGTGGTAACGTGGTAACGGTACGAGGATATGCGTGTGTGTATTGGGTACATGATGGCAGAGCAGACTGCCGACGACGCTGCGGCAGGTGTACACGAGCGAGGCATCTTCTCCGCCATGACTACGGTTAGGTACCTGCCGTAGAGTACGTTACCAAGTACATACAGCATGTGTCTACGTAGTACGGAGGTGGCTTTCAAAAGTTCTTGCTGACAGGGGCGTCTATATTACCGCCGTGATACCACCAAAGCTTAGACTACTCTGTCGCGCCGCCCCTCCTTATACTTATTACTACCTTCTAGTCTAATAATCTGCTAAATATAATACTATATACGCTCTATCTAAGCCTAGATTTAGTGTTAAGGTAGCTTATCCTAAGCCTTTAACTATGCTTTTATACCCTCTACTCTACTCTTAAGAGCGCCCTTCCTAATAGTGCGTAGTAAAATACCTATAATAGCACTAATTTAGGTAGTAGATTTACTACTAAAAGGTAACTTTAGAGTTATAATAAGCGCATAGGTATAGGGATTAGTATTAAGAGCTATAGTAGAGTAAAAACACTAAAGGATTAAGTAGATAGACTATTACTACTACTATCTACAGCTTTAAAATTAAGTGTGTGTAGGCTAAGAAAGTTAGGCCGATAGATCAGCCGCTAACAAATACGCTAGCAAGAACTTTTGAAAGCCACCTCCGTACATACATCCATACATACATGGACAGGCACAGGCGAGCGCACCCTCTTTTTTCCCACCGACTCGTCGCCATGCGCACCACATGTGCGTACTGTACTATGTACCTGCACAGTAATAGCAGCCTCCCTGCCCGGCCATGATACTACATCTACACATTGTATCGGTGTGCCTCCTCCCTGCTAGGCAGCCACTGAACCTACCTACAGCAGCTAGCTAGCTACGGTACCTCCTTGGTCACCCTCAGGCATCTACCCTACCCAGTGCTCCATCCGACTCTCCTCCAGATCGACCCTTGACTGCTCGGCAAACACGGTCCATCGAGCCAGTGTAAGCTTCTTCTTGGTCCTAGCCGGTCTGCTTGGGAAGCCGTTCTGAGACCAAACGGAGCGCTCAAAGGGTTTGGCTTGATGGCTTCCCGGCTAGCCGCGCGCGCCCTACGGCGACCGGTCCTGTTCGCTGGGACATGGGTGAGCGAGTCGTGCACCAGAGGCCCACAAGAAATTTCCGCCGTTGCAGGAACCGTCCTCGCTCCGCTCTCCTCCTCCCTTCTTTCAGAGGGAGAGGGCTCCGCTGTCCAAGTCTCTCAGTCTCCCACCGCCCCTTCGCCGCTCCACATCACACCAACCCGAACTTGTACAATAGCCTACAACCCGTGACCGAGACCCAGATCGCCTCCCTTGGTTGGGGACCCAAATAGTCATGGTCTTGCGGTTGTTGCGCCTCTCACCCGTTTGGCCCCACCCTCCGAATGCCTCGGGTGATTCTCGCGACTTGCACACTTGCTTCCATCCTCAGCCCAAACCCAACCAACTCGCAGCCGCTTCGGTGTTGTGGCTTGTCAGGTGGCATCATTTTTGCGGCCTGGGGCAGCAAGTACCGTACACTTTGGCTCTTTCTGCGGGGGGCCAGACAGAAACATCCGAACGAGGATGCCGCTAACTGGCTGTTTGCGCATCGCTCATTCGCCTCACAAACCGCCTAGCAGGCCGCCCGGGCTGTAACCAGTGCCTCGATCCCGCCAAGTCAACGTATGGCATTCCTTCCACCGGAGCGTTTTATTTTTTCGGAACCACCAAAGCCGGCAATGTCGTAGCCAAGGCACACGCCGACATGGTACGACTTCTCCTCAGCTTCAGGGGAAGTAGAGCGGCTGGTCTGGCTAACAAGCTTTGCCCGTCGCAATAGTGCTCATGATATAGGTAGGTACATGTTGTACGTGTGCAAAGATCCACACTGGCTGTCTTGCGGAATCGACTCCTATCAGTCATAGATTGCCGTCTATGATCTAGCCATTTCCAACAGCGAGGTACCTGAGATGGCTCGGACCGCACATCAACCTCTGCTCAGCGTCGCAAGATACGAAGCTTCAAACGATTTTCAGTAATAGATCTGGCAGGTACCCATGTACCGTATGCGATGGGACAGTGGGACCCCCATTATCCCGCCTATCTTGCACAATCACACCATGGTTGCAATTGGACAAAAAACTCACGGTCCTTTGCAGCATGGATCCAGAGAAGACCGTTTTGTCGATCTTGCAACCGTGATCTGCCCATCTCCTGGTCAATGTAGCATCTGTATCCGTTCCGTGGACCACAAAATGTCAAACCACAGCCAGCAAGAGAATGCCGCTACACCACGGCGAAATCGCCGTGGTTACGACTCCAATGTTTATTTACAGACACGAGGCAATTGGCATTGTCTCTCTTCGGATTGATGGGAATGCTGCTATCTTGGGCATCATTGATCGCTCGCTTTCGTCTCGACTGTCCCAACCGTACCAAGAACGAGAGTGATTGCCTTTGTGGAGGCGAAGAATCAACTCGGTACGCTACCCGCGCGCATCAACTACTGTACCGGCAAACCGTCGTCTTTGGCTCTGGCTAACGCTAAACAATCACCAGAGCGAATCTGCAATGGCCGCTCGTGGTTTGGGGAGACCCCTGAAGGTTCAAAGTGCAAGTGCCTCGGACTGTTTGAGCTATTGCCAAACCTAGCCAGTCGAATACTCTGAAATGGCTTTACACTATAATGGAGAGATGACATGATAGTCGCTGCCCAAGTGCCTTGATGAACACTCCTATTTTCCTCATGGCCTTTAATGACGAAAGAGTGGACTGAGACTTGCAGGTCTGCTCCCTCAGAGTCTCAACATCGTCACGTGCACGACATGGACAGCCTCAACGCTTCTAGTTCCGAATGCCCGTCTACTCTAGAAGAAGAGGTTTAACAGACTTCTACTATGACCATCCTTCATACTGTGGTACCACTAGACAGTCGATCACCAATAGATGCCGCCGACATAAGGCCACGGTCAGACTGCCCGGAAACCATAGCACTGCCACTCATTCTGTGGCTGGCACCGGTCTTCCATGCCACAACACCATGCCGCCTTTCTCCACAATCGAAAAGCGGCACCCCAGCGACTCTCCCGCGAAAAAGAAAAATCTCTGCGAGGAGGGGAGGGAGGGGCATAAAGGAAAAGGTGACGCAAACAAGCCAGCCGTTTTGATCCGCGTTGGAGCTGGCTTCCCAAGTTTCTTGCCCAGGGGAGGGGTTTTACCGCCTTAGCCCATGAGTGTTCTCGTATTCAGTAAGGGCTTGGTAAGAAGGCGGCCTCACCGCCGAAATGTCTCTCAGTCGTGCCTTGTTGCTGCTGTCCCTTTGATCTGCAAAATTCAGAAGATGTTGCAGCTTTTTGCCAAGGCGTAAACGTTTCTTTTTCATCACGTCGCTCTTTTGTTTCCGCAGCTCTTCCTTGTATTCTCCGACCGTACGCCGGCGTCTTCCATGTCCTGTCGAGCCCACGGGACAGCGGAGCGCGCAAGGTGGTGGCAATGGTGGTGTGATCATCTTCACTCCCCTCTCTGCGTACTTTGACCACTTGAACATCCCAACTGCAGAAGGGGCATCATCCCCCTTCCTGGCTTCTTCATCACCTTAGACTCCTTTGAGGAATAGATATGCCCCAACCTCTCTGACAACGAGAGACTATCCTTCTCCCTTTTGACGTTGATGCTGATGACAACCAGTGGGAGAAATCCGCCGTGCCAATCATCATCTTTTACGTTTCATTCCGCTTGTTCAACACGCCGTTCCGAATTATGCGATGGCCTCGCTGTATCCCGTATTGATGGCCGGGAAGCTCGGAAGCGGCGCGATGTTGCTTTTGCAACGAGAACATGTCCTCGACTGGGACAAAGTGAGACAACAGACATGTGGATGTGTGCGTGTGCCACGAGTATAATGGCCATGGGACAAACACAATTGGTGAGGGTGTGGCATGTGTAGAGCTCGCCGGACTAGTGTTGTATTGGCAAAGAAAGGCACTTCCATTGCACACGGTCCACTCTGAGAAGCAGCTGAGAAGCAGCAATCAATGTGCTGCTCAGGTGCGTATGTTCCCGTACCTGATGCACCAACCCTATAGCATACCACGTAGTCCCCATGGCCCGCCTATACTACCTACTATACCCATCCCAAGCATCTTCAACTCCTAGCCCAGATGCGTCTGTAACGCGCTATCAGAGCCACTATCAGCATTTCTCCTCTTCAAACCAAAGCACACCAATCCAACACCATCCACCCAACATCAACGCAACTCCAGAGCCCCCAAAACCAGTCTCAAGAACAACCCACCATACCCTCGCTCATCACCCCCTTTGCCATTTCACCATCCCACCCCACTACACCACTACACCAAGCGCTTCAAAGACCCCGACATCCTAGCAATACACTCGGTACCTACACCCGCAACACTTTGCAGCAGCACAAGCCATACCGTACCTAAATCAAGACCCATCCCTTCGAAAGCGCCAAGACAACCCTGTTCATCTGTAAAACCCACCACACCCGCGATTTACCATGCCCCTGGACTTTTCCCCCTCCCCCCTCCCAATCTCATCTTCCAATCCCCATTACGCGCTTCTCAACTCCCACCGGGTTCACTGTCACGCTACAACAGAATAACACTAGCTTGGCTTGCAGAGAGCACGCAAGAAAGTGCAGAGCCCACGCAATCAAGAGCGGGAATACATGTCGCTGAGCGGGTTTGCCTGGGATTCTGGAATCGGGGTGGAAGGTGGAGGGAAGAGGGGGCGTTTTGTACGGGTATCTGCGATTGTATATGATAGGATAGGTTTGGTTGTACTCGTATATATACGCCACTGCCGGGGGGTTTAATAGTGATGTGGGGGGGTTTTTTTTGGGGGGGGGGGGGGGGGGTTCCTTGGAGTGGGGGTGGGCCTTTTCCTGGCTTGGAAACTCCCCCCCCCTTTTTTTTCGCAAAACCTTTTCCAACAAACCAAAAAATAACCTTTTCTACCCAAACCCCCCCAATTTTCCCCCCCCCACCCCCCCCCCACCCCCTTCAAAAAAAAATACCCGGAAATTTAATAAAACAAAACCTGGGAACAAAATCGCCCCCCAATCCCCCCCATTTTCGAAACCCAATTCAACCCCCCCAAAGGGCTCTTCAATCCCCCCCCATCTCCAACCCCATCACCACCCTCCCCAACCGTCTCCACATCCACCCCTCCCTCCTACCCTCCACCTACCTCTTCCACACCACCGACAACGGCTGCCACATGCTCGAGCACCGCCTGCCGCCCCGCAAATCCTGCGCCATTGACCAAGACGCGAATATCCCGTTTCTCGTGCGGGGGCCGGGGGTGCCGCGGAATCGGAGTGCGTGGACACCGTCGAGTCATGCGGATGTTGTGCCGACAGTTTTTGAACGCGCAGAAGTACAGCCGAGGGGGGGTTTAGATGGCGAGCTGATTGCTGTGCGAGTTGTTGAGGATGGTGGGGGTGTAGAGCAGAGAAGGGGCGAGGGTGGGTGAGCTGAGAAAAAGGTAAGGACAAGGGTGAACATGTGAAGATTGAGATTTGGAGCGAATACTGAGTTCGAGGGGAGTTTTACGGGTTGGTGGGGGAATGGAGGGGGAGTTGTATGATATGAAGGTGTGCTTCATTCTCTGCTTTCCTTCCTCTTACTCCCCTATCCCCCTCAACCCTTCTCCGCCCTGCCCCGAAATTGGATCCCCGCCAAATCCACACCTTCTACCCCCTCCCCTCCCCCCAATCTCCCCATCTCTTCATCCACCAACACCACCAACTCATCCCCCAACCCTCCTCCTGACCCTCAAACGCTGCTAAGCGCGTAGCTGCACACACCCCTGGGAAACGCTGCACCTGGAGGGCAACGTGCACAGCCTGGCAGACGCCATGGACGAGCGGTACGATGGGTTTTATGCGGGCCAGCCACGGGTGGGGTTTGAGAAGTGTGCCATAGGGCAGGTTTTGGGGGAAGAGGGGGAGGAGGGGTCGGTAGGGGTGTGGGGTGGGGAGTGATGGGGATGTGGTGGATGAGATGGGAGAGGGGTGTGTGGTACGGTGGATAGATAGATAGAAGGAGAGAGGGTATAGGGAAAAAAGAAGAAAGGAAGGAGGAATGGGCTTACTTTTGAGACTCATCTTTGGTTCGGAAGAAGGCAAAGTAGCCAGTCTGGTGGGTGAGTAGCATGATATGATGTGCAAAGACTTTTTCCTCTCTCATCATGACATCGTAATCATAAACATTCCTCCGCTCTTACATCCCCTAATTTCACATCTTGCATCTCCCATCCCTAACCCAAAGCAACCCCCTTTCACCCCTCTTCAATCCCCGCACCCTCTTAACCACCTCACCCCTCTCCAACCCCCTGCCTCCTCGCCTCCTCCCTCCTCTTCCTCGACCGCCCCTTCGCCTCCTCAACCCACTTCTCATACGCCCCCTCGCCCTCGGCCAGCTTCGCCCTAACAACCCCCTTCAACAATTCGCCCACAAACCCCACAAAATTATGTCTGCGCAGGGAATTCTCCCACAGCCATTGCGCGCGGCGATCCTCCTGGCGCTCGAGCTCCTCCTCATCGCCGATTTCCTGCGCGCGGATACGCAAGTCCTTGACGCAGGCGAGGAGGTTGAAGCGAATTTCCGTGGCTGGGTAGCGGGCGATGCGGCGTTGGAGGACTGGGATAATTTTGGTGGGGAAGGCGGAGGGTGTGCAGGGGCCGTGGGATATTGGGGCTGGTTGGAGGCCGTCGAGTTCGTAGAGGGTGTTGTTGATTGAGGTGTAGCTGTTCGCGGGAAGGATGAGTTTTTGTTGCGATGGGGGGTTTAAGGGGATTAGACTAGAGGGTGGGGATAAGTCTTACGCAATGAAGTGAAAGACATCGTCGTCTTCCGTCGCAGTCCGCTGTGTCTCGTCGACAAAGGGCGACGATCGGGCGAAGGAATTGTGTGTTTCTCGTATGAGATCGGAATTCGACAGGGTTTCACCTCTCAGCTACATCCTCACCGTTAGCCACCCATACACTCACCTTGCACCACATCCACAATGCCCTTCCCCAAACAAGAAAAAAACACACCTCTGGCGGAAACTCCCCCGCAAACTCCTTGAACTCCCTCAACTCCTTACCAATCTCCACCTCGCCCTCACGATTCAACAACAACGAGACAATCGCCTGCGTCCCACAAGCATTCTGTATCGTCTGCGCAGCAAAGAACAAGTTCTGCGCTGCGTCGTGATCATAGGTACCGTCCTTTGGCGTCTCGCTGCGCTCCTCGCCCGTGGGGTACTTGAACAGGAAGATGACACCGTACACGGTACCCAACTGCTGCAGCTCTTCGGGTTCGAGCGTAGTCAGTTCTTCAAACTGCACGTCTTTGACTCCGAGTTTCTCGATTAGATAGGTGAAGACGCCCTTAGTTTGCGTATTAGCACAAGCCATGGTGTGGGTATGAGTGTTGGGGGTGAAATCAGGCTTACAGCATCAGACTCTATAGTATTCCAGCCGCCCGACATGGTGCTCGTCACGGGAAAGAGCGAGAGCAGGACAGTCGGTCTGGCCTTGGTTTGTTTGTCAAGTGTTGTTGTCGCCGCCACTGGGGGGAGACCTTGACGCCATCGAAACCGGCGCCTAATACCGGCGCCCGGAGTCTGGGACGGCCCGGATTTTGAGGGTGCTCGGAACAGTTCCGATGGGTTCGGAATGCCCCGCTTTAACCACACTGGACCTTCACATGGGATCCTATTCATCCACCATCCATCACGATTCGTCTCTCACCACAGATTATTACCAAAGTCCGGATAATACTCTCGGCATCCGGCCTCACTAGAAGACCTTGAGATTGCTCCACTAGCCAATCATAGTATACAATCCATCAATCACACAGACACTTGCAGCACCAAGAACAAATAGTCTCCAAAATCTCAAACTCGCTACGATCGAGCCATACCGTTCGGTACTGTAGTATTGCATTGATGACTATCTAACATCCTCCATCACGTACCCACCACCACCCCATCATCCAACCAAGCTCCTCTTGAACAAAGAAAAGAAAGAAAATCAACAAACAAAACCAAAGGGTAGATGGATTTCCGCTAATTCGCTCCAACACAAACAACAATCAAACGGGACTGACTGACTGGATATCTGGGGTTTGCTACGTGACTTCATGAAGAAAACAAAAAACAAGTATATCGTTGACTTGAAAAAAGGGTTTGTATATGTACGATGCGGTCGTAAAGTGACATCTGACAAAGAAAAGGGGACAGACTTCCTGGCACAGTTACCGTTCGTCGACTGCGCACAAGGCAGCGGGTGCTTGCAAGAAGGGCTCGACGGAGCACGACTCGGGCACGGGAGTAGATGTCTTGACCGAGTCTTTTGACTCAAGGCTGGCTTCCGCGGGAATTGGCTCAACGAGATCTTCAACAAGAGTGTCGTCATTCGAGTCGTCCATTTGCTCCTCAGACGCAGCCTCTTCCCCAGAGACTTCATGTGCCATGGCAATCCCCTCGGTGGTGGGAGCAGCACCGGACAGGACAAGATCCTCAACACGGGTGAAGAACTCTTCAACCTCCAACGCCGGCGTCACAACCTCCGGTGTCGGCAGCGACGTAGCCTGCATGAAACTCGAAAACTGAATCTCAGTGACTGTGAGAGTGGCAAAGGAAATCGCCGTGGTGGTCACAATCGCATTGGAGACTTGTGCATTGGGTACAGACGTCAACTGTGGAGCGACAATTGGCTGGCTGCCATTCGACTTCACATTCATCGCCAGGAAGACGACTGCGGCACTCAGACCAAGAATGACGAGGTTTCGCCGGTCACCCAAAAGTACGCGAACGTAATTCTTCATCAGTGTGCGGAGAGGAATGTCAGAGGCACGAGGTCGACCAGAGGCCGACAATTTGCCAGCCTTCTGGTTTGACTCCGACTCAGCCTTCTTCTTTTCCTGGAGGATGGCTTCCAATGCACGCAGGCGTTCGGCAACGGCGTCGTGCTCGGCTGAAGCCTTGGTCTCGAGTTCCAGACGAACAGACTCCTTGGCCTCTTCAATCTTCGTCTCGAGCACTTCTTCAAACTTCTTCTTCTCCGCCGCCTTCTCCTCGATGCTCCTCTGCAACGCTGCGGCGGCAGCCTCGAAGCTTTTCTGCAGCTCCTCCTCTTCCTGCTTCCTCTTGCTGTAGGACTCGTCTTCAATAGCCTTTTGCTTGGCAGCAGCTTCCTGAATCTGACGCTGCAGCTCAACGGCGTAGAGTTGTTTTCGCTTGCTGGCTTCCTGCTCTTCCAGGACCCTCTTCTCGAGACCCTTGCGGACTTCGTCGGGCATCCAGGGCGATATCTCAACGTCGCATCGCTCCATGTCTCCCCAGCACGCGCCCCAAGCTGCAGCACGCATGAGACCGTTTGCAGCGTAGACCTTGATGTCGAACTTGCGTGAGCCAGCACCGACGCCCTTGCCGGGCTTCTTCAGCTCGCGGTGGCAGTCTGTGCAGGTACCATCGTCCATGCTGTGCATGTTCCTTTCTGATGTCAGGGTACCCCCGCTCATCCGACTACCCCGGCCCGTCGTGTCGTCTGCCAGACTCGCGGCATCATCGTCGTCCTCCTTGTCGGAATCATCGTCTGGTGGTACAAAGTGGCCACACTTGAGGATGCGAGGGGTCTTGAGCTCCAAGCTCTCCAGTATGCGCTCCTCCAGCAGATCGTATTCGTCTCCTGGATGCGGGATCAAAAGCCCTCGTCGCATGAGGATGATATCCTGCAGCTTCTCCTCCAAGATCTTGTAGTTATCCACCAGCCACTCGGGCATAACTTTGGCCATTACATCGTGCGGGTATGGCATCTGCATCGGCAGAATCGTGACATGCAACAACACCAGCGGCGCCTGCGGTGCGCTAACCAGAGGCCGGGGACTGTGCTGCTCCCTTATACTTTGTCTCCGTGATCCCGACCGCCGTGACCCAGGCGTCTCTGATCGCGCGGTCCTGCTCGGAGTGGCCGGCTTGTACGTCTTCATGCGTTCGCGAGACGCTTCAGCCGCCGGTAGGGGCGGAGGCGACGACATCTGCAGCGCCCTCACCGACTCTGGATTGCGAAAGCGCGGCCTGTCCTTGCGCGGTGTATAGCGAGCTTCGTTGGCCTGGCTCGAGTGTGCGTTTGTATGAGAAGACATGGAAGACTCGGAGGGAAGCGCAGAGATCAAGCTATAGTGCGTTGCCCCCGACGAGCGACGCGGGTCCGAAATGGAATTCCGAGACGTATACGAGCTCCTGTACGGCTCCGGTTCGTCTGCCAGTCCAGCCTCGAACTCTGTGCTCGGGAGGGCGTCGTCGTCGGCGGCTTCCGAGTTGAACGACATGTCGCCCTCGTACATGGGCGAGGGCGAGAGAGATGGTCCGTGGTGCTCCGGATCTTTGTAAACAGCGAAAGAGGTCAGACCGTGTGGGGCAGATGGCACACCCGTCGCCGTCGCCGTCGTCGTCGTCGTCGTGGTATTCGTAGTACTCATTTGACCCTTTCTCGTCCTTACTCTACCCAGTCCGTCTGTCTTGTCTGTACAATCAATCAATCAATCAATCAGTCGTCCTCTCCTCCAAACAGTCAATCCTGTAAAATCCGTTCTATCGGCGTATAAAAGTTATGTACCGGTACGTGCAACCACACTCCAGGGTCCAGATAAACTGCCACGCCTTTCTTCTTGCACAAGAGAAAAAGTAAAATTCAGAGCGAGGGGTGGCCCAGACTGAACAGCAACCAGCCCATGGCCCCCGATAAACTAGGCCCAAAGATTGCAGCAATGCAGGTGGCTGGGATGCGGTTGGGTGCAGTGCGGTGCTGGTGCGAGCGGTGGGCGTGTGGGTGTGTGTGTGTGTGTGTGTGTGTGTGTGTGTGTGTGTGTGTGTGCCGGTGTGGGTTGGTATACCTATGTGGCCGGTGCAGTGCAGTACGATGCGTTGTCCACCATCAGTTGCCCACTTAGCTTTGTTTACACACCGCCGCACCCCTGTCGCCCCGTCGTCGCAGCGGGTAACCGAGCGGCGGCCACTTGCTAGCGGCTGGTTGTTGCGTGCCGTGGCGGGGGTGAGGTGAGGTGGACACGGCACCGCATAGCTACATGTGTGGTACCGTAGTTTGTGGTATTGTGTGGTTCTGGGTATGAGGAGACAGGAAGAGGACGAACTGCCGAAAAACTTCGAGGCTGCCGCCGCAGCGTTGCAGAGGAGCATCGAGGAGAAGGCGGCGGAGAAGAAGATATTTGAAGTAGTGCTTGAGACGGAGATTGAAGAGGTCAAGGAGTGCGTGTGTCGGGAACTCGAGACCAAGGCTTCAGCCGAACAAGACGCCGTTGCCGAACGCCTTCGTTCATTGGATACACTCCTCCAGGAAAAGAAAAAGGCCTAGTCGTGGTCAAACCTAAAGGCTGGCAAATTGGCGGCCTCTGGTCGACCTCCTGCCTACGACCTTACTTTCCGCACACTGATGAAGAATTGAGTTTGCGTACTTGTGGGTGACCGGCGAAACCTTGTCATTCTTGGTCTGAGTTCCCCAATTGTCTTCCTGGCCATGAATGTGAAGTCGAATGGCAGCCAGCCAATTGTCGCTACACAGTGGACGTCTGTACCCAATGCACAAGTCTCCAATGCCATTGTGACCACCACGGCGATTTCCTCGTCCCCCCCCCCCCCCCCCCGCTCCCCACTCCTGCATTCAACATGCAATGCCATTGGGGACAGGGAAAATCGGCACAGCCAAGGATGATGACTTATGACTGGTCTACTACATCTCCTAAACTCTACTACGACAAACCGTAGCGGGCTGGTCATGCCAGGATAGTCTTTTTATTCTTATTATCTCGGGACTCACTCACACTTCACATGGTCACTTACAAAAGCAGCAGCAGCAGCAGCACAACCTACACCGAAGAACAAAACTCACAACAAATCATCCAGAAACACGTGTACACGTTTCAACATTTCACTTTCTTTTGCAATGAATTGTACATGCTAGAATTACCATCGTCATCCCCTCCCAGCCACACCCCCTAAAAAATAATCTCCAAGCTTACAACTCATCGTGCTTCTTGTCATCCTTATCCTTGATCAAGTCATCCATAGCCGCCAAGATTTCCTCCTCTGTGGAGTCTGGGTTGATGTTCAACTTCTTCAGTTTCCTGCCCGCCTCATCCTCGACCTCATCATCCTGGTTGCCCACATTCTTGAGCTTGATGCCCTCCGTGTTGATGCCCGCCTGCTTGAGGGCGGCCTCGAGCTCTTCGGCCGTGGGCTGCTCATCGCCCTCGGCCGGCTTGTCCTCGCTCGGTTTGGCCTTTTTGTCCTTTTTGTCCTTTTTGTCAGCCTTTTTCTTTGCGGGCTTGGCTTTGGGCTTGGGCTTGGGTTTTTGCACGGGCGGCTTGAAGGCTCGCATCTTCTTCATCATGAGCTCCATGACCATGTCGTCTAGCTTCTTCTTCTCTGCTAGAATCTCCTTGACGGTAACAGCTGGGTCGTCTGTCAGACCAAGCTTGCTTTGCTTCACTTCCGCCTCGTCAAGCCATTCTTGGGCTTTGCTGGCAGATTTCTGAACAGTCTCCAGATCGTCTTCAGTGTAGATGGTGGGTACCTCGGTGATTTCTGGCTCAGCAGGTGCAGATGTCGTTGCAGCTTCCTCGTCAAGTTCGGCCATGGGATCCGCCGAAGGCGAAGGAGAAGGAGAAGCAGAAGCTCTTGACACCGCTTCACTACTCTTCGAGCTTTCCACCGATTGCGTCTTGATTTGATCGCTGACTAGATTTTCAACCTCCTTAAGGTGAGCAATAGTATCCTTGAGTTCTTTGATAGCATCAGGGCGCTTGGCTGCCTCGTCTTTGCGCCTCAATACAGGGTTGACAATGTCCTCGAGTTCCTTCAACTTGGCCCTGAGTACCTTCTCACTGGCCTCTGCACCCTCAGAGTAGATCCAGTCCGAGGTAGTGCTAAGAGCGCTCTCCAGTGACGTACGTACGGCCGCGGTAGATGCGGCAATAAAGTCTTCGTCCTCGAGGTAGTCACGAGCACGATAAGTAAAAGCTTCCAAAGAGTTCAGAACCTCTTCCTGAACACGACGAGCCTTGTCAGAGGCATCAAAAGCAGCAAGTCTGTTGGGCATTAGTACAACCACTTCTCACTTTTCATAAGAACTAATTGACTTACCTGTCCTGCATGCGCTTGAGTTCTTTACGAGGGTGCTTCTCATAACCTAGTTGAGTAATTTCGAAGGTGATGGCGGATCGGACGAGCTTGACTTGCTTTTCCTCAGCCTTTGCTGCATCGGTACTCTTCGCACCCTTCGCTGACTTGGAGGAGGAGGAGGAGGAGGAGGAGGCTGAAGACGAAGTGGATGAGGCTGAAGCAGAAGCGGAAGAGCTTGACTCCTCGCTCTCCTTCAATGGGTCCTGGTCTTTCTTGCCACCCATGCCGAACAGGTTCTTGACACCATCGACAATACCGCCCTTGGTTCCTTCAGTCTCGGCTTCGCAAGTGACCCAAGCAGAAAGAACCTCTGGGGTCCCAGTGATGGGACTCAGCCTGACCTTGACATAGTTGTTGAAGCTGTCACGGTCACACTTTTCTTCATTAATCATCTTGGTGACGACCTTGGTTAGGTTTCCACTCTGAAAGTGCAGAGTAGGTTGCTTTGATACATCGCCCTTTGCTCCAGGAACAGCTTCGTAGAGGGTGAACTCAAACTCACCCATCATCTGGAAAGGTAGGTCTTTGGTGGCACCCAACTTAGTGTTGGGTGTGAAAATCTTCTGATCGCGCTCCTTGAGGTTAAAAGAGTACTGGATGCCATGGTTATAGCCTTGAGTGTCCGAGTCCCGTAGCTCCTTGACGCGGAATGAAGGGCTCAGACTAGCAGCCTTGAAGGCGGCGCCAAAAACAGCTGCCTCGTCGGCGTTCACATTGGCTCTGATCTTGCCTTTACCAGCAAGAGCCTCTAGCCGGCTCTGAATGAAGGGTGTGCGAGTCGCACCTCCGTGCACAATGATAGAGTCGACATCCTTGAACTCGAGGCCAGCGGCTTCCAAAGCCTGGATGGCTGGTGCCTCAATGCGGGACGCGTACGCAGCAGAAAGTTCCTCGAGCTTGGAGCGCGTGAGCTTGTAGCGGAAGTCTATATCCTCGTAGAAGCTCTCAAAAAAGGCAGCCGTCTCCGTGTTGGCGCTGATGACTTGGCGAACGCGTTCGGCCTCCTTGAAGAGTTTTGCAGCGGTGCGTCCGTGGGACTTGACCTTCTCGGTTGTGATGGATGCACTCTTCGCTCCTGGGAGCTCTACGAATTGCGAGACCATGTCGTCGACGATGAGAGTGTTGAGCGCATCGCCTCCCAGGGTCCTGTCCCAACCGGCTCCGAGAACCTGGACTTCTTGGATAGTCTTGTTGCGCTTGCCAATGTCCTTGACCGACCGACCCTGAAACTTCAGGAGAGTTGCCGTAGTCGATCCAGCGCCCATGTCGAAGACCAGGTTGATCTCTGGCTTGTTACCGTCCTTTGTTATGTCTGGGAAAGTCCTGCCCATGGCATAGTTGAGACCGACGGCCACACCATCCGAAACCATGCTGAGAACATTCAAGCCAGCCAATCGCGAGGCGACCTCGAGCGCACGCCTCTCTTCAACCGTGTAGAAAGGCGGGACCGTGTATACAGCATCCTGGACGTCGTAGCCTTTACCAGCCATCGCTTTTGCGTTCTCACGCACACTCTTCAGCTCCATGGCTAGCAGCTCCTCTACTGAGTAAGTCTTATCCTCCTCGGCCGCAAAGACGCCGCTCTTGAAGCTCACAGTCTTGCGACCCTCTGTGCCCGTAACCTCAAGGGCGGGGTATCGCTCCTTGTACACGCTGACCACATCATTGTCACTATTCACACCCAAGAGATGCTTGAGATTTGGGTACACGTCGCCCGGAAAGCGGGCCTGGAGGGCGATGGCATCGGAGCCATAGAAACGCTCGGGAAAAGAGCCAGCAGGAAGCGGCCCGCTCTTGGAGGGTTTGAAAGCAACGGCAGAGGTCTCTTTGCGCCTTGCATCCTTTGTGAGTACAATTTCGAGGGGGATGCCGGGCTTGACGAGAGCGGCTTTGATGTACTCGGTTCCGAGATCGATTCCGACAACAGCAGACGCAGCGGAGGCGGTGGAGGAGAAGAGAAACACAAGACCAAGCAGGATGGCCGCTGGGGAGAGATTAGCTCTCCGACGCCCTGGTGGGGCCATGCTGTGTGTATATATAAATGTGTGTGTGTGTGTGTGTGTGAGAGAGAGAGAGAGAAAGAGGAAACCAGGCAACGGTAAGGCGTGTCTCTGGGCAGATGCAACAGCCTGCGGGGCGTGTGCGTGTGGCAAAGACGGTCAGTGTATGGCGGTGTATGTGCAAATACAGAGAACGACGGGAAGGGAATCTATCCCAGCGCGAATGGAGTGAGATTCGTATCTCTCACAGCCGTGGTGCATTGAACGTGAGGTGTTGGGCGTATCGTAGGTCTATAGCCAAGTCAAGTGCCTGGAGCTAGGTCGGCACCCTGTTCACGGACATTTTTGACACCTGGCTCTTTGGCACAGAGGCCACCTTGACGCCGGCCCCTCAGCTAGCCCACCAGCCCCCATATGCAGTAAGTCATATGGCATAATTACGTGCAAATAATTCTACAATTCCATTTTGCTGGTGCCTGACGAGGCTTCTCTCTTGATTTATATACGTACAGTATGTACCATTTCTTCTTTTTCATGGCGGTGGCCTCTGGTGTTGCGACGATTCTATCAGCCTCCCAGGGTCCTGGCCAATCAGATCAACAGGAAGCAAGGCGTTCGCCGCAGTTCATGGGTTTCTCCAAAGCGCTCCAACGCCATTTAGTGATGACCTCGAAGACTTGTCCTGGGAGACGACTGATTTCTGCTTTGGAGCATGACTGTGTCCGCATGACATGACTCGAGAGAACCTTCTCGTTGGCCTTGGGGCATATGCGTCCTTTTGCGTGACACTCATCCATCATATCCCACGGTTAAATTCGACCAAGCCGTCCCTCCCACCACGCTCATGAAATTCTGGCTCCAATGTCTTGGCGTTGACAGCTTGTCTTTGCGGGAACGCAGCCAGTGCGAGAGGGAGAGCGAACACGGATGTCGCGAAAATGAGACCTGGCCAGAGGTTAGCTAGAGAGTTTCGTGTACTAGTAGGGTTTCCATGAGGCTGGCTCACCCAAGTTGATTGGCGTGACCATTCGTGGCCTGTTCTTTAGCCAATTCGTTTCTTGCAGTTTGACCAAGATCAAAGGTGGCAGAACCATGATAGGCGTAGCGTTCAGCACACGACTAATCGCTGTCTCTCCCACAGCAAGTATGGCAGCCTTTTTACTTTTGCCAAGTGGCTTAACCTCGAGCTCTCCACTATCCACTCTGAGCTTCTCACTCTCCGTAAGAGCTGGGTATACATCAATGCCATGTCGAATCTCCTCGCCGCGCATGAGGAAGACGTTCAGCACACCGGCCGAAGCGACTGCTGCAAATGGTACCAGCCGACCAGCAATCATTCTCGCCCTAGGAGACAGGCTCTTGAGGCGAGGTACTGTCGCATTGAGACCCAGCGCTACACCGCAGGATGCGCTGACTGCAAGGAGGTAGGACTTGACAATCGTCGACGTGGAGAGTGGGGTGGATTTGTTCGCATTCGAAAAGTTGACTCCGACATTGACCGACTGATTCGTTATCTGCCAGCCCAGTGTTCCCGCTGTCTGTAGAGCTTAGTATGCTATATTCTTGACAGAATCGAATATGTTGCGTACCCCAAGACCAGGCTTGAGCATACCCGCCGTCACAACCAGGTTGGTTAAGACATAGCTTGACATGCGAAATGGGAGGAAAACCGATTCTCCCGTATCTTTATGGCCGTCAGTGTGCGCTTCTCTTGTCCCTCGGCCTAGGCGTGGTTGTACCTGGATGTATCGTGGAATCGATAATCTTCTTTGCCCTCCATAGATCCGGTGTCATTTCCGGAATCTTCCCCGTCTTGTACGCGGTGACAAGTTGTTTCGCATTTTCAAGGCCAGCAGAAGATACGAATAGCGTGCTGCAACACCGACTGTCAGCCTTCTTGTTCTCTTGTTCAACTTGTGCGCCTCTGCCGAGACGATTCCTATACAAGGAAGAAAGCTCCCGGTCGTGGTACTTACCACACCCAACGCGCATGCAAGTAACTATCATCTGCGCAATGGTCTCACCTTGGGTCTGTAAGATTGGCCGAGTGACGCACACGTCCCCAATAAGTGCCCAAGTCGAACTGGGACGATGGCAGATCGCGACTGCCTGGTAAAGAGGATGTCATGTTCTCTTATAGGGAGGGCAATGCTGGGGTCAAAGGAGGCGAATGTTTGCAAGTCTTGCGGGAGACCTTGCTTTTGGGTAGGTAAGCAAGCTAGAGGGGTTGATTCAGTGTGGCATGTCGGAACCATGGCGGAAGCGGTGCGGGCGTTTGGAACTCATCACGCTCGGCCCGAGCTCGATGCGATAAGACGGGAGCACAACCTTCAGCCAGTTCACATCTTGGGACGAATTCATGGGCCAAAGGCCAAAAAATGAGTTTCTATTGCTCGAGACTGATTTCAGAAATTGATTACTCGATGCAGTCTACTGTCCTCCCTACAGTATTGATATGGACGAGCAGCAAAATTCGCTATGCAAACAGGTATATGCGACATGTAGTTACTGGTGTGTACATACGGTTCGAAACATTGTTCTCGGACAACAATGCGACAGCCAACAAAAACACCTAGACAGAGAGATTTCATTTTTTGTTCTTCTTCTTGGACTTTGGGCTCGGAGGTGCGGCACTGATACCGAGGATTGCGTCAAAAGTTTTGGTTGGGTCACTGGCAGACGCAGGTCTCAACATGGGCGAATTAGCAGATGGCGGTGCAACGCCAGGTGGCAAGGGAAGAGCTTCTAATCCCAGGTTCATGACACTCTCCCGGCGACTGTCGGGGCTATGCGATCGTGATTGACCCCCTGCTGTTGAGGGATCAAGTAGGCCCGGCGGAGGTGCCAGTGGTGATGCGTTCGCATTCAATTCTTGCATGGCGGCAGTCAAAACCGTATCGCTTGCCGACCATTGCTGTGCTTTCTTCCAGCAGTGAGATCGGCGGAAGACACCCTCCACACCGTGCTCGACAATGTCAGTGGGTAGGCTGACAACTTGGGCTCCTCCCGCGACACCAAACCAGGTCCGTGTTCGTGTGGTGTCTTCGCGCCCCCATGGCACACCACTTCGCGGGACTTCACACAAGAAGTATTCTACACCTTCAGTGAAGCGGACCCCGGGAGCGTCGATGACCAGCAGAGGCAACGATTGAATGATGGCATACAGGAGCAGCCACTGTCCCGCTCGGAGATCCCACAAGTCCTCAATGCTACCGCCAACAGCTTGCTTGAACTCGAATTGTCGAAACGCTTCCAGAAATGGTGTCTTTTGGTCAGCATCCACATTATGCGCCTCTTTGAGCAACTTTGCAACCTCGTCCTTGTGCAGCCTCTTGGAACGCGCTTTTGCGTCCTTCTTTTTGTCGCCGGTTTTGGCGGCTGGTGATGTGGGATACAATGGTAGATCGAAGGGAATGGGCGGTTGCACTGGAGGCGTACTGCGATCATATTCACTGAGCACTTTTCTCATCGCGCGCTGAACGACAGACTCGACGTCCATGTCCTCCTCTTCAGCTAAGAATCCATCTGCGGTGCGATTCGTGAGGTTCTTTCTATCGACAAGAAGGTCGTACAGGTCAGACATGTCACGGTAAATGTCTAGCAAGACCAAGCGGTTGAGACCACTTGTTGTCAAGGTATTCTTCTTCGAACTTGCCTTGGGAAGCCAGGAACCGTATTTATTCTTGTAGTAATCGATCACAAACGACCTCGTGGTCCCGAATGCTGACCGCCATTTCTTGAAGCTGATGATTTTACCCTCGCTAGCCATTGCACTATTCATGATGCCTGCAAAGATATTTGGAAACTCGAAGTCCTTGAGCTTCCCATTGATTGCGGCTTCTCGGTTTTCCAGGTCCATGGCAGCGCGGGCCAGTCGTGTCGCAGTCTTGGGGCTTATCATGTCGTGTTTCGGAGAGGCGAGTTCTTTGATGCTCTCATACTTGCCCGCAGCGTGAACAAAACCTTCTGTATACAGGGACATGGAACGCATCTTTTCGCCCAGCACGATGGCCTCAAGCGTCTTCTCCCGGCTATGCCTGACGTCTGCAAGGGCCAGCTCATCCACGTAGCAGTCAAAGCTGGAGGCAGCCACCTCGCCATAGGTTGAACCGTCGACGTTGGAGAAGGCATAGTGGGAGAGAATGTCTGCTATGCGCAGGAATATGTCGAAAATATGCGGATGACGCTCCGTCGCCACCAAGGACTGGCCGATGAGAAATGCGAAGAAGTTGCGATAGGCGACTAACGTGTCCGTGTCCTGGGCGTTGAGCTGGGGCTCTTGGGGAGTGAAGGCCAAGTCGGAGCTGAGGGCAATGGGCATGTACAGGTGCTTCTCTGTGTGGTCGTCTTCGACAGCATCACTGAGCGCCCTCGAACCCTTGGACCCATCCGAGCTTCCAATCTGGCTCTGATCCGGCGAGGCAGGCCGTGATGGGCGGTCGATAGCGGCGAGGTCGAAGGGCGGCGCAGTCTGGGCGTCGCTGTAGAGACGGCCATGGACCAGACGGGTGAGGGCCTGTGAGGATGCGTAGACGGAAGAGTCGATGCGGAAGGAGGGGCCTTTGTTCGATGTGCGAGGAAAGAGGTAGACAAGCGTGTCGCCTGCGTCATCCCAGAGCTCGGGAACCTATGGTAGTAGAGCCATGTTAGCCGCCTGTGGACACGGCCACACAAATACACACAAATACACAAACAAACAGACCGATGGCAGAGACAACTGTAAGACACGGCTGTAAGACACACAACTGTGAGGCACTGCCTGCACTAGAACTATAAACACAACAACAAACACAACAAAATAAAACACTCACCGGCTCGCCGTTTAGCAGCGTCGTCAGGCTGTACGCGACCTTGCCCTTGTGCCCGACAATCCATGCCAGAGGGCTGCTCTTTGGACGCGCTGCCATTGAAAGAGACTCATTCTCACTGCCGCCCTGGCTCCCTCCAAAAAGCCTACTCTTGCGCCTCAGTTTCTTGAGATTGCCCTCGGAGCCCGCATCGCCGCTGGGTGTGCCAGGCCTGCTGTTGTACGGCGACGAGCTGCGGGACGGTACTTGGAGGGGTGGTGGGGGCTCGAGGGGCTCAGGAGGCTCAAGGGACTCGAGGGGCTTTACGGGCGGGAGAGAAGCAGCCGGCTCTACCGGTGGTACCGGCGGTACCGACTGACTGCTGGGCGGCGAGAGGGAGGCATTGTGTGCCGGTGCGGCTGCTGTCTGCTGTTGGGCGGATTCGGGCGTCAGATGCGTTCCAGAGGTCATGCGCTTCTTGACCTTGGTTAATCGTCCACCGCTCGACTCGGACGAAGGGACGGAGGAGATCTTGGTGCCGCTACTTTTGCTGTCCTGCGACTCCGACGACGAGCCTATGGAAAAAATACTCGACAACCTGCGGCTCGACTTCTTCTTGTCACCCAACATGGTGGTGAGGGGGCGACCACTCTACAAGATGCAATATGTATAGAGCGACAGAGGGCGACGGCAGGCGACCTGTTCTCCACGAAAAATAACTATGTCTTCAATGTCATAGGGTCGACAATGGGGGGGGGGGGGGGTGCTGGACAACTTGAACGAACAGCTGGGAGAAGCCAAGTGATCTATATTTGCTTCCCAAGGCTGTTGCAGATCCAACAGTGTCGCAGCAGAAGAAGCCAGCCATGCTAGCGCAACCTACTATGACATACCTACTAGGAGTCAGGACGGCTGGCCGGTTTGCCACGACGGTACCCAGGTACTGTACTGTACGTCCAGGTGCAGCGCATTGCACTCGATGCGCTCAGTTCCATTTGAATCTGCGTCCCGGCACTCTAGGTCACGATGAGCATGTCCAAGCCCACGCTCCAGCCTCTAGGCCAGCTTGCAGCGCCTCATCCCGTCTGACAGGAACACGTCATGCGCGGAAGTTGGCTCGGTCCTGCGCCTCGCAGGCTGCAGCTGAGGCCCGCCGCGTTTGAACTCTGCAGGCTCACTGTACCGGTACTTGCTCTTACTCTGCTCTACAGTCTCTACTCCACAGTTGTTGTGCCTACACTCAGCGAAACATTACCTTGGAAAACACAACTCTGGTCGAAATAGCATAACCTGAATCTGCTGTAGATGGAGTAGAGCTCGTTGCCGAGGGATGACGTAGCGTTGGCCCCATTGGCTGTATCTCCGTACACGTAAAACGTCACATTGCGCCCTTGACAGTGACTATTTTGACATGACATTGACAGCACAAGCCTGACTGACGGTGACACAAAGGAGCATATGCCTCTCACCATTGCGCATTGAACTTCTCACTCGTCTCAAGTCCAGACTCCTCTCTCTTCACACACCGTTCGTGTCTTGCTTACCTCTCCACCCACCGTTCGCGCACGAGCCCCATCCGATAACTATCCGTATTCCGGCTCTCGCGGTTACACTTGCGACTATTAGCCTTTGTCAACATTCAACAATCACCTGTCATGCCCGGGGGAGGCGAGGATATCGCTGATCAAATATTGAAAACGTTCAACTTGCCGGACATGGTCGGTTCGATGACTAGTTCTAACAAGCTGATCAATCTTCTGAGAGGGCACGTTACCTACCCACCCTGGCTTCACCCCCCACGTCAACTGCGAGCACTGCTGCCACCCCTGTGTGCTCTGCCTCCACAGGCAACCCATCACGGGACCCGAGATGACTAGGTACCAAGTAAAGCGTATCACCATCACTGACAGACTAGTAGATGGCCCAATGTCTCCTTGCTTCCCACGCAATTGATGGCCAAGGCCACTCACAATGCCCTCCAGAACCCATCTGTTGCGCTCCCAGCCATGTGCTATGGACCAGATGCAGGAGATCCGCGACTGCGTAGGAACGTCGCCTCCTGGCTTACCAAGTTTTATCAGCCGGCCGAGCCTGTAAATATGGACCGAATTTGCATCACTGGTGGTGCTTCCCAGAATCTAGCCTGTTTGCTCCAGTCCTTCACCGACCCCGTATATACTAGGAATGTCTGGATCGTGGCCCCGGCATACATGCTATCGTTCCGCATCTTTGAAGATGCAGGCTTCCACAAGAAGCTGAGAGCTGTCCCTGAAGATGAAGAAGGCATAGATATAGACTTTCTGAGAAGAGAGATTCGGAAAAGTGAGGAGAAAGCCAATGCTGAAGGTAATGACAAGCCGGTAAGTAAAGTCAGCGAGGTACAGCACGTAAAAAAATGGTGGAACCTGGGTGAAGCATCAGGATCCTAATGTTCAAGCTGAAGGCCTGCATAGCTCGACGCCAAGGCTTCTATCAAGGCCAGACTAACCCCCGACTTAGCATTTGAAGCCTCCAAGGCCATCAGACAAATCTTACAAACATGTCATATACGCTGTGCCTACTTTCTCGAACCCAAGCTTCAAGACCATGAGCTTGAGGCGCAGGGAAGAACTAGTACGCTTGGCTAGAGAGTACGATGCTCTAGTCATCACCGACGACGTCTATGATTTCCTACAATGGCCGTCAGGTCTCACATCTAAAACATCTTCCCTGGAGAAGGCTGCATTGCCTCGGCTTGTAGACCTAGATAGATTCCTAGACGGCGGGGCTGAGAGGGATGGCGCGGACGGCTTTGGAAATGCGGTGTCAAACGGCAGTTTCTCCAAGATCTGCGGGCCTGGCTTGCGAACTGGCTGGTGCGAAGGTTCGCCTAAGCTGTCTTATGGAGTCTCACAGACGTAAGCCATTCTTTTCGATTGTGATCTGGGTGCATGCACTTGTCTTGCCATTGACGACGAAGCTACTGGTAATTTCGCGCCTTGTGATGCATCTTCAGGCATTGAAAGTGCGCTGTAAAGGCGCCTCCTCTAGTGCTGAGGAGGCATTCTCTTGCCGATTCAGGACGACAGCTAATGCGTGCACAGAGGTAGCAGTCGATCTGGCGGTTCACCAAGCCAGCTGACAGCTTGCTTTGTGGCTGAGATATTGGAGTCCGAAGAGCTGCAACGTTACGTGTACGACACACTCCAGCCGGCTTACGGCAGTCGCTATCGCCGGATGGTCGAAGCCATCAACACTCATTTGATCCCACTCGGTGTCCGTATACCGCAGACAGATCGTGAAGTAGTCGGAGGATACTTTATTTGGATGACTCTGCCCTTGCCGTTGAATGGCTCCGTGCTTGCACAACGTGCTAAAGAGGAGGAAAACGTCGTAGTAGCGCAGGTGAGTACAAGACCTGAACGAGATCCGCTGACCACATCATGGGAGCGGCTAACAACCATTCTCACGTAGGGTGAGATCTTTCAAGTAAGTTTACTCCACTAAGTTGGGATTCATAACTTACAGATCCAGGTCCCCCGCGACACCGAGTATCCAGGCACGGCTTTCGGCAACGAGGTTAGAGTTTGCTTCGCGGTATGACCTCTAAAACCTCATTTGACAACTTTATCATTGACGGTCTACTAGTGGGAAGACGAGGACATGTTGGCTGAAGGTATCGAACGTCTCGCGCGGGTCATTGGCCGCATGTTAGATGAGGAGGATACAACTAGCGACGATAATGCCGCACTTACACCTACGACGGACGCAGAGCCGAAGAGCTTTTGGTAACTGAGCCGTATGAATACTCCAAATACTCCAGGTTAGCAAGCCCATAAGAATAAATCACCACGTATTCGTGAGGCAGTAATCTAGGCGAGACCCTCATAATCTATGTATTACTACCTCCATTTCCACATCAGCGTCTGGGCGTGAAAGTGCCATTTTTAAACATGTATCGACACCCCACTTAACTTGCTAGCAGATCTTCAATTGAAACATTTGTTCGAGAAGAAATTGACGGCTCATGATGTCCCCGACCCATGAATCTCGTCGACAGCGAGACACCAGCTTTTGCAGAGTGAATCGACGTGTTAAGCCGGCAGAGGACTAGGGGGGGGGATAAACAGGATGCCACAACGCAACATGATTGGCCGTCCCTAAAATTCCCACGGGAAGTCGTGTTAAGCATAATACAGATACAGATCTGCAAACATATTAACGCCCCCATCCCCCAATCTCCTCGTATGAAATTATCCACGCCGGTACTCTACTCTAGCTCCTGTACGGTACCTACATATATACCATGTACATGAATCCATACATGAATACACCCCTGCCAAACTTGGGGAAACAGCCGCAGGGGCCGCGTCAATGCAAAAACGTTAATGCCTGCCCTGATGCCAAAAACAACAAGTCCCTCTCCCAGCACCCCTACCCCGGCTTCCGCCAAACAAGTTCTGCCTGCTTTTGGTGGGGGGAAAGTGCGACATTTAGAGCCTGATTGGGATAGAACTTCTTTTGACTCCCTTTTTAGTTTACCCGGTAGTCTGGAGGATATGAAGGTGTCTTGCGGTGGGGGCGTTGACGGATGTAGGACTGGATTGGTACTGGCGTCTGGGGAGATGGTGGGTTTTTTTTTGGTTCGCATGGTACCAGTACGGTAACTTACCGGTAGGGCTTGGTTGATGTGGTGCGGTTGTGGGCATGTCTCTCTACCCTACTCACCCGCTACATGCATACGTACTTGGTACTTGGGCATTTTTGCCCAGCACCCAGCATGATGGAGACAACGCCTTTGACAGTCTGCACGTCACGTCGGCCCGCAGGTCCGTGGCTGACATGGACTTCTCCTCTTCACGGTGTTGTGAGGAGCGATTGGGACCATGCCCATGTACATGGTACTGTGAACTGTGGCTCTTTCAACGGCTTCTTCGCAAAGGGCCGGCGGCTGCGCAGGCCACCTAAGGACCATCATTGTCTGCGGCGAGCATTACTTATCTCAGCAGTTGGCCACTGAGGGCCTATAGATCCCTTGTTGTTTCAGCACGGTTTCGCATGGGGGATGTTCGGATGTGACGCCACCCACTCACATGCTAGCTCGATGAGTGGACGCTAGCTGCAGGGACAATTGCTTGCCTTTGCGGCAACAAACCCTCAGGAAGATGGCCTACAACACCTGCACACGCTCAATCAACGAATGGCCCAGATCTCCATAGTGTTTCATGCGCGGATTTTTGACGCTTGCGTGGGCAAGTCTGTCGATCCTTGCTAGTACTGTGTAGCCACACTTCGGGCGGTCTTGGGTGGGCGCGAGGGCTCAGGGGGGAACACAGGGTCGTTCACGTCGTCACCCATTCCGCAGCCCTCCCTACGGCACATGCTGGCGCGGGAATGCGGCTGGTAGACATGGCTACAGAGCCTCCTCCTCCTCACTATCATGAGGCGCGAGAGAATGATGGCTGGATGTATGGATCGAGCGCATCGGTGGAGCGTGGCGGAGAGGCGGCAAAAGAGCACTGGTATCACCATGTGGATGGGGGTATAAAATATCTATTCAGAGCCGGGGGATATGAGTCGCATGCAGCAGAGCGAAGAACACGCCCTGGACATTCGAAACGTGAAACAAGGAGCTTCGACGAACCTGATTGGCAAACTGCAGACATTGTGAGTTCATTCTTGAATACTCTCGCTGCCTTATATACAACGCCTGACTCCCCCTCCTTCACCCTCTCCCCTTCACGCAGACTCACGGTCAGCCATCAGCACTCAGTGTGTTGCTTCCATTGTTATTGTTTCTTCGTCATTCATTTATCTTCTTCAAGAGTTGGCTCGAAGCATTCTTACCCTTTTCTTCACCACATTCTTTGCCAGGCAACCTCTCACTTAAACCCACTCCCACATTCTTGCAACCTTGCATGCCACAGGCTCCAAAAACTTATCCAAATCGTCTTTTGCAGGCCAACTGACGACTTCCACATTAGCCTTCTGACTCATTTCTTGAACGATTCAGAGCACGAACCCTCAATAAACGCACCATCATCATGGTTGCTTTCAGCGCTGGCGCGCTTCTTCTGACGCTGCGCGTCTTGCTCACTGCATCCACAGCAGATGCTGTCCCCCTTGCGCAAGCCCCTGCCCCTGCACCACAGCCTGGTGCATCAGGGTACTGGCTCGAGACTATCGAGCGCCAGGGCAAGGCTCCTTTCAACCCCACGCCTGATTCCTACCAGGTTTTCCGCGATGTCAAGAAGATGGGTGCTAAGGGTGACGGTGTCACCGATGACACAGACATCATCAACCAAATCATTGCCGCTGGCAATCGCTGTGGCGAGGGCTGCGACTCATCTACCACCACGCCTGCACTCATCTACTTCCCGGCTGGTACCTACGTTATCAGCAAGCCTATTATCCAGTACTACTACACCCAGTTTGTCGGTGACCCACTGAACATGCCTATTCTCAAGGCATCTCCAAACTTTGAGGGCATGGGCGTCATCGATGCCGACCCGTATATTCCAGGTGGGAACGGGGCCAACTGGTACACCAACCAGAACAACTTCTACCGCCAGGTTCGCAACTTTGTGATTGACATCTCCGCAGCCAAGGTTGCAGCTGGTATCCACTGGCAAGTATCTCAGGCCACTAGTCTCCAAAACATTGTTTTCGAGATGGCCAAGGGCGAGGCGGGTGCTGAGCAAAAGGGAATCTTCCAGGACAATGGTTCTGGTGGTTTCATGACTGATCTCGTCTTCAACGGCGGTGCAATTGGCGCCTTCCTTGGCTCCCAGCAATTTACCATTCGCAACATGACCTTCAATGACTGCGGCACTGCCATCTTCCAAAACTGGAACTGGGTCTTCACATACAAGAGCATCACCATCAACCGCTGCAAGGTTGGTTTGGACATGGCCAACAACCCCGCCAACCAGACTGTTGGCTCTGTTCTTCTCCTTGACAGCAAGCTTGTCGACACCCCCATCGGCGTCAACTCCTCGTTTACCGAGAACAGCATTCCCACAACGGGCGGCACACTCATTCTTGACAATGTCGACTTTACCGGCTCTCAGGTTGCTGTGCAGGGCTCTACCGGCAATGTCATCCTTGCTGGTGGCAAGAAGATTGGCACCTGGGCTCAGGGTCATGCCATGGCTGCTGGCGCCCAACAAGGCCGCGTACAGGGTGATGTCAACGGCGCACCCACCAAGCCAGCGAGCCTTCTTGGCGAGAACGGCTGGTTCGAGCGCAGCAAACCTCAGTACGAGAATGTTCCTGTATCGCAGTTTGTCAGCCTCAAGTCCAAGGGCGCAAAGGGTGATGGCGCGACGGATGATACTGCTGCCATTCAGGCCGCTATCGATGGTCTCACCGATGGCCAGATTCTCCATGTCGACCACGGTGCCTACCTGATCACCAAGACCATTGTCATTCCCGCCGCAAAGAACGTCAAGATTGTTGGTGAGGTCTACAGCATGTTCTTCATCACTGGCAAATTCTTCTCCGACATGAACAATCCCAAGCCTGGCTTCCAGGTCGGCAAGACCAGCGGCGAGAAGGGTTCCTTTGAGATGTCCGACCTCATCATCAGCACTCAGGGTCCCGCTCCCGGCGGTATCTTGATGGAATGGAACATTGCCGCCGAGAAGGGTCAAGCCGGTCTCTGGGACGTTCACTTCCGCGTCGGTGGCTTCGCCGGCACCAAGCTCCAGTCCTCCAACTGCAAGAAGACGCCCGAAGTCCAACACGCGCCCAACCCAGAATGCATCGGCTCCTTCATGCAGCTCCACATCACCAAAAACTCCAACGGCTACTTTGAAAACGTCTGGCTCTGGACAGCCGACCACGAGCTCGACCAAGAGGACCACGCGCAAATCGACATCTACAACGGCCGCGGCATGCTCATCGAATCCCAAGGCCCCGTCTGGCTCGTCGGCACTGCCTCGGAACACTCGCAACTCTCGCAGTACCAAATGTCCGGCGCCCGCGACATCTGGTTCGGCGCCATCCAAACCGAAACCCCATACTACCAACCCAACCCCACCGCTGCCGTCCCCTTTGTCAAGAATGACAAGTTCTTCGACCCGGACATGAGCCAGCAGGCATCTGCCTGGGCCGTCCGCATCCTCGACAGCCAGAGCATCTGGAACTACGGCTCGGGTACCTACTCCTTCTTCGACAATTACGCCCAGACTTGTGTGCCGCTGCAGAATTGCCAGCAGCATATGAATCAGATTGATAATTCTACAAATGTCAATGTCTTTGGCTTGTCCAGTAAGGCGTCGGTTAATATGATTACTCAGGGTGGACAGGGCGTCGTCAAGGACGCGGATAATCGCTCGAATTTCTGTGCTACGTTGGCGATTTTCGCGCAGCCGTAGGTGGATGGGTGATGGCTTGGTTTCGCTTGGCTTGGTGGGTTTCTTTTTTTTTTGTTCTCCGAAGTTGGCTTGGATAGGCATGGGTGAATTGCTTCACGGGCGTGCGGGTAGGATACCTGGACACACACAACACGCAAAATCAAAACACAATACAAACGCACACCCATCTCATACAATTCCCCCCTTCTTTCCCGCCCTTTTCCCCCTTTTTGGGAAACAGATCCCCGGGCCCCCTTTCTCCATCTCCTTGCCTGGTTGTCCAAACCCACAACCATACACACACTCGCTGAGATCATCTGGACGGTTCAAGTTGACGTCGACGCATACATATATATACCCCGCGCGTGGAGACTGGCAGGATAGCGTTTTTATGTAGGAATTTGAAAGTATTCGAGTTGGAAATTTGTAGACTTTTTGCACTTTTGACCTTTTGACCTTGGGCATGTTTGCATGTGAAGGTGTTGTGTGCGTGTGAATGTGGGGCTGAGGGCGGTTGCCTGTGTTTGCTGGTGTGGCTCGATGATGTGGTATATTTGTAGTCTTGGCGTTTGTGTGATGTCTTCTTGTGTTCAGGTCGCTTGCGTGGTTTTTCGCGTGTGAGGGGGTGGGTTTTTTTTTGCTGGGTTTTGTATGTAGTAGTGTGGTGGTGGGAAGAGGGGGAGGGATGGGTGGGAGGCTAAATGGAGACGGTATGGGTAGCGGTGTTAGCTACGGGGAATAAGAGTCAATATCGCCGAGTGTACAAGTCTTCTTGAACGTCTAAAATTCTATCAACGCAGTACAATCTAGTCGGAATTCCATCATGCAAAAGAAAAGGAAGAAGATAAACCAAACCAGAAATTCTACACCTTGCTGTAGATATCCGCATCAAACTCCGTCGGAAACTTCTCCCTACCTTCAGCATCACTCCTGACCCATACCGCCACGCTTGTTCCAGGGCACTTAAACACGCCAAATCCCTCCCCGTCAATCTCAACCTCACCCTGTTCCCAACCCAACACATCCGTCCACTTCTCCCCAGCATGCATGTCCCCAACCGACATTCGAATCTCCCCGGGCCCCGCATTGCTCATCACGCACGCCAGCCCCGCCTTGCGATCCCACGTCCCGCGGCGCACAAACCCAATCAGATTCGCATGATCCCAATAATCCTCCTGCTCGCCGTACGCAAACAGTTTACGCGCGAGAATCAGGTCGGCGAGTTTGCCGCCACAGCTGGCGGGTGTGGGATGGGGGTCTGCGAGGCCGTAGAGGTCGCCGTAAAAGGGGCAGGGGTAGCCTTGTTGGCGGAGGAGGATGAGGGCGTAGGCGAGGGGTTTGAAAAAGGGCTCGATCTTGGTTTCCATGACTTGGCCGGGCTGGGTGTCGTGGTTTGTTACGACGGTGACGGCGTCGGTGGGGCGTAGCTGCACGAGCGTGTCGTCGAAGACGGAGCGGAGGTCTGCGGATTCGGTGGTGGAGAGGCGGCCGAAGTTGTTGAGGAGTGGGGAGTCGTAGAGGGAGAATTTGTGGTGCATGGCGTCCAGCCAGTTGCTCATTTCCTTCACATCGCCGCTCCAGAATTCGCCCACGACGAAGATGTCTGCGCCGCACTGCTCACGCAGCTTGTCGATCCACTCGTTTGTGAAGCGCTCGCTGAAATGCTGGACGGCGTCGAGGCGGAAGCCTTTGAGGCCTAGTTCTTTTGTGATCCAGACGCCCCAGTTTTTCACGTCAGAGATGACTTCGGGGTGCGAGTAGTCGATATCGGCAAACATCATGTAATCTGCGTTGCCAGACTCGTCGTCCACTGTTTGACTCCAGCCTTTGTTATCCCCGAGGATCTTGAAGATGGCTTTGCGTTCCGAGGCCTGGTCCCAGTCTGTACCGCTAAAGTGTTCCCAGTGGTACTTTTGCTTCGAGTATGTGTCGCCACGACCCGGGAAATTGAAACCCAGCCATCCCTCAATCTCAAAGGCATCGCTCGTTTCCTTGGTACGATCATTCTCATCGACCTCAACGACACGGCACTTCTCAGTTTTATCTGCGCCGGCTTTGTGGTTGAGCACTGCGTCCCAGTATAATCCCACGCCATGCTCTTTCGCCACCCTCGTCAACTCCATGAGTTCATCTTTAGATCCCCATTTCGTGGCTGTACCGCCTTTTTGGTCGAATTCGCCGAGGTCGTAGAGGTCGTAGATATCGTAGCCAACACCCTTTGGATTTGCAGCTTTGCACCCTGGAGGCAGCCATATGTTGTCGATACCAATGGCTTTGAGTTTGGGAATCTCAGCGATGAGGCGCTTCCAGTGTTTTTGATCTGCTGGGACGTTCCATTCAAAGGCCTGGAAGAGGGTGCTGTTTTCAGGTGTTGGAGTTTGTTCATCTGACGCCATATTGATGGTTGAGCCGTTGCGAATCTAGCTCAAAGGTGCGTGGGTGTACGGAAATAAAATATTTAGATCCAAAGTAACGAAAGTTGTGGAATATATAATGAAACTATGAAAATCAAGCACTAAAGCCATGAGCAGATTTATCTTAATCGTAGCCGGTTTCTTGCGCGACAGCTAGAGAACAAGGCCAGAGAGAGGTCTAGAGCAGGATTCCCTCAACAAAAAGACATATGCGTGACGTCAGCATACGTCTGATAACCAGTGAGTATGACAATAGCGTCGGAACAGCGAAGAGGTATAGTCTGGGGTAGCCATGTTGTGGAGAGAGGTGAAAGTTTAAACCAGAGGTCGAATCGAGATGAAATGAGGGTCCTGTAGGTATCGATCGCGATGTTACACACAGATCTGTTACGAACACGCTAGGCTTAATTAGGTGGGGCGGACAACGTCGTGGATGTTTTGGGATACAAACCTTCGATATGGACATGGACATCATCATTACAGATAATGTGTTCAGTCAAAAATTTCAGAGGAAACGAAATCATCAAAGTTCTACGTACTAACTTGCGAAAGAGTGGCCAATCTCCCCGCACAGCACAAGGAGCGGCTATAGTTAACATACAAGCAAGTCACCTCCAGCTACTCAAGCATCACACCGATACCACGTAATTCCATCACCCCACAAGCATCAGGATTTGAGTCCTGAGTTGAAGTACCACTCTAAGCACTCACAAGCTGGCGTGCTCCAGTGTTGACAACGGCATAGGCTGTGCAAGTCAGTCGATGTCGTTTGAGCAATATGCATAGGACCACTTACTAAACCCTTCCTTCTTAATAGCCAAAACTTCACCTGCTTGCTCAGAATCACCAGAGTCACAGCCGGTGAACTTGCCTTTGAACAAGGTGGCGGCAGAGTAAGCAGAGAGATAGCCCTTCTGGCCCTGCTGCACGCTAAAACCAGTGGTAACCGAAGTAGAAGATTCAGAAGTAAACTCCTGGCCAAAAGTCGCCTCGACAGAGAAGATGCCCTCAATACCACCTCCAGCACTAAGCGAGTACGAGGTGGTGACAGACTCACTGTGCTGCTTCTCGACGGAAATCTCGCAACCCTGTTCAGATCCGTTGACACAGTCCACGATGACCGAGACTTGCACGCTCTCTGAGGAGCTGGGAGTAGAGCTCTCGACCTCGAAGCCGTCGCATTTGGGGTCAGCACGCTTTGCGAGACCGTCATCGATTTTGCGGGAGAGGCCGGAGCCACCTTTGGGATAGACACTGATGCCGGGAGCTTCGCCGCCTAGGTTCATCTCAACACAGTTGCTGTTGTCACTATTTATTGATCGTATCAGCTTCCGTAACGCATCATCCTAATGTTGACACAGAGCAGACTTACATTAAGGTAGCAAAGACAGCGCCGGGGCCGTTAGGCGGGCAAGTCTGATCGCGAGTGAAGATGATTTGCATCTCATCAAAAGGCGACTCCTCGACCTTTGCCCAGAACGGAGTGGTGTCAGGCAACAGACCTGGGTTGCATCCATAGGCACCTGCATCATCATCTGCGACGCTCTGGTAGGTGTAGACGCATGTATAGTCAATCTTGTCATTACAGTCTTTGTCAGAGTAGAAACCAATATCGGCGATGAATGGCTGGTCTCCTGAGAAGGGGCCGCAGCCGTTGGGCTCACGAGACTTGATCATTTGGCCGCGGAAAGAGGGGGCGGCCACGGCAGTGGAGACCGCAAGAGCCAGAGCGAGAATGGACTGGGAAGGCATCTTAACGATGGATGGCCTCTAGTCGTGTGAACGAAAAGTTATGCAAAGAGAAAGTGAGTAGATTGCTGTGACTGCTGAGAAGACTGAGCGATGTGTGGAAATGCATTGGAGGGACAAGAAGTAGGTTTATATGCCTTCGCAAGGGCTCTCTTCTCTCTGGTTCGGGGACCAATTCTAACGCCATTTCCGGCTGAGAAGTTCAGAATTAGGTCATCATGTTCACGTCCAACACCTAAGACTACGCCCAACTTCAGTATACATTGGTTCATATGGCTCTCACGATGCAAGGCCTCTTTCGCCAATGCCTTTGCCAAGGCGAACTGTGCTGGTAGAAGTATTGTTAGATTCGATACAGTCCAATCATGGCCACCAAAGGGATGCAATTAAACGGTGTAGAAGAGCATGCTGCGCCATAACTTCACATTAGTCCTTGCTGTTATGGGCTGAGTGTATTCCACCGCCAACTCGTTAATCAAGTTGCTTTCACTTCTAAGACATGCAGAAACGAGGCATGCATCAGATTGAGTAGGCAATATCGTTCGCTGATGCCTACGCTGAGCAGGAGTGCCCTGGCTGGCCTGTTGAACATGGAGGAAACCGTCAGCTTCGTATGATCTTCACGTCCTTGAATTGAGTATACGATGGCTGAGAATAGGTTTGAGATATCCAGGATCAAGCCATTTTTGCCTTTAGACTTAGCGAGTTAGTCTAAGGATAGGCATGCTCGCGTGCAACTAGCAAGGCAGAATAATGATGTATCCTCCAGCCAACACATAGTCACTGACATCCCATAAGACCCAACATCGCACGTGATACACGCAAGTCTCCTGGCTCTCTCCCCACACCACCTTTCCACAATGCCAAGCAACATGACCTGGCTAGGACCTTCCCGGTAGTTCCCACGGACCATCCCACCCCCGCACACTTTCCACTCTTGTTGTAAGAAGCCCCCATCCTACAAACGAATGTGCGGTGCATACCTTCCGGTCAGCCTCCCGCGCCAACCTAAAAGATCACGCAGTCTTACTCCTATTGCAATCTAGAGAATGCCATACCAGCCTATTTGGGCGGGCATCGCGACAGATCAGGCATTTATTGGCTACGGTGAAGTGGATCTGGATGCCATGCTCACGTGGAAGGATCCGTTGCGGTATAGGAGCTGACGTATTGAGCGGGAATGCAAGGTTTAGATGCCGAATGAGGAAAGCGAGCATCAGATATGGACAGGACAGCATTTACTTTTCTGAATTCCCGTCTCTCTTGGTAGGAGGCTGTGGCGAGGTGTGAGGTCACTCATCTTCGATCCATAAACATTCGGACGCCGAATTAACGGGGATTTCCTAGACTTACATTCCTTGTTTTTGCGCGGGTTTGTCTGGGTGAAGCTTTGATGGTGCGAATGGCCAATGATTTGTGCTTTGGCGTAGATAATGTGGAATTACATGTGCGACACAACACCTGATTCCTGATTATGACCTCCTTGTGCCCCTACAAATAATTCCAAGCAAAGGCAGGGTTTACAAGACATGTGCCGTTAGCCGGTGAAGCACAGCGTGCCCGGGTAAATACCTTGTCATATGGTATTTTGAGCGAGGCGTAAAATCAACTGGGAACTTGCTAGGAGGACAAGTAGTATTAAGAAATAGAAGAGTGCAAAATCATGCTATACATGCCCATCTCAACGCTTTTAAGATTTAAGGTGTACGCTTGAAAGATATGGTAGATGATTCGGTTCTTTTATGCACCATATTCTAGTGTGGAACAAGGGGTAGTATTTATCGTTACACGACAAGTATAATACACAATTGAACACGGAATTTACAGTAGACGCGATAGTATTCTCGGCTGTGTCTATATCCATAATGGATACTGGTTGTATTCTTGAAGCGTCTACACCAGCTATCACTGGTTTAGGCAGCAGCAACGACGTTACCCCGCGTTTCCATAAACATCTTGATTTCATAGATAGTTTGAGGCAACAATTTAGCATTTCAACGGCATTTCTTTTCTATCAAAAATTACAGATTTTGATGTGCTCCATATATTGATTACTCAAGATGGAATCGAAGACATGGGTGATGCTTGGTAAGGGAGCTAAGCCACCATCTAACACTTGCCTTTGGAAATCAACTCATCGCAAATGGCAGAGAATAACCCCGATGTAATGAACCACCTGGCATCGATATTGGGTCTATCATCCGAGCTCCAATTCTACGACGTCTATTCCCTAGATGACCCTGACCTAATCGCACACATCCCTCGACCTGCTTTAGCACTGCTAGTCATCATTCCACTGACGCCAGCTTGGGATCGAATTCGCAAGGCCGAAGACGCTGATAAAGAATCTTACACTGGCGCCGGCCCTGACGAGCCAGTCATCTGGTTCAAGCAGACCATCGGTCACGCCTGCGGCTCGATTGGCCTACTACATAGCGTAATCAACGGCCCAGCCGCTGACTTCATCAAGCCTGATTCTGATCTCGCTATGTTACGGAACTCCGCCATACCACTGAAAATGGCCGCACGTGCGGAAATGCTGTACAACAGCGAGCCATTCGAGCGTGCTCACAAGTCAGTCGAGCAGGCTGGCGACAGCTATGCGCATCCTGCAGATGAGCGTGACGGTGGGCATTTTGTGAGTTTTGTTAAGAGCGGTGGCAAACTTTGGGAGCTTGAAGGATCGAGGATGGGTCCGCTGGAGAGAGGGAGTCTTGCTGATGATGAGGATGTTCTTAGTTCACGAGCGCTTGACATGGGTATCAAGAGGATCATCAGGTTGAATGAAGATGAGGGGGGAGAGAACCTTCGATTTAGCTGCATAGCTTTGGCCCGCAAACCTTAGGCTCTGATTGTGGGTCAACACATGTGTCTTGCGGGTTTCCTGTGCTGTGCTCCAAGCGAGCGTAGTAAAGATTAGAACAGAAGTTACCTTGCTATTAGATCTACATGAGACCACGATGACACGTAAACCATTTTAGCTTGTAACGCATGGGCACCGTCAATATGGTTGCGAAATCCTAAAGAGAGACATTGGACCCTTGCAGTTGTGCAGAACAGCGAGACATGTCAGCCAGAATCCTCTTACGTCGAAAGGTTTGCGACCGGTATAGGCCCCTAACCTACCGGTACGGGTACGCTCGTGCGAGTGACTGGCTCCAAGAGCTGTCGAAGGAATAAGAATGAGGAACGCCGAGCACTACCAGCTTATCCTCCCCGCTCCGCTAGCGATCGCCCGGATAAGTTGATCGATAGGGTGACCGAAGCGAATGTAACGCTGACTGAGCCATGCCCTGCCTCGATGATCTTCGCCCAAGGCCATCCACTTGTGACGTATATGCTTATTTGATAATACCATGGAAGTCAATATGGATTTCTTGGAATCCATGGAGGATCTCCATGGGATAGACCAGGCTGTTGAGGCGTAGCACTTGGCATATGGGGCGTATTTGCTATTTAGTTCTCTGCAGGACTGTCCTCTAGTCAAGTCAGTATCGCACAGCGATTCACTTGCTGTGAAGATTGTTCATCTTGTACCGTAGCCCTGTGCAATTTCTGTCGAACTTCCACACCGGTCAAACAATTCGTCGCGTAATCTGAGGCTTGACAGCCTCTGTTACGATCAGCAACGCGACAATGAGATTGAGCTACTTCTCGTGGGCCTTGCTCTCAATATCAGCATCCGCACAAGCTGAAGGCAACGGCTGGGGAGTAATCGGCGTCAATAAGGCGGGATCTGGGTCTGACGAAGCTGTCCGGGTCTTTGAAGACGCTGGATATAGTCCCAATGCGAGCGACGTGGTCACCTTCACCCAAAACTTCAACAACACAGCCGAAGAATGGACTTGGCGGATCAATGTCAGTGAAATTGCTGTCCCAGATAACTCTCAAGACCTTGGTCTTGAAAGGGCAAACTTCTCAGAGGGGCTGCATGTCGCACATACGCAATGGCAATTGGTCTGGCCAGGCGAAGAAGACGATCTCCTATCATTCGTAAAGTCGCGGAGCGTCGACAGTGCTAGGTTCAGCGCCTTCATGGCAACCGTCTACTCGAACATTACGGACCGTTTTGAAGACTCGGACGACGGAGACTGTACACCTATGCTTGGAGAGAGGTGCGTTGAGTCGATCCGAAACAGAGCAGTCAATGGTGAAGATGAAATGGCCTGGAGTAATTTGGAGGGCTGTGAGAGTACATTCGATGCCAGAGATCAGAGTACAAGTCGCGGTATCAGCTTTTGTAAGGCATCCGCATTCCTTTCAATTGATGTATCACTCATCACTGACAACTCTTCGCACTAGCAATGAATGCAGATGATGAAGGGCTGGTTGAGTGGCCGCGCAATGGTACGTTGGTGTTTGCAACAAGTGCAGCTTACGGACCTGGCGAGACGGCCGCGTACAATCAGGCGATTCACGCGTTGCACATTCTTGTTATGAACTACAAATATGGCCAAGGTCCAGTGGTCGGGGCTTCCAATGCCACCGTTGTGTGTCGAGTTGTTGAAAAAGCTGCTGGGGCTGACAATCCAGAACAAGGCCCAGGAGAGGATTCGGCAGCAGTGATCTGGCAGCAGTCGCTGTGGACTATTACTGGCCTGACGACGTTAGTAACTCTCTTTGTCATGTGGTAAAATAAGTCCGTGTTGAAGATAGGATGTCATCAAACGCTCGTTAAATATGGAATGCCATACTACTGTCGTCTTGTTCGCTCCTATACCTACCTTGTTTGCCTGACAATGTTCTTCCAGAGTAGGTTTTCCAGAGACAGTCACTTAGAACTTAGATGCAGATTGTAATATCCATGTGTTGATCATGTCGAGTTTGCTAGGAACCAACCGTGGATTATTAGGGTCCTGATGCCAGATATGCTGACGTACTTGTACTTGGGGTAGTTGCAGTTGGAGTAAGGTAAATACCTACCTTGCATAAATGATGAGTATGGCGCCAGTCTCGATGACTTTAAAATGGCTTGTAGATGTAAATGATGCATCCCAAGCCAAAGAGTTCGGAAAATCCTGTATACTCTACTTGCTGTGACCTTGGCACGCTAAGGCACAAGCTAGGCCTGAAGAGGTACCGGTAGATAGCGGTCCCTCTCTCTGTACAACATCCACAGCCGCCGACATCTCATCTCTTCAAACTCACAGTATAACTTGAACAGCAATATATATAGATATTCCACTTAAGATATCTAGCCAGATCTATTGTTCCAATTATTGCAGGTGACTAGTTTGGTGCAGCCACGATTTTACTTGCTCCCGCCAGGCAAACACCGCATTGGCAACCGACAGTAACGCCCGGACCGCTCTTGCTTCTACTCTCACTAGTAACAACAGCCATGAGTAGCACACACAATCGGAAGGAAATGGCCCAGGTCCGGTTATCTCGTCTAAAATTCTTCATCAATAAGAAACATAATCGATCTTCGCCTGAACAGCAACACTCAGCAGCATCAGCAGCATCGTCATCAGCAACCTCACATATAAACTTGGAACCCCCTACCAAGCGCAGAATGCCAGAAGCGATGACTCCATCTACTCAGACCCACCTGATCATCCGATTCTATGATCAGAACATCCAAGCCAAGGACAGCCACGGCCGGACGCAGAAAGACATGTTATCATGGAGTGGCAAACAACTGGAACTTAACCACAATTACATCCAGATGCTGTTTCCGCTTCCCGAGGGTTCGCCTTACAACTGGTCAGCCCCAGTAGTTACCCGTGAAGTCTTCGATGCATTCCGATCAAGGAGCGAATTGCGTGATAGTATGCAGTTAAGCTTCGAACGCATGCTTGAGTTTTACGGCTTCGCTATATCTCGGGAGCCCAAACCCAACGCACAGTCGAAGCAAGAAGACAGCGAGAAGAGCAGTGGGTCGAACACAGAGACATCTCCCGAAGACAACAGTAGCCTTCCCACTGAGTCTAAAGCTACTACAGCTTCATCGTCCAAATTCTCTTCCGCCACCTACTCCATCATACGAGGCCCCAAGTGGCGCAAAAAAACCACTAATTGGTGCATCCGCTTCGACCATAATCATCTCCGCATCACCCGCATCCTTCGCTGTCTTCGCGTCATGGGCTTGCAGACCGAATGTAATGCTTTCTATGAAGCCTTACAGGAAGTCTTTGCCGACCCGACAGTCTCTATTGGTGACCGCTCCATGATGTACTGGACGCGTGCTGTACAGCGGCCTTTGCACCAAGCGCCTGACGATGACCACTGTGATTGGTTGGAGGCATGGGAAGAGGAGCAGCAGAATACGACTGGTCGAGAGGGGGAGTAGACGATACTTGGCAGGGACATTGCTACTTCAATCCTCGATATATTCTCAGCATGTTTCAAGTGCGATTATGCTTGCTGATTCTATAAAAGCTCCTCTGTATCACGATGTGAGCAAGCAATGAATAACCGAATCTTATTGCGGCGAGAAACTAGCCAAATACATCTCCGATATAATGGGGCTAGTGTTTTCAGAGACACCATTTCGGTCACATAAATGCGTCACATATCATTTTTAAATCATAATATAGCACCTCAATCAAATTCGATTGCGCATACATACGCAATCCCACCTTTGTCCAATCCTGTTACGAAGTGACCTCATTTCCTATGTACAAATTCGTCCACCTCCATTCCCTAGTACTCAGACAACAAATCTCCCCTTCTCTTGCCACGAAGTTCCCACTTGCCCTAAAACAAAGTCAACAGAGTCGCCTTTATGTCTCCTTCCGGCGCGTGGCGGGTACACTACATACCTCAGTCATGTATCCGGCCGTGCCCAGCATCGCGGGCACCAAAATGACATAGGCAAACGAGATCCATACCGTTCGTGGCGTCCAGCGGAAGTATTTGTGGCGGTTCGTTGTCATGTCTGTCACACCGTCAATTCCTCATCCCTCTGATGCTGCTGCCCCGCGCGCTCGCGCAATCTCCTCTGCATATCTCCCAATCCTTCTCGTTCTAGGCAGCGAGGAATATGTATATATGGGTACGGAGAAGATCGGGTGAATTGCGTGCGTATAACGTACTGTTCCATTTGATGAGCGCGGGATCCTGGCGGAGGACTGCGGGTCTTGTTAGCCATTGTGCCGACAGTGGCTTCATTCCAGGTGCGACGACATACTGCCATGATTGTGCCCCGCCATTGTGTGTGGTTTGCTTGGGTATAGGGCGGGCTTTGCGCGTGGGGGTTGTTGGCGTGGTGGTGAGGTTGGGGAGGAGCTGTGATGAGGTCGGCGGATCGGGTGTTCTTCGGGAATGTGAGGGCGCGAGCTTGGCAACGAGGACAGTATTTCAAGGTTGGTTGGACGCTTCCATCACTTGTTCAAAACAGACAGCATCATGCTTATGGACGAAAATACATGGCGATGTACTGTACTACAAGTAGTCTCCGTTGCGTATATATTATCGGTAACCATGAAGGTTTCGATTTTGAACAAGTCTTTGAATCACGTCTACTACTAAGACGTGGAAACGTTGGTGGAGTCGCACAGTGATTATTTTGGTCCGACGGGCACTCGATTCATGCAATAATGCTTAACAGCTGCTGTACTTGAACCGCGTCTATCGCGTATTCTTCATTCAACGCTTCCCTCTGATAAGACGACAAAATGGTGGTGGCTTGTCGAGGCTGAACTCGTCGGAGGTTGTGGGTGCCGACACTAAGAGTGACGCAAGACCGAGAACGGCCGATGCTTGTTAATGATCAAAAGAACCTCGGTGACAAAGATCATGTCGGCCATACTCAACACTTCAACTTTGTAATCTGCTGTGCCGTTACAACTCGAGTCGTGCAAACATGGCGTCTAATCAACAAGGTGCAAAAATCACCGTCTACTGGTAAGCCACACTCCGCATCACCATAGCGACTTGGGCTACCATGCATCTCCAACTGGATCAACATCTAGCATACGATCAACTCCAGTAAGCGCATCACATTGACTCGTCAACTGATCTCCTTCCAGGCTCGACAAGTCGCGCGGCCAGCGCATCGTCTGGCTACTTGAAGAGCTGAATCTCGAGTATGACATCAAGGTCTACAAGCGCAATGAAGCCGGACGCGCAGGGCCCGAACTGAAGAAAGTTCACCCTCTGGGCAAGTCGCCGACGATTGGAATCACGCCTGCCGGTTCCGACAAAGAGATCATCATTGCTGAGAGTGAGACGATTGTCGAGTACATCTCTGAGCACTTTGGAAAGCAATTGATTCCGAACCGTTATCCTGAGGGCAAGGAGGGCGAAGTGGGCGCGGAGACGGATGAGTGGATGCGTTACAAGGCATGTGAGGTATACAGGTTACGATCACAGTGTACTAACGACACCATAGTTCCTCATGGACTACGCAGAAGGTTCTCTCTTCACCATCCTGATCGTTGCATTGATTTCTGGCAGTACGCATTTCCACTTCCAGCCAAACGAATCCCATTAACTTTCGACCAGAAATCAAAGGTGCCCCTGTTCCATTCTTCATCAAGCCAATCGTCAAAGGAGTCGCCGGCAACATCGACAGCTCCTTCGTTGACCCTGAGCTGAAGAACCACTTCGACTTCTTGGAGGACTACCTGAGCAAGTCTAGTGGCGAGTTCTTTGCTGGGTCGACACTCTCGGGCGCAGATATCATGATGCACTTTGGTTTGGAAGGTGCATGTCAGCGAGTACCACTGAGCGAGACGAGCTACCCGAAGCTGTACGCATATATGCGTAGGCTGCAGCAAAGGGACGCGTATAAGAGGGCAGCGGACAGGGTGACAGAGGCCAGTGGGGAGAAGTATGTACCATACTCGGACCTCAAGAAATGATCTTGTAGATAGCTGGACTCTAAATACACATTATCCACATGTAATGGAATTTTGCACACAAGATCTGCTTGTTCATATATTACTTGATGAGATGCATATGCACATGGTACATGAAAGTAAACACAAAGGAGCGTTGGCAAGTCAGTACTAGGCAGGTAAACTACAGTCCCGCATACATCAAATTTGACAACTAGTAAGGCATGCTCGATTAAGCATTGCACATGACCCACCTTTATCTCTTAGCATACACACGCGATTCACAATGCCTAGCTGTGGAAATTTGGATCACTGAGGTCAGGAATGATTTAGGAGATGGATTATTAGATTGTATCTACTACGATCAGACTTATATATATAGAGCTTTAGCTACCCTTACTAGAAGGTAAATAATTAGTAAACCTTCCTTACTAGAGATCCTGCTTTTTATTAGGTACTTAGTAGTAAGCTAGTAGTTAATTAGATAGTAGGTTATATAGGGGTATTAATTAGGGTTAATTAGATTAAGATACTCTATAATCTAGTTAATATCCCTCCTATAATACACCCCCTAGGTATAGGTAGATCTTTTATTATTATAGTTACGCTTATAGTTAGTAGGTAGTGTAGCTAATTAGAGCGTTATATATCTAAAGGGTTAAATTAGCTTACCCTTTAGATACTAACTAGCGCGCCTTCCTTATTTAGCCTACGCTTACGCGCGTAGATATTATCTAGACTAAGCTCTATAACTCTATCTACCTAACTATAATCTTTTACTATAGCTTAAATTATAAGATTATATAACCCTAAAGATCTAAACTATACCTATATCCCTACTAACCTGTATCTTAGTTAAAGTTAAAACCTACTACTTACGCTTACTCTACCTACGCTACCCTTATTACCTCCTGCATAGCTAAAGCTATAGTTACTAAAGCTACTACTACTAAAGAAGAGCGTGCTACTACTAAGCGTAAGGCTATTATAGAGTATGCAGTAGCTAAGTGCGTAGCTACTGCTACTATAGCTAAGATTACAAAGCTAAGGAAGGGCGCTCCTACTCTAGCTCCTACTACTCTAGCTCTAACTCTAGCTCCTGCTCCTCCCTAGACCCTGCCTAATATCCCTACTCCTGCTCCCTCTCTAGCTCCTAAGGAGACCCTAAGATCCTCCTACTATAGAGAGCCTAGTATTTATTATACTAAAACTTATCTAAATTATCTACGCTCTACGCTCTTTAATAAGTCTAATAGCAAGTACTATAACTCTTCTAGTAGGGGGACTTAGTACTAGTAGTACTCCTTTAGGTATAGCTATATCCTAATATATATAATCTATATAAGAATTTTTCCTTTATAATACTTAGTAAGATCTATACTAATAAACTAATAGCCCTAAGCTTGCCTAATATTCTACGCTATCCTTCCTAGTAAGGAAGTAGGTAGGTAATGTTATAGACTAGCCTTAAGGGAGAATGCAATAAGCGTTAATAATAGTATTTAGTATCTTAAAGGAGAGGTAAGCCCTTAGCGCCTTTTTATAGGTGTGCAATGTGTTCGCTTAGTAGTGGTGTTAGACTTGGTCCGTCTTATATTAGACCTAGGCTTAGGCATAAGCCTAAGCCCTTTACAGGTAAGAGCTAAGACCTTCTTAAGAATAAGAAGTAGAGGGTCTTAGTACTCCTTAAGGAGAGTAAGGCTAAGTAGCAGGAGCTAGTAAAAGCTACTACTACTACTACTAAACTTACGCGTAAGGCTAATACTATAGCTAAGGGCGCCTAGAGCTCCTTATTAGAAGATAAGGACTCTAGCTCCTCTAAGGTTCCCCCTATAGATCCTAGGCTAGGGTAACCTAGGCAGCTCCCTATAGACTCTAAGGCACGCTTCTTGCGTGTAATAGAGCTCCTTAGGGAAGCTACCTAGTTAATAATAGAGAGGTAGGCTATAGTTAGTTATTCTTATATTATATATTAATAGATCTTATATACTACCTTACTTTAATTAGTGCTATATAATATATACTCTACTATTATATAACTTTAGGTACTCCCTAAACCTTATAAATTATTATATAGTTAGGTTTTTAGTAAGCCTATTAGCTAGTATATTACTAGTAGGTAGATAAGTAATATAGAAAGATCCCTTTATATACTCTTATCTTAGCTATATATTTTAAATATCCACATAGCGTAGCTTAGTAGTAATCCTTTTATTATTACCTACTACTAACCTAATAGTTTATTAATTATTATAATTAATTATCTAGGTAGTATCTAAAGTAAGGTGTATTTTAGTTAAAAAGTGTTTTAACGCTATTACTTCTTTACTTACTTACTTAAGCGCAAGGAGCTCTACCTTAGTAGTTAAAGTAGTAATAGTTGCTTATTAAGCTACCTTCTAAATAATAGGTCCTCTAAAGAGCGTAATTAGGTATCTATATAATAATTACTAAGTATTAATATTATTAGTAAATAACGCATTACTATATATTATAAGCTTATTAGGATCCCTATTCCTATATTAGATTAATTAGTATTAAGTTTAGTATAGATAGACAATTACTTAATTAACTATATTAAAGTGTTATTTAGATAGGTTAGTAAGGTATTAGGAGAGCTAGGAGGCTATATAGGCAATATTAGGGCGCACTATAATTAAGGTATAAAGGATTAATCTAACGCGCTCCTAATAGTCCTTAATCTCTTTTTTAGTGGCTTCTCCTATACTCTTTTTAATATCTTTACTTAATAGTAGTGTAGTAGGGAATTTTCCTATCTCTACTAGATTAAATTTCTTTATAATCTTATTAATATATTTATTATAAATAAGCGTTATTATCTATCTCTTTCTATCCTAGATTACTCTTACCCCTAGAAACTAGCTTATAGGTCCCTTTTCTTCTATAGTATATCTTTGCTTTAGAGCTTAGATAACTTTGTAAGCTTAGCTTGCGTAGTTTTAGTAATAGAGCAATAGGATATTGTCTACATAGAATATTAACAATATACTGCAATCTCTGTTAAAGAATAGGCATAGCTCCTCTTTAGAAGTAATAAGCTTATTTTCTTAGAGTGTAGTTAAGAGCTTATTATACTATAATAATAGTAAGTCTTTTAGTCTATATAGAGCTCGTTTAAGCTTAACACACTTCCTAGGTATTTAATATCCTTTAGGTAGCTTGTAGATAACTATAGGGTGTTAATACCTTAAGGCATTAAGGAAAGCTCTAATAACGTTATATTAATATATCTTAAGGTTAAACTTAGCTCTAATAGCTATTATAGTCCTAAAGGTTTAAGCTGCTAGGGTAGCTGCGTAGGTTAAATAAATTAAGTTAGTAAGCTATAGATCTCCTCTTACTACTATCCTTGCTTTACACTTAATTAGGTAACTATCCTAATTAAGCTTGTATGTAAACACCTATTTAAGTAGGAGTAGACACTTTCCCTTAGTTAGCCTATTAATTGTTATGGACTAGCCTCAAGGGAGAATGCAATGAGCGTTGATAATAGTATTCAGTATCTTAAAGGAGAGGTAAGCCCTCAGCGCCTTTTTATGGGTGTGCAATGTGTTCGCTTAGTAGTGGTGTTAGACTCAGTCCATCTTGTGTTAGACCCAGGCTTGGGCATAAGCCCAAGCCCTTCACATTAATCTCCTCCTAGGTACTAGCTTTTAGTAGAGTATTAATTTCTTTATATACTACGTCTCTAAATTACTATCCTATTTAGTAGTTATAGAGATCCTTCTATTATTTTAGCTCTTTTTATAGAGCGTCCTAGTACCTATTTCTTTTAGCGTTTTTAGGAGATTTGCTCCCTATTACTACTATAATTATAGCGTAGATTATAGTATTTAGTTTAGGATATACTAAAAGATTATATAAGGGATTTCTAATTAGATCTATATCTAATAGATCTATTACTATATATATCCCTACACTTATAGAGCCTCCTAGTAGTTTATTAGGGTCCTATCCCTAAGCTTGCTTACTAATATATATTAGTGGCAGTCCTTTAACTTATAGTTTTCTGCTTCTTCTAGGAGCTCTAGGTGCCGCTTGTAAGGGATCTGCAGGAGATACAGAATCTAGTCCTAAAGCGGGTAAGTAGAAGCTCTGCTCACCACCCCTATAAGGGCTAGATAGGGTGCCCTTACCTATCTCCGTGCTCTTATAGAGTAACCCACTAATAGCACTCTCCCCTCTAGGTCTTTCCTAGGAGCTACCTATTATGGTGTTAAAGTAAGTTAGATTACTACTATCTTAGGTAGTAAGACCCTAATCTATAACCTATATAGATCCTTTATCTCCTATACTAAAGTTTAGTTTTAGTGTTAGTTTAGGAGTTTAGAGCCCTATTAACTTAGGGGACTTTATATAGATCCTTTGTGCTAAGCTAGCTATGCTTAGTACCTACGCTAGAGGTGTCTGCTTAGGGGGTTATGAATCACTAGGCTAGCTAGCCTAATTATCTACCTCCTCTAGCTCTACCCTACCCCCTAGCTCCTGCGCTAGGTTTAGTCCTCCTTGCTTACTAGACTCGTTTAGGTATTGCTGCGTACCGCAATATAAAGCTAATTAAAGATATTAAGCTCTTTATATACTTCTCCTGTATTATAGATCTTATCTTTGCTAATAATATTAACTATCTTTTAAGCCTCTAACTATTAAAGCTGCTCTAGATCTTTCTCTTTATAGAAAAGATCCTTATTAAAGGTAATATTCTACGTTATAATAATCTAATTAAGTAAGGGGATCTATATCCTATATATATTAGATGCTCCATATCCTACTAGATATCTAATATAACCCTAAGGGTTCACCTTAAAAACCCTCTTATAACGCCTAGCTACTTAATCTTAGTTAAGGGGGTAAGCTTAATAGCCATAGGCGTATATTCCGCTCTAATTAGGGCAGAGATTAGTAGTTGCCTCCCTTATCTGCTCTAGTTGCCACCACCTAAAGTATCTAGTAAACTAACAATCTAGCACTTTGTTAGGTAATATTATATTGTAAGTATAGGA